AATAGAAAACAGGAAGTAGCGCTAATGAGAATCAAAACGCCACAGAAGGCCACAGTAAATTATTACATGCACACCTCTTGGACAATGGTTCCCCCAATTTCTATGAAATATGTAACACACAGCTGATTATCGACCACATCATCATCGAATGCAGAAAATATGCGCAAACAAAGAGTAAACTGAACCTCAGAGAACTACTTCCATCGCCATTACACCAAAACGCATAAACGATAAATTTTTGCAACACCATCGGATTACTTGACAAACTATGAAGATTCTCTAGGCACCACAGCACCCAATCACACACCCCTAACGTCCTAACGTACCCCTAACGTGCAATTCTTAGTGCAGTCGCTAACAACCTTTGCAGTTGACGCAACCTTAAACTTCCAATTAAAAAAAAAATTGAAACAAAATCATCATTTGTTGGATACTATATAGAAGACCAGCTTATCGCGACATCTCACGTCGAATGTACGGAACGTTTTTTTTTTTGTTTTTGTATTGCGACGAGACATGTTTGGCCCCACTCTGTCCCTAACTACACGAGTGTAAAGACCGCCATTAGTCGAGTGTTATTAGCCAAGTGTATCGATATTGTATTGGAAATATAGACAATTATTTGTGGCATAAATCCCTGTGCACTAAATAATCCAACATCATTCGTGAGAAATAATAAATAAGGATCATTGCATTGATGGGTACAGAACATAAAAACCGAAACTTACTATAGATTTCTAAAGGGATCACTTTGTTCTACAGATTTCATTTTAACAGCAATGGTTTCGATTTTACTTTTCATTTTTCTCCGTTCTTTTGTAGATATAATTTTTTCTAATAATAATCCAATTTAATATGGTAGAGTTATGGGTGCTTTTTAAAATAAAAAAAAATCATTTATAGTTAGAGAGTATATAAATTGCTGATCGGTAGTGTAAATGATACGAGAGTTTCGTAATTATTACGGAAGCAGCATTGTGATTATTTAATACCATTTTATAAATATTACCACACGTTGGTACACGTTTAATTTGCAGTCGGGATTATTCCTCTGTCGCAAAGATCGCCGAAGAAAGTGTGGGACGCTTCCTCGTCTTCGTTGCGACAATTCCACGTATTTATTGTTCCCCACGCCATATAAATTATGGCATATGCTGATATAAGTCTATTTCACGGCAGTTCAGCGAGCATAAATGAATTTTCCATCGGGGGACAAGATGTGACATTAAATTTGTTAATAAATTGCGAAAAAAGCGTATTTTATTTTTTTTTATCTTTTATTGAAGTCTTATAAAAATTTTATTCCACGGAAAAATTCATATAATGTGTAATAATGTACAAATATTGCTTGGCTAAACTGTCATTTATTCGGCCTTTTTCGTGATATTTTTTTTCAATGAAAGGTAGGCTATTTCGTATTGAGATTTTGCAGATATATTTGCTCCACCTTATAAGCATGTACAGTATTTTTTTTCATCGAAAAATATTAAAAATTGTAGGAATTATACCTTCTTAGTCAAACGCATCTTTGGACAACAATATCTACTTAAATGATTTGGGAAAAGATGAAAGAAGAGGTTCTTCCTACATTTCAACGTAAAAACTATATACATCTCTCCCTAAAAGAGTCTTGAAAACCACAAAAAAACAAAGATGGCGATGGTATTGAAAAACCGTAAAAATTGATGATTTTACACAAGATCTTGGCGCAGACCATTGGTTCTGAAAAACGCTAAATATTAAAAAATACCATAGTTTTGAGGCTCTATAAACTATTTCGAATCTCGTCGAATTTATTACCAAATTGGAAGAATTAACAACGATGATAAAAGAAGAGACAAATGACAGGAACGAGTTGCATCGATCGGGGACACGCGATTCGTTGTTCGCGGATTTCGACACGTCGACTGTCGTGACAAGACGCGTGCAATTAGCCCGTTGCGTGCAAAGAAATCTTGTCAGAAGAGGCAGGGGGGGGGGATACGAAAAAGTAACGCAGAAAAAAAAAGAGGCTGGAAAACTGCGTGACTTTCGTAATCGATACAGAGACCTAGGTACAATTCTCGGTCAGTGAACGTAACGGTGTCGAAGGTGTGTACACGCGATCTTATTCACACCTCCACACCGGTGTCCTTTTACTCGTTGGGCCATTTGCCTCGTCTAACAAACGGTGACAGTGTCGGTCACGGTTTTTGTTTAGTCGACTGAGCCAACGGGATAAACAAGAAACGGTAGTGCAGGTAACCGTGATTAATTGGCGATGCAATCGATCAACGGTCACCGAACCAATCGCAACAGAGGATTTACCAGCTTGTCGTAGCCAGAGATGGACTAAATTCTCTTCTATGGAGTCTCAAATAACAAATGGAAGCTTAGTTTAGAAGTTTACTTGCTGAACAAGTTTCAACTGACGAAACTTACCACGCTAAAAATTCTCTTTTATTCGTAAATAATAGAAGCAAAAGTAATTTTTACTGTGTCTCTCATTTTGTATGGGCATCTACCATCTTACATGTTTCGAATTCCATCGCGAATGAGCATCGAATAGACATCGATCAACACTTTGACTGCCACGTGATCCATATATGGGTGAGAATAATTTTTACAGTGAAACTGGAACAATTGAATCTCAGGCTGAAATGTTAAGGAAAATAAAGAATAGGATTCGAATTTTAATTTGCATAGTTTGCTCTAAAATCACAATTTTGATCTGGTAAAAGATTGCACAGTTTTGGCCTGGCAATCCACGTGTTAAGATGCGTTCATTTAAAAGCCAAATTGATTCGAAATACTTAGAGTTGACTTAGGGACTTCCCAGCCCAAGTTGAGGATAAGTTGTCGAATGATTCCAGCCACACGCGACGCGGTAGCGGCAACGGAATGACTTTCTGATTTCCTTGACCAGTAAATGGTCATTTTTTCTTCAATTTTACCGATCAAACGATCTAATCGTCCACAGTGGCGGTCGACGTTGACCGTGTCTCCCGGTTCTAAAAGCTCCCAAGGGAGCACACATGTTTTCGAACCTCCCTAAACCTTCTTCTTTCTGACTTTGCTACAATCGACCGGCATCCACGATACATCCTCAGTGATATTTGAAAGTTAGAATACGACCTAAGGAATCTGATCCATTTAGATGCTCCATTTTAGCCTCGTTCCCCACTTACAACCATGTTTGTGCTCCGGTAACTTGCAGCTGCTCACCTTTGCAAGAATTGCTCGAAAAGGCCATCTTCGTTCCGACGACAATCTTGAAGACGTCTCGTCATACATTTCCAACTTAAGATGTTCCAAATATTTCGAAGCACGTCGATGCTAGGAGCAACGAGAGCTGAATAAACGATTGTTTCCAAACGAAACGGAAATTTGATCGATCGAGATCCGAATAACGTGATCGCGACGAAAGATTCACCGCCTGCTTCGATGATTTTTAAATATGAAAGACAAGGAGTAACAGTCATTAAAATAAGAAACATAGCTACCATTAAGAGTGAAAAATTTATTGCAATTGAACGATGATGAAACTGATGATACTGAAGATTTGTTACCGCTTTGCTTTTTTTTAAACAGAATTATAACGTTTATATCTCATATTAAAACAAATATTTTTCTTAAAAACAGATATTAAATACCGAATAAAACAAACAAAAATCTATGTAAAACGATGTATAGTCCAGGCCACAATATAGCGAGGTCGTAAAACTAACACTCTTGAGGGTTGGAACTGACTCCTGCTGCGGCACTTAGGGTCGTACATGAGATCTAGCTTGAGGGTGCCTTTCTGAATGTCTTTCTATGTCCGTAACTGCACTATCATTAAGATATTAAAGACTCGAGTAAGACCTTTACCTGTTACCTCTAAAAATAGCTTTCTAAAAATGGCGAGATAAAACATTTCTTCGTACGGTCCTGACTATGGTCCAAGGCCCTCAGCTACTCGTATTTCTCTCAATTGTTTCGGGAGCTGAAAGGTGTAAACTTTGACACCTGCTAAAAAGTATAGCATCGTTGGAAGATTGAAATGGTTACAAAGGACCCGTGAGGCTCTCTGACGATTGTAGAAAGCCCGAGGACTCGATTCACCGCGGCTCCGTGAACCAGTCGAAGGATCCTTGTCTGTTCCCGCGATCTAAAAATGAACCCGTGAACCAACCGTGGATCGTCACCATACTCATTGCGGATTCGTTGCGTCGATCGCGATTGCGCGACTACGTGACCCGACTCTCTCGCCGTTTTCATTCCTTTCGAATCGTCGCGAATTGTTGCGGATCCTCCGTTCGTGGTAATTAAACAGGCTTACGGTGGCCGTTCGTAGAATTCGAATGCCCGCGAAGCGTTAATTAAATCCAGTAAAAAAGCCACGCGTGGCGTTGATCGAACGCTTGGCACTACTGTTTTATTTAGCAAAGTCGAGGAAAAAATGTAACACACAGGCTCTCTGAATAGGAAATGGTAACGGCTCTTAAACTCTGTTTATATTTTTCATCAAACGAAAATAAAACTGTGCACAAGTGGCTCACGATAGTGTTCGGACCCTTCCAATCCACACTGTTGACAAATAGAATGCACGCGTTAGGTGTAAGTTTTCGAAATGTGATTGCAAGTAAAGTCACATAGGAGTCTCGAGAACGCGTACGTAAAATTACAAACACGTATGTATGACAACACATATAGAATTTACAGGGCGTTTACATTATTGGTTCTAACGAATGGAATGTAAACATTACACTTTGAAACCAGTAAATGGAAACGTGAATTAACATTGAAGTTGCATAATGCAATTGAAATTGCCAAATTATTAAATCGAAATAAATCTAGGGTACATGATACGATTAAAAAAAGTGTCTAAAGGAACTGTACGTGAAATTAAGAAAAATCCAAGCACACCTGCACCGGAACTTGCAGTGACTGTTGCAAATAGTTTTGTATAGGTGTACGTCCCATGTTTTTTGCTATTAATTTTTCACTGTTTATCGTTAAAACGTTGATCGACGTTTCAGATGAGCTGCAACTGTCCGTTGACCCAGTCGACTGGTCCAACACTTGCATCGACATGCGGCGGACAATCGTTCATGCTCTTCATGGGCCTCCTCGAGGTGTTCCTGCGCAGCCAATGCGACCTCGAGGATCCTTGCAACAGACCTCTGCCGCCAATCGCCGTTAATTCCAGGTAAATCGATCGAAGGTCGAAGCACGGACTACCGATACGGTTCACGGCCGTACGAGGTGACAAACTCACGGCGCTATAAGGCGTTTTGACAGTCGAGAAACTTGTCTCGTTCGTTCGTACCAAAGATAGAGGCGATCGACCGCCGTTCGAGACACTCCTGAACGCAGAGATCAAGGCCTCTCAGAGATCTGACGAGATTTCCGTGTTACTGACAGTGACGCAATTCTTCGAATTACAGAACACAATTCTCTTACATTAATTACCTTTATTAGCGATTAACTAATGTAGGAAGTCGAAGATGTATAGAACATTATTTCAAAGTAAAAGGATAGAGGATTAGAGTAGACGCTAATTTAAAGAGTGTGAAACGCGACGATCTTATAGAGCGTGGAAATAATTAAAAATTGTTCCAACGTTGACGATGCAGTTTAGACTGAAAAAGGACCATTTTTACTTATAATAAAGTGCCCATTTAACGCGAGTTTCAAGAAGAAATTGTGAAGTAACCATAGAACGATAAAACATAGAATTATGACAACTGTCTACAGTCACCATAAGATTGATATTCATTGTTAACGTTAACGATTCAGTTTAGAGTAAAACAGGGCCATTTTTACCCATAATAAAATGACCATTTAACGCGATATTCAAAACATAGAATTATGACAACTGTCTGCAGTCAACACGAGCTTGATATTCATTTTAAACGTTAACGATTCAGTTTAGAGTAAAACAGGGCCATTTTTACCCAAAATAAAGTGTCCATTTAACGCGAGATTCAAGAAGAAATTGTGAAACACGACAAAACATAGAATTATGACACTATCTGCAGCCACCATAAGATTGATATTCATTCTTAACGTTAACGATGCAATTTAGATTAAACAGGGCCATTTTTACCTATAGTAGAGTGACCATTTAACGCGATATTCAAAACAGAGAATTATGACAACTGTCTGCAGTCAACACGAGCTTAATATTCATTTTTAACGTTAACGATTCAGTTTAGAGTAAGACAGGGCCATTTTTACCCAAAATAAAGGGACCATTTAACGCGATATTCAAAACATAGAATTATGACAGCTGTCTGCAGTCAACACGAGCTTGATATTCATTGTTAACGTTACCAACTCAGTTTAGAGTAAAACAGGGCCATTTTTACCCAAAATAAAGTGTCCATTTAACTCGAGTTACAAGAAGAAATTGTGAAAGACGACATAACATAGAATTATGGCAACTGTCTATAGCCACCACAAGCTTGATATTCATTTTTAACTTTAACGATTCAGTTTAGATCAAAGCAGGGCCATTTTTACCCATTATAAAGTATCCATTTAACGCGAGTTTCGAGAAGGAATTGCGTAAAAATTGTACTCTTCGAGAAACTAGAGCTTCGACACCATTGTCTGTTCCTCGACAAAGATGGACGTTACGCGTTTTATTAAAAAAAGAAGCACGCGTAAGAGGAGGTGTAGGGAATTCCCATTTATTGAGTATAATGCAGGCCCGAATGGCCTTAAGTAGAAAGCTTGGATGCCCTATTGTGCAAGAACGTGTAAATTAGACTCTTTGCAAGGAAGCAGTAGGTGGCATTGGATTCCAATAAGAAATTACGTAGAACGAACCTTCAATTAGGTGGTTGGCGTTCGTGACCTCTAAAATGAAATATCGAAATAGGAATTTCTCGATCTTTTCATTCTGGCTCAAATTGCTTTCTGCAAAATAATTATTCTGTTCCGACGAGACAAAAGAATTACTGTAAAAAGTATCGTGAAATTGAGCTATATGCTCGACGAGAAAGTTTTCTTATTCTTCGGGTAAAAGATCGTTTGATCCTATTATTCGCGAATTACACGATATTAATATTTCCCAAAACATTTCGAACACTTGAAATCGCCCAATAGATTTCTTTTAACAGCGATCGAATTCGATCAGTGAAATTTTTCCGATGTCTTCGATTCCCCCTTTCTCTTTTCTGCATAATCAATGTAATGTAGGCTCTTCCTCTTTCCTGGCATAATCTGTGTAATATAAATTCTTTCCCCTTGTCCGTATAATTTCCTCTTCATTTTGTCAGAAACGGAGGCAAGACCGGAGACTATTAGAGCGTATTAAGAAGTCCGGAAGAATCTCCGACGTCGAGCCAATAAACTTCCTCGTACAGCCGCGTTCGTGAACGTTTCACGACCCGTTGAACTATGTTGGTCTAAAGACAGTCTTAATTGTCGCGGACACGGTTCACGTAATACCGTAGAAACTCCCGTGCTGTCTCTCTCGGAAGTGAGCATCCATGCACGGCTATCCGTGAAATTGTTGCGTACGTGTATCCACGCGTAATAGCCCCGGGCCATTGTTCCGACTGATTCTCCCGCGTTGCGTCACGTCTGCCCCGATGCATCTGCGCTTGCGCTTATGCCGGATGCGGACTGAAGCAACCGGCGTCCTGGACCCTATTAGATCCGTGCAATTTTACGAAAAAAAAGGGGGGAATTACAGACTATGGACGGTCGAACGCGATCGAAAGTGTATCGTTGCAACTTGGGTCTACGAGAAATCGAATCTAATTGCGCGCGAAACACGACGAGACGTAGAATTAGGAAAACTGTCTGCGGTCGACACGAGCTTGATATTCGTTTTTAACGTTAACGATGCAGTTTAGACTGAAAAAGGGACATTTTTACTTATAATAAAGTGGCCATTTAACGCGTGATTCAAGAAGAAATTGTGAAACACGATAAAACATAGAATTATGACACTGTCTGAAGTCACCATAAGATTGATATTCATTGTTAATGTTAAAGACTCAGTTTAGACTGAACAAGGCCATTTTTACCTATAATAAAGTGTCCATTTAACGCGAGATTCAAGAAGAAATTGTGAAACATGACAAAGCATAGAATTATGACAACTGTCTGCAGTCACCATAAGATTGATATTCATTCTTAATGTAAACGATTCAGTTTAGAGTAAAACAGGGCCATTTTTATCCATAATAAAGTGACCATTTAATGCGATATTCAAAACAGAGAATTATGACATCTGTCTACAGTCACTATAAGATTGATATTCATTGTTAATGTTAACGACTCAGTTTAGAGTAAAACAGGGCCATTTTTACCCATTATAAAGTGACCATTTAGTGTGATATTCAAAACAGAGAATTATGACAACTGTTTGCAGTCAACACGAGCTTAATATTCATTTTTAACGTTAACGATTCAGTTTAGGGTAAAACAGGGCCATTTTTACCCATAACAAAGGGACCATTTAATGCGATATTCAAGAAGAAATTGTGAAACACAACAAAACATAGAATTGTGGCTACTGTCTGCAGTCACCATAAGATTGATATTCAATGTTAACGTTAACGATTCAGTTTAGACTAAAACAGGGCCATTTTTACCCATAATAAAGTGACCATTTAATGCGATATTCAAAACAGAGAATTATGACATCTGTCTACAGTCACTATAAGATTGATATTCATTGTTAATGTTAACGTCTCAGTTTAGAGTAAAACAGGGCCATTTTTACCCATTATAAAGTGACCATTTAGTGTGATATTCAAAACAGAGAATTATGACAACTGTTTGCAGTCAACACGAGCTTAATATTCATTTTTAACGTTAACGATTCAGTTTAGAGTAAAACAGGGCCATTTTTACCCATTATAAAGTGACCATTTAGTGTGATATTCAAAACAGAGAATTATGACAACTGTTTGCAGTCAACACGAGCTTAATATTCATTTTTAACGTTAACGATTCAGTTTAGGGTAAAACAGGGCCATTTTTACCCATAACAAAGGGACCATTTAATGCGATATTCAAGAAGAAATTGTGAAACACAACAAAACATAGAATTGTGGCTACTGTCTGCAGTCACCATAAGATTGATATTCAATGTTAACGTTAACGATTCAGTTTAGAGTAAAACAGGGCCATTTTTATCCATAATAAAGTGACCATTTAATGCGATATTCAAAACAGAGAATTATGACATCTGTCTACAGTCACTATAAGATTGATATTCATTGTTAATGTTAACGACTCAGTTTAGAGTAAAACAGGGCCATTTTTACCCATTATAAAGTGACCATTTAGTGTGATATTCAAAACAGAGAATTATGACAACTGTTTGCAGTCAACACGAGCTTAATATTCATTTTTAACGTTAACGATTCAGTTTAGGGTAAAACAGGGCCATTTTTACCCATAACAAAGGGACCATTTAATGCGATATTCAAGAAGAAATTGTGAAACACAACAAAACATAGAATTGTGGCTACTGTCTGCAGTCACCATAAGATTGATATTCAATGTTAACGTTAACGATTCAGTTTAGACTAAAACAGGGCCATTTTTACCCATAATAAAGTGACCATTTAATGCGATATTCAAAACAGAGAATTATGACATCTGTCTACAGTCACTATAAGATTGATATTCATTGTTAATGTTAACGTCTCAGTTTAGAGTAAAACAGGGCCATTTTTACCCATTATAAAGTGACCATTTAGTGTGATATTCAAAACAGAGAATTATGACAACTGTTTGCAGTCAACACGAGCTTAATATTCATTTTTAACGTTAACGATTCAGTTTAGAGTAAAACAGGGCCATTTTTACCCATAACAAAGGGACCATTTAATGCGATATTCAAGAAGAAATTGTGAAACACGACAAAACATAGAATTGTGGCTACTGTCTGCAGTCACCATAAGATTGATATTCAATGTTAACGTTAACGATTCAGTTTAGACTAAAACAGGGCCATTTTTACCCATAATTAAGTGACCATTTAATGCGATATTCAAAACATAGAATTATGACAACTGTTTACAGTCAACACGAGCTTAATATTCATTTTTAACGTTAATGATGCAGTTTAGACTGAAACAGGGCCATTTTTACCCATAATAAAGTGACCAAATAATGCGATATTCAAAACAGAGAATATGACATCTGTCTACAGTCACTATAAGATTGATATTCATTCTTAACGTTAACGTTGCGGATTAGATTGAAACAGGGCCATTTTTACCCAAAATAAAGTGTCCATTTAACGCGAGATTCAAGAAGAATTTGTGAAACACGTCAAAACATAGAATTATGACACTGTCTGCAGTCAACATGAGCTTAATATTCATTTTTAATGTTAACGATTCAGTTTAGACTAAAACAGGGCCATTTTTAGCTATAATAAAGAGACCATTTAACACGATATTCAATACAGAAAATTATGACAACTTTTTCCAATCAACACGAGCTTAATATTCATTTTTAACGTTAACGATGCAGTTTAGATTGAAACAGGGCCATTTTTACCCATAATAAAGTGTCCATTTAACGCGAGATTCAAGAAGAAATTGTGAAACACGACAAAACATAGAATTATGACACTGTCTGCAGTCACCATAAAATTGCTATTCATTATTAACATTAACAATGCAGTTTAGACTAAAACAGGGCCATTTTCAACCCTTAACAGAACCCTCAATCTCAACTGAATCATTTTACGTATTATTTATTTTCATCAAACTGATAAATAGAAATCATCTGTCCTCTAAATTCTCCCATTTTAAAAATAATGAACTAACGAAGGATTACATAAGTTTTAAAATAATTGCATTGAAATATATCAAGCAATTATTAGTTTAAACTTGATCCAATAATCCACTTGAGGGTTAAAGTTAATAAAGTTTCCATTTACCGCGAGTTTCAAGAAGAAATCGTGCGTCAAGTTTTTAAGTACCAGTTACGATTTATTTATATACGATTGATGATGACGAGCAGGGATAACGAGAGCGCCGAGATGATAGAAGGGAAAGTAATTTTGGTCGTGGAATGTGGTTCTGTGTCAACGAAACGGGTTTCTAGATTGGTATCGTTCGACGTGCGTTCATATTGTTTTATTACATTTTTGTTTCACTTTCCTCGGTGGTAATTATTATTCCCCCGCGCAGGAAATGGAATCGTTTGTCGATAATTACAGGAATTCTATTCCGAACTGTCAACTTGGCGGAAGCGTTTCCCCCCCCCCCTCGAATCTCTTATGCACGGGAATAGAGATTAGGCGTTAAAGAATTATTCATGAGCCACGTGTTTGCAATTCAGCGGACAGCAATGGCGAAGAATGAAACTTCGAAGATGGTGCAACGAGCAAAAATTGCTGGCAGAGGTTTATGGATTGCCCAAAAATTAGTACGTTTCGGAATTCTATTTTTTAACATTTTTACGAACGAGTTACAAAAACAATTCTACATGGTGTCCTGTAAATAGTTTAAGAAACTATTCTGAACAACAATTTCCTTTGCAAAAATGTCGAATGGAGCTTCGTTTTTGAATTATGAACGAAAAAACACTGACAAAAACGAAAACAAAAAGAACATAAATTTTCTTGGTTTCACGGTCGATTTACGAATTCCCGGGAGAATAAAATATGAAAGCTGATTTATCGCTAATATATTCGCGCGACAGTTTTGCAAAGGATATCGTAAAGAAGCAAAATGCATGGAAATGTGTATTACTAGAAGAGAAGGCAAATTTGTGAAAAAATTTGCATGTGTAGATCGACCGCTCGTTCCGCCAAGACAAACAGGTTTCGTTTCGCTTTAGGTAGTAACAGGGCCTTTGAACTATCTCATTCTCAATAGCATTAAAACTTTTTAATCAGCCAAGGCTGACCGGCAAAGGATCAAGTACTGAAATTTATATAGTACACCAACGACATTATGAATATTTTCTACCATTAAATTTAATGCATACAAAACCATCCATATATTTTTAAACGATCGAATAAATTATCTATACAATAATTATACGATTATTATTCTCAGATGATTTAGATTTCCAAAGAATATCGAGCAGACGTGTTTAAAAAAAAAAATATTTAAAACTACATAACATTATGCACACGAAATATTAAAAACTTGACAAAGCAGACTAGCAAAAGAACAATTTTTAAAATTTCTATGATACACCAAGGATATTATGAATAATATTTCCTGAAATACTTTCTACCATTAACTTCAATACGTACTAAACCATGCATATATTTATAAACGATCGAATAAATTGTCTACATAAATATTCGATTTTTATTCCAGAGTGTCGAGCATAAAATCGACTGAATTGCAAATATGCTTAAAAAAAAAATATTAAAAACTTGAGAAAGCAGACTAGAAAAAGATCAATTACTAAAATTTCTATGATACACCAAGGATACTATAAATAATATTTCCTGGAATATTTTCTACCATTAACTTCAATACGTACTAAACCATGCATATATTTTTAAACGATCGAATAAATTATCTACATAAATATTCGATTTTTATTCCAGAGTGTCCAGCATAGAATCGACTGAATTGCAAATATGTATAAAAAAAAAATTATTAAAAATTGCGTTACACCCTGGACGCGAGGTACAGAAGGCTCGCCAGAGCTGGTAATAAAAGACATTCGCTATTCGGGTCCACGTTTCAGCTTGTAAGAGTATGTCGTCGTCCCTCAAGGAGTCATGTACACATTTCAGAGAGTGCACACGACCGTACGCGGCTCGTGGCATTCAAAATACCATTACCACTTCACACGAGCGTCCCCAACTGCTGAGAAATCCACCTTTCGCTTGACTCTGCCCCTAGCCGAGACTCTCGTTCCTTTAACCCAGTTTCTAATTCGCGACGCGGTAATCGCGTCGACAACATTGTAACCCGGTACTCTTTACGACCGGAGAATACCAACTGGACGAGCCCGTCATACGTGGAAATGTGAAATCGTCAACGTAATCTTACCCGTTGCTGCGCCTTTCGCGCGGCTAAAAACGCGAGAACCGGGATTAGGACCGGCGGCAAACTTGACTTTGAAACGTTTGCGCAACGAGATCTGGTTGATCGTGTACGCTAAATATGGAACAGAACCTCGATCAACTTGATCTGGAACTAGGAATATTTATTGGCAAACGTGACAGGGTACAGCGATAAACAATGAGGAGATACTGATGGCTGACGAGAAACGAATCGTAATTGTTCCATGTGCAATTTGAATTGCAATAGGAAATAGACACGAGGAAGTTGCTGAGAATAGAGGAGCAGAGAACTTCTAGTGTTTTGGCCACGAAGCACTATGCTCACGTGCTATGCACTGTGTTCCCTTTCCTTGTGCTCGAAGGACCACCCAAACTGGTGTTTTTTAGGAAAATACCGATAACTGAAGCCTGTTGCTCTTTGTGTTACACAAGACTATGAAACTCCTTGTGGAGAGTCTAGTCGAGTTCGTAAGGCTCGATCAAAAACGAATCTAATCCGAAAACTTGATGCTATCCTCAACTCCTTACAATGACGTCTCAGAGACGTGATGAGTCTACCGAGCCAAACCTTAGTTGTCGCTTGTGGCACCCACAGTTGGAAATTAAATCGTACGGCAAGGGGTTAACCTAAGCTCGACTTCCCCTGCTAAGATGACGAAAACACGCAGCGCTAACCGGTGGGAGGATTGGTCAAGCCAATCCTCAAAGTCGTCACCTTGGCAGGGCGTTTCTTACCCTTTGCAACACTCCCACCCACTCTGCTACCCAATGTCCAGATCCACCATGGGAGATTGAGCGAGAACGTTGCCTTTTTTACGAACATTCGGGGAAAACCAAAGCCCCCAAGACCTCAGTAGTCTGCAGATGCGTCAATCGCTATTGAGGCAAGCAAAAGCTCCAAGGATTCCAAGTCCCGTGTGGAGTTTGAAATTTCCTTAATGATCATAACGTAATTTGTCAAGTAGAAATGTCTCGAAGGCCTGATCCTCAAAGATAGCGCAGAAATCACGTCCGTATCATAAACCCCGCGATGTGAAGGTTCCTTAGGAATCCTTAACACCTAGAAAGGTGTAGAGCTTATGTTTGAACAGTATATATTTGGTAAATGCGGATTTGTGGGGAAAGGACGTTGGGTGTGACTTGTTGGCTATTTCTCGTCGGTAGTTTCACCCCTTCTTTGCTATTAGGGCATTCTCATCTAGAGTATACGAGACTCTTTGCCTTGTTTAGTAAAGATCAATGTGGAGTTCGAGTTCTGACTACAGTTTTCGATACCAATATTGTTGCAACGTTTAATGGAAGTGGAGATATAAAAATAAACGATGTTTGTTGTTTAGGTACGACTTCGTAGTGATAGGTGGTGGAAGTGCTGGCGCAACGGTAGCAGCGAGACTATCGGAGGAGCCAAGATTCTCTGTGTTATTGCTGGAAGCGGGCCTGGACGAGCCAACTGGTACACAGATACCGTCGTTTTTCTTCAATTTTATCGGAACTAATATCGACTGGCAATATAACACCGAGAGCGAAGACACAGCGTGTCTGAATAAGGAGGACAGGAGATGTTACTGGCCAAGAGGAAAGGTACGTAGACTCTAATAACAATGCTGCATTATAAAAAGACAGAATAAAATTGCTGGGACGATACGTGTCGTAAAATCGTGGCAAACATGCCTTAAAAGTATATCTACGTATAGCTAACAAAATGTCCATGTTCAACGTTGTCTATATTAGTAATAAAATTGTTAATTTCACAATGAAAGTCCGTTGCGTTCGGTATAGATTATTGAACGTGTTAAAATTGACGCAAAGATTAAACGATGCCGGATACGCGTAATCTGATAATTGTATAAGGATTTTAAAAAATCGTTTAGGTGTTGGGTGGAACCAGCGTCATGAATGGCATGACATATATGAGAGGCTCGCGAAAAGATTACGACGACTGGGCCAGACTCGGAAACGTGGGATGGTCTTATCAGGATGTCCTTCCATATTTCATCAGAAGCGAAGATAACCTTCAAGCGAATACTATGGATTACGGTTATCACGGTGTCGGTGGACCCCTCACGGTCACTCAGTTTCCTTATCACCCGCCCCTGAGCTACGCCATCCTCGAGGCCGGGAAAGAACTCGGTGCGTGAATTTATTTTCCATTTGCTATTCTTCGATCAAACTCGTTGGCCTCTAATTTTTTCAAATTAAACATAGAGGACAGCATAAATAATAATAATTGTTACGTTCGTTGGATGGAGGATGAAATACCCTTTAAAATGAGCGTTTGTACGAGTCGATAGCGTAATTAGTTACGGAGATATAGCGATTTTAGTTTCAAGTCGATTCGCTGGCTGGTTTTGGAGATATAAGGGTTGGAAGCGTTTGTTTACGTTTCATTGGCGCGGGGTGAACGACCTCGCGCGTAAATAGTAAATAGTAGAGAGAGAGAGGTCCCAACGCAACGCGTCAGACGGAGATAGAGACAGTCAAATTGAGAAAAATACCCTTTCACATAAATTACGATATCTCGAGAACGGAAAGTCCGATCGACAAAAATAAAAAACCATTTTAAAGGGGAAGGTTTACCGCTTCTAACAGTGGCTTGATTATGGTGAAAACGCTAGTAGTGTCGGTACTGCATCTGTGTAAATTTTAACTATTTTTAATATACATTGTTAGATTGTCTAAGGCGGTGGAAACTATATAATTCCTATTTATATAGTAATCTGACTGGAATTTGATGCCAAATTTTATCCGATTTTTTTACAAAAAAATATGAACAATGTAAATCGTGGTAGGATTGGCTACATATTTTTCTCAGAAAACAAACAATAAAAATAGAATATCAAGACAAGTCGTGAGGTTAAATGGCGCTAAAATAACATTGTATGATAGAAATTCTAATTGAAATTTTAAAAACGGTCTTTTGACCGGTGATTTATTTTGCATTCCCTTAGTGAAATGAAAATATAATCGTAAGAATATTTTGACAAGATAAAACTGTAAAACGACTAATGTTAAAATTAATTAAAATTAATTTCGAAGTTTCGCGTCACCCGAATTTTATATCGAACGAATTAATTTACCTTTTATCGAAACTGTTCGCAGGTTACGGTACCGTGGATCTGAACGGTCGAACGCATACCGGATTCGCCATAGCGCAGACAACATCGAGAAACGGTTCGCGACTTTCGACGGCCAGGGCGTTTCTGCGTCCTGTCAGGAATCGACCGAATCTCCACATAATGCTCAACTCCACGGCCACCAGAATCCTCTTCGACAACAATAAAAGGGCTGTCGGCGTGGAATTCGTCCACGACGACAAGATTCATCGTGTTTCCGTGGCCAAGGAAATCGTCATAAGCGGAGGTAATTACTTGAAACAGTCATTCATTCAATAACACTTGCTCGTGCAATATCTATTAAATTTATTAAAATATAAAATGAAAGACCTGACTCACTGACTCATCAACGCCCAGGCTAAGCCCTTGGACATAAAAAGCTGAAGTTTTGCACCGAGGTATACAAGGAATAAGAAAGGATATTCCGAAATTCAACCCCCAGGGGGTGAAAAGGGGTTGTAACGTTCGTATAAGGAATACTTTATTTTTATGGTCGAGTTTGCTTCAAACTTGGTCTTAATGCTCTTTGATATAATCAATCAAACACCTATTTCGGCATTTTAAAAAATTCAATCTCTGAAGGGGTGAAAAGGGGTTGCAACATTTGTATGAGGAATATTTTATTTTTGTAGTCAGATTTGCTTCATACTTGGTCTTAATACGCTTTGATATAATTAATCAAACACTTATTCCGGTTTTTTTTTTTAATTCAACCTCTGAAGGGGTGAAAAGGGGTTGCAATGTTTCTATGAGGAATATTTTATTTTTGTGGTCGGATTTGCTTCAAACTTGGTCTTAATGCTCTTTGATATAATTAATCAAACACCTATTTCGGCATTTTAAAAAATTCAATCTCTGAAGGGGTGAAAAGGGGTGAAAATAAAATATTTTATTTATGGTCGGATTTACTTGAAACTTGGTCTTAATACTCTTTAATATAATTAATCAAACACTTATTCCGGTTTTTTTTTTTAAATTCAACCTCTAAAGGGGTGAAAAGGGGTTGCAATGTTTCTATGAGGAATATTTTATTTTTGTGGTCGGATTTGCTTCAAACTTGGTCTTAATGCTCTTTGATATAATTAATCAAACACCTATTTCGGCATTTTAAAAAATTCAATCTCTGAAGGGGTGAAAAGGGGTGAAAATAAAATATTTTATTTATGGTCGGATTTACTTGAAACTTGGTCTTAATGCTCTTTGATATAATTAATCAAACACCTATTTCGGCATTTTAAAAAATTCAATCTCTGAAGGGGTGAAAAGGGGGGTTGCAACGTTCATATGAGAAATACTTTATTTGTGGTCGGATTTACTTGAAATTTGGTCTTAATACTCTTTAATATAATTAATCAAACACTTATTCCGGTTTTTTTTTTTAAATTCAACCTCTAAAGGGGTGAAAAGGGGTTGCAATGTTTCTATGAGGAATATTTTATTTTTGTGGTCGGATTTGCTTCATACTTGGTCTTAATACTCTTTAATATAATTAATCAAACACTTATTCCGGTTTTTTTTTTTAAATTCAACCTCTAAAGGGGTGAAAAGGGGGGTTGTAACGTTCATATGAGAAATACTTTATTTGTGGTCGGATTTACTTGAAACTTGGTCTTAATACTCATTGATACACTTATTTCGCATTAAAGTTGCCATATTTCAGTAAACGGATCTAAAAACTTCAAATTTAACATTAAACACGTAATTATTATCCTATCACTAAATCGTTGCAATGGTGTAAATACGCCTAAATATCGCAATGAGTGTCTTTATGAAAGTCTTTCGAGACGTTCATTACAAAAATGATATCAATTTTGAAATATAAAATGGCGACGTGACATAAAATTAAAACTCTATAGAAGTGAAACCTTAAAAGAAACAATATCTATTTCCGAAGAAACTAAACGGTTTCCCAGCAAAAGCTAGTTGCATATAAATGCAGTACACGATTCTGTGTACTAAAGTCATTTCACAAAAGTCAAGCGTTTAATTGGATCGCGATTATCACGCATTAATTCGTTACTCGAATTACAAATGTTATTTACCTTCGTCGTATCCCAAACAGGTTTCGTTTTGCAATTATTGGGACGTACGATACACATAAATAGATACTGTTTCTGGCTATTTAGGTAATTAGCGATTTACATTGTAAATTATCGATCGTAAATTATTCTGTCTCGCGTACCTAGATATTAAATACAGTTTTTATGCACTGGTCTCTTTCGAATGGTAATTCCATATTAATGAGCGTGTAATATATTTCACGCAACACGCTGTCGCGTTTGCTGCCTCCACTGTGCTTTCAATGGAAATAATATTATTATTAGCAGAGAACTCTGTTAACAAATTCGAGGTGAAATATAACGGGCAGCTAATTTTAAATGGAGAGTGTTATTGTCAACGTAGATTTTGCGATCTAATATTTTAGTTAACAAATTATGAATACCAGATTCAAAGACAAAGACACGACGAATAATCTAGGAAAATATTACACTCTCCATAAACTCGATGAGCCCTGTATCTCCATAATATGCAAATCAACGTTGTCCAATTACTTTAATTAACATATAGAATACTTCTTAAAACAACGTCATTCGAAAGAAAACATTCGTTAGACAAGGTTAGATCATTACAGGAACACAGATCACTTCCGCGAACGTGATATTACGCCATGTTTGAATACAATTTCGAAAACATAAAAATTATTAATTTACATCATTCTGCTTCAGAATAGTTACGAACGATGACTGTCGAATCAACGATTGCATTGGGAATTGAGACGCAGAGAAGGAATGCGTTTCACTAACCAGATCTGCTACTCGAATAAAAAAACTCATTACCGGTGCATCAGTATGCTTTCACGATTCACGGTTCTCCGATTGCCTTATCCAATTTCAGATACCGATAATCGTACATGGAAATACAATTTTCCACGCAACCCTTAAGCGGATAAATGGTAACCGCGGAATTGCAAATACGAAAAGCAAAACGTTTCGTAAAAATGAATTCCTCTTCACGTACGATCGTGATGATATTCAATCGGTATTCTGTAAAACACTGATCGAACTAACATGGAAACAACCACTGTTTCATAAAGGAAATTCTTAGAGATCAAAACACAGTTGAGATCGTGTCAAAATTAAATTTTCAATTTTTCTTTTCGTAAAATGGTAACGAAAATTACGAGTTCAGATTTCATACTCCAAGTCACAGAACTCGTAATTATTATTTGTTAATAGTTCGATGTAATGACACTGTTCCATAAGAGGAATTCTCAGAAAACAAATCATAATCGAGAGCAGTCGAAATTAAATATTCTTTTCGTAAAATGGTAACGAAAATTATGATTTCAGATTCCATACTCCGAGTCACAGAACTCGTAATTATTATTTGTTAATAGTTCGATGTAATGACACTGATCCATAAGAGGAATTCTCAGAAAACAAATCATAATCGAGGGCAGTCGAAATTAAATATTCTTTTCGTAAAATGGAAACGAAAATTATGAGTTCAGATTCCATACTTCGAGGCATAGAATTCGTAAATATTATTTGTTAACAGTTCGATATAACGACACTGATCCATAAAGGAAATTCTTAGAGATCAAAACACAGTCGAGATCGTGTCAAAATTAAATTTTCAATTTTTCTTTTCGTAAAATGGTAACGAAAATTGTGAGTTCAGATTCCATACTCCGAGTCACAGAACTCGTAATTATTATTTGTTAATAGTTCGATGTAATGACACTGTTCCATAAGAGGAATTCTCAGAAAACAAATCATAATCGAGAGCAGTCGAAATTAAATATTCTTTTCGTAAAATGGTAACGAAAATTATGAGTTCAGATTCCATACTTCGAGGCATAGAATTCGTAAATATTATTTGTTAACAGTTCGATATAACGACACTGATCCATAAAGGAAATTCTTAGAGATCAAAACACAGTCGAGATCGTGTCAAAATTAAATTTTCAATTTTTCTTTTCGTAAAATGGTAACGAAAATTACGAGTTCAGATTTCATACTCCAAGTCACAGAACTCGTAATTATTATTTGTTAACAGTTCGATGTAATGACACTGTTCCATAAGAGGAATTCTCAGAAAACAAATCATAATCGAGAGCAGTCGAAATTAAATATTCTTTTCGTAAAATGGTAACGAAAATGATGAGTTCAGATTCCATACTTCGAGGCATAGAATTCGTAAATATTATTTGTTAACAGATCGATATAACGACACTGATCCATAAAGGAAATTCTTAGAGATCAAAACACAGTTGAGATCGTGTCAAAATTAAATTTTCAATTTTTCTTTTCGTAAAATGGTAACGAAAATTACGAGTTCAGATTTCATACTCCAAGTCACAGAACTCGTAATTATTATTTGTTAATAGTTCGATGTAATGACACTGATCCATAAGAGGAATTCTCAGAAAACAAATCATAATCGAGAGCAGTCGAAATTAAATATTCTTTTCGTAAAATGGTAACGAAAATTATGAGTTCAGATTCCATACTTCGAGGCATAGAATTCGTAAATATTATTTGTTAACAGATCGATATAACGACACTGATCCATAAAGGAAATTCTTAGAGATCAAAACACAGTTGAGATCGTGTCAAAATTAAATTTTCAATTTTTCTTTTCGTAAAATGGTAACGAAAATTATGATTTCAGATTTCATACTCCAAGTCACAGAACTCGTAATTATTATTTGTTAATAGTTCGATGTAATGACACTGTTCCATAAGAGGAATTCTCAGAAAACAAATCATAATCGAGGGCAGTCGAAATTAAATATTCTTTTCGTAAAATGGAAACGAAAATTATGAGTTCAGATTCCATACTTCGAGGCATAGAATTCGTAAATATTATTTGTTAACAGTTCGATATAACGACACTGATCCATAAAGGAAATTCTTAGAGATCAAAACACAGTCGAGATCGTGTCAAAATTAAATTTTCAATTTTTCTTTTCGTAAAATGGTAACGCAAATTGTGAGTTCAGATTCCATACTCCGAGTCACAGAACTCGTAATTATTATTTGTTAATAGTTCGATGTAATGACACTGTTCCATAAGAGGAATTCTCAGAAAACAAATCATAATCGAGAGCAGTCGAAATTAAATATTCTTTTCGTAAAATGGTAACGAAAATTATGAGTTCAGATTCCATACTTCGAGGCATAGAATTCGTAAATATTATTTGTTAACAGTTCGATATAACGACACTGATCCATAAAGGAAATTCTTAGAGATCAAAACACAGTTGAGATCGTGTCAAAATTAAATTTTCAATTTTTCTTTTCGTAAAATGGTAACGCAAATTGTGAGTTCAGATTCCATACTCCGAGTCACAGAACTCGTAAATATTATTTGTTAATAGTTCGATGTAATGACACTGTTCCATAAGAGGAATTCTCAGAAAACAAATCATAATCGAGAGCAGTCGAAATTAAATATTCTTTTCGTAAAAATGGTAACGAAAATTATGAGTTCAGATTCCATACTTCGAGGCATAGAATTCGTAAATATTATTTTTTAACAGTTCGATATAACGACACTGATCCATAAAGGAAATTCTTAGAGATCAAAACACAGTCGAGATCGTGTCAAAATTAAATTTTCAATTTTTCTTTTCGTAAAATGGTAACGCAAATTGTGAGTTCAGATTCCATACTCCGAGTCACAGAACTCGTAATTATTATTTGTTAATAGTTCGATGTAATGACACTGTTCCATAAGAGGAATTCTCAGAAAACAAATCATAATCGAGAGCAGTCGAAATTAAATATTCTTTTCGTAAAATGGTAACGAAAATTATGAGTTCAGATTCCATACTTCGAGGCATAGAATTCGTAAATATTATTTGTTAACAGTTCGATATAACGACACTGATCCATAAAGGAAATTCTTAGAGATCAAAACACAGTTGAGATCGTGTCAAAATTAAATTTTCAATTTTTCTTTTCGTAAAATGGTAACGCAAATTGTGAGTTCAGATTCCATACTCCGAGTCACAGAACTCGTAAATATTATTTGTTAATAGTTCGATGTAATGACACTGTTCCATAAGAGGAATTCTCAGAAAACAAATCATAATCGAGAGCAGTCGAAATTAAATATTCTTTTCGTAAAAATGGTAACGAAAATTATGAGTTCAGATTCCATACTTCGAGGCATAGAATTCGTAAATATTATTTTTTAACAGTTCGATATAACGACACTGATCCATAAAGGAAATTCTTAGAGATCAAAACACAGTCGAGATCGTGTCAAAATTAAATTTTCAATTTTTCTTTTCGTAAAATGGTAACGCAAATTGTGAGTTCAGATTCCATACTCCGAGTCACAGAACTCGTAATTATTATTTGTTAATAGTTCGATGTAATGACACTGTTCCATAAGAGGAATTCTCAGAAAACAAATCATAATCGAGAGCAGTCGAAATTAAATATTCTTTTCGTAAAATGGTAACGAAAATTATGAGTTCAGATTCCATACTTCGAGTCACAATTCATCTCAATCGAAAGAAAAACTGCATTTCGATGTAACTGTCGACAACGATGACTTTCGATGATCAATTTTCGCAAATCAACGCATTTGCAGGCAACAATTAGACATCGATTCTCCCGCGAGTGATGAAAATTGCGTGTCATTCGATGAACAAAGAACGTAAACGTTGCAACGGAAGGGGACACGCTCGGTTAATGTGTCGCTGATGACGATTCTCGCAGAGGATCCGTGTGTAATTATAGTACGAAGAATAACACCAGCTGCAAGGCCGTACACGCGTTTAGACTTTTGTTCCACGAACGAATCCCCATGATTTCACTTCGATCGTTGTCACAGTTCCTTTGTTCCGGTTCCGGCCGGTTGCCACATCCTGTCCAAAATATAGTTTCGCTTTCCTACTAGATTCAATGTCAATTTTCGTGAATTAGTTTCCAAACGGGTCCATTTACCTTCCCGAGTGACCATTTTCTATAAATTTCTGGATCCTAGCTTTCAAAAAGTATATAATATATCATCTCCATTTTTTATTTTATACTGTTTTTTATTCTGACAACACGAGACTCGATGTGATTTTAAAAGCGACTCGTATTGCTCAGTCTTGAGGTATTTAACGATTCCAGTCTCGATGAGGGACCTCTTCAAAAAAATTCATACTCCTTTGCGTTAATAGTTTTTTTAAAAGAATAATCACCTCGTGAAACAAAGAATTTTTTATCAGAATCTAGCTTATGTTTTTCAAAGAACTTGACACTGATATGCATTGTGTAAAATAAGTACCCGGTCTGTGTATCGACAGGTAAAGCTCAGAGACAATTGCAAACGCTTCAACAATATACAAAGTTCCCTCTAGTTTTCCCAACTAGGGGAAAAATTATAATGGAAGATTTTGGAGATCAAAATGAGACGACAATCAAGAATAGTGATCGATCGAGGCTTCCGGGAACTTATTTTACACAATGTATAGCAACCGAGGGATTGGTCGAGCGCTTGTGAGAACGCGAGCCCTCTGGCGGCGAGCATGGGAGGCGACGCCACGTGATTTTAATTTTCAACGTTTCCAATTAAGAATCGTGTGCTTTCGCAGAAGACGAAACAACTGAATACAATGTTGCCTATTTACACACAAAAATTTGTTTCGATGCATGCACTGTGGGGTTTGAAAATGAGAAATTCCACTTATTTTACAGAATGTATGAATGCCAGGTTTTTGACAGGACACATTTATGCAGAAAATTTTTTCCACCCCAGTGTGCCATTTCAGAGTTAAAATACACCGTGTTCTCTTATTAACCCTTTGCACTCCGAATTATATTCCAATTTTGTTACCAGCGGCTCCCAATGCTTTTAAGTGTTTTATTTGAAATTTACCTGTTAAAATAAGTGTTTTATTTACACTGTTGTTGTATTTTGTAATTTTCAAATGTATGATATCTGTCTGAAGGAGCTACTGAGATAAAAATTGATGTCGACATAGGAGTGCAAAGGATTAACACTGTTTTTCATTCGTTTCTCCGAGACGAAACGACGCGATGATACTTTTTTTTTATTTCAGGGGCCGTAAACTCGCCTCAAATACTCCTGAACAGCGGTATCGGGCCGCGTAAGGAGCTGAACGACGTTGGAGTCGCTGTTACTCACGACCTGCCAGGTGTTGGAAGAAATCTACATAATCATGTCGCCTACACGCTCGTCTTCACAATTAACGACACCGACACCGCGCCGCTGAATTGGGCCACCGCGATGGAGTACCTGCTCTTCAGAGATGGTCTGATGTCTGGCACAGGCAAGTACCTAAGTAATCCATTAATTAATTATTACCATTATTCTATTTCATCATGAATATTACGTTGGATCTCGAACACCTCCGCAGATACGGTTTGCAGATCTCTGTACATTTAATTTGTATATTTGGTCGTACCACTCGAGGGGGATTGAAAATGATAGAATCGTAATAAACGTAATACACGTTACGTTTTGTGTACATATTTACGGTTGCGTACGATAGAGCTCGAACTTTATATGTACTACGGGTATCGATCTGCGTTGAAATAGGTGGTTGATACACTGCGAGTCGCAAAAACAAAGCACGTATTCACCGAACTTTCTTTTTTATTGATTCTGTTTACACCGTTTGCTGTGCAGCGTAGCGAATGGTCACGCACACGTTGAAACCAGAAAAACATCCGACGCCGTGTACACGCCCATTGATACAACGGCCCGAAGGTACTATTTTTCTCTTGCAAACAATGGTCTACCGTCGATAACAGATTTTACCTGGGCGATTCAGTTATGAAAAAATGGTAACGTTGAATGTGTACTCTACGTTAGAGGCTTGTAAGCGAACGGGAGATATCGAACATGAGCGAATACCGTGGCGCGTAACAGTGAAACACGTTTTATTCGAACGAACGTACGACGATAAAAATTTTATGAAAATTGTAAAACGATCGTGATATTTAAGACTATCGAGGCTTCGAGGTTTTGTATATTTAAAGGGTCCCGAATATCCCAGTCGACTTTGATTTTTTTACCGATATTCATTCTGATTGGCTTACTTCACTCACTGGCTGTACTTACAACGTTCAGAATACGCAAAATTAGATAATTTACAAACCGACATTTTAACAAAAGTAATTTTTTATTCGATATTAGAGAAATACTTAGTGTTAATCTACAATTTTCTGGATTTTCAAAAGAAATTTAACATTTGTGATAATATTATTGAAATGAGTAATAAGAATAAAAATTGTACGAACAATAATGATATTACAAATGTTAAATTTGTTTTGCAGAGTCAAAAGATTGTAGATAATGTTAATTTTATAGTAGGATTCTATTTTAGGTGACAGATTATTAAAAAATTACTTTATTTTTGATTTTGAATTTTTTTCTCGAAAATGCGCAGGATTTCGGGGTGATGTCTATTCACCAAAAATGATTGTAATTGATCCCTGCAACAGAAAATAATTTTTCCAGAACGATTTGAAAGTTTTTTTTTCCGTCGAAAAATTTCACACCTTCTCGAATTTTTTTCTAGAAAGTGGGTAGGAATTCGGCAGTATGTCTATTCACCAAAAATGATTATAATTGACCCCTGCAACAGAAAATAATTTTTCCAGAACGATTTGAAATTTTTTTTTCCATCGAAAAAGTTCACACCTTCTCGAATTTTTTTCTAAAAAGTGGGTAGGATTTCGGTGGTATGTCTATTCACCAAAAATGATTGTAATTGCCCCTCGTAACCGAAAATAATTTTTCCAGAAGGATTTGAAACTTTTCAATTTTCAGGGTAACAGACAGTTATGATCAGACATTATACTTTCAGTAATGAATTTTTTTCTCGAAAATGGGTAGGATTTCGGGGGTATGTGTATTCACCAAAAATGATTGTAATTAACCCCAGTAACTAAATATAATTTTTTTAGTATCATTTTAAATATTTTAATTTCGTCTAAAAATTTCAGTTCCTATTCGAATTTTTTTCCAGAAAGTGGGTAGGAATTCGAGGGTATGTGTATTCACCAAAAATAATTGTAATTGCCCCTCGCAGACGAAAATAATTTTTCCAGAATGATTTGTAATTTTTTAATAACTTTTTGACGAAGCCTCAGTCAAGAAATTGATATTCTTAATTTTCGTTTTATTTCTAGACTCTCCCATTAAGCCAAATACCCTGTATACATAGTAGGTACATTTGTCTCAAGAACAATAAATGCAACGCATCTGTTTACCTACATAGATCGCGTCCTACCTTATCGGCGCGATTTTCAATTATTCTTAACAGACAATACCAAGTATTTTATTTCCTTTTTTACTCTACATGCAAATATCAAATAGAAAATTCTCTGTTTGTCAAATGACATAAGCCCAAGAAAATCGGGTCGCGTTTACGAAACCGGCGGTAAATCGCTCGCGAAGACGATCATTCGTCGAAAAAGGCGCGACGTAAAACGGCGCAGAAAGGGCAGACTCGTCGAATCGGTGTCTCGTCCGACACCGATCGATCCGAAGAGCCCCTATGCAGTTATCCGGTGAAAGCGCGTTGCACAATGATCCAGATCGTGTTTGCCGATCGACGATGATGCAACCGCATTACGATCGCACTGTTTAACCGTCATTCGACCCGTAGCCGATTTAGAGCCAAGCCGCTCGAGGGTTCCGCGAACTGTTCCAGCCACCCTGTCGCGCTAGGTCGCCGTTTTACGAGCTGACAACGCCAGCCGCACGACGGATCAATTATCCTCGCGGGACCCGCATCGACCGGTTCACCTGGCTACGGAGTCGGATCAATTAGCGTTCGATTCGCGACGCCATTAGCCCGACAGTTCCGGTATTTGTTGCTGCGACTAACAACCGTCGCGTTACCCGCGAATCGTTTTCGATTCGACCGAGTACCGCGCGACAAACAACTCCGCGCTTTGAGTCCTTTACGGGACGTTAATTGCACGCTGGTAATTACCGCGAGCAAAGAAACACGTGATTTTTAGCTGGAACACGCCACGCCACGCCATTATTTGTGAATTTCGAACGTTCAAGAAAATGTGTATTGGATCTTTTTTTTTACGAGATGCCTCCATATTCATCCTCGTTATTATTTGCAAGTATATATCAAGAGTTTTGTTTTCGTTTTTTCGTTGCTAAAAATCGAAGAATTACACTAAAAAAATTACTACTCGTTTGTTACTTGTTACTTATGTGTACATTTTTTTTAACGGAATGTCTCTGGATCCTTCTGCTACATTATCGTTATTTATAATCCTTCCTTGTTGTTATTGCAAGTATATATCAAAAGTAAAAGTCCAGAAAAAATTACTACTCGTTTGTTACATCGCGAGTTTTGGAGAGAGACTATGGAGAGACCATGGAAGCAGTAAAGATCATTTATAAAAATTAGCACCTGTCGAGAGGCCTGGAGATTTTAGTTTGAAAGACGAACTACGTTCTGGTGGCAAATTGCCATAAATGGAAATTTAACGATTCTCGAACGCGTGTCGTCGAAAACCCTTCGTCGCCTTCAAACGGTTAATCCGACGTAACTGTTATTTTTCACTTTCTACGGAGACGAGTTTCACTCGAAATACCCACTGGTGTCCCTTCTTTGATCCAACCGACGTTTAATTGGTGTCGGAAGCCCTTTATGGTCCGATTCTATCGTTTTCCGCGCATTTAAATCGTCAACAAAGCCGCGTAAAGAACGACCATTCGCGTAAAAACAGTCTCAAACACGCGCTTTCACTTGGTGCTTGATAGTTAGAGCAGAGGATTACTACACGTAGACCAAACTCGTCCAAACGGGGGACCAAATCCGGAAGGGACATCATTCCTGACGATTATGTTGCCCCGAATGACGATCGTTTGTTGGACCAAACCAAACGGACGTACACATTACTTAAAAAGCAACAGCTTTTCTACTACGGGACGTTAAACAATTTCTTCAGCCTCTTCTATGCGCTTCTTTGCAAATTCCTTTCACTTATCTATTCAGAATGAAATACAACTTCGTACGTTTACGACATGGCTTCTATGTTATTAGCGAAGGTTCGTAAACATTTTCCGAGTGTTTGAGACGAAGCAAAATAAAATAGCAACTAATTGGAAAACCCAGGAAGAACGCGTTTTGAAAAGATGAGACGAATCTTTATGGTTTTTGTGAGCTGAGGCTAAGAAGCTCCATAAATAAGACACAAGCGTGAGATCAGAGAATATTAAACTTGTTCTCGAACATTACTTAACGCGATAAATGTCTCAGATCTGTTCCTATTAAATCGAGCAAGTTTCCTTTCGAGGTATCTCCTGCTCGAAAAGCGTAGCGTTCGCGACAGTTTAACTCGTTTGAATCGATATTAACTTTCCGTATCGATATGCATAGATATACACGTTCGTGTCCCTTTTACAGAACTCGATCGTTCACGGACCAAAGTTCTTTTTTAGGCAGAGAACTGGCTCGAACGTGTAAATCTTCGAGGAAGCTCGTTTTTATTGCAATCCGTTTTTCTCAATTTTCCGCATTCAAGGAGAACGCACCGCAAGTCGCGCTATTACGCGCGATTTTCCAGTTACTTGAAGAAAGGAAAGTTGGGATGTAAAACAGCAGAACGTAACATAAACCGTTTGTTACAATGCTATTATGAAATACTATCGAGTATACAAAGTGTTTCCTTTATCTCGTTTTGTCGGGTTGGTACATCTTTATATACCGGGGGGAAATTTTAATGGGGGATTCTGGAGGCCAAAATAAGACGAAAATCAAGAATATCAATTTGTTGATGGAGGCTTTGTTAAAAAGTTATTAACGTTTAAAGTTTCGCCGGTACTGAATTTTTTTCTAGAAATTGGCTAGGATTTCAGGGATATGTCTATTCACCAAAAATGATTGTAATTGACCCCCTCAATCAAAAATAATTTTTTCAGGATGATTTGAAATTTTTTAATTTTACCGAAAATTTGTCCATCTTCCTGAATTTTTTTCTCGAAACTGCGTTGGATTTCGAGGGTATGTCTATTCACCAAAAATGATTGTAATTGACCCCCTCAATCAAAAATAATTTTTTCAGGATGATTTGAAATTTTTTAATTTTACCGAAAATTTGTCCATCTTCCTGAATTTTTTTCTCGAAACTGCGTTGGATTTCGAGGGTATGTCTATTCACCAAAAATGATTGTAATTGACCCCCTCAATCAAAAATAATTTTTTCAGGATAATTTGAAATTTTTTAATTTTACCGAAAATTTGTCCACCTTCCTGAATTTTTTTCTCGAAAATGCGCAGGATTTCGGGGATATGTCTATTCACCAAAAATGATTGTAATTGACCCCCATAACCGAAAATAATTTTTCCAGAATGATTTGAAATTTTTTAATTTAATTGTTAATAACTTTTTAACGAAGCCTCCATCAACAAATTGGTATTCTTGATTTTCGTCTTATTTTAGCCTCTAGAATCCCCCATTAAAATTAAAAGAAACAGACCCCTGCTTTAAACGTCGGGATATTGGGTAGTCGATCGAGCGCTTGCGAGAGAAACGGTCCCTCTAGCGGCGAGTACCGGAGGGCGATGTACCCCACAATATATTTGTGTTGTTCAAAGTGTTAATAGCGAGTTTCAGATGGACAATTTTTCCTCCTTGATCGACCCAACATTACCCAACATTAGCTGTTTCCTATTTACAAATTTTTTGATGAATTGTCCAACAGGAATCTCCGAGGTGACCGCGATGGTGAACACGAAATTCGCGAATCCGAAGGAGGACCACCCGGACATTCAATTAATTTTCGGCGGTTATCTGGCGGACTGTGCGGAAACTGGGATGGTCGGGGAGTCAAAGGGCGCGAACCGTACCATCTACGTGATACCAACCTACCTCCATCCGAAAAGCCGCGGCTACCTTCGTCTAAGGAACAACGATCCCCTTTCAAAGCCGTTGATCTACCCGAAGTATCTGAACCACCCCGACGACGTGGCCAGCCTCGTCGAGGGTATTAAGTTTAGTATCAAGTTGGCGGAGACCGGAGCTCTCAGCAGGTACGATCACACGCATCCTCTCTGCAGATATAATGCACTCATTAATATCGATTCCTTCTACTTTTAACGCTTTTAAACGCAGGTAAATAGCATCGATCAAACTATCTTCTGATCATCGTTATAGGGGGACCTTGCGTTACTCTAACAAGAGAAATTTAATGTACCATAGAGAGATGACTTTACTTGATGGCTAGGCACGCTGATTTTAACCGTAACGTAATACTAACCTGTTCTCACACGCATCGTCATTATTGGGCTGAGTCGATCGCTACAATTCCCATCACGTGGCGAAGGACTAGATATAGGAATCGTCAACGAGATGGTAGGCCACAAACGAGGCATACCAGTAGACCATAAACGAATTTTTAAGAAAAATTGACAGGTGCCTAATTCCTCAAAAAAAAAGATTTCAAATCGTTCTGGAAAAATTATCTTCGGTTGCGGAGGTCAATTACAATCTTTTTTGGTGGATAGACATACCCCCGAAATCCTAACCGTTTTCGAGAAAAAAATTCTTGAGCCGAAGAAATATATTGAATGAAAGGTAGCCCTAATGATGAGTACAGGAGATGACACCATAGTATCAAGGAAGTACGGGAGGTGGCGCCACAATAGCAAGACAGAGTAGGATAGAACCATAGTGGTCGAGATTAGCCATAAGTTCAGAGTGTTAACCATAAAAAATGTTTCCTAGCCAAATGGTGCCTAGCCAACCAGTCGTCTCTCTATGGTAGCATAAACTGTGTCAATGGTTAGCTTATTTTCGCGTTGTAGGTATGGTTTCCAGTTGGATCGTACGCCGGTGAAGAACTGCGAGCACCTGAAGTTCGGCTGCGACGCTTACTGGGAATGCGCAGTGAAACACGAGACGTCGCCGGAGAACCATCAGGCGGGTTCCTGTAAAATGGGCCCACCAGACGACCCTATGGCGGTGGTGGACAACCAATTGAGAGTCAGAGGGGTAAGAGGGGTACGTGTAGCTGACACCAGCATCATGCCGATGGTGGTTTCTGGAAATACGAACGCACCCGCCATCATGATCGGCGAACGAGCCGCTGACTTCATGAAGAGGACCTGGATAGGCTGAACCAGGCTCCTTTCACGGATAGAGGTACATTCCGGGACCGATACGCCATCGTTCGTCGAAAGAAATTTCTAATCGATTACCGTGTAACGTCGAACTCGAGCAGACGTTCGGTTTTGTTATTTTATCGTCTGGCTACTGTGCAGTGAATATTCGAAATATCGTGGACCAGTGTAGAACCGTAGAAATATCCTCAGCTATCCTAACACGGTGATTCTAATGTAGTTGTGGCTACCACGGAAAGATCTTTAATGAATTAATTACGTTTAATCTCGTTCGTATTGTATTTTCTTTAAAAGCCATTTACGATGTTTTGAGGTTAGTCGAATGTTGCGTGAGGCTCAGATGGCGCTGTGCGCATTCAATTACTGCGGGGGGGGGAATGAACACGAAACGAGTACAGTGAATACGTCTGTAAGTGTCGCGAAGTTTAGATAACGTCGCGTTCTCGGTTACCCTTATTGCTCGAGTTGTAACAATAAGAGTAACTGAAATAAGATCATATCGAGTGAAGAAACAGTAAATAGTAATGCTATTACGTTCGAAGTGTAAACGGAAAACAGGGAATGGTAATTTTTAATTATTTTACAGCGTATAACTGATTTTGTTTGTCGCAACTGGGACTACAGAACTGTCGAATCATAAAAGGTTAAAAAATAAAAATATCCATTTAAAAAAAGGGTTATAAAATAAAGATTTCCTCGCTTGAAAAAAAATGTTACCATCCTAAAACTTAACAATGTTATATGCAAAAAAATATCCGTGTAAAAAAAAAGGGTTATAAAATAAAAATGGCCACCAGTTAAATGAAATGTTTCTTCCCTTACAATGATGTGTAAGGCTATTACTAACAATTTTATTCGATATTTAAGGAAACTATTTTTAATTTTCCGTGATTAGACTGACAAAGTCAGTAACAGGTTGTTCGAGAATGACTGCAAAACAGATCCAAGGTACGTAGATCTTGTCACGTTAAAAAACTCGAAAAAATGTTCCTACTTCCGTTATTTGTTAATAACTATTCAAGTCATGAGTCTGTACTTTTGTATTGAACTCCAAAACTTCATAATTTAATTACAGGAAAAAAGAAATTAGTAAATAATCGAGGTGTGGTTCGATTTGTAGAAATGGAGGGAATATGTTATCTCTGTCTTTGTCGCGCAACTATTGCCCTCTCTTTCTAGTCTCGTTCTATTGTGCCGCCATCTACGGCAGAACGTCCAAATTTGTCGAAAAAAATTAAATCTCTAGCTCTCCGGTCGTTAAGGTAGAGTGACGCTGTTGGCACATACGATCGAAAAATATTTTCAATTATTAATATTACCACAGACGAGGCACATTAGTAGACGTTAAATCCAATGTATTTTTTCGACCCATTTCTCTGGGGCTCTAGAGCATCATTAACATTTCCTTGTTACTGACAACGTTATTAACGGGCTATAGAAGGAGATCATAACACTTCTTATGGTAGGAAATGAAATTGCAGAAATTTTTGCTATGCTTAGCGTGTGTGAGTGGAGGTTAATAACGTGCATATTTTTTAACCAGTGTGGAAAATCTTGACTTGATTTACACGGACCATTTTACAAACTGAAGGTAAGCTTACGTTTGTCAACAGTTTAGCCAAAAAAACTTGTAATTTTTTTTGTACCAAACATAATGGTAAAATCAGGACGTTGCATCGAAAGATTTATTATTTAGTCTTTTTCATTATCTAGTTAATTAATATTTACGATACATTTCTTTGTTATCTTTGCGTTGGGAACACATTTATGCAATTGCGATAAACTAAGCACGGGTAATAAAAAAGACACGATTACGCTCGAATATTTGTAGAAAATATTTGAATTGCTAAATGCATATACGTTCGTACGTGTATGTAACATCGTCGGTGTATTTAACCAACGACAACTACTTGCATTCGTTACATTTATACGTGCACACATTTCACACATTGTTGCTTACTGAATTTATCTCTTTGACCCAGTTCGGATTTAGCCTTATCCTGAAATATTTCGCCAGTTAAAGAAATCCACTAAGGTTATGTTCCATTATTCCTCTGTTCGAAAGAGAAAGAGTCAAATACGCACGAAATTGATCACATGGTGATATAGTTTCCAGTATTCTTGGAATACAGATTTCTTAGAGCAGTCAATATTTACACAAAGCCATTTAAATTATTTGTTCGTATCTTCCTTTAATGCTGAAACTCGCAATTAGCGCAGTTGATCGATTTTGTGAGGATAAATCCTTAGAACTAAGAAGGGAAATATGGAAGTAGTTAAAAAAAATTGAATTTTGTGTATTTTGTGTGCATTTATTTCTCATGCATATGATTACAATATTTCAAAGTCACGCGTGCCAAGTTCTTATACACCAAGTATAATAGTATTATTTAAATACACTCACACGCAAGAAACACTTTTTCAAATATACATATGTTTCGTTTCGTCGTCAGTATAGCTTTGCCATAGTTATTCCTAGGTTTCATTTGCATTCATTATCATCAAACTTAAGCTACGTGTAATTGTAAAAGACTAGACTCTTCATTCTTCTTCCTTTTCATCCAGTACCAGGAATATCCATATTTTGTTCAAATCGTCGTTTACGAGCGTTCGTATCTCGAAGTTATTATCAATAACTTCGCCTGCGTTTATTGCACTTATACATCTTTCGAATCTTCTGAATATCTCTTTTGCTGAATCCATCCCTCTGACCCAGTTCGATTTTGGACACGCCCTGAAACATATTCATCGATAAAATTTAACCACCGGATTTTTTACGCACAATCCCACAACGAGCAAATGTTATTTAGCGAGTCCTTCAAATTAATTGGTTCCCTCCTGGGTCAGAGAACCGTCTGAACTTAGAAAGCTACAGACCTTGATAATTTCAACTTGATATATTACTCACTCTTGGTACAATGGTGGGCTGACCGTTCCTGGAAAACGCGTTCGCCGAATAATGCATTACGCTCCCGTAATCGTATCCAACGCCAAAGGCGTCTGTAGTCTGTCTCGAGGCTTTCTCAAAATTCCCAGAATGACCTACACAAACAAGATCAAATTAAACCGAATTAGCCGTTTAATAACCACCAAAAATAGAACATTAGAACTTCCATAAAAAGGTTAAATCACTTTATAGTCCCATAGAAAAATAACATAATATTAGCAATCGTCGTAAAATTTCACACCTTCTCGATTTTTTTTCTCGAAAGTGCGTAGGATTTCGGGGGTATGTCTATTCACCAAAAATGGTTGTATTTGACCCCAGAACCTAGAAATAATTTTTTTAGAACGATTCAAAATTTTTGGTTTTTCACCGAGAGCACCGAAAAATTTCACACCTTCCTGATTTTTTTTCTCGAAAGTGGATAGGATTTCGGAGGTATGTGTATTCACCAAAAATGATTGTAATTGACCCCCGCAACTGAAAATAATTTTTCCAGAACGATTTGAAATTTTTGAATTTATTTGTTAATAACTTTTTAACGAAGCCTCTATCAACAAATTGGTATTCTTGATTTTCATTTTATTTTGGCCTCTAGAATCACCCATTAAAATTTTTCCCAGGGGTGACCGAGCACCCTGTATACATATAGCAACCGAGTTGGTCGAGCGCTTGTGAGAGCGTGACCCCTCTGGTGGCGAGCATTGGAGGCGACTCCATAAGATCATCAGAGTTTAATTATCGCTAACCATACTAATTATCAATGAACATTTGTTCCTTCGAACCCCATCAACGCGTCTCTTACCATTCAAGATGTTGTTCCAATGAATCGAGACGAAGTCGTCCCGCTCGTATCTGCTCTGTTCGTGCAAAAAGCCAATGGCGTGCATCAGTTCGTGTATCACGGTACCCTTTTTCACCAGACACCCCGGAACCTGAAGATTCACGTCCTGTCGGCCACCGAGCCGCCCCACGCTGCTCCAACAACCGCTATTCCCGGCCGTGATCCTGACATAATCGCTTTCCTCGCCATTGTAAGGCTTGAACTTGATGCACGTGTATTTGTGGTAGTCGTTCATCGCGTCGTTAATTAATTTTCGCTGTTGTGCATCTGGAATACGATTCGACCCCGGACAAATGTACACTTTTCTCAAATTCGATTGTCAAAAAAGTTTAATGGGAGATTCCAGAGGCCAAAATAAAACGAAACTCAAGAATACCAATTTTTGTATCGAGGCTTCGTTAACAAGTTATTAACGTTTAATGTTCCGCCTGTGGAACGGCGATCCGCGAACAGCTGCTAGTGGTACTCACTCAGAGAACTGTAAGGCTGTCGATACGTCGGTAAGTAGAGCTTCTCGCGTTGAGCGAGAACCACTGTCGCGCGCACGCAGCTGTGCGCAGGTTGCCTATCCACAGGCGCAACTTTAAACGTTAATATCTTTTCAACGAAGCCTCGATCAACAAATTTGTATTCTTGATTTTCGTCTTATTTTGGCCTCTAGAATCTCCCATTAAAATTTTTCCCCGTATTTAGAATAATAGAAGAATAATAAAAGAGTTTTTATCAGACATAATTATTAACTTACGAAGATGTTTGCATAGAATTTCAGAAAGATTTATTATTTAATAAAATTTTACTTGTTACTTGTACCGGTTAGAGTTTTCAGGAGGTTGCTTTAAGATATTCGAGTAAAACAAGCCATAATTATTGTTTCACGCGAACGAACGAAACGTAAAGATATTCTTTGCCAGCTCGTTGTTCGAAAAGTAATGTAATGTCGCTTACTGAAGTAGGGGCTGAGCATGTAAGGTACGACGCCGCCCGGCCATCGAGCGGATTCCGCTTTCAGGCCATTTTTCTCCAACTGCGGCGGAAACAAAATGTCACCCTCCGCGTAGCTGCCCAATTCTTCTGGATTCCGGTCCCAGCCCTCGTGCCAGTTAGCCACGATCTCCCCGGTCGCGTTGTCCGGCACTCTGTAGAGAGCCGCGCCAAAGTGTTGCAGATGAGCGATCACCCCGTCGGGACTTTCCACGGAATTGTCCAGAACGTCGCGACGATGGAACGGCCATGCGTGCGCGACGGAGAAGAAACTGAACACGAGGAAGGGAACGATCGTGCAACGACTCATGGCGTGCTTCTTTCAGACAAAGAGTGCTCGAGAGTGAAATGGATCCAGTATTCGAAGCAATTCCACTGACGAAAATCGACCGTGTCTTCCAGATTTTATACGCAACCGGTGAACCCCACCCGTGGATCAGCTCAATGCTTCCATTGCGGAAACGATCAGGGTCGGTCACTGATAACCGTGGACTTTGGGTAACAGGAAGTTGAGATTTACCAGTTTGATTCCTCGAAGGCTCCCACGGCTCACCGGGTACCACTCTATCAGTCTCGAGCGTACGATTATCGTCAAAGCGTATAATAGGAGTTGGCCAACCATCGAAAAAAATCTGAATCTTAAATGTCTAAAAATCTACATCGCAATAAGGGGCACCAGCGAACAAATGTCAAGAATTTTTTTGTAAATCATTTATTGCTACCTATAATATGTGATATTATCAATTAGAAGTTAGAATAGTGCCCACATAAGTGACCAAGCTCGGGACCGGCGTTGGTCATTTATGTGGGCATGGCTAAACCATATATAGGGTGGGAAAAATTTTAATGAGAGATTCTAGAGGCCAAAATAAGACGAAAATCAAGAATACCAATTTATTGATGGAGGCTTCGTTAAAAAGTTATTAACGTTTAAAGTTCCACCCGTACTGAATTTTTTTCTCGAAAATGCGCAGGATTTCGAGGGTATGTCTATTCACCAAAAATGATTGTAATTGACCCCCTCAATCAAAAATAATTTTTTCAGGATAATTTGAAATTTTTTAATTTTGTCGAAAATTTGTCCATCTTCCGGAATTTTTTTCTCGAAACTGCGTTGGATTTCGAGGATATGTGTAATGATAAAAAATGATTGTAATTGACCCCCGCAACAGAAAATAATTTTTTTAGAACGATTTGACAATTTTTTTTTTCGTCGAAAAATTTAGTCACCTAATTAGATTTTCGGTAAGGAATTTTTTTCTCAAAAGTGCGTAGGATTTCGGGAGTATGTGTAATGATAAAAAATGATTGTAATTGACCCCCACAACAGAAAATAATTTTTTTAGAACGATTTGAGAAATTTGTTTTTGTCGAAAAATCTCTGCACCTACTCGATTTTTTTTCTCGAAAGTGGGTAGGATTTCGGGGGTATATCTAATGACAAAAAATGATTGTAATTGACCCTCTCAACCGAAAATAATTTTTCCAGATCGATTTTTTAATTTTTAAATTTTTAAATATAATTGTTAATAACTTTTTAAGGAAGCTTCAGTCGAGAAATTGATATTCTTGATTTTCGTCTTATTTTGGCCTCTGGAATCTTCCATTAAAATTTTTCCCATGGTTGGCCGAACACCCTGTACACAATGCATCGATAACGACCGGCGTCAAGTTACACTCGACACGCTCGATGTTCGAAGCCGTTTGACTTCTAAGAATCGGTGGGTAACTCTGGTCATTTATGTGGGCAAAAATCCGGTCACTTATGTGGGCACTACCGTACTTTTTTTTCGACTTAAACTCGCGCGATTTCGGTATGTAAATTTCATTCTGATCGAAAAGGTGAAACACGTTTACGAACCCGGAAGCAAATTGTCAAAGTTAAAACCCTCGATGGTTAACGTTGTCGTTTGAAGTATCGAAATATTATTTACACACCTTTTTCGTACGGTCTTTCGGTGCCCGAGCGAAATTACCATCCACCTTCGCACTGTATTCAGATGCAAATCGCGCTGGACAAATCTCTGTCAACGATACGCGATCTTTCCACGGAACCTTGTCAGATCCTTCGCCGCGGCCACGGAACACCCGATAATAACGTCTTCCTTCGTATTCCACGTCGCCCGTTATGGATCATGATATTTGTTTATCGGCGAATTTATGTGAAAACCGCTTCGCGCTGAACGACGGCCATTTATATCTGTCACGTTTCCCAGCTTCTGTCGAATTTGTAATAACCGTTAATAAATCCGGCGCGAAATGAACATTTGTCATTTTACAGCAATCCGTTCGTGCATATTGCATAACATAATTAATATCTTACAAAACAGTACACACGAGTCCTCGAAGCAGAATCGCGCTAATTCGATTACGCAATTTAACTACATTGCATTTCTATTACATCGTAATTACGCAATTATATAAATTATAACCAGTACTACGTAGAATAAATCGTGGTTATCGACCGCTGGTCGATTAATCGGCTTTTGTAATCAGAACGATGTAATTACAGTGCTTTGAAGGCAGGGAATTATTTTTTTGCCCGGTAAGCGATTACTTTAATCTTAAACGGCAAATAAAACGTTGATAAAGTTTTCAAAAGTTGTACAAATTTTTATTTCTTTTCATACCGATCGGTTAACTATTATTATTCACCGATAAGGGGAACTGTATCGGGGGGGGGGGAAGAACCGTTTGAAACCAGTTCAATTGTTATCTAGTTCCGAATGCTATAGTTGAATTGCCTGAAGATAAATTTCACACGGTACCCCCCTTTTCTATTATGCGTACACGATAATTCTAACCCTAAATTCCCGAATCGCTTATACGCCGCGATTTACATTTACTAAAACTTGTGTGAATGCAATTTGTATGTAGGTCAACAGTTTCGAAGTTCGAAAATCTTTCAGTAAGTACCGAGTATCTTCTCTTAAAATCGATAACGAATATATCATTTGATTAGGAATCGATAAAACCGTACATAATTATTACCAAGTGATATTACAGTTAAGACCAATAGATTTGTAGGAAATATTTTATTGTATTGATTCAATTTATCAAATTATGTGACTCCACTGCATTAATCGTTGTTACAAAAACATATCGATTAAATGTACGCTAACTGAAATTCATATGCTGCGTAGTACGCATGAATGTTTTTCTACGGTCAGCTATACGGTCGTAGATGTCAGTACGAGCGAACACGCACGTTTTGAAGTGCGTTTCCCGGCAAATAACCTTCTAACAAAGCGAGTCAGAGTGTTTCAATATTGATAAAAGTTTATTTAACATATTTAATAATGACGCTCGATAATTCGTGGCACGTGATAAAAACTGCTGCTACGGTAAACAAGCACGAGTTGGTGTTGTCAGGTCCAGCGATTTCCGAACTGATTAAGAATAGAGGTTTCGACAAATCATTGTTTAACCTGCTACACCTGAACTATTTGAGCATAACGCAAACGTGCCTGCAAGAAGTACCAGAGGAAATCGAGAAATTACAGAATCTGACAAATTTAGTACTGCATTCGAACGAACTCGCAAAAATTCCGAGCACAATTGACAAGGTAGAGAAACTGAAGTTTCTCGATTGCTCCAGGAACAAGTTGTCCTCTTTGCCGGACGAAATTGGACGACTTTCGCAATTAACCACGATGAACTTCAGCTCGAATCTATTAAAGTCATTGCCCACCCTGATCGGTAACGTAAAACTATGCGTTCTGGATTTATCGAATAACCAATTCGAACAGTTCCCTGATGTATGTTATCCAGAATTGGTTCATCTTTCTGAGGTTTATGTTAACGGAAATCAAATAAAAGAAATCCCCGTAACTATAAATCAGCTTCCGCAATTGAAAATATTAAATGTATCAGATAATTTGATTTCAGGTAATGTTCCTTAAATGAACATAAAAAATATCACGCAATCGTTACATCTGTTTTCAAAAATTCATTATAATAAATATTCATATTGTAGCTGTACCTGGTGAACTTGCCGATTGTAATAAGCTAAAGGAATTTTTCTTGAAAGGAAACACGTTAACAGATAAAAGACTATCGAAATTAGTAGATCAGTGCCGTACTAAACAAATAATAGAATACGTAAAGTTACATTGTCCTAAAACTAGCGGTTCCACTAGTTCTAACGCTAAAGCTAAAAAAGGAAAAAAAGGACAGAAATTATCAGAATCTGAAAATAATGCTAATACGATAGATAGTTTAACGCACATGTTTAAAGTATTGAAAATAACAAACGATACCCCGTTAATTAAAATTACAAAGCACGTGAAAAACATTAGACCTTTTATAGCATCTTGCATCGTTAAAAATATGAAATTTACAGACGATAGTTTTAAGAAATTCATTCAACTTCAGACTAAATTACACGATGGAATATGCGAGAAGAGAAATGCAGCTACTATTGCTACCCACGATTTCAAATTGATCACCCCTGGTAAATATGATCTAAATAAAATGATCTGTTTAAATATACTTTATTAATATCGCATTTTATATTTAGGTGATTTAACGTATACAGCGAAACCGCCGAACGAATTAAAAATTAAACCCCTGTTGCATAATGGGTTTTTTACCGGCGCTGAACTGTTTCAAATGTTGCAAACAGAAGCTGAGAACTTGAGAAAAGAAAAAAAACGTAATGTATATTCTGGCATTCACAAGTATCTTTACTTATTAGAAGGCAAACCTCTGTTTCCTTGTTTATTGGATTCTTCGGAACAAGTTATATCGTTTCCACCAATAACTAATAGCAAAATTACGAAAATGTCAGTAGATACTGAGACAATGCTGATAGAAGTTACCAGTGCTATATCATACCAAATCTGCAGGTAAAATTTATTTAAGTCTTTTTTTTTTTTCTTTTCTAAGTTTTATGAGGGCGTAATCGCGTGATTCAAGAACTCATTGTATTAAAATTTATATATAGAATCATCTCATAAGTGTACATTTTAATGTTTGTAGCATTTACGTATCACAATTTTTATTTTCCCAACATATATTTTGTTTACAATATGATTTTATATTTTAACAGAAACGTACTTGACTACTTTTTAAAAGAATTAGTCACCCTTGGTTATGGATGTCCTACGGAGGAAAAAAGTGCTTCCAACTACCATAATTTAGTTTTAGAGCAAGTGAAAGTAGTAGATATGGACGGTAATATGAAACTGTTATACCCTTCAAGAGCAGATTTAAATTTTGAAGGCAATTCAATTACTGTACTGCGAGAGTAATAAACCACTGTGAGTAATTTAATTGTTCTACTTTTGTATAATTTGCATTTACTTTTGTTTTTTTTTATTATTATAATTCTTAAATGTTTGCTAATGTTTTTTTTTTTTTGTATAACGTAATAAACAATCTATACATCTTTGTGAAAGAATTAAATCGTGTTATTAAAATATGCAGTGTATATATGTGTATGTATATACATATACATATACATATATATATAACGCATATTTTATATAGAACTTTTCAATTATACAAATGTATATTATATATTAATCGTGGCACAATATTTTTGTACTGAGAACCTAAGACTATATATAATAACAATAACATTAAACAATGCCCCCTTAACGTTATAAACATTGGTAAATGAAAAATAAACTTTAAAAACTCGTATTACAATAATTATGTTCACACTATTATACCTTAAATGTATTCAGCAAAATAAAAAATCCACTACGAAAAATTTTACAAATTATACAGAAAGTATAATAGTCAAAAACTAATATGAAATAATACGATAACAAAATTTTTTTAATAGATACTTTATTTAAATAAAATGCCGGAAAAGAGCCTGATATATACATTTTAATAAAATTCTATCGATAAATTACAATATTCGTTACCGTTTTTACACATTAAGAAAATATTATAAATTAGGATATGAAAAACAGAAAAACGTTTTGTTATGTTAAATTATGTAATCCAAAGTTCTAGTATGTGTATGGGTGTGGTGTGTGTGTATTATTTTAGACTACGATGTTTAATTATCTCGTACGGTATATAGAATTTATCCACATGTTTAAATATCAGCGAAAAACCGCCATTTTACAGGCAGCTGACGACTGGCGCTGTCGTGTTGCGAATCATCCTATAGTAAGCCGGTGAAGATTTCTCATCTGTTTTTATAAATATTGTACTTTGTTTCGTGTACTTCGATGCAGTGCAAACAGTAAACGTTGTACAAGTGGAACATTATTCTTCATTTTAATAAGCACACTTGGTGAAAGTTTCATTCCAGAATATTTTAACAGCATGAAGAAATTCGCTCGAATTTTCTAAAGTATCCAACATGCGCGAATGTTTGAAGTGTTAACATGGCGCCGAAACATGACTGGTCATGACGGGGGAATAGGAACGAAATTTTTGAGGTTAGTTGATCATTTTGTCATTAAGTATTATCGCATCCCGTAAATTTACTATGTTTAGTTATAACAGCCCAACGAATATCATGATAGAAATACATAATGTGTACATTTAACAGAATTTTAGTGTCTAATATTGCAGAGAACACGTGTCGCATTGTATAAATTTACCCATTGTTTTTATAATGATTTAGCGAGACCTCTCGATAGTAATATCTGTTGTAAATATCACGTTTAACAAATGATATTTGCTTTGTTTGTTGCGTTGCTTATTTTTCATACGTTCGAGTGCAGAAATCATATATTCCATAGATTGAAGTAATTTTTTTTTTTGGACATTTCTGTGTTATTCGATCTTTTCCCATTACTTTTACATCACTCTGTTGATACAGTACATATAGTTTCTCTGATATTCCACAATAGGACGTATTTTAAATTTAACATTTTAAAAATTCGTTGCAACAATGAAGGAAATTAACAAGCATATACATATGAAAAATATGTTTACACTCGGCATTAATATCTAATACTCATTAATTTTAATGTATGTAAGATTGATAAGACTCATTCTATATGCTTTATTCATATATAATAAACATATTGATAATATGCTTATAATACTTTGTATTAATACTTATGATATAATAAAGATGATGTCAACACTATATAAGGGACGAAAATATTTATTAAATATCTTAATGCTTCTTACATTATCCATGTCAGATTTTCATACTACAGATATTTCAAATAACGAACAATTAAATGCAACAAAAGTATACGTACTATATAAAAGGGTAAAACATTCGATATATTTTTTTTAGATTACATCAATACATCTCAAAAGTAGTAACATCAATTATAACTATTGCTTTTTATCTAAATCTATTTATATCTCTACAGAAACATTTTCCAAAAAATCATTAACTCATACGAATTGTTTTATTATATAAAATATTCTATTAAATACAAAAATATAAGAGACACTAAAATGATACAGGATAGGAATTTTAACATTTAATACTTTGAGCAATACAAACATAGATTTTTAACTATATCTTAGCTAGCCTGGTATAGTACAATTGTACACGCCTATCTTGAATTTTACACCAAAACATGTAATTTACACGTGACATTGATATTTTTACAAATTACTATTTGGTCATTTGTATTTTGAGTTTAAGAAACATGTAAACACGCGAGAAGACTCACTCCAAGTAGACGGCTAGCACTATGAAAACTCACTGCTCAAAGAGTTAAATTGGTTAGGGACTTAGGTATAACTGGAATATAATGCTTGTAGCATGCTTGTTGTTATTAATATAGAAATTAAACAATAACTGACACTGTAGATCTGTTTCATATTAAAATAGTCGGTGGAGTTTAGTTTAATCGTAGGATTAACATGTAAAAAAATATAATGTAAACACATGTTTGCATATAATAAGTGGTAAATTAGGAAGATCAATTAATCACATTTAGCTTGACTAGGAAATGCTAAACAGTACATCGACTTAATTTACTTTTAGCTGCTCTTCTCTTTCCTTAAGATCGATTATGCTCAAATTGATACAGGATACATATCCGTGTAACAATGAAATACCAGTTTTAATCAATGCTATAGGTGCAGAGAGCCATATGATTAATCTAAATAAACTAATACCAACCACTGAAACGAAAATACACATTATTTTTTATAATTTTCAAAATCTCATTGTTAATAATATATAAAACATTGCAAGTAGTAAAAACAAATTCAACAAAGATACGTTTAGAGAAGGATGCATTTTAAATATTTTCCATAATTGTAAACTCAACAAAAATAATAATTAGATATATGTGGGTAAAATGAAATACAAGAATTTTTTGTCGAGTTTGCCTTTGTGGGAAACGTTTAAATCACTTTATTGTCCTTGTTTCTTTAACCACATCTTTATTGAATTCATCCTTACTACCCATAATGCCTTTTATGTGTATGTATAAAAACTTACAAATGGGTCCTTCGGTAAAGTGAATAAGGTACAAGGCAGCATAGAAAGCTTCGTTACCAGCACACATAATAAATAAGACTGTACGATTAGTATAGTACATTCTCATAATCGGGTTTCCAGACATATCAACGAATTTATGACTTGTTTTTCCTTGCAAAAGAGACCTATAACATGATAACACAATCGTGTAAGAAAGTATTTTGTATTCTTTTGTACATTCGTACAATTGTTACGGTATCTGTACTAGACATTATTCTTACGTATGCAAGTATATCCAATGACAAGCAATGTCAATGGCCATGCTTAATTGAAACCAAAAGGTATACGACGGATAAAGTACACATAATGTAGCCAATAAACACATAGTACCAACACGATCGGTCAACTGATCTAACATGGCACCAAATTTGGTGCCTTGATTAAAGTATCTTGCTGCATGGCCATCCACTGCATCTAACAGTGCGCTGATAATGTAGCACCAAGATGCAACGATGTGGTTGGTCGACATAAAGTAAAAGGATATAAGAGCCAAAATCACTCTACCATAGCCTGTTAAAACATATATATGCACACATTACCATGCTTATAGTATCATTTATATGTTCATACATTTTCTACTACGTTTATCAGAATACTTAGGTATACTTGTTGTTTCTATAAAAGCTAAATTCTCTACTCAAATATTAATTGAATGATAATAATTGCATTTTTCAAATATGCTAGTGTATTATATAAAACAGGCCATCTGTAGATTAGTATAAATCAATATAAGAAGTCTTTGAAATGCTGTGCTTTCCCGTCTTCTTTTATCGTATCCTATATTAAAAGGCAATCAAAAACTAAAAATAAATATGGAAATTTTCAACAAAGATATTGCACATGGAGAAATATTTTCATAATAAATTTTAAATTGTAGCAATCTCTCAAACCTATTGAATGTTTCATTACTTAATAATAATTTCCTTAAGATAAGGACTTGCATGAAAATATTTATATACTAATATAATACACATAAATAAAATCCCTTTAACTGGGATTTTGAAACTCAATGAATATAACATACAAAAATTATATTAATATGTTTTTAAATATTTATCCCTTATCATTTTATTAAAAGTACCAAATATATAACTCGATTGTCAATAAAAATGAATTACACATACTATAACAGATGTGCATGTATATTGCAAACAAGATATTATTTTTAATTTTTAATTGCTTTAATCTAACAAATACTCGCATCATTTTATTCCGTATAAGAGATTTATAATAAGATACAAATAATTATCGAAGTACTAAAATATAAATGTTTATTTACCAATAATGTTGGGCACAAATAAGAAAATATTCTCAGATCCCGTCATTTTGCCGCCGCTAAATGTTTCTCACTGTTGCGGGATATACTTGTAACGGAACCAGTTGTTCTGCAACCAAGTGTCTGAATTTATTTGTTACCTGTCGTCGTTCGTGTCAAGTAATATTATTTTATTTTTATATAAAGAATGTTACTTTACAACCAACCGACTGCTCCTCCACACTGTACTCTCGTAGAGTTAATCTGAATTATCGTCAAAGACATACGTATATAACAATATATAGCGTCAACGATTGATATATAGAATCGACAATCATATCGCATAATCGCATCATAGTCGCGAGTTCGAGATGTATCGAATCCAGTGACGCATTAGCAGTCATACAACTAACAGTGTTGTATCAATTAACATTTTCGTAGGTTCAACAATTCGCATTTTTGTACACGTTAAAAATTTACAAAGAATATCGTAGTTACTATAAAATGCAAGTTTTACGCAAACGTATAATTTCTGGAAGTAAAAAATTGATCGTTTGTTGTAAATTTTTGTTGTTACTATGAAATCACGCGTTCTCAAACAAATTTAGTTTTCGATACTGAAAATGATCGTTGAAAACGTATGCTTATTTTTACTATTTTACTCAGTCGTGGTAACGATCATTTTGAATAGATTATAAAATAGTTATTGCTGAAGACAGCTTGACACATAGTTACGCTCCTGAAGCCAGACGACATTTTCGGAGGCTAAACGGTTGGTCCGCCGTTTCTCTGCGCAAAAGCGATCGTTTATTGTGTCGCGAGAAAACTGTCTGTGCAGGTTTACGTCAGTTTTCCCGTAATTTCTTTTTGATACGATGAATTAAGAGGAGTTTTCATCAAAGAATAGTGGAATCGAACGAGACGTTTTAGTGCTAAAATTGATTTACCGTACGGACGGATTCGGACATCGTGCTATGAAGTTTTGGGTGGGCTAGTTTCCTTTTACTTGAATACAATTTATGTTTTCGTTAACAAAATTACGTGTTCTCTTTCGGCCCGAAGTGTTTCCGTAAAAGGTTATTCACGTACTTTTTGTGTTGTCGTGAGAAAGTGCACGAACAGGAGTAACATTATGCGATCGATAATTCACCGACGATTTTGGAATACGCTTCGATGATCTGATCAGGATACTTGTGGTTCCGTGAAACGTTCCCACTTGTCAGTGAAATGTTTCAAAAGTGATATCAGAGTCTTCAAAGACTCATGTACGATCGAATAGAGACAAGAACAAACTATATACTCTTCGATGTGTGTACAAGCAATGCTAGAAACATTGTCGTTTTGGACAAATACGTTTTCGCGTCTTCCGCCCGTATACGGTTGGAACAACGCTATCAATAAATTACATTTCATTTAGTAAAAAAAAAAAATTTAACGTAGCAACGTACGTAAAGAAAATGTGCATTTTAATATCGACAGCGGCCATTTTGAATTTATGACTGCTCCGAACTACGGCGATTATCAACCTCGTTTTATAACACCAAAATTGGACTTTCTTCGACGCTTTCTCTAACAGCTACAAAAGCGTCCAAAAAACAAATTTGACATGTCAACCAAAAATATTTCCGATTTTCCGTTTTTGAGATGCAGTTCTAATAAGTGTTACAAAATGTATTCCTATTCGTTTTATATGTGTTATACGTTTTAACGTGAACATCCACTGTTATAATTTCGGCACGAATTGAAACTTTTGAAACTGCTTTTCATCGTAATAAAAAAATATGCTCGTTCGATACTGAAAGAAATCTGTATATTGCAAGTTATATGTATATTTTATATTCTGTTAATTACGAAAAAGCAACAAGCAATTCCAAACAGAGAGCATATCAATAATAAGACGACGTGTAACTGGAATTCGTGTTTCCATTGTTTTTGTATTTCTTCACCGAGGAATTTATTATACCAATGCAGAATAAATAGTTTTCAATCACTGATACAACAAATGTAATATGTATTTCGATTCGATGGAATATAGAACACGCTTTATCGACAGCTGTGGTCGTAGCTGACAAGCAGATCGGAAATAACCTTAACAACGAAAGATTCATGATATCAAAACACGGGAATGCATTAAAAATTTAAACTCAAGTATAGAAAAACGGAAATTTGCAGGACAATTTGAAGTATACAGTGATAATTGAAAAAAAAAGAACCATAAAAGCATAACAGTTGTTCCGATTGATTAACAATCAAAATACTAGATGGTGGACGGTGCCATTTTTGTCACCTTCATAGCGCGCGTGGTACGCGCGTAAAGTCAGGCACATTGAATAGATCTTTCATTGAACCTAGTAAAATTTCTCTAAGATTTTATTTCGCTGTTTGCGTGTATGTTTCCTTGATTTATCCGAAACGTTATGAATTTATGATCCGGTGAACGATCAGACTTAACCTGCTGTGACACCCAGTGCAGTAAAAAAAATGGTTTCTTTTACGTGCACGTGATGGTGTAATAATGTAATAAATTAAAAATGAAATTGATACATTTTACGTGACGCGAAATGTGAGAATCGCGAATCATCATCTGTGGTCAATTGGAAGAGATCATTAGGCCTTGAAACACCAAAGAAAAACGATGAACAAGCTATGAGTACAGCGGACACAGCGCTGTCGATTTCGATCAAAATGGCCCCAGGGCCGGAACATCGTCAAGAACCGGTAGCACCCGATAAAACTGCTGAAAATCGTAATGACGTCTCTAACGAAAGAGATGCAGAAAATTTAGTAACAAGTGCGGAGACTATTAGTAACCAGAGTTCAAGTGTTGAAAGTGCTTCAACGAACACCGATTCCAATACAGATCCTGTGAATCAAAGTGCAACGACATCTGTCACGTCTGATAATAAGCAGGTGAGTTATGAGAATAGTGTAGCCGTAGTATTTCTTCAATATTTATATGAATTTAACTAACTATTGTGTAAATATAAAATATAAGTTACTTCGAGTAAAGTAAATAAATTTAATTGAAGGTATCATAGTATGAGCATGAAAGTTATTATGTTTGTACGTCAGCGAAAGAAATTAATTTCTTCTAAATATGATGTTAACGCCAGAAGGAAAGTTGTATACAACAGATATATTAATTGTAATAAACAATGTTACATTATACATTACCTACTAACGATAGGAATGGAACTGATTGAACAAGGTATCATTTTAGGTATAATAATATGATATTGCTCTCAAAATATCTTTTATCTTATTATTACTAATTGCAGTAATTTTAAAGTTGTAATTTAAAAGCGCAATATAATGATTCTTAATCATTTGTAACAGTCCTTTTATATATATATATATTCTGTCACGGACAGAATATGGTATATGGGAACATGGGAATAAGGTAAACACGCATGAGAAATGTGATATCTTGCATTTCCATTGTACAGCTACCTAGTTGTGCATAATTTTAGAATTAAATAAATGGAAAACTCAAATTGCAATATTAATATAGCAACTCTATAATATCTTCATTTGTCAAACAGTTGCAATGCATGTTTGTAAAAATGTTACATTTCAAATGGCATTAGAATAAATTCATGTACTTTAATTTAATGTATATAAAACAATACTATTTTATATAATTCAATTTTGTAAACTTTCGTCAGTAAAAAAGAAGAGTAAAATATATTGAGTTATAATTTTAAAAGGTCAGTATTATGTTAAAATTTTAAATTATTGTTATGGCTATAGTAAGATAATCACAAAATATGAAAAAATTCTGACATGGAAATGGAATGTATGATAATTACAAAACACTTATCTCAAACAAAAACTAAAAAGAACTAAAGATCACAAAAAGATTGATAATTATTTACCATATTAACGAGTTTACTGATTTTAAAGCCACTAAAATATGTTGAATGTGAAAGGTTACTAAGTGTTCTAAAGGAAAACATAATTGTGGCTCATAACCAGTTGTAAAATTATGTGCATTAACCAATAAGAAAGAAGTAGTAGATTAAAAGTTATTTTGAAGTTAAAATGTTCATTTACCATTGTGAACACAGGCTCAGACCAAATCTAGACTATTACCTTTTGCTTTAAAACATTCATAAATTGTTACTTATTATTGTTAATATTGAACAGTGTCCATGAATGTTCTGAAGCAAAAAATAGTGGTTAAACTTAAAAGTTTTATCTGGGTTTTGGTATTTTGATGTCTGTTACGAAAGGCACGAGGCATTCGATTGGTAGAATCAGAATGGTAACCGCCCATTGTGCCAATCGGAAGTCGGAACGTCCCGATGAAAACCCCAACTACCAATCGGCAGTTCGATCTCTGTCTGCGGAGGCGTGGTTTTTATAATTTAAGTTTCTAATAATTATATCTTAAAATTTAGAATGAGTAACAATTATTTTTTGCTTTGAGATACTTAATCAGCGTTCCTTTGCAATATAAGTAAAGGCTGTTACAAAACAACGATGAAAAATGAATATTTTAAAGTGAAACTGTTGGTAATTGCTGTATATGTTGCCAGATTTCATTTAAATTTCGTCAATATAATTCTGATAATTGCATCTTATTTTAGACAATATTTTCCAAATTTCTGTAGATTATAGACCGTATACTTTCGCGACGTGATATACATTAGCAAAGAATAACAAATTCTAGTGTCGAGGGGCCCCCTGCTTATTACGTTCCTGGAATGGCCGTGTTCTTAGTGTAATGGCGGCGGCCATGCTGAGAAGAGCGCGCCGCGCCCGCTCGTCATAATAGCATTTAAATCGGCAGCATATTCTTGACACTGCCGATATTATTCCTTCTGAACAGTAATAGCGTATCGTCGGCTACGTTTATCGCGTACTCAAATGCGCAAAATCTCTACGTAACGGTGCTATACAGAGGGACTGCAGTTCGACGGAGCAAAGACGACTGCAGCCGACCCAGGTGCCCTCTAAAAATATAAATTCCGTGCCGGCACTGCCCAGCAGATTTTTCCTTCGTCTGTAAGTCACCCCGGTATCTCCTCGTGTCTCAATTAGCTAATCGCGACCCCCTATCGATCTCTGGACAAGCCCAAACTCATTCCTGGTGTGTGTCCTATTTTAATTTACAAGCGAAGGTAAACTCGCTATTGGCCTTCCTTTTCGTATTTCCAAGGACTTACGAGTATTCATTAACAGTGCTTTTCGAGTCTCAAAGACGATTGGTTTGTATTGTTCCTACCGAACCAAGTACTTTTTTCCCCAAGACATGTTACTCAACATTGTGAAACAAATGATAATTCCTGTACTGTTTTCTTTTTTTTTGTTTTCTTTCTTTCTTTAAAATTTTCTCTTTTTTGTACCGTAAAACGATAACAGTTTATCGTTAACCTAACTACAAACATGTATGTACATACGAAGATTCACGGTCAATAAGTTCGGAAAGGTTTTGTTATCTCTATAAAAATGGTGTATTCTGGGAACAATCGTAATCGCTTTTAACTTTTACACGTCGCTTCTCGTAAAGTTCGTTACAAAATGCATTGTTTCAGCGACGTTTATGCGCTGTTTTAAATGAAAAAGTAGAAATAAAGGTCTATAGTGTTCAACTATTTTTTGTGCACAGGCAGCCATTCTGATAAAATATTTTGCTTTAGAATGAAGCTAATCAGGTTACTGTGAGACAGAATTAGTCAAATTGCCGCAACAGTAAATGACATTCTGTATAGTTTCTTGCAATATTTCCTACTTTGTTTATAACCTATGGATAAAGATATTTCTCTCATAACAGTATTTATGACGTATTTTGTAAGTAGATGAAATAAAAACGTATGAACCAATAATTTTTACTGTTATGTAAACAGCTACATACAGTCTGATGTAGTAATATTACATGTCATACCTACAGTCCGATCAAAGGTAAATAATAATGAAATTAGCGATATATACATATTTCTTAGTATTAAATATAACTCATAATTAATTGTGCCCACAGTAATAAAATTTCTATTTCGTTAACATGCATGAAAAGATTAATAATGACAATGATATATATCATTTATACCTATACATATACCTCTTTTCTATGTGGTCTCTATATTTCCTTACAAAATCCAATAAGTGAAACCTTAAATTCTCTCTCTGAATCTATCTATATCCATGCTTATCTGCCTTGTGGACTAGTTCATACTATGGTGCAGAGTATATGTAATAATATGAAAATGTTATGAAACAAACTTTATCGTTTGCTATGTCCAATATTTATTTAATTAACGATAATTATCAATATCTGCGATAATAATATCTTAAAATTTAATTTTAAGTAAAATTTATATTCTCGAAAATTGAGTCTCAAGGAATTTATTGAAAAGGTTTGCGTACCATATGCTAAGATTGTAGATAATAAGTTGTTAAGGTATGAAAAATAATCAACGATAAAAAAAAAGTAATCCAAACATGTAACCATATACATAGCACAAATTTCCTTTTCTTTCTTAACACAACTTAAAGCGTATTTCCACGTATGGTTTACTCCTAAAGTTCGGATCGATCTCTTGGCATACTTTCCATATTTGAATCTAGATTGCAAAACATGTCCCTCTACCATGTATAGGTTACAAACAAAGTGTCCGTAAATGTATCGTACAATAGAAGTTTTGTGCCGTATAATATGTTTAAACTGAATTTAATACAACATTCTTTGTTCTATATACATATTCCATAAGTTATCGTTCCTCGTAATTAACAAACACACATTTTATATAGACGCATTCAGTATTGTCAATTCATCGTATGCTTATATAATAGTTCTTGTTCAATAAGAACACACCCTTATTCTATAGTATATATATTCTAAAAAGAATATAGCTTGCAACTGAGTTCAATATATTACTTATTAATTTGTTTTGCAAATCAAATTATTGTTTTTGTTTCGATAAGTGTAATTTTTCGTGCGAAATAAATTTTAACTTTTCCATTTTTTGTTATGACTTTCAGGAAGAACCAGCCACTTTGTCCACGTTAAATGAGGGTGAATTACGTGCGTTATTGGATGAAGCTATAACATATAAGTGTCCCAAAGATCGTGAAGGAAAATCCAGTCTTTTTAAAGTAAGCTTGCTAACCTTTTGATTTTGGCATATTAAGATCGTTTTAAATAATGATTCGATAACATTTATTTCAGGAACTATTGCAAGAAGCAGAGGCCGATGAAACTGAAGAGGGTCGTAGGATAATAACTAATTCACGTTGTCTGCCTGGATCCAATCGTAGAAGACATAAAAGGGACTCTGTGTCTGAAAGACTCACGCACGGAGGATCGTTACAAAATTTGGCACAACCTATTGCTTCGGAATTTGATAGCAGTTTTGCTTATTTGACATCTGGTTCCAGCCACACTTACGGAGGGAGTAGAAGAAAAAATAAAAAATATACAGGACCCAGTGTATCTGCTAGGCAAAGGGAAGGTGGTTCATTACCCTCAAATGTAAATGCATCTCACAGTCTTGCTTCATTGGCTAATTTAGATTTATTATTTGATAAAAAGGTATGTATTCCAAACAAATTTAATTTCAATTTTTTTTTTGCACATAGATTTTTGATAAAAGTTTTAAGAATATTGTAATTATTTATGAATTATGGATATTTATCTTTATAAATTTAATAGCGTATTTTCATACATAGTATGAAGAATAGCAAACTATAATATAATTTACTGATATAGTATTTGTGTATTTTATGTATTGTCACATTTACTAATTAAATATATATTTTGTTGGTACATAAAGAAGGGTTTCTGTGAAGAAAGGACAGTATATGACTGGACCAATAAAGAGAAATCCAAATCCTTAGACAAACCATCATACACTAGCACAAAAAAAGAGGAGAAGGAAAAAGACAAAAAAGATACAAAGAAAGATCTGTGCGAAACCGAACTTGAAGTACGTGAGAAAAGAGGTAACAAAGGAAAATACGGGACAAATGAAATGCTTGAATCAGATAATCCACCGCCAGAGTATAAGTCAGATTACATGGTGATCGATTTAGGTGATGCTGAGGTAAATTAAAAATTTTACATACTAAAAAAAGAAGAAAAAAACGTAGATATTTCATAGTTCCTAAGTTATGAATGATCAGCATATACGTCGTGCGTGTGCGTCAACAAACTTTAGTATATCTTGTTGTTATGTGATCTTTACAAACAATATCATCTATTAATAATCTAAATTTGCTGTTAGTAGTTCAATCTCGAGAATTTAATACAATATTTCTTAGTTACATGTAGATTCAGCTTCTTAAGTACTTAGATGTATTTCTGAAATACTCTGTATACAAATGAATATATTAACCAGACGGCTGTGTTTGGCGACTATATCCGTCATGCGTAAAATTAGTTACCATTTGTTATTTAAATTATAATTTTAGCGAAAACTAAAGTATATTCGTAAATTTCAATATGTTTACAATCTTTGGAGGTCAAAACGAAATAAAACAAACAAGTGCGCGCTCTGAAAGGAAGTCGCCACAGTTAGCTGGTTAATATGTGTATATATGTATATAATGTAAACATGTAATCCAAGAATTTTTTTGCTTCGTTTATTTAGGTGGGTACTATTAGTGAAAGGAATGTGGGATCCATAATAAGTGGGGTTCAGAGACCTCACTCTTTGGATACAGAAGATGACGAAGGAACTGAAATGAAAATTATAGAACCACGTAGACCTCAATATATATCACGTACTACTTTTGATATAGCTCAAACTCCTGTGGATACTACCATAGATTTTTCTCTCCGAGAGCACAGTGGAAAACAAGATAAATCGAAAATATCTGTCAATGGTACAGAGGTAACTGGAGCCCTCTCTTTTCAAACTTTTAATAGTGTGAAATGTGGTATTGGTGGAACTTCGAACAGTTCTAGTGCTAGTCAGGGTAAAGTAGTTCCGAGTTTATGCTCCATGATGTCTGCGTCCTTGCAAACCCAGAATATCACAATGGGTAGGTCAAACATCAAAATTATTGAATTTAATTCACTTGTCATACAGTAATTGCAATAATTTAATAATATTATAGTATTGAATTACAATTGCAAATATTAAGATAAAAGAAATATTTGAGCTAACGTTGGCGTTTGCATTTTAATTGAAACATACATTTACACTTTTTAACGGTCTAGTCATTTTTACATTTCGCTTTTATATACAGGGTTTGTTGCAATGAATAGTATAATTGAGAAGGAAACGATACTATATTGATCATTTACAAAACTAAATATCATCGAAAGCGAAGCTCTATAACGAAATATTATATTTGACATTTTCTTCATTTATTTTTGTATGTAGAATCTCCTGCTTCTTGATTATATATACCTCTCACTGCGAGACACCTTGTATAATAAAACCTTCCGTTTTATAACGAGTTAAAATATATGGATTTTGCACAGAAGGTTCCAGGTATACAGCACACACTACAACGTCCGGGGAGAAGAAATCTTTGGATGAAAATGGGAACGCGGTGCAAAATTACAACGGGGAACGAAAAAAACCTCGAAGAAAACATACGCAGGAACCGAATTTTGTTGTTTATAACTCTGAAACTATCGTAGGCCATCGCAATGAAGAGAACATTGACAATATAATTAATTTTATTGAAAATAAGGAATCCAAAAGTAAAAAAGGAAAACCAGGTAATCCAGTGAGAGTAAAAACTAATTCTGGTGCAAAACCAAGGAGTAGACAGAAAGATACCAAGAAGGAACAGCTGCCTGCCAAGTTACAGAAATCCAATTCTCTCGAAGAGATATCCAAGACTAAACTTGAAGATCTAACAACGGAAAAGAGTGTCAGTTCTAGTGGTGCTAGTAGTTTGTCGAGTCAACACGGTAACTAATCGATATTGTACACTTTACTTTGTACTATATTATATTTATATTTGTAATATATAATTTATATCGTTTTGTTAGGTACAATCAATGTTGCTTTGCGTCGTGCGAAACAGAGAAGCACGGGGGACACAGCTATCGATAGTCGCGGTGATAGACGATCCTGGGGAACCGAAGAAGGCCAATCTATATATTGCAACGATACTGGAGATGATTATGCTAGTCGCCGAAACTCCAATAAAACAATCAATCCAGACCCCGAGCACGAAACAGAGTTTCTGGTAGTTACGAAAAAGAAGAAAAGTAAAAAGCAAAGAAGAAGTTCCAGCGGTAGTACAGCACAAAACTTAACGACGTCCGGATCTTACCTCCAGAACTCAAGAGGATTCTCTAACGAATATAGAACACCACTCTCATCCGAATGTAGAAGAAAATCAGCAAGCAGTATGCCGCCAAGGTAATTCGAATGCAATCATCTATATCGGAAATTCGAAATTCATCGAACGAAGTATACTATTATTTCATGATTATAGTCTGTACCGTTAATGGAAACTTATTAAAATAATTATTGTTTGCAGCGATAAATCGGATAGCAGTGACTCAGACTCTGTCCATTCATTGCCAGTCACATCTAATACGTCCAAACACAACTTATCAAAAATAGCTACCTCATCGGGCGGAACGCCGCAGGCAAGTTACGCGGACATAGCTCGTATGGCGACTATCAACATGACGCATAGTTCGGTGTTGAATATGTCTTCGATTGTTCCGAGCATGTTGAACACATCCACGTGGCCTAGCGTACCACCGAAAACACCTTCGGAACCGGACAAAATCCCGCAAGATTATTATCCCAGTCTAGACGAATTACAGCACTCTGACAGAAAAGCGAAACAACATAATTTTACACACACGAATCACATTTTGAATCTTGGTTTCGAGAAACCACCTTCGCCGACTTTGTCCTCGAAGATGAAGAATTCATCGGAGAGAAAAAAGGCGGAAGCTCAAAAGGAGGCTATCAATAAAAATATCCAGGTTATCAAATATGTGCAGGACATTGAAAAAATGCATCAAAGGCTGATGCAACAGGAACAGAAACACGTGAATTCTATTAATCACAGTGTGAATTCGAACGAAACTCCAGCGATGAATCCGATGCCATCGAAGCTCAATAATACAGTGACAAATTGTACTTCGGACACTGATAATAATCCTAATTGCAATATTGTCAACAGTAAAGATTCGATTGCAAATACAAAGTGTAATAATACACGGTCGCGTCGGGGTTACGTTCAAGGCAGTCAAAATGTACAAATTCCAGCATCGTACGAAGATCAGCATTTCAAGAAACCTGGATATTTACCTCACGATGAAAATACGAAAAAATTGCACAACACCGAAGCATTCAGTACGGATCCCGAAAATAAAAATAATCCAGGAACAAGATCTTGCGACGACGCCGAAACACCAAAAGCCAATGTTCAAAGTAATCCGAAATCGGTACAAGAAGCGCCGCCGAATGTCGATTCGGATGCTACCAAATTAGTTCAGAACGAGAAACCAACGAAAATAGCGAAAGAACAAGATGTCGCCACGAAACACGAGTCGATCAAGTCGGGAAATACGTATTCTGTAAATTCAAAACAAGAACAACAAGAAGACGCCGAATGTAAGAAAGCTAAACAGCACGGTACAACATCAGACAAAGATCAGTCGCAGAAAACGGAGCCCCAGACATCCAATAAACAAAAAACCTCGAGACCCGCGGTAATATTATTGGACGAAACTTCGTCCAACGTCACTAAAAACAGTGACTTGCCAACGGAACTCAGGTTTGGTTTTGAGATCAACGAACAACTTTTATTATCCGAAGATTCTGCCACAGAAGAGACCTCTACTGCCAGTTCTGTTTTTCCATCTGTAGTTCCGTCGCTAATGAATAAACCACCTTCCACTTTCGACAGATATCCGCCGATATTCGAAAAGCACATGAGATGCGACAAATTTACACCCAATTTCATGCAACCGCCAAACGCTCATGTGACGCAACAGCCTATGCATCCTGTGATAGTGCAACGGTTACCGTACATGAGCTATCCGCCAAGATTTCCTCCGCCAACGTGTTTACCACCACCGCCACCTACACCTCCTCCGGGAATCATGGAAAAATATCAACCTAAAGTAGATTTTTCTATGCTTTATGTGGCTCCTGAGGAAGATGTTAACATACAGACGTACAATCATGATAAAATCGTCTCATTTGTCGGCTTAGGTACGTAAATATCATTCTTATTCTAAACTTTTTATATTAAAGAAAATATTGTTTTAGAAATTATACACGGGCTAACCTATCAAGGCCATTTTGCGCCAGCTGTCTCTTTTATCTTTCTACATTCCGTTCTCGTAACAGAAAGGAGACAGTGGTATTAAGCAGAGTGGTCTTGACAGGCCAGTTTGTGTGGCATTTACTATAGTTTGTATAGATACTTCATTATAGAACGTTTTCATATGTTTGAGCCAATTTACGAATGCTCTCTATTCAATATGTCAATTACAAATGTTATAACTTGGTTTGTAACTTCTTTTTGTTTGGCAACGTAGCATGGGACGCTGTTATGAGGGAAATGCCAGTAACTGCAAGTGGTCGTATACAATTCTACAGTGGTCAGTGAAACGGGCACTAAGAGGATAAGGTAAATAACACACCAATGTTTTTGTATCGCAAGATTGCATCCATCACGAGTTATCTATTATAAAACACAAACAGCCAGAAGAGTCTGTTTTACTAATGCAAAACCGAATAAGTATCCGAATCTAAAGAAAAAAATGATCGAACTTTTATTACCGATCACGATGAAACAAGCTGTACTAATTCTCAAGTAAAATCATCAGTGATAATTCCGTAAAGTTGCACGGCGTAAAATATTTACTCTGAAAGATAATGTATATAATAGTCAATCACCAGACAAAGACAAAGTTTATTGTATGTTCCGTTGTTGTACATACATTAAAGTTACAAATACCTTTGAAAAGGTTGTGACGAACATCAAAGTTTCAGTATTGTCGTTTGATGCAATATTCGACTGAATATCATGACTAATAAACACATGAAACTTTATTTCGCTTCATTGAAAAACGAAAACAAAATTTTCTTGTAAAATGTGAAAGTCATATATATCTGAAGAAATACCTCTTATAAATTTTGGAGAACGTCTATCGAATCTATACGAAAGTGTGTGATTTTGAAAAGGAAAAAAAAAAGAAAATTACAAAAACTTATCGAAGGAGAGGGTTCGAAGTAGCTAAAAAAAACAAGAATGCCATGAAGCAGATTTTTCAAGAACTGCGTGTGCTGTGACAGTGGTTTATGCTGATGCCTTTAAAATAACAGAATACACCTTAGACCATTGTAATAAAGTCTACGAATAGTTGAATCAAGCCTGTTATGTTAACTATGCCAAATTGAGATCGTCCGTCAAAAAAATATTGCTAAACTATTAACAACGATGACCTTAAGGCAACAACTTGACACAAGGATCATCGCAACAGTTAGTGGAGTCTTCGTTGAAACTTTAGGAAACTCGAAATGAAAAATAGTGGTTGCTAGATTAAACGTACTTTATTTAAGACAGCATAAAGGAACGCGAAGGAAGCGATAAAGATGTGTGTGAAGTGTAACAAAATATGGTGAATGTAAGTGTGACATCGAACACGTGTAAAATATTAAAAAATAGTGTGATTGACTTAATGACTTTATGGAGTGGTTACTTCTTCCAGCTGCGACAGATAATAGTTTAAGGGATTAAGAGGGGGGAGGAAAGAAAGAATCATAAACTGGTTTTTGCAAATATTGCGCTCAAGGTCATGAACTGGATGGGGGACAGCGAGAAAGAGTGCGAATGTGTCGAAAATCGCTAAATTTTTACACAGACTCGCTTATTTGATGAAAAAAAATTAATTATTAATTATTGATAACGATAATTATAATAAAATACTTGCTTGTGATCATAAAGTATGATAGCGTGGATGCATGTAGTTCGTGTAGATATTCTTCTACTAGCCGATGTCCAAATTTCGTTTTAAACTTCCGTTTGAATTTTTAATGAAACTGTGTTTATCTCCTAAATTGAGCGGACAAAAAATAAAAAATAATAACTAATACTGTTTGTGGTTGGTATAGTAAAACAAAAAAAAAAATAATATGAAACTTATACGAGTAGCTAATCAAAAAAGAGACAGATTTAATTGTATTGTATTACATCACACGGTGATAAAGCAACAGTGATTTTATGTTTCTCTTAAGTGGATGGCATTTCTTCGGGGTATCTTCGCTCGATACGCGAACAAAATAACTATTCAAAAGTCGGGTGCTCCATCGCCTTAATGTAGCGGAATGCAGCGTCAGCCTGGTAGTGCCATTGACTGGTTCAAATGGTCAAGTACTAAAGATTTTGCAAAAAAAAACTGTAACGCGAAAGATCTTGAAGGAAATAGAACTATAAAATTGTGTATTATAGCAAAAGCATCGAGAGTGGCAGTTATACCGAAACAATATCATGTATACAAAATACACGATTTAATCGTTTTCTTTTTCTTAACGACTAACACGAAAACAAGATAGAGATCTTAACGCGCAAGGCGACAACATATTATATGTGTTCGTTTTTTTGAATTCGTGAATTCGCGAGAGCAAAATCAATTAGCGATCAACAAATTCGGAACCATCTATTGTAAACGGAATAGCAATCTTTCTATTTGAAATTTTTGAAACGTTTTTAAACGTGAATAAAGAAAACACGCTTATATTTTGTTCTAACGGCAGGCTATTTGCATTTATCTACGAAACCCCTTTGTAGCCTGTATTGTACCATAAAAATGTATGTTTCTCGCAAAGGGCACAAAATCCTAATTGGACGCATGGAGTTTTTACATCGGTTGATTGATCAAAGCGCATCGTTCCTGCACATATCGTTCTCAGCTATTGATCCAATGATTTAGATTCGGTCGAACTGTTGAAATGTCACTGATGTAAATTAATTATATTTTCTTTTTTTTTTTTTCTTTTCATTTAAGTAGTTAACATTGTTCCCTGCCTTGAATCGTTACTTGTGCATACGTGACGCGACAAATGCAACAACATATCGACAGCAACTATTCATGAGTCAATGCATGAAGGAGCTCTATAATTTCATTGTTAATTCGCTTGAAAACCATCGCATAAAAGGAAAAAAAAAAAAACCGAGATAATTGTGCTTGTTATGTAATTATTGTAATCGCGATGAGTTATGTTTAAACATTTCTGAGAGTCTGTTAGTTTTGTTGGATTCGCGAGATCACGCACGATCGTAAGGACGTACCAGAAATGTTTAGATTATAGTCATCGACGATCATCCGGGAGTAAGACCCCGAATTATCGGCGCGGGCGTGTTGCTAGTGTTCAAAAAAAAGCGCAAAAAAATAAATAAATAAACAAATAAAAGCAAAAAAAAGCGAGAAACGAAGGGTAATAACAGTTGAGAGAGAAAAGTGTCCGACGATCTCAGTGTTAGCCTTGTATCACTGTACAATTTGTTATTCAATGTAAGACAGTTCTTTTGTGCTGTATATACATATATTAATAACTATTATTAATTAATGATTAACAATTACAGTGAAGCTATTCGATTAACTATTATTGTACCGCTATTATTACTAAATAACGATTATACAGAGAATGCAGAAGCTATCGCGAGTGATTGTGCGTGTAAAAAGATGAGATAAGCGAATATTTTGCGTGTATGGTAAAAAGACTGTGGCTGCCCGGCTGAAAGCAAAAGCAAAACAAAACGAAAAAAATGAAAAACACAAAAAACATAAATGAACAACGGTGAGAGAATGTTGTTGCCAAAGTTTTCCCCGTTCGTGGGTATAAAAAGCACAGTATAAAGTAATATTCGTGTTTCTTTTTATTTTGCTTATTTTCGTGCGACGGAATTGACTGAACGTCAATCGAGTATTCTGTAAAATTGAAATTAATAGTGATTTTCGAAAATAAGTTTATTATTTATATATATTTTCTTTTCTTTTTTATATATATATATATATATATATATATTTAAAGTATCGTATTTGTTCGATTAGCGATTAATATCAGAGTAGATTTGAAAAAGGGGGAAAAAAAAGAAAAAATAGCATTGTGATAACACGCGTATATTGAATGTTGTTTTCGGTGAGCCGAGAGGCCAGGAAAAAAAAACAAAAATACCTTCGAATATTACTTGCATACTGAATTCGCCGGTGATACGTATTCAGACGATAAATCGCTGCGCCGTACGTATGTTTATAGCGTTTAAAAAAAAAAAAAGAAAAAAGAAAAAAAAAAGTACCGAAATGGAGCGACGAAGAGGCGGGAAAAGAGAGTATAGTTGCGAACCGAAACCTCGATTTATTCTCAGGATGCGTAAACACAGCGGCCATCGCTTACTATTTTGTTACTAATAATACTGAGAACCTCAGATTCATGCAATGTTCTGTCACGGACCATGGATAATAAAAAAAAAGAAGAGCCACTTGTCACGGAGCGTGTAAAAGAGGAAATGGAAAGCAATAGGGAAACGAGAGGAAGAATGAATGTGTTGTAAGATAGGGAGCGTGCGAGAGAGAACAAAAAAAAAAAAAATAGAAAAAACACGAGAGAAAGGAAAAGAGAGCATGAGAACGCCGATTTCGATGCTTCTTCTGCGAACGAAAAAAATAAGTATATCGTCCTCCTCGGAATGATTATAAAAAATTTCGATAACGAGTGTAGCGTCGCCATTTGGCCTTTATGCTGTTCTATCTGCGATTTCATACAAGCTTTGCGTACGATACTGTGATATAATAAGTCGCTCTGTTTCTTCGTGTTTCCTTTTCCTCTTCTTTTTTTCTTCTTTTTAATTGCATGCGTGTAGAGCGAGCGGGAAAGATACACGATAAAGCAAAACGTGCAGAGGTTCGAAACCAGAAAACCGTCTGGCGGGCGTCGATTTTGATCGTTGCGCGAAAGCAACGGGACAAAAAGTGCGAATTTACCGTCTCCTGCGTTTAATTTCTAAACGATTAAAGCGCTAGTAACGCGGTGCGTTTGCACGTTACCGCAGAGGCTAAATATGTGAATATAAAAAAAAAAAAAAAAAATATGTAGAATTTCAGCAGCAGGTGCGTCGAGAATACACGAAATACACATAATAATAACGAGAATCATGAGAAAAAACGAAGCTGGCCGATTTCCATTTTCTTGCATGTTGTATCTCATTTTATACTTGTTATAATGCTTTCTGTTGCTGTTGCGAGTCGTTTTTAATTCTTGCACAGCTTTCTCTCTCTCTCTCTCTCTCTTTCTCTCCTTTTTTTTACGTTCAATGTCATTCGCTATCCAGAATAGTTACAAATAATAACTGTTATCGAGGAGGGGGGAGTGTTAGTGGTGAAAAGTGTATGATGAAAGAGTCGAAAACATCAATGCAAAATGCAATTATGTTGGAAAATTGGACAATTACTATTGCACAATAGTACAATTGCTCAGACATTGTTTCATTTTAGTTTTTTTTCTTTAAACAAACTACGTACACCGACGCGTTCCAAAGTAAGCGAGAGAAAATTTTTAATATCGGTAGATCTGGATTTTTTTTTTTTTATTATTAATACATTGTTCGTCAAAGTTTGATAACTGTTCAACTATTTTTTCTTCTTTTTTTTTATACATTGTATGAATCCTACCATTTATTTTGGACGCGAAAATGTTTTGTTTTTTGTTTACTAGGAGGATGTCTCCTAAGATCTACGCCTAATGTTTTGTCATCTTAGTCTTATTTACTGTATCGGCAAAGAGTAACTCTGAAAATTGGGGTTTCACGTTCGACTGTCCTTTGGTTAATTTATTAACTCCGGAAAAAAAAAAAAAAGAAAAAGGAAAGACAGAAAAAGCATCACAGAAATGCGCGACATTCCTTTGCATCATGTTTCAAGGAAGATACTTTTATCTCCCACGACGATTTAAAAGCGAATTAATTTATTCCTCGATTTGTCTCAAGACTCGCAAGAAAATATTTTGTTCTTAACCATTAACGGAACTTCCCAATTTTTATGTATGCATATGTATGTGTGTATGTGTGTATGTATGTATGCGGTAAAAAAAAAAATAGAAAAAAAAATCTTAAACAGCGGTTATTGGATAGATGCAGCACAGAAAGGGGGAAGGGGTGGGGGGGGGATAAATAAAAAAGGTGCAAATGGTGATGCGAACGCGCCCAAAACAAAATGCGACAGGAAATTACGTTTACGGTTGATAAGCACGCACGTTGCCATTTGTTGTTACTGGTTATTATTATTAATATTATTATTATTTTATCATTGTCCTTTAGTTGGAATTCGAACATTTGTCCTTTTCTTTTTTTTTTTTTTCGCTTATTCTCTTTAGTGTTTAAGGTTACCATGTTTCGCCTTTGAAACTATCGTCGCCGTACACACATACATTGACATTTCGTTCTTCACGACTTTTTAACTGTAAAGCCGAATTAAAAGGCGTTTTGTGATCTACCATCGGCATTAATCGTCTCGTTTCTTTATTATTATTATTACTATTATTATTATTATTATTATTATTAATTATTATAATTATTAATATTATTATTATCGTCGTCGTCGTCATCGCTTCTCATCCGTGCGAATGGGTACCATCATTCGATCTCGCCGGAATTGTGCGCTTCACGAGTCCACATTGCAGTATATTTTTTTTTTTTTTTCTTTTTGTTTTTATTTCGTTCATAATGTAATAACTATTTGCGTTACTTTATATTGGTTGCACCCACTATGCACTGAATGCAACTTCTTCGGTTTTTTGTCATCGATATTATTATATTGTTAAAAAGAAAAAGTAAAAAAAAAAGAATAGAGTTCAAGAATTTGTATTTATTGCACTGAGTACGACCAATAGGTATAAAAAGTATATAACGACCAGTATGTCACTGCGCAAAACGAAAAAAAAAAAAAAAAAGTATTTCTTTCCTTTGGCTATCCTGCGTAACGGTTATTTCACGATAATTTAGTTGATCATCACATTTGAAGTGTTATATATATATATATATATATATTTATATATAGACGGATATAGCATTAGAAAACAGTGTTTCTATTATTTGTACGACAAACTTTGATAGTGTATATTCAAATTCGTACAGTTCGTCTGGAAATACTTGATAACAGAAAATCCTTCCCCCACTCGAGTCACGATCAGTGATGGACATTCGCGGGAATTTTGGTCATGCGCTCCAGTGCGCATGATCACTGCCGTATACAGTTAACTAGAATTTAGGATATCGTTGGGTCCCAGTAAGGAACAAAATTTAAGGAAGTTACAGAGAAAGAAAAAAATTCCTCTTAATCTACATGAGTGTAGCTAGAGAAATACGTAGGGGGTCTTCGATAAGTTAATTTTTGTGTGATTGGCGAGCTATTTGAAGCAGAAAGTTCAATTTTGTACAAAACATGGGAATTTCCAACTTGCAACTCTTTGCGCTAAAGGTACATCTATGGCAGAAAGCTAACGCATGCGCAAAAACGAATCCCACGAGGGAAGATTCTAGTGCGCATGTCCAAAATTCACACGAATGCCCATCACTGGTCACGATCACTATTTGGATTTCATTTAACTACTTGTCATCCCAGAGACGAAGAATGCCAACACACAACGCAGCACAGATGACGGGAATCGTCTCGACAAAACTATTTTTATAGTTAGTAGAAATACGATTCAGCGAGTTTAAAGTATTGATTTTATAAACGCGATAGCGTAGTAGAAACGCGATTACCGTGTTCCTACGAGTTATCAATTACGACAGTCGAGCAATATATCAGTGTTGCTTCTTTGTTTTTGTAAAATAGAGACAATAAAGGATATCATTACAAAAAAAAAAATAAATATGAGAGGCAGAGTAAAGGGAATAACAATTCGATTGGTTATCGCGTAAATTTGTCGAGTGTACGTCAGACCGAGACCAACGATAAGAAAAATTTTTGTTCAATCAATCGAATCAAGCAAATCTGTAGTGACTTATCGTGACATTTATTCGAGTGAACGGTTATTTATGTAAGCTTTTATTTATTCCAAATGAAATATTGTTTTGTCCTATGATCGATATGCAAGTAAACGTAGTATTTTATATGCCTTCACTTAATAAATGCTATCGCAGATTTAGTTTGTATGTAATTTTTGTTCCTATTAAATATACGGTCCAGTTGAATTGGACTTTTTACTGGGAAAGATTTCGTGATATTGTCAAAAAGTTCCTTGAAAATAATATAGACGTTTGTTTTCGTAATTCATGAGAAAAAAGGTACAATCGAATGGTCCTTAACGATTACATTGGCCTTGTTACGATGTGATGTAAAATAAAAACGTTATCTCAATTTTTCGCGAAATTGAAGGTGTATTGTTTCTTTAAAAAATCGTAATTTCCGCAAAATCACGCCCAAGTTTGTCGTGGAATAGTTCGTATCGTTCACGCTAGATGGATTTCTCGACAAGCTTGGGCTTTTTAGCACCAGAGGGCAATAGCAGGTATACACTATCTCACGAGCCACGTGTACGTGAGCTCGACACTTCGCACAACTTCGGGAAATCGACAAAGAACGCCAGTGTTGTGAATCTTTCCTTTTTGCTCTTGTAACAGCTGAAATACGATGTCCCGATAATCAGCATACGATTTAGAACCTCGACTATCCAGCATTTTTACTTTCCGACCTATGTAGCCTCACATAAGCAAAATACTACAAGGAATAAAATATTTTGTGAAATTTTTGTTACGGAAATACACGTTTTAAGACCCAGTATATAATCTCAAGTTATTATTACTATAGGGAAGGATGTAATTATACATGAAAGAAACAAATTAAATTTGAAGATTAAATTTTTTCCATTTGAGATTTCGCGGTCAGGAATTTCATTTCATGTATGCATACTTGCATATAAGTAACCAAAAAAGTGCTATCGTTGCATTACTTGCATTGATGTATGTATTTCTCATAGGAAAATGATGTAATTAATTAAGCTTAACGGATAGAAGTACATTTGGTATAATAATATGCAAGTTGATGTTATTCCTTTATTTAAGATGTATATATCAGTATCACGCAGTCTTTAAAGTACATTTTTATCCACAGCCAGAAATCATGGCATTATTGTAGCTTTAATTAGTTCTATTAAGTTTAAAATAAATGAATACTAAACAGTATTGAGCAATAAGCATATACTAATATCTGTAATTTGTCAACAAAGAGGAGTCCATACAGCCCATACAAATGGCAATATAATTTTTGTAATAAGAACTCGTGTATATTCGATGAAGTTAAATTGTACTTCAGATTTTGGAATAGTTGAAAATCATTGAGATGTTCTAACATTACCTAAACAAAGTTACATAATTCCCTATGTAAATAGAATATGTTAGACTCAATGATTTATAAATATTCAAGAAGATTATATAATTTCAATATAAAAGATATTTTAGTATCTAAACTTAACAATTACATAAACCGCGTAGAATGATTAACAAACGTCAAACTAATGTTTTCTTAATTATAGTATCAAAGAACTATCTAAAAGTATTAAACGCCTTGACATTGAGATTCAACACAAACTGTTTCACTTACCGAGGATCATAAATTTCAACATTAATAATGAACGCTTAAAATTGTAACATGTATTTCGAATTTATTGCTTCAAATAGCATAATCGAAGACTGTAGCAAGTAAACAAAACAATCGATTTGTTAATAAAGTTGACCGAGCGTCTGAAATCAATTTCCTGCTACAAGTAGCATTTGCTTCGGTCGCTAACGAAAAAAGAAACTTGATAAATTTGATTAAAATGGCGATTTAGTAACGAAAAGTAATACAGAAATAATCAAGCGGCCAGTTGACGACGTCTACTCAATTCGTGATCTATTAAAACAGAAATGTCGGGATGACGATGAAGGGTCGTCGAACAATAGTGTACCGTTTGGCTTGGATCTGCACCCGCTTTCAGCAACAATCTCACCGCATTAACAAAGCCGCTTTCCGTGGCTACTTGGAGGGCTGTCAACCCTTCTGTGTTTAGTTTTTCTAACTGCGCGAGAGGGGACGTGACTAACAGGGAAACGATCTGATGAAAACCTCTTGCTGAGGCTAAATGCAACGGTGTGTTACCACCTGCATCTTGTACGCTAGGGTCCTCCCCTTGTTCCAACAATTTCGCTACCATGTCGGCGTAATTCTTCCTAGAGGCAATGTGCAACGGTGTTTCGCCATAGCGCGACATTATACCAGTAGGCGTGTGCGACACCAACAAAAACGCTGTGTTCAAAGCACCACACTCGAGACACTCGTGCAGCGGAGTCTCTCCTCGGTCGTTCTTCAATGCCGGGTCCGCGCCGGCAGCCAACAAAGTCCCGATCAAAGATTCAATTTCAGTCCTGTGGTTGTTATCTGCAAGAAAACGGTGCCATTTTAAACGAACAGCTTGCACAAAATAAAAAAACAATTCGGGACAATCGAATCTCAAGTATTACTTTCGTTACTCGGATATATAAGGTGTATCGATAGTTTAATAAAAAAAAAAAAATATAACAGAGGATAATGATAAAAATTTCGCGAACAGTTCCTTTCGATAATGAAACAGAGATCATCTTGGAATTTTTCACATGGTTTTTTTTTCTTATCGTATCGTAGGGAACAGCAAAACGAAAATTGTACATCGCGTTAAAGGCTACATCTCGTGTAACATCGAGTATTTTTGGTAATTATTTAGGAAAGGTGAGGTCTCACCGAACATTTTGAATAACTTTTTCTTATACATATAACCGCCGCTCGGCCTTAGTTTTCGAGATTTTTCTTCAAAAAGATTGCTACTACTACAATGAATTCTGTCTACAGGGTGTCCCGTAAATAGTGTAAGAACCGGAAATGGGGGGTAGGTGAGACGATTCTAAACAACAATTTCCTTTGCAAAAATGTCGGATGGGGCTTCGTTTTTGAATTATTAACGAAAAACACTGACCAATCACGGCGCTCGCATGTGGCAGCGTGTGTGTAAGCGTTAAATCGCCGATTGTTTATTGTTTCTATAGATACATCAAGGATGCGTATAACGGGTGTGCTTAAAAACTCGAGTCGAGTATAAACAAATCTAACCCAGACCTAACCCAAAACTAACTAATCTAATGAATTAGGTCTAGGTTAGATTTTCTTATACCGGCCGCCATAAGGCGGTCGGCCATTTTCATTTTCTATTTCAATTTTCTTTACTGATATCATCAAAATTGGGAAAGATTTCAGCCATCATTTCGAAAAATTTCATTATTCGATCATTAAAATCATATTGTCGACGGAAGAAGAATTCAGCTAAATAGCCTACATAATATATTTGGCGAGTTCCATACTTCGGAATATTCGAACCTTTGACAGCAATAACGATACCAATGCAGAACTAGATTTAGCTTGACACGTTATACATTATCTGTCGTCGGTTGTCATGCCGATTAATACAAACAAGAGAAAAAATCGACGATCATATACATATAGATATGTATGACATGTACATATAGATAGAATTCATTGTAGCAATCTTTTTGAAGATAAATCTCGAAAACTAAACTTGATTTCTACAACATGTTCCAAAATCATCGAAATCGGTGGGACTCCACCTTTCCTAAATAATTACCTTAAATTTTCGAAAAATGAAACGAATGTAAAGTAATAGTTTGGTTTTAGTGAATTGTACCGAAGATGGTGGAAGAGGCTAAAATGTGTAGTGCACTGCGGCCTTGATGATCTTTCGCATTGACAGGGCCGGCGCTCGCTAATAAATCAAGCGTCTTCAAGGCCGCGTCGAAGTTATGATGAAGGTTCTTCGATCCTTGCGCATGTGCTAATTGCCGAGTTAATACGTGCAACGCCGTTAATCCGCCGCCGGCCTCTTTGACGCTCGGCGGGCAACCGTATTTCAGAAGCTCTCCTACAAATTCTAATACGTTTCCTGGTCCTCCATTTAAAATTACTCTGTGAAGCGCCGTTTCGCCGCGAGGGGAACGCACAGCTGGATCGCATCCGTTCGCAAGCAACAAACTACAAACCAAAGAATTTTAATTATTGCACACGATCGATTTTGCCTCCCCGTCAAATCGTAACATTATTATCAAGAGAATTCAAATCAAATTGTACGATACATTTGATGTATTTGTTACTTAAAAATAAATAAATAAATAAATCGCATTATGAGTTGTTATTATTTCAGAGCCAAGGTTCCGTACTATTTATCTTCGTAAGATTAATATTACAAAATGTTATATGTTTCTTGCAAGACAGATGTTGAAATTCTTTCGAGAACAGTGTGCATTTGAACATCTGGTTACAATATCCAAGAAAGGTAGAGGCAAAGCGTGCAAAGCGAATGTGGTTTTCACAAATATGCAACGGATTCTTTTCGACTAAATTTTTGCTGATCGTGAACGCTTCACGCGCGGCGACGATTCCGATGTTCGGATATTTTTTTCGACGTCAGCGAACTCCCCACCGAAATTGAGCGGTCAAAATTAGAATTCAGTAAAATCGATAAAATTAGAATCGTTGGATTTATGTCACAAAATACTACGATTTTGATTAAATGGAAAACCGATTTCTAACTTTGTCGTTCGTATTACTTTTAAAAAGTTAATGTTTATATTATAAAATATTTACACCGATGATAATTGAAATTTACAAAGTAGATCTCTCAGTGAAATAACTCGCGGATGTATTTCGAAGGAAATACAATTTTTTAAACAAATATTATGGACAATTTTAAAAATTTCAAGTATAATTTTTTTTTCCCCTGCGCGATAAAGAAATGTTTAAAATTTTATGAATATCAGAATATTTCTCGTATAATATCGTAACAAGAATGTATAAATGTGAAAATTTCTTACCTTAGGATGGGCAAACAATGATTAGTAGCGGCCACTAGCAGGGGTGGATCACCTGAAACATTCCAATCCGGTTCGTCCAGGTTTTGTACAGTGTCTTTTGTAAGAAGCGCTGCGACGCTCTTGGCGTCGCCAGCGCGCACGGCCTCATGGAAATTCAGCTCGCTTTCTGGATCATAAATTTCCTCCGCGTCGTTTTGAAAATCAACACCTCTCGACGATCCGTTCCGTACCTCGTAATTGATCGTAAAGTTCGCCATTTCTGTAAACATGCTCTTGATGGAATTTTGTAATTCCTGTATCTTAAAATTATCGTTCAAGGACAGATCAGTTCCACGTGTTTCCGACATTGCATTTTCGGTATCACTTTCGGTGGCAGCCCCGTCCAGTCCTGTTGATACGATCGAATCAGAACTCGACTTTGCTGCACTCGATTCACCGTTCACCGACACTTCACTGTTTTTCATTTCGGTCGGCTCGACGATTGCATCTTGATCATCGTCGACCATAGCTACAATATTTTCGTTTCTCTCCGAAAATTCACCGTCCTCGGAATGTTTCCTGCATTCCGGGGCATCCGTGTCTTTTTGTTCATCGAACGCAGTTGTATCAGCCGATACACAAAGCGTGGGTTCCTCCTGATTAACGGATATTTCCTCTCGATTCTGGCCACCTGTTGCAAGCCTCATCATTTCTGCACAAGTAATTTCGTTATTATCCTCGCGTGCCGTTTGCTCTTTCGCGTTGTGCAATGTTTTATTGGCTAACACGCTCGTCTTCTTCTCTACGTTCTGTTCCTGGGTTATGGGATCGTTCGCGTAAGCAGCAGTCATTGTGACGATTGTTGCTCGCCTTTTAATTGAGTCTGATTCACTGGTAATTGGCTCGACGCCTTTTAACAGGAGTAGAGTCTCGCACCGTGATCTACTTTACAGTAGTCATCGCTTGCGTTTTATCTTTTTATTTTTATTTATTTTTTAATACACCTGCTTGTTCATTCCTCCCTTGGTGCCGTGTCGGTTATCGGTCATGCGATCAAGATGCCAGCAAGTACGAATTATGAATGCCTATGCGTGAGTCCGAGCGTAGAACCGACTCATAAACGAACCGACCGAATCAAGAATACGTGACTGAAAATCAAATGAATCTGCTTACGAAGCGTCGCCTGCAGATCTCTACGCTTCTCCCCTCCTTAACTTGTTCTTAACTTCCCCACTCTTGCTCCTTACCCGACTTCTTATAACCCTCCTGCGGCGCATCCAAGGAATTCATTGTAGACCCGATACCCTAGAAATTGAATTCGACGTTTCTCTTTCGTTTAAATGTTTCGGATCTAAATGATTCATTATTTATTCTTCCGTTTGACGAATTAGTACTACAATTTATACTTTTATAACCTAAATTACACACCTGTTTATTGTATAATTTTTTAATTTATTTTATTCCAAAATTAAAATATCTCCTTTTTTTACTTTATTCCTTCACTCGATCTTTGATTCTCCAAAGCATCGTAACGGAAAGCAAAATGAGGAACTAAACTATAAAGATTGTAGATATGTTTGATTTAACATCTTTTTTTTTTTTTTGTAATAATAATTGCAGGCATAATTCTTTCCATATTATATTTCGTCGTATGAATGGTATGGGTACCTTTATCGAAGCAATTTGTTTATATTTTCAATATCTTGTAAGAGCACCATATTCGCACTAATTTCAACGATATCGATATGTTACGCGTGCCAAGTGAAAACAGTAATTGTGTGTACATATGTACATATATATATATATATATATATATGTCCATTTGTGAAAGTTCGATACACGACTGAAAATTAAATGAGCTGGTTTCACCAATGGAAACAAATTAAACAGTTTTTAAATGTCACCGTTAACCCATTTTGTTTCAACAAGTTGTCCATTTTATTTCTCAACATAGTTGTAGTCAGTAGCGTAACTAGAGACAATGGAACGATTTAATCCGAGTAACACTTTGGTCTACCGCAATGAAAGAAAGTTTACATATACGTAAATTCTAAAAAAACAATTTTTCTTTTTTTACTTTCATCGTATCCATAACAGTACATTCAAAGCAAATTACGAGACTTTTCAATTATTACAAAAGATCGTATATACGTACATACATCGCTACATTTCCCTTCCTTTTATCATCGATACGCTGGCCATAATTCTTTATCCCTCGTTAGTTTTCTAGTTTAATTGCAAGATATACGAGTTAGTTTTTAGAAATGTAAGCATTCTTTGCATATGCAGCATTCATTTTGCTGCGTAAACAGTATAAGTCGCATTGACTCCGGAAACGACACCTATAGATGCTATTTAGACATCGTTAATTTAACACGTATAATTACGATACGAAATATCATAATGAATAATTGTAGTATTACAAATGCTGACACATAAGTTTTATGCTTTCACCTAACATTGCATTAAATCCTGATTTTGATCTCTCCTTGTTAGAATGTTTTGAAGAAAAAATTTTCTTAGAAATCGAGAGAGGCCTGGGTCACTTACCTTATAGAAATCCGTAGTATATAAACCTCACCCCCCCCCCCCCCCCCCCTCTTTGTAAAACCTCTGGTAGGCCTACATTTAAATTATAGTATACATAAGTGCACATATTAAAAAATTCTTTATTAAATGTGAACTTGAATGAACATAGTTGGACGATACAGTGTATCAGGATTTTTAATTTCTACAATTACGAACAAAAAAAAAAAGATATAAGATGAATTTCATATTAATAAAACAAACATTCTTCTTTTTCTAAATTTCATACGTGGTTTGCTAAGAAGAAAATGCACTTTGGTGTAACTTATTTAAGAAAAATTATAAAAAAATTATACTTCTAAGTTTGACATAATTCTTATAGCATTATTTTATTAGCTTCTGAAAACTGCATCTTGTACTTCCATTAAATGTGTTCACTGAAATAAAAATACCAAGCGTTAATAACAGTTTTACACTTCAATTCGGTTTTAAGTTAATTTGAAATACTCTTGAATCATCGACTGAAATATTTATTTAGTTTATTCAATGCGTTAGAGATGCGCGGGTAACCCAAAACTGGAATTCAGGCGGTTGAGAAATTAGCGAATTCAGCGAAACTTGATACACCGTTGCGCAGTCGAATTGCTTCGATACTGTCCGGGCGAAATTATACTTATTAACTAAAAAATACGCACCACTTTATCTGCTGCGGGATCTAGAAACAGATTTGGATCTTGTCTTGCGCGGACTACGATCTTTAGAACCAGATCTCCGTTTATTACGAAGCTTTTCTTTGTTATAACCACTTCTACTGCGAGAACGGCTACGAGACGAAGATCTTGAATGCTTGCTTCTGGATCTTGATCGAGAACGTGAACGAGACCGTGATCTTGATTGGGATTTTGATCGTGAATAAGACCTGGAGTGGGATCTATAATAAATATTAAATTAGAACGATGATTACATTGCAAGTGCCTGTGAGTTTAAATTTTACTGCCTTTATATTTGCTTTGAAAACTTATTATTTTACGTTATGTAAAGTTTTTTTTATATAGTTTAAGAGCGTGTAACATAAAATGCATTTCTTAAAGTTTAACAAATAATTCATAGAATGAGGCTTGCAAAAATGTGACAAGTATTCAGGAAAAATGTAATAATTTACTTCATATTTAATAATATAATAATTGCTGATATAGTAATATTTTTAAATTTTGCAGTTTATTCGCTACCTATATCGTTTTTTCCATTTACTTTTTTCCCTTTGCTTAAATGCCAATATATAAATGTGAACTCTTTGTTTGTAAACCATGGTACTATATTATTTATCTAATTTTAACTTTAGAAAGAATTACATTAATTTCTGTTCAATATATATTTGATTGTTCTACTTATATACCGTCTTTCGAAGTTGCTTATAGCAGACAGTCGTAGAGTATGCAATGGTAATGCCAGGAAGGGGAGAACGGATGAGCACTTATGCAGATGAAATCACGCGGAGGTCAGACGTATGGACGAAGAGTGGCTAGATGAGACGACTCAAACTTTTGTTTCTCAGTGACCACTAGGTGGCAATTAGGTAGAAACAGTAACACGAGCGAAGAACACCAAGGGTACCGCAAGTGCTGATGTGCAAAAACTTTCAGTTTAGGGTGATGTCAATGCTCATTGGAAGTATTGCAGTGCGTAGAACTAGCCACTCCATCGGCCCTGTTTTCCTGTTTTGCTCGTAGAATGCAGAAGGAAACCCAAAGTACATGGGTGCTCTACGCTGTAACTACGCAGTGTCACAAAGTGAACCCAAGGCGAATCTCGCGAGAATCTCAGTAGCAATGCATATCTCATGCGTATGCCTGTTCAGCCGCATCTCCTATAAATAATGGGCAGTATTACATCGGTATCATTTTTGGTATTTTAACCAGTTTTGTTTAGAGTATAGGATCTTCTTATGTTATTATGAAAAACGTTTATATATTATATACATAAATTGTCTCATACGTGTTACTCGATATGACACTTATTTTTGTAGAATTTAATTAATAATCTGTGTTGTATTAATAAACTATGCTATTAAATATATTCATATTATAGAGTATTCCGCTTACTGTTCAAATTTGAGCCTTACTTGAAACTTATCGTAGATGTTAGTCACATTGCACATTTAAGCATACATTTCTTAAATCAAATTACATACAGTATATGTCATATATTTCTTGCTTACTTGTCTGATATTTTTTTGCACGCCGTAAAACTTTACGTGAAATACATGTGATATATACTTACCGCTTTCGACGAGAACTTCTATGACGTACACAATCTCTAGCATAGTGGCCTCTTTCACCACATTCGTAACATCTATCTTCGGGGTGAAATAATCTTCCAAAGCCTCTTCTAGAATAACCTCTGTCTCTTAATCTTTTTCCATTGGATGGTTCAACGCGAGCACGTCTTCCACATATAGTCCTTCCATCGAGTCCCCTTACCGCATCTTCCGCGTCTCTAGCATCTTCAAATTCCACAAAAGCAAATCCCGGTGGATTTCTAGCTACCCACACATTTCTCAGAGGTCCATAATATGAGAAAGCATCCTCCAATTCCTGCTTTGTCGCACTGCTTCCTAAGTCTCCTACATAGACTTTGCAGTCTGAAGGGTATCGTGACATCTAAAATAAATATGTTTACATAACATAGTGTACGTTTATTCACATTTGATTCATTTTTGGTAACCTACACATTGCACATAAAATATTAAGAAACGAACACAACAATAATCAAAAAATTCATGTACAATATTACAGACTACTCATCACTTCTTCGTAAAAGGTTATCATAATTAATTTTTTTATTATATAGCTTTAAGTACTATACATGTTGTTGCACCAACGAGATATTTATTATTTTATTTTAACAATTATAGATTTAATCAGATATGCGATATACGCTCAATTTTCCGAATAAAATATTCAACTATTTTAGGAACAATATGTGATACGTTCAAAATAATTATACCTTATTCATTGTTGCTTAATTTATTGAATACGAGCGTACAGCGATGTAATCACAAAATATTCAATTAATTTTACATTCCGATGAAACAAATTATACGTCAATTTTTCGCATTTAGATATCGATCTCGTTGAAATATAGGGAATGACTCTCAAATCCAGGTTTTAGCTGTTTAAAAGTATAAACGTAATCGATTAAAAGTATTTGACTAATCGATATAACCAATGTGAGATGTATATATATCTTAAAAATGATTTACACGCAATCTTGTCCTCCTCCAAATAAATAGACGCCAAGTCACAGAAGGCTAAAATTTCCTAATTAACACATTTCTTCGTTTAATTCGTGTAAGAAGTAGGTAACAATATTTCAGGGATTACTATTGGCAGAACTGGAACCAATTCGGAACCACTTCATGTCGCTCCGTGCTAGTATAAACGAAATTAAGTTGCAGTTTGAGTTTTCGTTATTCACGAAAAGTTAAATGAAACTCGTTCAGGAATTTCGAATAACTGTAATTTGTATATATGCTGAGGAGGTATGAATTATAAATGAACAATTCAAAATCAGGATATCGAAAGGAATAACGTATTTAAAACAGCTGGTTATTTGTGCGAATGGCGATACAAAAAGTTCAACAGCGCACACGTGCACCGCTGCAAAAGTCTGTTCAACGATTGTTAAAGAATAAACGTCAACAAAAGCCAGCGACCGAAGTGAATAAAAAAGATGGAAAGGCTATTATTATTGCTCAAGAGATTAAATTCATTCGATTGCTGTCGAGCAATGATAAAAGGGTTCGAGATAAAGTACTTAAAAATTTAAGGAAATGGTTGACAGTTCGTGCAGAAAGTACTTTTGGTATGATTATTAGAATTATTAACTGAAATTGCTTATTTTTATGTATTTAATTATTACTTATTTATGTAATTACAACTATATATTTAATACATAGAGTATATTTTGTTGACAGCATTTACGGAAGCAGATTTCATGCGTTTGTGGAAAGGGTTGTTTTATTGTATGTGGATGTCCGATAAACCTTTAATACAGGAAGAAGTAGCTGAATCTATTAGTAAAATTGTACATTGTTTTAACGTTAAAGACGTAGTGTTACTCTATACCTTGTGTGCTCTGAAAACATTAAGTATAGAATGGTTTGGTATAGATCAATATAGATTAGACAAATTTTCTATGGTAAGATTTAAAATTCTATTTTATTATTTAAATTTATGAACCGTTGCATTTGAAAATTGTATATTTTTATGTACTTGTTTGCAGCTAGTTAGAAGAATAATTCGTCAAACTTTTAAGAAGTGCAAAGAAACATCATGGGATATAGAATGGGTAAAAGGTATTTCCCAAGTACTCGAAAAAGTACTAGTGGACCCAAAAACGTGTCTTGGTTTTAGTATGCATTTAACCGAAGTGTTTTTAGAAGAACTTTCAAAAGTATGTTAACGTTGAAATTAACGTATGAAGAAAAGAAAAATATTACTTATTTTTACAATATAAATTTAACGTTGCCTAATTACTCAATTTCTGTTAATATCTGATGTTCACAATAAATTTAACATTTGATATCACAGATCAGCGATGGTGTCATATCAGAGGATGCAGTCACAGAATTCGTTAAACCATTTATTTCCTATTTCATAATCATGGACGATGAAAGACGAATTAAACATGTTACAAAACATATTTTTAAATATTTAATCATTCAGTCAGATATTGGTATGGATTATGTGGAGAAATTTAAAGCCTGGAGAGATGTGAGTAGCACAAATTATATTATTTTAAAGAGAAATGAAATTAATTATATCATACACACGCATAATATATGACGTTCATTCGTACGTAGGCTGGGTTTCCTGCTGGTTCTATCGATGCTATGGAAAAGATTGAATTACCAAATGAAAAAGCACAAGATAATAATGGTACGGAAGAAGAAATGTTTCTTCAAAATCAAATGAAACCTGATACAGAGAAAGTATTGGATCCGAGAGCTGGGAGAGTGAATGTTGAATTATCACAGATACCATTTAACGCTAAAAAGATCGCTACATTATTAACTCAATATAAATTTCATTCTTCGTCGACAGCAAAATCACGTAGACAGCTAAATTCTCTTATCAATGAGTAAGCAATGATCGATTAAAAATTACAATTTGCAGATACATCAAATTTGATTTCTATATTTATTTATTTAACGAATTACATCTGCAGATTTACGGAACTGTCGAGTGGTAAAATGCCACTCGGTATTAAAGAAATAACACTACCGAATGTACGGAAGAAGGATACAGATACAAAATCAGCCGCGAAACGTCTATTGGCATTTGAAAAAAATTTACATTCTGATACAATACAAAAGAAACGTAAAAGAAAAAGAAACGGGCAATTGGCGCAAGATGAGAACGATAAACTTAACGGAGAAGCCTCTGAAGATATCGATATTGAAAGTAGTATGGCAAAAGTACCTAAAATTGAAGTTACAAAGAAGAAAAAGATGCAACATAAAATCGATATTATTAATAATTTGAAACAAAAACATCCACAAGCGTCGCGTGAAAAAGTTCTTCGTTTGAAGAAGAAAAAATATGAAACAAAGGTAACCGACGACGACGATAATTGTAAAGTAGATGTAAGAAATAGCAAGTGTAAATCAAAAAAGGATTCTTTGCTTTTAATGAGGAGTGATAACGAATCGAAAAAGATTAAATTGAAAAAGAATAAAGCTACCACTGTGAATACATTAAACATTATTACGCCGATTAGAAAAAACAGAATAGCAAAAGTGAAAGTTTGCGGCAAATGGGATGTTTCTGATAATGTAGATACGTCGACACCTTTGCTATTAAATGATAACAAGACAAAATCGCATACGGAAGTTGTTAAAACATCAGTTACAAGTGACATTGTCCAGAAGGATAACAGTTTCAATGGGCAACTGAAGTGGATGGAACCTGTATTAAAGAAATTGAAGAATGATATAAATGTGAGTCTTTGAACAACTACTAATATTATTTTCAATTTTAACAAGAAAATTATTTTAAGTTCCAATTCCTATTTTAAAATATCAAAGCTCAAACGGTTACTTATTTGTTAATATATATATATATATATATTACAGAAGACACCAGTTAGTTTAAAAGAGCAACATAAAATGAATACCAGCTTAAATTCGAAAAAACGAGTGAAAATAGCTCTTCAGCATAATACTGTTCAACATAAATCCGAATATATTTTGCAACTTCGGAAAAGTCCATCTATTCCTTTTGATGCAAGCAAGAAGCCATTAGTGGGTGTACTAAAGGCAAGTCCTATACCCAGTCCGATTAATCCATTTTATAAAAGAAAATATTGATTGGAACGCTTGGTAGACTAACAATGAGGATATGTAACTGCTTGTTAATGAAATAAAAACTCCAAGTTTTTCAACCAGGTGTTACGTTTCTTGATACTCATTTAACAAATACAAGAATATTATTTTCTCGTGTCAATATTTGATCGAGATATTTGTACACGTTACTTAATAAATTAACAGCACTTCTTATACAAATATACATACATAATAATCGCATTCGCAACTTAACGTAACTATGACTTCTTTTTCAGTTTTGTTATGTATATCGTGTACAAATATCTGGGCCAACGAGACAAATTCCATAAAAATAACATTCATTAAAATTAATTGTGTACATATATTTGTAAATTTATAAACAATCGGAATAAAATTTTGTACATGATAACATTCCTAAGTTACACTTGTCCATACTATTTATTCACATAATGCTACTTCGACTATACAGCATTATATATAACTATATAACATTTATACAACAATAAAATTACATTAGTCACAGCATGGAATACACAGAGATAATGTAATTACTTTGTTACATTAAGTGTAATGATGTATTACAGTTTCTTTGATAGGAATATTTAAATCTATTTTCTCAAGAAAGAAAAAATTACTTGCATTTTATAAATGCAAGTTATTAAAACAAATTCTTATGCAGGATTCAATTTCATATTTATAAATAACCCGTGATAATATTAACCGTTGTCCAAAAATAAATTATTAAGATTACTTTACAATTTCACTGTTACGACACATTACATGGTAATATAAAGAAATATAATTAAAAATAATATTTCCTCATTCTCATAACAATATTTATACATATATAGATTGAGAGTTACGTTATAGTTTGCCTGGGAATCAACGCACATAGAACTTTTATATTAGTTGAGAACTAGAAATATTTCAAAAACGACAAATCCTTAAAACTGTGTTCTTGTCGATAAAGTTTATACACATACGCTAATACATATATTTCTTTGGCACACGAATTCACTTTTACTTACGTTTATAATTCCTCTATAACTATAGAAAAATGAAACATCAGCTACTATTACAAACAAAACACCTAAAATTATATTCCGCACTACACACTTCATCGATACAAATTACACTTTTTTTTGTTTCTGTGTTGAAGCAATTGTTGTAGCTTTACGATACCTAAAAATATTATAAAGTTGTTCTTCAAATATTGATTTATGTAATAAATAAAATAAAATATTGTTTTCTGTATCAATTAAATATATTTAAATTAGTCATAATTCTTTAAGAAATCCCAAGTGCATAACTATCTCATACTTTATGTTGTTTGAATTTTATCGTTTCTAGAATTTTGATATATCTTACAGAGCAATTTTGTTAAACATGTATGTACATTTGTACTTCGAAATATGAGATAATGAGGCACTGATTGCAGCTACAATGATTTCACTGTGTCTAAACCAAACGTACAGTATATAAACAATATTTTCAAATGTAAAGTTGCAATTTTATAAATCAAAATATAAATGTATGCTGTATTATTCAAATATGTAACTACTGGCTACATCATTATACAATGATAGTAAATTTAAACGCTTCCCTAAAATTATAAAGTTTAATAACTTTAATATCGTTTAGAGTATATTTCTCATTATAAAGCTACACACATTTGTAGAAATAAAATCTTCTTTTATGATTGAAACATTCAGATCCAAATATATTTTGAATGCTATCAAGATTTTTGTTAGTCGTTTCATTATATTCTACCGACAGAATACAGTAAGAACTGTTTTTCTAAAATCTGTTACGATACAAACTACACTTGATAAAAGTACTATTACAGTTTGAATAGCAAAGTCTCTGAGTAATTTGTACAACACGAGTTTACAAGTATAAAGGTCGCTATTGTAAAATATTCAATTTAAAAACGTCCTCTCCTACTATTAAATCAATTCTGCCGAATTAAATCCTAATGTTTTATTTATAGTCTTGACATTAATGTTTAGAAAAAGATGCCCCTAATATGGAAACAAATTTTATAAGTATTAATACTGGATATATATTTGGAGGATAGTAAACTCACAAAATGTGAGTTAGCAAAACGTTCTTCTTTAAAAAATGTATTAATTTGATTTTTAACGTTAACCCTCTGTAGTCCACAGCGTGTATAGATAAAATTATGAAATATAATGCATTTATATTGTCAGAAAGTATACAGTAGCAAATTGTAAACAGTAGTTATATCAATGATTCCTTGCGCGAGAAAAATTATTGTTATTGTATATATAAATTCTTTGCTGCAACTAGAAATCCAAAATGTTAAATTTCTAATATTATGTTTATAACATTTTATAAAGGCAATCTACAGAAGGTTAATACTTGCTATAATATTAAAATAAATCGAATATTATTGTTTCAGTCCTATCGTTCCTTTCCATTCCATGTACTACATTAAATTTTTTTGACTTACAATTTTGAACTATCGTTAATAGTACTATCGTTAATAGTACTTAGTAGAATGTAAGTATTTCAGTCGGTATTAAAGAGCAACATTTCTTTTATATTAATTCATATAGTTTTGTCGTATTTGTAAAATATTTTTTACTTTATAAAATAAGTGTTCCCACGCGTTACAATGTTCTGATTTGAGTTCTTGTTCTATCACTTAAAATTTCTACTAAATTTCAAAAATCAAGTGTATTTCAATATACTTCAAATTCATAAATATAATAAATATTCGTCGAATTTTAAGTATATTTGGAATTATATTAGAGAAATAAATACTACACGCTAAAGAGCCACAATTGAAAATCTTATTAACTACGTTTTTGTTTTAAGAAATTAAGTTTCCAACGCCAATACCAACCCGTTTCAAGCTGATTGAAACCAGTACTGAAAAATGACAATGCAACAAAAAAAGATGACAGAACCAATGCCCATAATTGGAACAACGGGGAAATAATAAGCAAAAGTACCGCAGCACCTGAAATAAATCGATTATTTTAAGAGAATATTGCCAGAAACTAATGGACATAAATTTCCAAGTATGATAAAACCTCACCTGTTAAAATACTCCAAAAACATAATGCGACTTGTAAAGGAAATTGTCTTGTCAAAGGCCAGATTTTAGCGGAGAAGGTTTTTTTGTCATAAAATTGTTTCAAAACTTCTTCCTTGTCGAACCATCTTTCTTCCAACCATCGTCTTAATGTCAAATCATGCGTCGGCATATCCGACGATGGTATTCGTTTAATATGAAAATGCACCTCATTCGGTAATTTGCCTTTGATAAAATCTAATTCAGATTGTGGTATGTAATCAGGATATGCAATTGTTAAGTCATAAACGGCATCTACGTAGTTTGCTTGCTGAAGGTGCTGAACTAAATAACTAAACCCTGTTGTCTTCGGATGAAGAGTAAAAGAATACTTGGGTAGCTTATGCTGCGAAGCATATCTGTCTGATCTTTCTTTGCTATTTTTCGTCAGGTCGGTACCCTCTGGAAATATAAGTAATTGAGATCGTCTGTCTAGGGCCACTAAATAATCGAGAGTACGTGACAATCGACTTTGATCTTCTTCCCATCGACGTGTTATATAAAGGAAGCCATTCATCTGCATTATCCATCCTGTTACACAATAGTTCTTTAAAACGTCTAATATTCTTTTATAGTTCGGAGTTATATGTGAAATAAAATTATAATACTTTAGATTTTGTTTTGGATCGGTGTGAATTTAGAATACTTTTCGTTCTATTACCTGGGCCTGGAATGTGTCTTATAGGATCTTTCAAAACAAATTTTAATCTATGAGTTGCTATACTAGGTAAGCATGCTTGGTACATAGCCGCCCACAAAAAATTCCAATCTACTCGTGTCCTGTGATTCATCACAAGTATAGCAGATTCGGTTGGAGATATATGATCCCCGGATACAAGGATTTGTACACCAAACACTTTTAAAAGGGCCTAAAACATTTGCGTAGCTGTTAATTTATATATATGATAATTTTAAACTAATGTGTACAAAAAGTTGTTTTTTAACAAAGAGTAACAAATAAATAATAATGAAATTTGTCTTACTTACTGTGGAATAAAGTTCCCAACAGGAAAATAAGAGATCGTTACATTTTCGAAATATCGGTGGGCTAAAGAATAACAATGGTAACATAGGACAAGCGATAAATAAAAACCCAGCCACTACGCTGCCGTACCATAGTGCACAGTATAAAGTACCACGTAAAAGTCCACGCACTGTAAAGTGTGATTTAGATATCTAAAGAGAAATTAAAGATAAAATGCTCGTATTCACATTTCTCGCACACAAGTATGTATATAAAACTTAGAACTTTACATTAACAGAACGTCTTTGTTAGAAATATATGCTTTCAAAAATTAGTCTACCATTATATCGAGAATCATAATTGTATAATAAAATAGAAACATATGAAATAGCGATGCTCCTTATTAATACATAATAAAATACTATTAAGTATTTATACATTATACATTAAGCGTTTCCAAAAGTTTTTAGTCGTATATCCTCAAGAGGATCAGCAATGTATGGTCAACATACAGATAAAGAAAGAAACATACAGTCTTTTCATTTAAAAAATACTTGCATACGTTAACAAGTTAACTCAAATCAAGAGGATGAAATTACAAATTTTTTCAAATTTCTCAATTTCAATCTTTGTAAATAAAAATTATAAGTGTCAACAATTTGGTTACTTAATAATGTATATTTAAAAATGAACAAAAATAAGAAATTGTTTATTTCTTTTTAATATCAATATGATTCAAATTAAAAAACATTTAAATCTACAGAAATAATTATGTTTTGAGTGACAGAGCTCACCTTATCATGTGTATACCTTGATTGAACCATTTTTGACAAGCATTGAATGTTAACTACCTCTTCCTGAAATATTTTTTCTGGCTTCTCTTCAATCTTACTAGAAGGGCTTCACTATGCTTCACCCCTTTCACCCCCATTCTCCACCCAGTGTCTACTGACTTCTGGGATGCTGTATTGGACCATTATTGATCTGCTAAAATAGGGGAAGAGTTCATAATTACCTACAAAACATAAGTTTCTTTCAAGTTTCATAACAAAGACGTAAAGCTATAAATATTGTAAAATGAAAATATTAATTATTATGTCGCAATATTCGTGTTCTTATTTGTTTAAATTACTTAGCCAAGTTTCATTTCGTAATCGCCGTTAATATATTAAATATTTGAAATAATGGAAAATATTTACGGTGACAATCGTTTATATATATTTTTTTAAAACAACAAGTTTAATTTTTAATAATAAATATTATTAAATGTTTAAAGAAATATATATTAAAACGAACAATGGAATAACTTAACTAATTCATAAAACAACTATCGGTAACTTTATAAATGCTGTCATTTCTTATTTATATAAAAATCCATATGCATCATACAGATGAAATAAAACAAATAACAACAAAATAACATTATATTTTAATTTCAATTGTACAAATATATTAGGTAAAGAGCATTTTTACCTTAAAGTTTAAAATTATTCGTACTTTACATTTTTGTTAAAGTCATTGGAATTTAATTGTACAAAAAAGTATTGTTCTTCATATTGTATTAATAAGAAAATGTATACAATGAAGATCAACAACAATAAATTCTACAAAAAGTAACTAAACCCAGTAGCCTCAATTAATATATACGCATGTATAAAATATTATTTGCTAGTATGTATAAACCAAGTACACCTTCCTAATAGCTTATAAAACTTTGCACCGCTGCTATGCACGTTTTTATTCAGATCTTTAAAAATCTTTTATAAAATTTGAATTAAGATAAAAGATTCATAATATCTTCTATAATAGATAAAAAGTTCTTTTAGTACCTGTATTCCATACTATATAATTATTCATTACGTTACTGTTTATATTGGTCTATAAGATAGGATTTTTATTTATATATAAATGCTTTTGAATGTGTAAGTGTGTGGATGCGCACGCGCGCGCGTGTGCGTGTATAATATAATTATTGGATACGGATCGGATGTACAAATACGCTATTGCTTGTTATCAAAGATATCCTGAATATTTTTTGAGAAGCGTACTCGCTTCTGCTTGCACTTTTTCATCTGCAGCCGACAATGCCGATTTATTTAATATTCCCTTTAATGTATTATGTGCGCATGAATACTGTTGCAAAGCAATATAACATTTGCTAATAAATAGTTGAAGTTGCAGAGTTTTTTTCCCCAGTCTTGCTGCCGCCTCGAAACAAACAAGTGCATCATTATACGAGACACTTTCGGAAATAAACGTTGCCGCCACCTAAAAATGATTCAAAACAATGTTTTTAGTATTTAAAAATTAGAAAAGAATAGAAAAATTTTTGGCTCGTATTATAATCATTTAATATTGTACCCGTCTTTCGAACCAACTCAAAATGGCTATCTCGTATTTAAACCGTCCAAGGAGATAATGCAATTCACAATCATCTGGCCGCATTTCTAAGGCCATCACAATATAATTCTTAAAACGAACACCGTTTTTTATTTTGTCTATCGTTGACAAGTAGTCTCCATTTAATCCTATGAGTATAGCATACCATTTGAACAAATCCGCATTTTGAATTTCAAGAACTTTTTCGCACTGTCCAATTCCTGTAATAATGAAATACTGTTTATTTTTGTTACACCACAGTATTTTTATGCAGGGACTTAAAAATACCGGTATTAACGGTGAAATATCGATACCATCACAATACCAATATCGATATTTCGGTATTATATCGGTTTCGATATATCTTTACTGACGTAATACCAATATTTAAGTCCCATTTTGTACGTTTGCAATACCGAACCTTCAAGAATTATCAACCTTCTAACATTTTTATCAGCTGTAGCTTCTGCATGTTCGTAACAAGCCCTTGCAAATCTCCATATTACTTCTATACTGTTTTCGTGAGATTTTATCAAAGTTTGTAGTTTATAGTATGTCTCGATATAAAAATCTTCATTCGCACCTTCATCAATCTCCTTAAGTGTTAAATCCAACTCGTTCAATTCCTCTGAGATCCTGTATTACTAAACATATAATCTCGTCCTTCTAAATTTTTTAAATAACTTTACTTCCCAAAATGATCAAATTCTAATTTTCCAAATTAGTATATAAGTAATTACGCTTAAATAATGAATTAAAGAATATAACTGGAATATTCTTAAGATGTTTCTTCGGGAAGTGGATTCACAGTTGTACTAGAATAAATTACAAATTCTCGTACGTGTTACTTATATAACTTTAACACATTTACATAATACGCATTTACATTGTTGAACCAACCTTATGTCATTTTCCCCGATGACGCTTTCGCTGTCAGAACAATCATAGAATTCATCATCACCGATTTCTGTGTCCGCTGTCGAGAAAGCATCGTTATCAGTCTCATTGTCCGTTACAGTAAACGTACTATCGGTAGAAACAAATCTTCGTGAAATTTTTCGTTTCTTTTTCTGTTGACTCTGTTGTAATCTTGGAAAAAAATTAAAGAAGGCTATAAATATCCGTTACTTAAATATATATAACTAAATATAACTCGTATAGCTGTGTATATATATGTATAACTTAATTTAAATAATAATTATATATGATTTATATAAAAACGCACTGTTGCCTTAACGCTTCTAATTCCAGTTGCAATTCAGCGATTCTTTTATTCGCAGCATTTAAATTGGAACTAACTGTATGTTGTTGGTCCTTGAAAATTGTATGATAAATAAAAATACTAGCTGCACTTATGACACCAACAGTCACACTAATGGTAGTAGCAATTAAATGTATATCGTTCATTATGCTGTAAACACAATATGCATAAACAAAATGTATTCAAGGAAACACGTTTATATGTAATTACTACAATGTTACGTACGTGTTAATAAAGAAAAATTGTAGATCTATAATCAAGGTAAATGCATCGATATATGTACCGTTATTTTCTCTATTTTTCTTTATAAACTGTGCTCAAAATTGTATCAATTTTGCATATGTATTATTCACCGACGACATAATAACTACACAGGCAATGTAAATGTTTTATCATTTTAGTCGAATGTTGACTGTATTGTCAATCGCTAATACGAAACAAGATTTTCTTCCTTTTTTGTAAAAAGAACGTTAACCACGCGTCGCGTAGCCACTCGCGTATTCTGTGTATAAGTGTATATATACAGTGTTATCAGTAGCAGCCGGTACCCAGAACTGCCCCACCGCTTGCGCACACTAACGCGCGCCCAAATATATATGAATCTACCGGCAATTGAAAGAGGACAGACATTCGGCAAATATATGTACCGGTGATTACGAAAGTGACTTAAGTCGATAATTTCTTTTTTTTTTATTTCATACTAGCATGTGCGGTAAATTCAATATTTTTTTTGGATTTTTTCCTCGCAATCGACACCATTATCATAACAATCAACATATTGGTACACGTAATATGATTTCTTTTTTCTTATTTAACAATATATATTTATTGCCGATAAAGTATTTTTTTTTTACAAGTTCAAAGTACAAAATTACGTAAAACATGTAACTCATAATTCGTAAAGAACCTTTCCATGACGAACATATTAATCGCTTAAGCACTTGGGCACATATCAGTAATGGTGTTAATATTTTCGTGATAGTTACAATTCTAAATCGATTTTGGATTCACTTCGTCCGTAAAAATATGCTGCTAGTAAACAAATACGGTTAGTGAATAATACAATTTTTCAAACAATTAATGTATACAATTATAATGTACAAAATTTAAATCACTGTCAAGAGTTACATAAACGTATTAATTGAAGCATGTGTTTATTTGAATAGTTACTTAAGATACATAAACTTACATTAAGAAAAATAAGTGTGGCTAGCATTATGCATATAAAATTACATACATAAATTCCTTTTCTAAAATGGCACCGAGAGCTTTTAGTATTTCTGCTAGTATTACTGTAACTTAGTAGTTCAAAACTTAATATATGTCATATATATAGATATCTACATTCAGAATAGTAGACGTTTAATTGTAATAACATAACTATCAGAAGTAAGTACAGTTGTATAACTTCCATGAGATTAACGTGCACAGTTACATAAGAAATGGCATTAAACAAATGAAAAATAAAATTAATCTCCAAACAGTCAAACTCTTGACAAATAACTATATATTTTTAGAATTGGTTAAATATGCTGTTCCAAAAGAAGCATCATTTGAATATACATAGGGTGAATCGTATAACTTCTCCATCCTGAATAAGTTGTAAAGTATGTATTCTATAAAAGAGTAATTTATAAAAGCAACCTATCCATTTACAAGATGTTCAGATTACCTAGAATTTGTTTAACGGTATGCATACATTTTTGTATCAAAATTTAAGAAAGCAGTGAATTTCCTAAAATATTTAAGCTATATTTGCCTTAAACCTAATAATTAGCAAAGTATTTCTAAGAAAACAAAAACTGACGAAAGATGTCACCTAACATTTTGTACATGGAGTTATTTAAAAAAAGAAAATATCATTGGAACATCGTAAGTTTTCTTCGATACCGTTTGATTTTTATATAAAATACTATTTTTGCGAAACGCATGCTTTAAGAGTTATTCAGGGTAAACAAGTTATGTTACTTACCCTGTACAATTGTTAAAATTTAGGCATGTAGGAATATATAGAATTTTTTATAATCGAAAGAAAACACGTGTTTATTATTTATATATGATTCTAAATATAATTCTATAAAATTTTTAGTTCAATCGAAATCAATTTTCAACGTATGAACATTCGAAATTCAATGTATTTTAATGGATTATTTGAATAACTTTGACTTTGTATATATAGTAGATCCCAATAATTTACGAATTTCTTTCTATAACGTTAAGCGTATCTTTTGCTATACAGGGAATTAAAGTAATATTACCTTTCGGTTAAAAGCTATCAGATTGTAGCAGGGTTGACATAATTATTTTACCGCATTATATGGGAGTCTACTGTATTCGATACTATCGTTAAGCACTTAGTTGAAAAGTCGAATTTAAGATCCCGTTAATGTCAGCGTGAATATAATTCGTTAATATTACTATTTTTCATTCGTATGTTTAATAAAGAGTGCAATATCAATCATTTGGAGAGTAATTAATATAATTCCTACAAGCCTATTATGAATTCTATCATTTAAAATTAGATATGATATTAATCTTTCAATTTCTTTAATATTATTGTCATTCTACCAAATTGTGTTTGTGGACAAAGCTCTTAAAAATTTATTTTTATATAACAATTGTTTAGAAGTGCATCGTTATTAAGTATTTTAGAAACTGATAGTCAAAATTTATAATATGTTGTATCGTGAACACATTCACATAGAATATTACTCTAAAACATTATTGGATGCATTCATCAAATGTAAAACGGATAAAATCAACAAAATTCAGATATGTGATAAAGTAAGTTATTACATATTTAGAATGTAAGATTTAGTTTAAACAAATTTTTAGCACTTAATGATATAATACATATAATAATATGTATGTCCTTAGTAAATCGGTGATAATTTATATAATTTCGTATACATGATCAGGAATTTTAAAAAAATGTTTAGAAACAGAAATATTAATATTAAACTTTCTGTGAAATTCGAAAATATAATCTATATGATCTTCAACATATGTATGACAAGTTATAAGAAAAATCTTTTCATACATTAAAATCAAAATATACAAATATAATTATAATTATACTGTTAATACTATGATCAGTATCAATGAAGTATAATATTCATACAACAATTTGTAAAACTTTATGCTATTATAACAGAAAATTTTACCATTTAATGAGTACTGTAAAATAATTATAAATCACTATGTATTGTTCTTATTAAAAAAAAATAAGAATATGAGCGCAATACCACAAATGTTAATATAATTTTGTTCGTTTTGTGCTATGATCTTGGTCAATTGAATCAATCAAATTTTCACTTATTTTATCTTAAGAGAGTCTTCTACTTTCAGAATCGGTAATAAGGTCATTTTCGTTAATTTATTTCGGTTTTTCATGCTTGAAAAAACAATAGAAAGACTCTTGAAGATAACTGTCCGAATTTGAAATAAATCGATTCATTGGAACTTGAGTTATCATATCAGTTGGTTTCAAAAATATGATTTAAACAAAACGCGTTTAAAGTTTTGTATCTCTTTAACAATGACATTGACTATCGTATTCCTCAAACAGCTGTAACTTCATTAGTTTTCCAAATTCAAACATAAGCCTTTAAAAAAAAAAATTAATTTCTTTACCCTTCAAAATAGAAGACTCCCGTAAGTAAACTTTAAACATATGGGGCGAGTTTCACTTCCTAAATTAAAATAAAGCATAATTATAATAAAGAAAACAATATGTACTTTATACAGGAAGTTCCACCTAAAGACTTACAGCTGTTTTTTTCTTTACAGTGCTATTAGTTAGCAACAAAACTTTTTGCAATTTTTATGATTTAATAGAATTCTCGCGTGACACGTTTTACATTAATACTACTAAAATAATTGGAGTCACCTCTCTCCAAAGGTTCAGAGATTGATATCTAATCCATTATATAAAAGATTTCGCTAAACCAGAAAAATTGCGAGTAAATTTAGTTACTAATTGTAATAGTATCGGAAAAAACAATTTGAAATGCTTTAGGTGGGAAGATACTTTGTACATACATATGAATCTTGATTTTTGATAATATATACGAAATTAAATTTTACCGAATACATTTTACTTTCCTTATGTCTATAAAAAAAAACCAATTTATTAAATCTATATATATATGTACGTGACAGAACATATCATACTGTAAGAAGTACTAATAGTTTTTTTGCATGTAAAAAAAGTTAGCTGAAACTTCCAACGCTCAATGTAGAATAATATTAAAAAACTTGTATGGTAATATGGACTATTTTAAATGATTAGTTAAAATACGATAACTGGAATATTTTTAGCACTTTTTGACGTACAATAGTAATATGTTATATTAAAGCTATTCGTTGAACGTGGAAATTTAATATTATTTCTCTATCTCAATGTATAACAGGGGTAAGAAATAACAATTTTTTTATAATATAAAATGTCTAATGCAAAACAATTTGTATGTTATACCTACGTTGTTCAATATTTATATTCATTATCTAGTGAGGTATTCAAATAAACATTTTACATAAACTATATTTATCATGTTTAACGTAAGTTATAAAATCGACCTTTTTGATAATAGACAATTTATTAATAACTAAAAGTGAGATTAGTCGAATAATTGTTCAAGTAATTATTTTAATATAATAAACACGAACCGAAAATACCTCGTAAGATATATAAAAACATTTATAGATTTTTTTTTCGTGAAACTCGACCATATTAATCTTAAATTATGCGAGCAATACAAAATGATTAAGTTATATAGAATCTATAACATTATTGTATCGATTTTTCGTTATCACAGATTGTTTTGGTAGTAGGCCTACTTTCAATATTAAATGTCGAAGGCCTACAGTGGACTAGTAAATTTCAATAAAATCTATTTAAATACAATACTAGATGTACAAACCAACATCACGTTTCTAATGTTGGGAAGAGTCTTGTGAGCACAAAGTAGGCTACATCATAGTTACTCCAATATGTTGTATGGGCTGCTACCGTGTACAGATAATTTCGTCCCAAACTTGCCCGGAGCACATAATCTAACCGCTGGGCTAATTCTAATAAGTATAAAATTGTATTTAATGATTTTTACTTTTTTTTATCATTTTCAAATATCGTTTGACAAATCACAAATTATATTTATACCTTGTTCTGGTTGAAGCGGTATAGAAGCATCCTCTTTGGCATTCCACCCAGCTCGCACTAAACCCCAAAGGCTCCAACCTTTATCTGTTGCACGACTAGACATATCTGGACTTTCATCCCTTTCCTCATTTTCTGCCATGACATGTTTTCGAACTATTTATATAAAATTTACAAAGAATAATTCCGAACTCAAACGAAGAATTTTTGTAATATACCTGTAGGAGAAAAAGTTTGGTCTGCGTTACTCATTGTTGGAAGTGACTGTTCTATCTGTTGACCATCAACTCCTCCGTAAGGTGGAATAAGAACTGGTTCAACTTTACTGTATCCTCTTTCTAAAAGTGGTTCCATTCTATAAGCTACAGGATCAGACCAGTGAAATATATTATAAAATCTTTTGCATAAATCTTGAGGCATCACGTCTGTTTTGTTGGATGGAGTACGTGTACGTAATGCAAGAAATACAGATAACGGAGAACCCATACAAAATAAATTCTCAATCTGTAATTACAAAAATATTTAATCTTAAAACTTTTATAATGACATATAATAAATAAAAATATTTACTGGGAACTGTAAACGTTGCAATAAAACTTCCTGTGTTTCTGGGGATGGAGGTCTTGTATCTGGACCCATCCAACCCGTAACAATGTCATAAACAATTACACATCCTAAAGAATGTGCCAAGATAGAAACTTTTCCTTTCCAACCAGGATGTCGACTAGCAAACATAAAGTATAATCTATTTAATTCTTTTTGTAAACCAGCCCTTACTTCTCCGCCATAAAGAGGACTTGTATAATAGAGAATATCCATTGCTGATGTATTTAATAGGTTTCGTATACTTAATACACTATAAGGTGTAATAGCATCTACTATATCTAAAAAAATATTTATTTATAAAATAGAAAATTTTAAATTTTTATTTATAGATATAGCCAAAAATTAAAAAAGTTATGAATATTTTATAAAACAATGATTATACAAGTTTTACAGAATAAAATAGAATAACTTCATACCGCCGTCAAGTTTTAACGATGACCGCCACTCAACAGGAAAAAATTCTACTCTGTAATTGGAATTGGGAAAATATTTTTGCTTTAACCAATCTACACAGTCCCTAAACCTGTTTGAACGTTAAATATAATACATTAATTTTATAAAAACTTATATATATGAAGTATGCTAACATTGACAGTTTAAACTTTTAGTATACATAGTACTATCGAAATAAACAAAAAACTTGACTTCTAAACCAATATAGTAGATTACTTAAAGTTTGAATCATCAATTTTACCATAATCTATACATAGCCAAATAATTATAAATTAATTTTGGTACATACGACGTTGTATTCCGTATAATTTTTCCTGTATCTCTTTTCTGACCAATTCCGTGAACTACAAACACCAAATGATCAATGTCATGCGGTTTGTCTTCCATTACTGCAGCAACTTTGTAGCTCCGTTTTAATTGATAACCAGTGGCTAAAACATGAAATACAAATATTTATTACAATTAACGCGACATAGTGTTATTTTACTGTCGTTGCAAGGAAAAGGTAAAATCCCTTACTTTTCGAAAAGCCCAGTTTTGATGTAACACTACGCATGAATTTACTATGTGAATATTCGCTATACAGTATCACATCATTTATGCTATGCCAATCTACATGAAATTCCGGAAAATGTTCTGTGTGCAGTACTAAAATAAAAACGTAATTGTAATTATATCAGATATAAAATTTCCTAGATATTGAAAATAACATGGAAAATTAAAAGAAAATTTATACTTTTGTAAGAGTGAGATGGCGTATCGCATGTTGATGTGCATCGTCCTGGAGGTTGTTTTTGAAATAAATTAAGATGCACTTCTTCAATAACTTTAGACTGTTTTGATTCTAAAGGTATCCAACTACCATCATAGTACCATGTACCTCTCATAATTTCCCATTCTTCACCTTTTCATACAATAAATATTAATATGTGCATACACAGTTCATTAAATTATATATGAACATATATACAATGTTTATAAAACATTGAATACAGAATAAATATTTTTAATTAAAAAATAAGACAATAAGAAGAGAATTTATGACGATCACTTTTAAATAATATATACAGTTCGTAACAATTTATACTGTAGATTATAAAATAATACATGAAACGGAATATAGATTGAAAATATTGAAGTTAATCTCTTCTGTACGATTTTTATTTTCGAATTGCCTTGTATGAGACTTTAACGAATAACATGAAGATTTTTCGATAAAAGAAATACCATACCTGGACAATATATAGATACACATTTCATTTTATCGATTTCCACATCGTACATTCCGCCTTTAACTACAATTTTCTCAATAGGAGGTAAATTAGTAGTCATGTCGTCATTTTTGCTAAACAAGCTTTGATAATTTCGCCAAGCATTTTCAATTCTTAAACTATCGTATCCACAGAATTCTATCCATCTTTTGTCTATACCGTCTCTATAAAACCACCGTACTTGTTCCGGCGTCAAAGGTTCTGCATATGTCAACTCATTTGTTATGGTCTTTGTTCCCACCTCTGAATTTTGTTCTGTGGTAACTTCCATAATTCCTTTAAATGTTAAAAATTAGAATTAATGTAAGAAAATGAAATTACAACATACTTATATATTTACAATATAATTGTACAAATATCAAATGGCATGATTATTGTAATTTAACATTCTATCTGATACTTTAACAATCTCATTGTTGCATACGCATATATATATATATACAAAAGAGAACAATTTACAAAATGTATAATTAATGAAAGTATATAAAAAAATTTTTTACAGAGTTTTATAAATTGCTATAAAATTCGCGCGAATTTAATTATTTTCTGTTGCTTACGAAATATATTGGTACGTCATAAATATTTTATTTGTAGTAACTACGCAACTTTCATACAGTCAACTACATTTTACGTATCTATCGAAACATATACATATGTATACATATATATATGTATACGTATATTACGAGTATTTTAAGCATACGGTTTGATTATGACAGACGAAAATTAATTTAAACGCATAATTGCATGTAATAAATTCTCCTAAAGTATGTATAAATCATGTTTAAATCGCTCGTTAAGTCAATTTCGAACAGTATTTATAATTTTACCTTCGCAGTGTTGAAATTCCAAAGGTGTTTCACTGAAAGGATCAACGTCGGTTCTACTATTAGACATCCTGACTACGTAATTATTACTAAATACCTTTGAAGTTTTACGAATTACAAAAAAATCACAGTATCGTAAATCACTTAAATGTTCAGTGACAACGGTGACAACGGTAACAACTGATCCTTGTTAACGATAATGGTTCCCGTAAAAATCAGTAGTAAACGCTATCTAGTACTTGTTATCGATGGAAATTTATTAATTACGATACAGTGTCTGTATATCGGTATAAAATATTTTTTGTTTACCAACGACAAATTAGATAACGTTGCCTCTAGTCAAAATAAAATGAATGTCTGTTTAGAACTTGATGCAACATCGAGAATTGTCTTTACGAGCAGAATTGTTCTCTGCCATTCAACATTGAATGTTATCTAAAAACTGATATGAGATTCTTCCTTCAACGACATACTGTTCACCCCGCACTATCTTCTATAACTTTGCTCTTGTTCCTTGTGTGTCAGCAAAAACTGCTGCATTCAACGGTAAACAGCTGATGCATGAACGCAAACGTAAAACAGTATGGTGATATATATATGCATGCACAATTACGTACTTTTATATTTCTATATCCAATTGTATGTATAAGTGTATGTGCATGTATGCGTAAACGTATGTATCAATAGTTGATTGTGCACAATTACTAACTTGTATGAGTCATGCAAGAGCAATTTTTAGTGTGTGTAGTGTAATATTTTTTTTACACAATGTGAGTAATTTTTCATAGAATTTGTATCGATGTGAATAAATGTTCGCTTCTTAAAATTGAATATGTATGTTTCACACACTAATCTCTGTATACAATATAAATAGAGATCTGTGATTTTACGAAATTGCATAAAATTTTGACAATTATTTATTTCATTACACTTTATATTAATTTTAATATATACTTTCGTTTGTTTCCTCGTCAGATTCGTGAATGATTTTTAATAAGTAATGTAACGTTCTCGGAAAGATGTTCCCTTACAAATTATTTTCGAACATAAATTGAAAATCACATGATTCTACCGATTGTTTTTTTTTTTCTAATTTACGACACAACTTACATTTAATTTTTGTTACAATACTTCGTGTATAATATGTATTTAAGATAGCTCAGTCGATAAATAAACATTGTACACTATTTCGAATATTGTAGACTGTTATTATTAACGATTTTTCGATAAATATTCTATCAATCGGGTATTATCTTTGCTATTGTAATATTCATTATTTTATTGATGTAATGTAAAATAAATATTTATTATCTTTAATAAGACATAGTAATTTTATATAATTTATATGTGCAATTGAATATTTTAGTTTACAAAAAAATACTATATATTTTTATAAAAGATTTCTCATCAGTTACAAACGTATTTCCATCTATTATATTTCAAACTTTAAAAAGATGTATATTGTTGTTTATCACTGAAATATGTATCGTTAATAATATTGGTCATATCATATAATACAAATTTAGTAAACACTAGTAACTATTTTATTATAAATATACATATAAAGTAAGATTGCATTACACTTAAAAAGAAAACATATTAAGGAGAGGATCAGCCTATAATAGGAACATAATAATATGATTTCTCTTTAGGTTACATATTTATTATTACAAACGGTAATATAGACCTTAGCTTAAAGTTAATTTGTCTTATACATAAAAGTATACGTCTATCTTTATCCATTAATTATTCATTATGTCCTGCTGCTCTGCGTAATAAAACATATATTTTTTCTTTGATCCAATCCTTGTTGTATGGAGCGTATGTATTTGTAGATTTTTGATAAACAAGGCATGATAAATCTGTGAGTTGATCGATAAAGTCAAACAACTGACTGATATCATATGTTATAGTTGGAGTATTTGGATTCCGCCTCTTTAAATGTTCCTCATAAATTTTGCATACTCCTACGTTGTAAAAAACAAACATCTATAATTTTCTTTCTCTTACGTTTAAATGATTAACATATTCATGTAGTGGAATAAAAAATAAGGTTACTTTTTAAATTAACCAGACATTAATACGATATATATATATATATATATATAATTATAGATCATAAATAATATAAAACACTGTTACCTTCCATACATTCATTAACACTTTCATAATCAGAATATGTTCTTGTTTCAGGTCTATTGCCTAGTTGGACAAGCAATATTGTATGAGACTGAAAGCAAAAACAATGTGTAAAACTTTGCTTTTTGTTATATTTTTTTAAAAAATGAATTAAATATTTTCACATGTACATTTCACTTTATTTTGAAGCAATAAATATATATGAATCATTAATACAACAGCCTTTTAATGCAACATCTATATAATTTTGTTGGTTATGTGTATTTCATGAATTCAACAATAACACAAAATATGAATAAAGTTATTCAACTAACGTTAATGTTGACGTTTTAAGGATAAATATTTAGTTTTTGCCACCTATACAAGAACACCGTACATGTGCACCTTGATACAAAATTATCACAACATAAAGTCGGATGTAAACAATCAGAAAATTTGAAATTCACTGGAAAATACATTGCCAACTATCATACGAATGTACAAAAAATCATGAGAAAATTTGTTTAGAATTGCACTAACGCTAGATTCTAAGTAAATAAATATCAAATGTCTAGCATGTCCCGAAAGTAATCAAAACAAAAGTACAATTACCATTTCTACGCGTAGCCAATGGCTGTAATACGTAAAGCGCCAGTTATCGTTTAATCAGCGAAGTTAGCTGCATTGGGGTAGTGATGGACATTCGTGGGAATTTTGGGCATGCGCACTAGAATTTTCCCTCGTGGTATTCCGTTTTGCGCATGCGTTAGCTTTCTGCCATAGATGTATCTTTAGCGCAAAAAGAGGTACATGTTGGAAATTCCCACGTTTTGTATAAAATTGAACTTTCAAATGCTCGTCAATCACACAAAAATTAACTTATCGAAGATCCCCTACGTATTTCTCTAGCTATACTTATGTAGATTAAGAGGAAATTTTTTGTTCTTGTCTCTTTCCCTGTAACTTCCTTAAATTTTGTTCCTCACTGGGATCCAACGATATCCTAAATTCTAGTTAAGTGTATACGGCAGTGATCATGCGCTCCAGTGCGCATGACCAAAATTCCCACGAATGTCTATCACTGCACTGAGCACGGTTTGTGCAATTTTCTATGCTATTAATATCGATGGATCGAAGCACTTATGCAAAACTACAAGATCCCGGTTAATAGCTAATAGTAGTCAGCGCCAATTAGCAAGAAATGATAAACACAAACCATATTTTGTGCTCTTACTTTGGAAACACTGATCCCTATACACTGCTATATACAGTATGCCAGTGTGGCCAGATTTGGTATAATTGAATGCATCGACGGCGACACTACTAACGACGAATTTCTTTAGCATCTAACGGAGCCGTGGGGAAAGCCAACATATATCACAGAGTATATTACTCTGTGATACTAGAGTCGGCTGCGCTCTGGTTTTTTACTCTGGCTGAATCATTGCAAATTTTCAAACAACGATAGAAGTATTGTACTAAAATGGAATCGAGATCTAAAATTCTCTAACAAGCAACTTTAAGAAACGAATTTTGCAATTATCTGTAAACAATATAGAATTCTTTTAATGATTATTTTTAAATTGTACCTGGATTCACAATTGACAATCCCTTCCTGTTTATAAATTATCTTTGTTTCATAGAGAGATTTCTGCAAATTTTTATGTTATATCCGAGCTAAAACTAGTTTTGAAATAAATGTAAAATTTTTATTCGTTAATCGCGAATAAAGTTTATTCAACTCTAATCACATAAAAAGGGTCTATAAGCTTCATTAAAATATCAAAAGGTATCCGTGAAAAAAAAGGTTAAGAGCCATCGTTTTAAAATGTTCTGTAAAAATTAATTTTTTCCATGTCTATTTATATACATTCGCTAGTAAATATGTACATTAATTAAGTTCATATTTTGATTGTAACATACATACGTATGAACCGATCGTTAATCAACAGCTTGTAAGAAGAAATAACAACCGATCTTAATTCTTCTTGGCCATCTAGTGGATATACTATACTTCGTCAACGAGGTCGCCACAATATGTTCTCTCTTATGTAGACGTTTGTTCATCTGTTTCTAAAACCAACCCTTCAAACTGAGCATTCGATTGGAGAATCACGTTCGTTCTCTCATATTATTTTCGTATAAAAAATTTTCCAAGTTGACGTTGAATGGCGACTTACGAAAGATAATCCGTTCGGGCATACTGACGCAATGTTTTATAAAAAAAATGACAACGGGCGTGGAATCTACGTGATTTGAAGAAAAAATCGAGCTTATGCGGTGCATAATTATGTGATTGAATGTGAAAGATTGTAGCGTAAAAAAATGTTTCACCACGAATATGAGAAACGGCTGTTGAAGTCGAGTAGCGAAAGTCATATAAATAATCCGGCGGGTCCCGGACTACATTCATCAGTATATTTCTCGCCGACCAAAATGCTTAACAATAGCTTCGATCGATTTATACCGACAAGATCTGGCAATAATTGGCAAACAACATTCTCAATGATATCGGAAAACAATCGGAACGGTATAGTTACGAAAAAAGCACGCGAAAATGGAGAAGGTAGCCGCGATGGTATTGCTTATTCGTGCCTTCTGAAGAATGAACTGCTTGGAGCGAGCATAGAAGACGTAAAAGGACAGTGCGAAGAGCGAAGAGTATTGTCGCCGTTAGTTACCAAAAATCTCTTCAAATACACAACACCTATGAAAGATCATACGCTGCTCGATCAAAGTTCGCCGTATTCTTTGTCCCCATTGAGTGCCAAAAGCCAAAAACTTCTAAGATCACCGAGGAAAGCAACGAGAAAGATTTCAAGAATACCTTTCAAAGTACTCGATGCTCCAGAATTACAGGACGACTTTTATTTAAATCTTGTCGATTGGTCCTCTCAGAATGTTCTTAGTGTTGGACTGGGTAGCTGTGTCTATTTATGGTCTGCTTGTACCAGTCAGGTTACCAGATTATGTGATTTATCCAATGATGGCAACAGTGTAACATCAGTTGCCTGGAACGAAAGAGGAAACTTAGTTGCAGTAGGTACGCATCTAGGCTATATTCAAGTTTGGGACGTAGCTGTGAGTAAACAAGTAAGCAAGTTACAAGGACATAGTGCAAGAGTTGGGGCATTAGCATGGAATGGCGAAGTTTTATCGTCTGGCAGTAGAGATAGGTTGATATTGCAAAGAGACGTTAGAACACCTTGTGTCGTTAGTGAAAGACGTTTAGGAGCACACAGGCAAGAAGTTTGCGGACTAAAATGGTCGCCGGATAATCAATATTTAGCATCTGGCGGTAATGATAATCGTCTTTACGTGTGGAACTTACATTCCCTTTCGCCGATACAAACTTATACAGAACATTTGGCGGCTGTTAAAGCTATTGCATGGTCTCCGCATCATCATGGTCTATTGGCCTCTGGTGGTGGTACAGCAGACAGATGCATCAGATTTTGGAACACATTAACTGGCCAACCGATGCAATGTATTGACACCGGTTCTCAAGTTTGTAATTTGGCATGGAGTAAACATAGTTCAGAACTAGTCAGTACGCACGGCTATTCTCAAAATCAAATTCTGGTTTGGAAATATCCAAGTTTAACCCAAGTTGCAAAATTAACAGGACATTCTTATAGGGTTTTATATTTAGCTATGTCACCAGATGGCGAAGCTATTGTGACTGGTGCTGGCGATGAAACTTTACGTTTTTGGAATGTGTTTAGTAAAGCACGTAGTCAAAAAGAAAATAAGTCTGTATTGAACCTCTTTACTAGTATTCGATAGATCGATATATATATATATATATATATATAAAGGATAAATGGTTTTATGTATAATACACACATACACACACACACACAGACAGAGAAATTGCACGAATATAGTATTCTAAAAAAATTATAATGTGTACAACATAGCTATAATAATTTACATATAAGAATAAATTGTTGACAACTATAGATTAAGTTTATACATGCACAGCTTACATTTAATGAAATCTTATGTGCAATAAGTTACTACTTGTAAAAATCAAATATGCCCTTATAAGGAAAACTAAAGGCAATGTCATTTTTATATATTTTTTATATAAATATTTTTATATAGAGCACTTCAAATTTCTTAAATAATTGTAAAACTGAATAGAGTATTTGATCAATGCAATGACTATTTCTTACATGAAATGTATAGCCTTTTTATATTTTATTTTATTATAGTATAAAAATTACTGATTGCACATTTATATTCCTTTTTTTTTTCTTTATTGAAACATTTAACACACACATATATATATATACATTGGTTAATCAATAGTTTACATCTGTTATATACTACGTATGTTTATTGCCAAATTTAATTTAACCAAAAGAGTACAATTTTCAACATATATAAGCATGGCTATGAGCCATTTTTTTTTCTTTTTTAATTTACTTTTCATCTACAAAACATTACGATTTGATGCTGAGTCTCCAATTACTGTGTACATGTCTACAATTGATATCATTTATACATGTAAATGCCATATAAAAATATAATATGTGTTTTGATGTACAAAGTTGTGTAAGAGGATTTGCTTGCGGACAGCATTAATACAATTCCTTTCAAGGGCGTATTATTATATTTCTGTAAGACTTTGAAGCGTTTAGTCTATAGTTATTTATAGGTTTATTAAATTTTGAAACAATTATGTAAATCCTCAAAGACTATTTCTTTAAGTCTTGCAATCTTATTAAAATTGATTACATATAACATGTATATGAAGAAAGGTAGTTTACAAATCGAAATACTTCCTTTTAATATGATTTGTATTACTTAATATTTTGCAGAAAGCAAAATGTACAAACAACATGAAATATGACGTAAAGTAAATTCACTTATTTATATAGAAACAAAAATAATATATTGAAATATTTACCTATACATTCTAAAAGAAATTTAAAAACAATTAATTAATAAAAATATTATGGAAGTTCTAGCGAACTAGAGTCTAAAATTTGTATTATATAATTCTCAAAGATATGTATAATCTATTTTCCAAAACTTTAAGAGATAGTTTGAAACATATGTAGAAAAAAAAATAAATATATTCTGAAATTAGATGATGTGAGTTTTTATAAGCGAATTATAAGTTATATAATATAATTATGTATTTCATATAATAAACATACAAAATTACTGTATATAATATCAGCAATTTTAAATACTATTAATACTTCCTTTTTGAATGTTACTGTGACAGTCTTACATTTTAACATTATGATAATATTTAAATAGAGGATACGAATCGTTAGAATTGATATTCTATAGGAAATCAATTTAAAAATAGAAAGTTTAGCAAATGACTACAATACGTTTGGAGTAATAGTGCTTAGTTTATAGAACTAAGTTAAATATATACAATAAAATACATTATCATATTTTTCTATGTTGCGTCTTTTATACTCCAAGTATGTTTTAACAGTATTTAGCGTATTTGGTTTATATTCGTAATTATTAAATAATTAAAATTACACATTAATCATTTTCATAAAATGGAATATATTAAAATATATCTCTGAAAGTTTGAAGAGTACATACAACAGTTCGTACATTAAATATTTACAGAATGCACAATCTAATAAGACTGTTTTATTCTATCGATACATACTACTAACTGTGAATTATAAAAGATATGAGCCATTTTTTTATTCGAAGTACTATAAGAACAAATTTTCTTGTTCAATGGTATTTAAAAGTTTAATGTTTCATTAATTCAAAATTATTGATAACCGTTATCATGTTTGCATTGTTTTCATGGACCTAAATGTATGTAAATTAATACACGACTATTGACTATGATGTATATGACTATTTTTATATGGATTACCTATATGAATTCATTGTTTCGTTATCTCTCTCAAGAAAACTGGCTCATATAGAAACTATACAGTATACAAACAATTTATTGGCATGTCATTTCAACTTTAAATGTTTTATAAAACAAAATTTCACTTTAATATTAATTAATGTTATTAATTTTCTCTAACACGAATGTAATATAAAATTTTGGTTATTCTTTTGTTTCAGTTATCTTCGAAAATTTAATTTAATTTCTGCATGAAAATAGCAAAATACAATCTTTTCTAATATTCATATAATCAGTGTATACAAATAAATATTCCATTATACGTAACAATTATATATAACTAATACCTTCCCAACAAATTTTTATTTGAAAACTGAAACTGAAAGAAATAACTTTATATTTCTTTTAATTGAAAAATATTTGTCTAAGGGTTTACAACTTGTTTTGCTAATCTATGTGTACTACTATTTCTTTCTGTGCTGCATTCATTGGGAATATGGAATTTGCTTATAATAATCTGACATTTTACACTTTGTTCTGTGGCACATTTGAAATCCTTATTTGACTTTGTCCTTTTAAATTGGATATTGAGCAAGTCTATTCAAATAATCAATTAAAAATTTTAAACCACATTCAGAGCAGCATGGTGACTCGTTTGCCCCCCCCCCACAATATCCCACAAATTTCCGGGTTACAGGTAATAATAACTAACACGGTTCCTTATAATAGAATTTAATTTAAATTTTTTATTATGGTACAAACAAATTTAAACCGCGGTTGAAAAATACCGCTCGTTCATCATTTATAATAAATTATAAATAATTCGTATTACACCGATAAGACATTTGAACTTGTAGCGTTCACGTTGAAGGAAAAGTACTCGCGCAGAGGATGTTTTATATTAGTATAAAAAATAATATGAAGAAAACAAGAAATATTAACACGCTCGAGAAAATTAATCCCTTGCATTCAATAAAAAATACACTATCCTGACTGTAAAGCATGGAGGAGGATTCTTAATGTTTTTGGGGCTGTACGATAGCCGATGGAGTTGGTAATATTGAATTTATCGACACAATTATGAATAAGATGAAATGTTTGTATATATTGAACAATAACTCGAAGCATTCGGCGTACGTTGTCAAAGAATGGCTGCTGTATAATTGCCCAAAATTATTACACACTCTTCGCATAATTAACATAATTACTTTGTAAAATATAATTGTAATCCGATGTGGGTGTACAGGTAACAAGTTACGATCAGGAATGTTTCATAAGGTCAATTCTACACATTAAAATAGTTAAACGACTTAAAATAAACGAGCCTTGGAATGTTTTATGTTTAATATATATTTACTTTTCTTTCCAAAATATGCGTAAGTTACAAATGACAACATATGTATTCGGTAAATGCATTACACTGGAAAAGGGAAACGTTTGTATATAAGAGATGTACAGTTCAAAACGACCCGCATGAAAAATGGTCCAACATTATAAACCGAAAGTTATCGAATCCATCAATTGGAATAATAGTTTCTGATCAAAACTTTAATGGTTTATATAAAGTCATGAAAAATCATTGTATCGCGAATTCAGAAGCTGCACGTTACTATTATTTTAAATACGTAAACGAATGTCTTAATCTTTGTTCCCTAAAAGTCTCAAAAGTTAACAATGACATAATTCATTTGTATATATCCCTGATTTGATATTTAAAAGACTAATCAGAAAACGATTAGTTTTTCAGACTTTTAACTGTAAAGAGGAAACAAAAATGTTAAGAAATAAACTAAGAATTTTAATCAGGACACAAAAGTGATTTTTGAACTACTTACATACTAAGCCACAGAAGTATGCCCCTACTTTATTCGTATGAAATACTAATAAATATATTTAGTATCCATTGTGAATACCTAAAATAATCATTTATATTATTTTTATAGAAAGTATATGTACCTTAACTAGACTTGCGTCACATTTTTAGACACACAAAGTTATGAACATTATAAATTCTACAAACAATTCTGAAACTGTAAATCCTAGTGTCTTTAAGGAAATTATAACAACAAAAAAACGTATATGCTATATTACACGACGTTTAAAAATCTCTTATGACATATATATGTACATTTTCACATACATACATATCTATAATTCAAAAAGTATTTTCAGCATTTATAAAGTATCTTAGAAAATTAGAACTTAAAAAAAAAAAAACATTACATTTTTTTTTATATTTTACTCTTCAATGTTTATTTATATTGCAGAAATGGTATTGTGCATTCAAAAATTCCGAATTGTTATTATTTGTAATATCGTAATTATATCGTGCTATAACAGCAATTTTATTCGTAATTTTAATAATTAATTTTACGTTTACATTGTATAGCCTATATTCATTATGTTTTAATCGGTAGACATTTTAGTACGTTTGCGATGATAGTTTCTTGCCAATGCATGAATAATTGTTACTAAAAAGTAACACACCATCAATATTACAAACTTATCAAATAACCATGAAATTGTTGTTGCTCCATCCTGAAAATAAAATATCAATTAACTGGTATTTAAATACATCCCGCGAAACGTAATCGATCTAAGAGTACGATTATAGTGGTGTGGCGAGGAACGAGTGTAATCAAACCAACGTAATGTGACGGAAGTGTTTATTCGGTAATGCATGCTTAAATTCCAATGCGCTTGGATTCAGAGAGTTATAGTAGGCCGAGCAAAAAAAAGAAAAAATGAGACCTCCAAGACGTGGGACGGCCTGTCAGCATTCTCCTACGGCCACCATATCGGTGGCTGGAGAGATGACGGACCGCCCCTGAGGGCTGCAGGACGTCGAGTGACCTGGCGTCCACGGCGGAGAAATCAGGGAGGGGAGGGGGAGAACCTCGACAGGCATGGCGTGGTGGGGGGCTCTGTGATGCCTCAATAGAGTTCCCAGTCCCCCACCGCAACGCCGGAGGACAGTCACCATGGGGTTTTAGTCGGAGTCTGGCACTACCCCAAGCGCCCCTCCAATCCCCACCTATTTAGAGGCCTCGGGGTGTCCACGAGGATTTCCCCATGTAAAAAAAAATGTAGGCCGAGCAAAAATAAGTCTAAAATGCTTTTAGTTCAATATTAGTCTCATTTATGTCATGTTTGGACTCATTTTTATCGGGAAAACTTCGCCAATTCATTGGTAGCATTTTTATGAAGGTAAAATCTAACTTATATGTATATGTATAGTGTTGCATTTGATATAAAATATAGCCAAACCTAATCTAATCATTGAAACTAATTGTCAGAATATCGATTAAATTAACCAATTCAATATAACGTTAACACGTAATACAAAATGGTTCGTCGTATTATTTCTCTCCTCGTCGTTCCACTATAATCGTGTACTAAGTTTTAAAAAACAACCCTACCGTGGATGTCTTGTCGTGTAATTTTTGTTTCTGTTCGATAAGATACTTTTTCAACGGTTCTTGAAACTTCGAACCAACGTATGGTACAATTGCCAATAATTTCATAAATTTGTCTAAAAGTTCCTCGTTAAAAGCTATGATAACTGCAAGCTGTTGAATGTGCATTTTTACAACAGCTTTTCCTATCAGCGTTGCACCAAAGAACGTCCAAAAAGGAATAAGGTAATGACCGCACGTCAAACCGGCGAGGTCAAATAACGGATTGGGTATCTACAAACGATTTCTTTTGCTAAAAACATACTACTAATTTTTCATAGAAAACGGGCATTTTTGTTAATTCCTATACTTTCATTGTATGTACGAATAGAAAATAGAAGGTACAGTAACGGGTACAAGTTTAACACGACTACATTTTTTATAGCCATGATACTAAATAGCCAACCAATTCATAATCGGTATTGCTATCACACATACGCGTACACTTTGTCTATAATCGATTTAATAACTCTATGAACGTAAACAGAACGTAGCACAAAGACAATAAAACCTTTGATGCTCTTTTTCTGTATTTTTTTGTCTTGAATGTGCTAAACAAAAAATAATAATTTATGTTTTGAAAATTGTTGGGTTAATCATAGATGTAGTACGAGTTTATTTAGTACCCATAAATAGTCGTCTTGAACTTTTATCCATTACTGTAATTAATGCACAATACAGGCGATCTGTTTGTATCTCACGAGGGATTAAAGTTATATAAAAAAAAAATTTTTCAATGGAAAAAATGTTTTCTATAGTTCAAATTTAACTATAGTACCAATTATAGTAACACAAATTAAATCAACAAAATAAACGAATAAAATATAAATTACAAACATCCGTCTCAACGGACGCTGCTTATTATAAATAGAAAAAATACAGGATCATGTTTAAAAAAATTGATTCGAGTTCACGTCTCTCCCACCACAACACCTACAGAAAAATTATCTATATCATCTAATGTCCTCCTTTATACCAAAACATCTTTTCAGGTAAACAGATCACCGTATATATGAAAAGAAATTTTTTACATTTCTACAAAAATTTATCACGCTATAAAAGCATAAAAAATGATGAATGTTCGGAGGAGTAATTTACTTACCGAAGCACAGGCAAGTATCCCCCAGAAACCTGCTTTTTGTACAAAATGTTTCATAGTTATTTTTATACGTATCAGAAATGATACATTTTCACCATTTTCTAGAGCTTCTAACGCTTCTAACTCTTTCAGATCTTCCTGATCGAACTTTTCGTTTCTGTTATTCTGCCGGCTAGTCCGAGCAGCTCTAGCCATAAAATATGGCGGTAGTTCGCCGAGAGCAGTGCCAGCACCCCAAAGCATCGCCTCTATACGCACTTTCCTCATAATATTTAATACACCTGCTGTCCATATCGGATCGATCGTTTTTGGACATATTATTTGATCGGGATACGGCGGTTCAGGAAAGTTAAGAGCACCGCATTCATACGCAGCCATAGTAACGGCCGCTATATGTGGCCCTAAATAAAGTACGAAAGTGTGTAAGCCTGTACCAAGACCTACACTGGAAAGTACGCCCAGACCTACCCAATACAACCACCACATTACTTTTGTTTCCCATGCTTTTAAAATCTGAAAATACAAGAATATTTTGTTAATTTTAATTTCAAATTTCACCTAAAATAAAAAAGAGAAATTACGCACAAATTATGCCAAATTAACGAAGAAAATTTCAAACTGTTTATTTTTAGAAAATAAATTCTTGTCGATCAAGATAATTTCCATCTGCTTGAATATACTTCTGCTAAGGGCTATCAAGGGCATTAATACTGTTCGTTCAAAATTCTGAATTTTCAGACTCGAAGAAAATACAAACTCATAAAAATTAAATAACACGAGTTGAGTCATTCATGCGGATGGTCAATGGTTTACGAGACACGGTATTCCCCGGATGACGACACGTGACCCCGATTAACCGTATCTGTTTGTGTTTATTGAGTGACGTAAACAAAAAGATAAACCTAGTCAGCCAAGCGTTTTCCGTGTTAAAAAGAAAGACAAAATTATATACATTTAAAAGCATTTAGAATATTTAGAGATAAAACAAACAAGGCAATATGAGTAGATACATTATAAACATTTATATGTTTAGAGTTAAACAAGCATGACAATATCAGATAATTCATGACACATCATTAGTGTTTGTTTGTGTAGAGTTAAAACAAACGAAATAATGTGACTAGATTGTGTTTAAAAAAAATAGCAGATTCCACGTTAAAAAATACATTTCTTCATTGATCATTGCAAAATAAAATAAAATGATCCTTCAGAGATTGATTTCAACTTTTTGGTTTCTAGATTTTAAAGCAAATATTTAAGCAAATCGTCTTATATAACAGGCGTTTCAAAACAATGAAACAAGTTTAAACATGCACATGAAATTGAAATGTATTTTGTCATTTTTTATCTAAAGGCTTCGTTTTCGATCCCATAAAAGATATCTACAAACATGTGTGGCGAGCTGCTGACAACATTCAATGGTCGGTTGAAGAGTGTATATGTACACGGTGTCCCCTACTTTGACGGCAATATTTTAGGATCATAATCTACGAATGAAAATAAATAAATGTTACATAAAATTTGATTGTGAATGATATATTACAAAGTTACAGGCAAAAAGGGTACGAGATATTCCGTAATATGTGAACATCGCACACCCCCTACATCGATGTAAGCTTGACATCGATTTGATATGGAATAATTCATACACATACAGTCACGAACATAAGCATTAATTCACCAGGTTTTTAACGATATAAATGCTTAAAAATTTTTAAATTAAAAAAATTTAAAAAAATCGAGTTTTTAATCTTACAATCTTTGCGATTTTTTAAAATACTGTGTTGTTTTCCGACGAATCCAAATTTAAAAACATAGTCAAATCCAAAAAACGCGCAGAATAGCGTAAAACACAAAGGTGGTGAAGCAATGGTTTGGGGCTGTAACCCTCCTATAACACGGTAGATAGGTTCCTAGAAAATGCAGTGTTGTGTGAAACCGTGTTATATGAGACCCCAGGAGCCAGTAAAAAAAGGGGAGTTACGTTCCGAGAACTTATTAAAAATTTTGTTTAATTCTACATAAGCAACTTAATTTTTATGAAAAATATAAATGCATGTATAACAGAAAACAAAACAAAAACAAACAATATTATTTTAATTTAACGCAACCTTAATTCAATAAATTATAATTTGTTTATATATTTTCATGTAAAGTCACTATAGTTCATTATTTTAAGGTAATTTAGTTTTTAAATATGTTAAGCAAAAATCATGTTATCCAGTGCTGTAGAAGTACTGTGTTTTGCAAAGGTTCTTGCAATTTTCTTATCGTGTTAAAGCGAAACCGTGTTGTAGGAGGGCTACCTGTGTACTGATTATATGTATAATATGACAATGAATTATTTTCTATACGCTACCAATCCCCTGACTTGAACCCCCATTAAAACACCTTTGGACTGAATTGGGAAAAAATTAAAAGAAATACTTTTAACAGAATGGAACAATAAAAGGATAGAAACTGTACAAAAGTTGGACCATTCTACGCCGAAACGTTTCCGAGCCGTAATACAAAATAATGGATCGCATAAAAAATATTAAACAAACTCTCATATTATATAAAATTATTAACTGTGCCAATACTTTTATTTCACCAAAAACTGCCCTTAATGCGTATTTCGTTTATTTCCTTTGTAATACATATAATTACAATGTAATACATTATATAACCGGTAGTTACGATTAATAAAAAAATCAATTGGATATTTTGCCTTTTTTTTCTTTTCATTTATATCGCCAAAAGTGTGGCGTGCCAATACTTATGTTCGTGACTGTATATTCTTATACCGGCTCGCGTGACATTGACTGCTACGTTCGATAACCGGGAAGCGACTGTTGTAGTTACATTGAATCAATGGAAAAGTAGAAACAAAGTAAACACAGACGACCTTTCTTATTACGAAACTTCGAATGTTAAATATTCGCCCAGAACTTTGCAAGAAAGCATTTACAAGCGAACTTCATATAATATTTTTTTTCTTATTCTCACTTCTAGATTATTCCTCTAAAATATAAAAATATTTTTATTGCTAAAAACATGATACAAAACTGAATTAGTGAATATCTCTTGTTACGGGCAAAGGAAACAATCTTGACAACTTTAAAGAATTGCTTACGATACTTTTTTACACGCGCGAAATGTTCCTATATTGTAATTTATTTTTTTGTGAACCTTAACGCTAATAGCAGATAAAAAAAGATTTATAAGAAACTTGTAGTTTTTTGGTACGGTTATGATTTTCACTATGTCTCCAAAATTTTATTAAAACAAGTACGTAATAATTTGAGCGAATCCCTCCTAAATGTAAAATACATGGAGAAACAACTGTCATTAATACTATATTAATAATAATAATTCACCTCTTGGTGCGGACCAACAATCCTACTCAACGTAAGAAACAATAGAATTATTGACACTACGCTCCACACTGTTCTTCTGTAATGCAACGTTTTTTTCCCCAGGCTGAGTATGGTAAGGAACAGTTCTCGAAAAAAATAATTTAACGTGGTAATTGGATGCTGCCATAGCGTTAAATGTTCAGAGTCTATGTGAAATTCGTTATTTGAATTATATCGATTTTCTGGAAGTGGCGTAAACGATTTCTTTTCTCCTATATTTTGTTGAGCACCATTAACAGGATTTGAATCCTTCATACGTTGAATGGCAGTGGTATTTTCCAACATGGTACCTCCAAGTTGATTATTCTGCAATTAAATAATAACAACTTGAGAAGACTAAACGAAAAGTATACAGGGTGTTCGGCCAACCCTGAGAAAAAATTTTAATAAGAGATTCTAGAGGCGAAAATAAGACGAAAATCAAGAATACCAATTTGTTGATTGACGCTTCGTTAAAAAATTATTAACAATTAAATTCAAAAGTTTCAAATCGTTCTGGAAAAATTATTTTCGGTCGCGGGGGTCAATTACCATCATTTTTTGCGAATACACATACCTACGAAATCCTACCCACTTTCGAGAAAAAAAATCGGGTGGATGCCGAAATTTTTCGGCAAAAAAAAATTTTTCAAATCGTTCTGGAAAAATTATATTTCGTTACTGGGGTTAATTACAAGCATTTTTGGTGGATACACATACCTCCAAAATCCTACCCACTTTCGAGAAAAAAATTCGAGAAAGTGTGAAATTTTACGACGAAAAGAAAAATTTCAAATCGTTCTGGAAAAATTATTTTCGGTTGCGAGGGTCAATTACAATAATTTTTGGTGAATAGACATACCCCCGAAATCCTGTGCATTTTCGAGAAAAAAATTCAGTACGGGCGGAACATTAAACGTTAATAACTTTTTAACAAAGCCTCCACCAACAAATTGATATTCTTGATTTTCGTCTTAATTTGGTCTCTAGAACCCCCCCATTAAAATTTTTCCCAGGAATGGCCAAACACTCTGTAGAGACGATGTCGAAATGTTCAATTCTGCACCTTTTTCTATTATTAAAGAATAAAATTTAAAAATATTTATTTCTAAAACTAATCTCTCTTTTACTTACTAACCTAAACCTTTAAACCGATTCTATTGTACGACTACAGCTATCAAAGCCCTCGACACTCCCAAATCTATCAAGACTTTCAAAACTCAAGATACTCGAGGTGTTCAAGAGATTCAAGAATTCTAAGTTTCGAATCACATTCGAATTTATTTGAATGTTCCTCGCCATATACATGTATGAATTTGAATCGAAGCGCTTCAAATTCCAACTTACGACAGTTTGTGGCTACCGCGTGATAGGAAAAGTGAGAATCATCATAGAGCGGATCAGTACATTTTTTTCACTCGTATTTTACGCAAAAATTACACGAAATTAAGAGAAGCACTTAATGTTAACACTTAATGTTGATCGAGGCTTCGTTAAAAAGTTATTAACGGTTGAAGTTCCATACCGACCGGAAAATTTTTCGACGAAAAAAAAAAATTTCGAATCGTTCTGGAAAAAATATTTTTGGCTGCGGGGGTCAATTACAATCATTTTTGGTGAATAGACATATTCTCAAAATCCTACTCATTTTCGAGAAAAAAATTGGAGTATGTGCCTAAATTTTTCGGTGAAATTAAAAAATTTCAAATCATTCTGGAAAAATTATATTTGATTGCAGGTGTCAATTACAATCATTTTTTATGAATAGATATACCCTCGAAATCCTACGCACTTTCGAGAAAAAAATTCAGGAAGGTGGACAAATTTTATTAATAACTTTTAACAATAATAGTGTTAATAACTTTTTAACGAAGCCTCAATCAACAAATTGATATTCTTGATATTTCTATAATTCTTTTAAATATTTCTAAGATTCTTATAATTTCTAATGTTATAAAACAAAAAATCTTAGAAATGGTTAAAGACGTAAAATATTATTCGATAATTCTTGATACGACTCCAGAGACAAACCACACAGAACAATCAACTCTTGTAATCAGGTTTGTTAATCACAATAAAAATAAGAGCATAACAGAAATTCGCGAATTCATTTTACGGTTTTGCTCTGTCTGTGATACTATTAGACAAAGATTATATCAATTGTATTTTAAATCATTTAGTATTGTTAAATCTTAAAATTTTGAACTTATGCAACCAAGGGTACGATAATGGTGCAAATATGTGCAGTAAACATAACAAACTCCAGCAAAAAATTATTGAAACAAATTGTAGAGCTTTCTTTATCCCATGTTCTGCTTATTCGTGAAATTTAGTGATTAATTCTTCTGAGAAAATAAGTATTTCTGGGTTCAACTTAATTGAAAATTACTTAAGATCAACCATATCGCAAGACCGTCTGATATTAATGAGTCAATGAAGAATTTTATGGTAGAAAAGCCCGACGAGTACGCATTATGAAAATACTAAGTAAATATTTATAGCGAAAATAATATATCTAGGATATATATACCAGAAATCTGATATATTTAGGTTATAATATTTTGAATGTCATTATGAATTATTTTGTTATAAATATTTTACAGAGTTGCATTCAACTTTGATTTGTTTGTTACATAATAAAATTTCTAATGAAATATGAAATTGGATAATATATCAATGATATTTGTATTCAATGTTTATACTGTTTATCATTCGACATTATTTATCGTTAAATGTAAATTACATACGAAACTACCCGAGTTACAACAACATACTTAAATGTTCAATATTTATTTAATGCGTGAACATTTATTGAAAAAATATATATACGTAAAGGATGTTTCGATGAAATATATTTCAAAATTCAATTTGATAATTGTACTTCTTACGATTGTTGAATATAGCATGACATGGCACAGTATTAATATAATAAAACATCACATTACCTTTTAACCTTAAAATACGAGCGTGACGACACGTTGAATCAATATTAAATGAATTTTTTCCAGATCATCGTGAAACGTATATTTGAACGGGAAATAAATTACTTTAGCATACGTTAAACGATCAGTAGCTAGCATGTGCACTGAAGAAAGTTAACGTTTTTATTTAATTTAATTAATTAAACTGTCAACTCTAGAATAACGTGTGCTTTACACACATTACTATTAAACACAGCACTTCCTACATATGATAAACACAAACGCGCGGAAGTTTCTGCAAAAGTGCCTTATCATTAATCTCTTTAAATACTGACGATATACATTTTTTTTTGTTCAATTCATGTCACTTAAAATAAATTCCCCTACATGATCGTAACTTTATCATATTGAATAGTGCATTTTACAGCGGTGTATATGTGTTCTCGAATTCTTGCCGTCCAAGGGGAAAGTCACTAGCTTCGGCTACCCTTTTTTTCTAGGGATGGCGTGCAAAATCACTAACAGTGATTTATCACAGTGATCACAAAATCACGATCACAAAGTACTTCAATATAGCTGGTGTATAATTAGGATTGCCAAAAAATCCTAGATAGAAAAATAGGATAATTTCTAGAACGAGAGAGGCATGTTTTATTTCTAAAATTAAATTTAACTATTATCAAACTTTTAATAATATCGATTAACATTCAAGTCGTTCGTCTATCCATTGAGATTCTATTAAATTAAATAATCTTAGATATGATCTTAAATAATTAATTAGTGCGAAAAGAATATTTTCAAAAGCAGGGTTATTGTTATTCTTAAATAACAGTAATGAACCCTGATGGATTCAAACGGGCTTGAAATCAATGATTTCTATTCATCGACAAATTTATTTCGACTATTAAACTTTCACTGTTTACTTAAAAATACCTCGGAGACTAGAGCCAAGTATGGTTACACGTGTATAGAGAACAGTTGCTTGCAATGATCTCTTAATTTTTTTATGAAAGATCATTGACTGTCTTTTTTTCCAAAATATTATACTAATACTATAGTAAATAACAGAAGGCTCATAAAATCAAGGACTGTTTTTTTTAAAGTTGCCTGTTCGAGGAGACAAGAGCAACTTGTAATCGGACATTGCTGTATTCTGCAGTAATCCTTAACTGATAAAATAATTTGTAAAAATAACAACATAATTTGAAATATCGTTGTGACATTATTTATCATTGCGCATACAAATACGTCCATAATATATACTATCCAAATCACAATTATAAATACGCATCGAGTAAAAAAAATACTTTGTTGTAAACAGTTATTATAAAACTAATAGCATGCAGATATTTCTTGTTTAGGAAAAAAACTTTATACCCGTTACATAAAGCAATTGATGTTTTGCAACGTAAGAAATAAAGTGGAGAACAATATTTTATGTGGAATTCAGAGAAATACAAAAAGAACACAGTCGTATTTTAATGTTTCCCTCTTTTATTACCAATAGGAGGTTTTTGAAGCTGGAAACTCGAATTCGATTCGCTTGTTGGTAAAGGTGCTGTAAAATTGGTTGGTGTACTGAAAGTCAAATTTGCAGTTGGCGGTTTCATCGACGAGCCTAGATTAATGTTAGTAGCAGACGATGTCGGTATTGTATTTCCCCAAACTGTAACAATATATGTATACACTGAATTATTTTTAATCTATTTAAAATGTTAATTTCATTTACATACAATAGCTGAAGCTATATATGAATATTAAAAAGATTAACATTATCGATAATAGTGTATTAGCAATATTAACAACACTGGGAAGTTCATGAAAAATTTTGTTACGACTAATACCCAACTATATACCCATAAAATATAAGGTTTTTGTGCATGATACAAAACCCGTATATTCTGTGAAATATTATACACTTTAGTCGACGCGAATGCTCTTTTTATAATGATTATGACGACAGAAGCAATTTAAGCACATATAAAATACACAGCCATTCTTTAATAAGCATAACTTTCAATTTTTCTTTATACCTTCCTATTTTGTAGTGCAAATTACAAAAAGGGAGGAATAATATTTACGCTGTCATTATTAAGTACAGTAATAGATGTTTTCTTATGTAAGTAATGTGTGTTAGATACACAAGCTTTGTATCCCTTCCAACAAGTGACAACACAAAAAGAAGTTGAAGTAAAAAATTGAATACCTCACAAACTAAAATAGACCCCTTATTCTTTTCCTGTAAAGGCAAAATCAAAATCAAAATCAAACCACAAGTATAAGAAACGTAGATCTAAAATATATACAAACTAAAGAACCGTAAAGAACGTCACTATCTACTAAAAGGACGTTATATATTAGTAAATCTACCTCATACTAAATCCACGCAAGACCTGAAGGTAGGAGATGTTTATGGGGTAATTGAAACAACGAAAATACGTTGTTTAAGGGATATACTATTTTCAACGTAAGGATATATTAATACCATGGGATCGCGTAACCATTTTATTTACCTAATGGATTTCGAGTTCCATAACTTCCTGATCTGTTAGAATTTAAAGCTGTAGACGAAAGAAAACTTTTATTTCCTGTAAACATGAAATATGTAATGTACTGAGTAATAAATTTAATGCGCAAATATATTAACTGTATTATTATAAAATTATTCAACGTTAATGACAAAGGTACCTGGTCCAAATGGAGTCGGACCGCTTGTAATTTTTCCAATATTATTTCTAGACGTTTTCCCATCCATTCTAATATCTTCAAAAACATTCGTATTATCTTTTAAAACGTATTTTCTAAAATTTAGATATTGCTCCTTGTGTTGTTGGACTTTAGAATGCACCCCTTGTAATTTACCAGCAACAGCTACCAGAGACTCGTGAAGTTTACTCATAGCCATTGTTAATTCTAAAAATAGACGAAACATACGTATAGTAAGATCTTTTTAAATGCAAATATTAATAAGAAGTTACCTTGCGGCGTTAGAGTTTTTGGAGTCATCATTGCTTGTATATGCTTTTCTGTTGTTTCAATTTGAGATCTAAACAACATTAAATCATGTTCAAAATTATCAGCTAATTCCATAAAAAATAATAACGGTGCGTTATTTTCATATTGTAATCCTAATGGAGTGTCGTGTGTCCTTTGTATTATTTCAGTATTTTGTAACGCTTTTGCTGTATCTTGCTTTAATTTATCGACGGAAGCGCGATCTCTTTGTACAGAGCCAGCTAATGTAGTTAAAATTTCCATCAATAATGCTGTATCTTCGGCACATCGATTTAACGGTCTCGCAGAACCCCTTGATATATCCGAAGATAATACCTTTTGCTCTTTCACAAATTCCCTGGTTAAAATTATATGCTAAGTAAATTTTGTTCGAGTCTTAATGTATTTATGTTTCATAACATTATATATAACAATTACTTGAATTTATCTATCGTCTGCATTAATTCCGGTGGCCAAACATTATCTTTAGCAGTTGCTGGAGTACTGCTTCCTTGCGAAAGGCCTTTATTATTTACGGACACATCTAAACCTCCCAAGCCTTTATTTGTAACAGTCGTGGCATTAGTACTGGTAAATGGCTTTGATCCTAATAAACCACTGGTAATTGATCCACCAAAAAGTGATGCTACAAATACATATCGTATAAGTACAAGCATAATTTTACCGATAGCAACAAGAAACAAAAAAATGATTATATTTTATATATACTTGTGGTAGTAGGCGTGCAAAAAGTAACATTTCCGGTCGATGATGTATTGGTCGGAGCACCAAATGTTAAACTATTACTTGGCGTGGCGGTGCCGAAAGTAAGATTGTTGAACAGTGGTGCGCAGGTAGTCGGGGTTGGAAATAAACTAGTAGCGGTAGTTGTGGTTATTATGTTCGATCCTAAAACTAAACCACTCGATTGCGTTTGTCCAGCAGTCACAGGCGCATTGTTGAACCCAAAACTAAGCCCGGTAGTTGCTGCTGGTATCGGAGAAGCTCCGAATGTTAATGTCGGTGCTGGTACAGTCGAACCAAAAGGTGTACTAGTTAAATTAAAACCTGTTGCTGGTCTACAAAATAATAACGAAATATTAGTATTCTAATATACTTGTGCTAGGGAAAATTTATAATTTTAACAGAAAACTTTATATCATACTTTTTAATTTCGTTCTACGTAGGGGTTAATATAAAATATAAAATTACACGTACTTCTGTCCAAATCCAAAATTTGTGTTATTCGACGTCGTAGTTGTTCCGAAAGTGAATGTCGACATATTTTTAATAGAATTATACAGTAAGTAAATACGCTTATTTGTTTTTAGAATACGAAATTCTCATGTGTGCATTACATCATTTTTAATGGTATGCAATATACATATACAAATGTCACACATCGATGTCTAAACTAAGTTTGAAGTTCAAACTTTGAACAGTTTAGGTTTGGAGAAACAGTAAATCGTCAATACTGTTGATGTTGATACTTGATAGGGATAATAACGATATATCGATGTTTCGAGACATCGATGTTTTTACCATCAATGTTTGAAAACAGATACCATTGAAATCATAGATGTACTTTTTTACCTAATAAATAGTGAAACAATTAAAAAACATATGTATTGAATAAATCCTTCTTAAGAAACGAATTTTGCAAACATCTGAAAATACTTCAGAACTATTTGATGACGTTAACATTGATATAGAATATATTGACAAAGTTTAGCCATTAAAATCTGGGACAATCCAGTATTTCCCATTCCACATTATACTCGATCACGTGTACGAGTACCCATAGAGTTTCGGAAAGTCGAGAAAGACGGGCTGATACTCGCCTTTTTTCCCGACTATTTAAAACTCTATGTACATGCGATTGGGCATAGTGTGCGTAAGTAAACAAAAAATTCCTGATGCTCCCGGTGCGCGGTCTGGTAACACCAAGCCACCCTGTATATTACTACTTGACTGGTAGTACTAGTTTAGAATTTGGACTAGAATTTTACTTCAATTTGTACTCATAGAAACTTAAAGGTGGAGCAATATCGATAATCATAACCATCGACAGTCACCGATAATTTGATATCAACCTATCGATTATTATCGATAGTTAATATATGCGCACACCACACATACGCACACGCACAGGCGACAGGCCAGTACCATTCTCTAGATGTCGGAATTGAGCGGAACGTTTTTATATAATTTATCAGTATTTACAATTTTCAAGCAGCATGGGAATTTGTGTTGATCTGAAATAACGGTGGTATTAATTACAGAAAATTTTCCGATCCACGTACATGAAAATAAGTTAACGATTTGAAAAAAAAAAAGACATGATACACAGAAGTTTTTTGTTACAATGGATTTTGGTGCTGATATTCACAGTTACTATCATCTATCTAAAATTGAAAGTAAATTTTCTGGAGGATCACTACAAACTATTGTGTACGCGTTATTATAGAGGATGTAATTTTATTAATTTGTAGCATTAAGAGCATCATCCTTTTAATATTTCATTCTGTTAAAGGTGATGGAATAACATAGGTTATCCTATCGTACTTGCAGACAATGCCGTTACGCACGAACAGAATAGTGTTCAAACTGGACTTGAAGCTAGTGAACGAACTTACAAATTCTCACCTTTTGATGATCTCATCATAATCTACAACAGGGTACCCAAAACAGCATCGACCAGCTTCGTAGGTTTAGTTTATGATCTGTGCAAACAGAATAAGTATCATGTTTTGCATATTAACGTTACCAATAATATGCACACTCTTACGCTTCCAAATCAGGTAATATTTAGTATTCTTAATTTATTATTCTTTGTTAAGAAATTCGTTTCGTTTACGCATCAAATAATTACAGATTCAATTTGCAAATAACGTAACCGAATGGGCTACAAAGAAACCAGCATTTTATCATGGACATGTTGCATTTTTGAATTTTGAAAAGTGAGTGAATGCAGGTATTTATTATAAAAAATGTATGTAATTTTATTGCTTTAAATTAAGTATATATTTCAAGGTTTGGAATAAGACAAATGCCTTTGTACATAAATCTCTTACGCAGACCTTTGGATAGGTTTGTCTCTTATTATTATTTCTTGAGATATGGAGATAATTTCAGACCTTATTTAATTAGAAAGAAACATGGAGACACAAAGGTCAGTATTCGTTATTTGGAATTCGCTGTCGACATTGAAATAATCTTACGACTATTTTCAGACTTTCGATGAGTGTATCGATGCCGGTCAACCAGATTGCGATCCCGATAATATGTGGTTACAAATACCTTTTCTGTGTGGTCATGATCCTGCGTGTTGGTGAGATTTCATAAAATTATAATTATTAAAAGGCTAGTTACTACTTACAATTATTAAAATATTAACATTTAAATGAACATTATTTATTAGGGAAATTGGAAATAGTTGGGCATTAGAAGAAGCTAAGAGAAATTTGCAAAACCATTACCTTCTAGTAGGAGTGACGGAGGAATTAACAGAATTTGTAGAAATTTTACAAATTGTACTTCCACGATTTTTTAAAGGAGCTTACAATTCTTTTTTATACAGTAAGAGAGAAACAATTTAGACATTTCTGTTTTTAAATGTTAGTAATTTATGATATTTCAGATAATAAATCACACCTGCGTCAAACTACACAAAAGATCAATCCGCGACCCGAAACTATAGAGAAGATTCAGAAATCTGTCGTTTGGAAAATGGAGAACGAGCTATATAATTTCGCTTTAACACATTTTCATGCAGTAAAGAAACGTTTAATAAATGCCTCACCCCAAGATGCAAATCAACGGTTCGTGTATGAAAAAATACGTCCAAAATAAACTTACTTTCTTAAATAAACAAGTTCCGTGTTTTTTATTAATCCTTTGCGGACTAAAATTTACTTTATCTAATGTGTAAGTTCTATTTTAGTTCAGTGAATTGTTCCATATATATTAAAGGAAATAAATTTGAATAGGATTCATGAATTTTAGCGAGGTTACGAAAATAAGTACGAAGACAAATTTTAAGTTGTGTAGTTTACAATTGTCTGAAATTGAAGTTTTTGTCATTGTAAAAAATTTTACAGTTTTAGTCGGGCAGTTAACGCGTTAAATTTTCAAGACTTACAATTAATACAAACAAAACTACGTAACCGCGAAAGAATTTCATCGATCATGCACCACTGATAAAAATTTTTTACATTAAATCTATTGATTCGACAGAGTGATAGATTTTCGATGTATTATTATTAAGTAATATGTAGTAATCCATTAGTAATCTTCGATTCATTTGTATTCCATTAAAAATAGTAATTGTTAAAGATTTTGAAAAGAAATCTACCATTATAAATAAACAATAACTTGTATAAATTCTACAATATTTACATCTATTTGTCGCATTCTCGCGATATGATTTAGACAAAGTCCTGTAAAGATTATTCTTAATAATAATACAAATAACGAAATACTTTATTCTTCGATCGGTCATAATCTTTTAAGAAAATTTAATGACCATTAACAGATCTTAATGCAAACATATAAACTGGATATAATCCACGTGGGAATTTATTTTGTTGCTCCTCCTTGATGCAAATTAAATTAGACTCTTGAAATATACGATAGAATTCAGACAAAGGTCGTGTCACGGAAGAATCCTTTGTATCAACCTCTAAATTTTTAGAACTTGTCACATTCTCCTTAATTATTATTACGCCATTAGGTCTCAAACCCGACCTATAAAAATCTTATTGATTAATTAGTCAAAATAATCAATTTTACAATGAGCAAGTACTTACGAGCATTTTTTAAGAAATTCTATTAAATGATCCTCTTTTAAGTGACCCAAAACCCATTGACACCAAATGACATCGTACTTCTTGACGGTAAAGCAAAAATTTTGGAGTCCTTAAAATACGGCTTGATTATTGTAACTAAATATTCTTTAAGTAATTAATAGGTCAATTAAATGTTACCAATGGGATAATAGTCAGTTCTTGAGGAATAATTTTTTAAATATGTTTTTGCGACCTCAAGAAATTTTAAATTTTGCTCCACTAAATCGACATGTTTAAAATGATTTAATAATAGATTCTTAGTTATCCTTCCTATGCCTGAACCACAGTCTAACGCACTGGTCTTTGACGGAGGATTTTTTAACTGAAATTAATCAAATCATTGTTAGACAAATATTTGACTATTAAAGATTAAATGGTACATAGATTATCAAACACCTCGAAAACAGCCTTCAAAAATACTGTGGATCCCTTTATATCAGTTTGAGATATAAATCCAAAACCACCAAGCATTCCATCCACCGTCGGTGGAATATGTTTCCAATAATCGGCAGCCGCGGTATAAAATTCATTCTGTTCTTGTATATTTTCTTTTTCTTCCATTTTTTAAGGTTAATAAATAATACACTCTATTTAATTCAGAAATTAATGGTTAAGGAAAAGAGAAAAAAAAAGAACAAAAGTGTAACCACGCATTTCGCTATTTCGACGATCGGAGTACAAGCTTTGCAATAATATTTACTTGAATAACTTTTGTAATCGATAAAAAATTGTATACGTAGAATAGAAAATTTAAAAAAAGAATTTCTGCAACGCGATACTTGATCAGTTGTATGCAGAATTCAAGCGAGGAATAATAAATACAAACATTATTATTGTTTATCAAAATATCGGTATATCGATCACAAATTATCGATATGTAACTGAGAAATTGATTGTGTACCGTAACCGTTTTCGACCAATGCCTGCGAGTCAGCGGACTGCAACAGGAGTGGGGATGTAAACACGCTGTGCCTTCTTCTCGCGGAAGAATGGTTTTCCAGCCATCTTGGTATATATGAGAGGTGTGTGAATCATGAGTGATTTGATCACATTCGTTCTTAATCTCTGTGATTTTTCGTGACCCCTTCTGATCAGTGAAAGATCTGTTATTTGCAACTGTACCCCACAGGTGCGACTTCTCCTTACGAGTGCCAAAATGATTCGTTCGAAGTTGTTTATTTAATGTAAACGCACCTTAATCCCTTGCCGTACGATTTAATTGCAAGTAATTTTTCAAACGTATACTGTTCAATTTTGTTTGAATCTGTTCGTACATACAAGGATAGATTTGTTTTATAACGAGTATAACCGCATCACTGTGAAACCTTACATAAAAAACGTACGATGAGTCAGACTCGTAATTGTATGGCAAAGGGTTAAAGAGGTCGGATGTAACAAAACAATCAAGAATAATTGAAATATTTATTTTTTTCGAACATACAGCACTAAATATGGTACACAATTTTGAAAATGCACTTCAAATAAATTATTTCTCTCTCGAATCATTACTATATTAATTTTAATGTTACACGATTTGAATGAATTCGTGTTTGATTATGTAACTTCAAACGGAACGCGAATTCCATACGGATCCCAGGTTCAGAATCGACGCACCTCGGTTGGATGACATTATATTAAGCGTGCAACCCTGTAGATAATACATCCTGTGAAACAATGTACATGTAGAATGTACACCCATGGTGTAAGCATTAGTAATGTATACATATGTTTACATATACAGGGTGTTCGGCCACCCCTGGGAAAAATTTTAATAAGAGATTCTAGAGGCCAAAATAGGACGAAAATCAAGAATACCAATTTGTTGATCGAGGCTTCGTTAAAAAGTTATTAACGTTTAAAGTTCCGTTATCGCGCGCACGCAGTCTCACAAGCGGAATTTTAAACGTTAATAACTTTTTAACGAAGCCTCGATCAACAAATTGGTATTCTTGATTTTCGTCTTATTTTGGTCTCCAGAATGTCCCATTAAAATTTTTCCCAGAGGTGTCCCTGTATGTTAAACCGAAGCATTTGATGTACGTATGATATAGTATAAAACAGGGAGTGGGTTTTAAGACTACATAAATGAAATTAGAAAACAGTTCAACAATATGTACCATTTTTATAATATATTATTGTAAACACGTACAAGAAATGGCTGAAAACAGTATTGGCAATGTTCAATAGTTATTTAAATTAAATAATTGAAAGTTTTAATAGGAAGTTGGCACACTGTTTACTTAACATTTACATCTACTGATTTGCCATCTATAACATTACATTTTAATGCTACTTTTCAAGTTGTAATCGTATTTCTTATTTGTCTTTCTTCTTCATCCCATAAATGTTCAATAGAGTTTAAGTTGGAACTTTGCAGTGGATGTGATAACATGCATGGAACATTATACTATACCTTCCATTCTTTGACTATTTTGGCAGTATGTTTCGGATCATTGACTGATTGAAACCGATAATTACTTGATAAATTTCGTTTTGGTGCACAGTCTTTTAAATTTTTAGAGCATTATAGTTATATAATAATAATTAACACTAGAAAGACTGAAACTTAGTATATACCTATATTGCCCAAAAGCAGTCAAAATGACTGCGTTGTGAAAGACTAATTAATGTGTAAAGAAATTTGTTTAAAATTAATTTTTAATATTATGTTATAATATTATGAATTTAGGGCGCAGAAATAAAATAAACAACTTGTTAGAACAAGTATCACTGCATAAAGATTCGAATAACAAGTACTACTTTAGCTTATTGAGAAACTGCAATTTATCAATAGGTCTGGGTTAGGTCTGGATTAGATCTGAGTTAGATCTGAGTTAGGTCTGGATTAGATCTGGGTTAGATCTGGATTAGATCTGGGTTAGGTCTGGATTAGATCTGGGTTAGGTCTGGGTTAGGTCTCATTTACACTGTTGTTGTATTTTGTAATTTCCAAGTGTATGATTTGGTTTGGACTCGAAAAAATGTCGAATGGGACTTGACGAACAATGCTTTTAAGTGTTTTATTTGAAATTTACCTGTTAAAATAAGTGTTTTATTTACACTGTTGTTGTATTTTGTAATTTCCAAGTGTATGATATCTGTTTGGTTTGGACTTGAAAGAATGTCGAGTGAGACTTGAAGAAGGTGCTCCTGAGATCAAAATTGATGTCGAATCACACTCGACATAGGAGTGCAAAGGGTTAAGATAATTTGGATTATTAACTAATCCAGACCTAACCCAGACCTAAACCAGACCTAACCCAGACCTAACCCAGAGCTAATCCAGACCTAACCCAGACCTAACTCAGATCTAACTCAGATCTAATCCAGACCTAACACAGATCTAGGGTCTGGGTTAGGTCTGGGTTAGGTACGCCCAAATCGACAATTTATCATGTACTTGTATGTTATCATGTGTTGGTAATCGAAAAAAAATGAAAACTGTTATTTCAATACAGAGTCGAACTGGTCATATAAGAAATTTACTCAATTCAATAATAAGAGTCATTTGATTATTTAAAATTTCCCAGGCAGTCAAAATGACTGTTTTTGGGCGATATAGATATAACACATATAATGAAGGAGGGGGGAGGTAACTAGAATTATTAATAAACGCATTTATATGTTGTAGAAAAAGTCAGAAAATTCTAAGAAATTGTGTCATTATATAATTGTTTTTCTAATTGAAATAAAAAAGCAGTCAAAATGACTTCCTTGGGCAATCTAGTGTTAAGGGGGTCTTCTAGTTCAAAGTGTACAAGCAGATGTTATTCAGTTTGATGGAAGCTATCGCAATAACAAAACGTTATTGCCATTTTCCATTTAAAAAAATGTGACGGACCCCCTTTTCCCCAACAGTAGCTCCTCCAAAAATATGTTAAAAACTAAAAGATCTTTCGGGGAAGTCGATATCTTTATTAAATTTTTTAGAAAATAGCTTGTAACACTTTATTTGGTGAACCCTGTATAGCATTGGCATTTGTCAAAATGAATATATTGTTTTGCTAAGACATACAGTCTAAACAAAAACTACAATCCTTATAAAATAATAATAAAAAAAAAAAAGAAATAAAATATGTGTTGAATTTGTTTTTGAGCCTATATTTATTTTACATTTACTCACGTTTTTGATACGTATCGATACCGGATCGAAATTTATAAATTGGTATTAATAGAATGGATGCCCGAATCGGTTTTAACGTTAACTGTTAATACAGAAACGTTGACTGACATCGCATTATGTGTGCCCGATCCGCATAAGTCCATCAACATGGCGTAAAAAGGAACAACAGTCGCATAAAATGCTTCACTCGTGAACAGCACTGATCTAACTCAGTGCTTTGAATAAAAAAACTTTACCTCGACTATTCCAGTTGAAAACGCGTATCCTGCCATTGCCAGTGTAGCAAAAATTCCAGCAAAAAGTTGATTTCTTCTTTTATTAGGAAATTCATTCTCCGAATCGTTCGTCTTTTTTTGTGCGTTCTCCTCGGTCTTACGTTGCGTATACTCTTGATAATTACTTTCAAAATACTTTTGCGATATACGAGATATATATTTCACTAAATTTGTGCAAGCCTTTAAATGATTTTGTAACGCTGGATTCGGTAAAGGAACTTTGAGCAGTAGTACCAGATAAGAATATATAATGGCATCCAGCAGACTAGGTTTTGTACCAAAGAAGTAATCTAAATCTCCCAGTCTTGTAGATAACAGCGTCAAACATTTTTGCGCTTCCGAATATACCTGTTATGTACATTATTATTATTATTATTATTAAAACATTTTTAATACAATAATAGAAGTTCCGGGACTGAATCGACTGTGAAGAAACGAATTGCTCCTCGCAACACTGGATGCTCTACTTTGAACGGCGATAATTCTATTTACAGAATGTTAATTTAAAAATAAAATAACACAGCTTTTAACGATATAGAGTTTTACGAAGGTGTAAGCACCTCGTTGCAAATTACAAAACAAAATTAAAGGGCTTACTGCGAGAGGTAGCAGCTCCCCTTTCTCACACTTTTTGTTATATTAGGTCTTATGGTTTTTATAAATGAAATATTAACTACACGTGGTATTTTTGAAACATGGAATTCTTAATGTTGAAAAGTGATTATGTAAACAACTAAATAAGTACGTTTGAAATGCAATAAATTTACTGAATTTTGAGATCAATTTCATTAATTCCTCTTATTTCAAACATGTTTCGTAGGACTGAAGACTTGGATTATCGATCGACTCTCCCACAGAACTGACGTTTATCACTGCTGTTACCTTATTTTCTATAACAACCATATTATCTTCTGTAGGATATAAAGTTTCAAACAGTGCTTGGGTCTGTTTTTCGAATTTTCTTGGATAATAGAAATTTAATGGGAATGGCAATGCTTTACAGTACCATGGTCTTATCAATTCATCTACATTCTTTTTATCTATCCACCTAAAAATATAAATATTTTTGATCGTATACAGCGTTTTACACAACCTGCGTTCAATTTAAATAACGACATACACGTACCAAATAAATTGTATGGCGGGAAACAATTTTTCTTTTAACAGTGAATTATAAGCCATAACTGTTGCACATTCTTTTGGAGATAATACATGTTCTGTATTAAAATTTTGTTCTCTTAAATAATTTATTATTTCTTCAACTGAATCTAATGTGCCACTACTACATCGTAAAACGGGTAATCGACCGTTGGGTGCATTAAATAAATTACCAGAAGTATTTATTTTTAAAGATACACCATTAAATTTGGCATAAACCTGAAAATATATAGTTCTATTGAAAAAAAAATATTATTCCGGGGTTCTGCATGTACTGCATGGCAGAAACCATACATATCTGAAAGAGCTTGCCATAGAGTTTATAACAAAGGATTCTATGTTTAAAAATAACATTGTTTTTGGATCGAAGCAAATTTAATATATTTAAATCAGACGATAGGATATTGATTTGAAGAAAACCAGACGGAGTTGGTAAATTGGTTTTTATAAATGACATTATGGATAAATAGGCACATTTAAATGTATTAAAACAAAATTTATTTAAAAGTGCGGAAAACTTAAATCTCCTGCAGGATTTATATTTTTAACAAGAACTTGATCCCAAATATACTGCCTATATTGTATGTCATTAGAACATTTATAATATTACTCGCGTGTTAAATACATCAATCCAAAGTTTAAACACAAACCCTATCGAACATGTTTGAAATGAATTAGAATAAAGACTTAGAAAATACAATATAACAAATAAAACATAATTAAAAAATATTATTTTGCAAGAAAGGAACAAAGTCAAACAAAATTTTACACAAAAACTGGTGATTATGATGCCCAAATGGTTAAAAAAATTTGTAAGAAAAAAAGAGGACCAACTTAGCATTAATTTTCAAATGTTTTTAGTTTTATTTAGTTATTTATTTTTTGTTATTATTTCATGTATGATAAGTAATAAATAAATCTGTTAAAAAATTTTTCTTTTAAATCCATGCTACACCAGTACTTTTTGTTTAGCACTGTACGTAAATATCACACTGTTATTTATTTAAAAATATTTCGTATTCCTGAAACCAACATAATTATTTTGAGAATCAGAGTAATCTCAAAATTATTAACATTAAAAATAGCAGAACATTTTATAACTTCAAATCTTTTCGAGATTATATATAAGGTTGTAATTTTTATGTGACTTTTATTAAGTTTATTAATTTTATTGTTTAATAGAATTCTTATAAATTATGCTTAATTATTAAAAATAACTAAAAGAAAGTACAAATCAAAATAATTTTTATTGATTGACAATATCTACATTAAAGTGCTTAAACATATTTCAATAATTATCTCTGTTTTCATGAAATCTATTAGCAAAGAAAGAATGTGCCGCAATTAATAGAGATATCGTAACCTAAATTTAAAAATACATACCAAAACTTGTAAACAATCCGTATCAACTGATGGTAGACCCCAATCACCCTTCCATACACATAATTCGAGGTCTTTCATATCGCAGAAGCTCAAAATATCTCTCCTTTTTTTATTTTGTAAGTTAGAAAATCACCGTACACTATTTCCATTACACGATACATGGACAGAATTTAATCACCTTTAATCACTGATCCCAGACAGTGTGGCCGTGGCCGCCAATGTGGCCAGATTTGCCATAATTTAATCCATCAACGCCAACACTAGTAACGACGAACCTCCTTAGCATCGAACGGAGTGGTGGGGAAAGCCGCATCATATTTTACGTAGATTACGGAGCGTGTTACATTCCCACTCTTGCTGCAGTCTTCTGATTGGCTGTCACCAATTTCATCACCGTTTTCGACCAATACCTGTGAGTCAGCGGACTGTAACAGGAGTGAGGATGTAAACACGCTGTGCCTTCTTCTCGTGGAAGCACGGTACGTATGCCATTGACATCAGCTGTCGAGGTCAAGAAGGAAAGGCTCACACTCGCCTTCTTTCTCGATTCCCCGAAGTTGCGCGAAGTGCCGAGCTCGCGTAACATCGTTCGTACCACACCGTCAGACGCTAAAGAAGTTCGTCGTTACTAGTGTCGCCGTCGATTATGCCAAAACTGGCCACACTGCAGGACGCGGCATTTTCTGTGTTGACAGCGTACGATCGTTGCAATTGTAACCTATTTAAAATTTCAAACAATATTATTTGCATGTGTGATTATAACGTTGTAGGAAGTATGTACTAAAGAGCTTGTGCACTATTTGTACGAATCAAGCTTATCTTATTTAAAAATTAGTGAATCGAAGATTTATCATTTAAGCGTTTACAATTATTTCTCATGACAAAATTATAAATAAAATCTCATTAATTTCAAATAATCACGAGCAAGAAAAATGTCAGGACCAATGGTATTATGCCAGTTATGGATGGGAGGAGTAAGTGAATATTATATATATTAAAATATTGCGTATACAGAAATAGTTTTATATATTACTTTGCTGGAGTTTATTTGTTGTATGTAGGGTATTTCACATATTTCCGTTCATATTTTGGCAGTGTGTTCTATACGTGAAAAATAAAATTAAAATCTCATATAATAAAATGACTTTAATTACATTATTAAGAAGTTATAACTAACTCTTAGTTCCATACCGATGACAAACCACGCATTGCACTATGAATTTAATTTCAATTTAAAGTATTTTCTAATTGCAAGATACAAAGGTATTTACAACACGTACGTTACGTTACATTTCATCTTTTTTTATATGACTTCTTAACAAATACGTTTATGGACTTTTTGTTATATGGCATTTCGGTCTTATTTTTATTTGTGAAACACACTACCAAACTACGAATGAAAAAATGCAGTACACCCTGTATTTTGTATTTATTATTTTTGCGAAATTATGTATAAAATTTATTTCAGTTAGAGCCATATATGACAGAGAGTTTTATTATGAATGCTTTTCATAAAATGGGAGAGCAACCACAAACTGTTAAAGTAATGAGGAATCGTTATACTGGTGAACCAGCAGGTTATTGTTTTGTTCATTTTCCAACTGATGAGATGGCACTTGACGCAATGCACAAACTAAATGGCAAAGTTATTCCTGGTTCTAATCCAGTAAGAACTTAAAAATACTTAGTATAATCATTTGCTTCAAGGAATGATAGTTATTATATCTTTATACAGGGTGTAACATGCAGGAATGAGCTAAATGTATTTCAGAAAGTATTCAAATGACAAATACTACACTTATGATTATTCTGTCCACAATTGAATACTTGAAAGTATTCACTTGTTACAGTAATTAGCTCTGCATTTACAAAGTAGATGTATTCTGTCTCGCTATCAAATAGAGAATACAGAGCTATCTTATAATTGACGGACCAAAGTGAATACCAAATACATTAGCATCTGGTACTTCGTAGCTAAATAATTATAGAATACATTATATAATTTTAACATTCAATACATTTTAATCTACTAACGAATAATTTGTAACTGAATAAATGTAGAATACATTATATAGTTTTAACATTCAATACATGTTAACCTACTAACGAATAACGAATATATGGATTACGAATAAATTGCTATCGAAACAATAAACACTTTTTACTGTCATGTCACCCATATATGAGTGACAAGACTGTTTATTAAACAACTAAAAAAATTTATTCTTAAGATGAGACGTTAATAAAAATGTATCTGGATAAGATTCATGAATTTCAACAAGGTTCTGAATATCAGTACTGTGACAAATTTAAAAATCATACAAACGTTATGTACTTTTCGATTGTTTATAAACAAAATTTTGCGAGTATCTGTCTGGCAGAGAACATGTTAAATATGCGTCATAATCTAGTGTATATGTATATTATTAGTGTGACATTTGTTTTTTAAAATTCATATAAATGTATAACTTTTTAAAAAAATAGGTAAATATTTAAAAAATCTTGAATTTACAAATTTGTATTATTTTTAAATAACGTATAAATTTATCAATAATATTCATAATAATAATTCTATAAATGTATCAATATAATTATTTATTCATTGATTCGAACAAATTTGATAAATTCTGTATTAATTTTGAATACATTTTAAAACCAACAATTATGTACTTTATTTCAAAGGCGTTATTACTGCAAAATAAAGGCAAATCGGGCGCGGTGCCATAAGACATTTTTTGTTTAGTTTGTAGCTCCTCTATTATCTCTGCAGAGGATGAAATATATACTTGTTACACTCTGTATATAACTATGAAAATAATTATAGAATTAAACAGCGAATGCAACAAATTATTAAATTATTTTTTTAACGCGTTGGCTTTGTATTTTAGGCTGTAAGATTTCGATTAAATCATGCTAGTACAACGGGAAAACCAGCGGCTGAACGAGAATTCAGTATTTGGGTCGGAGATTTATCAACAGACGTCGATGACTATTCTTTGTATAGAGCATTTGCTGCCAAATATAATTCAATTAGAACTGCAAAAGTAATTTTAGATAGTTCTGGGTTTAGTAAAGGATATGGTTTTGTTAGATTTGCTAATGAGGAAGAGCAGAAAAATAGTCTGGTTACTATGAACGGATACAGAGGACTGGGAACAAAGTCGTTAAAAATTTGCAATGCTGTTCCTAGGCCCTGGAATAAACTGTCAGGGTGTGTATAAAACATCTATAAAATTTTAATCGCATAGTACAAACTGTTTCTATTTAAAATTTAATTCTTTTTATTTTCTCAGTTCTACTCCTCCGCAATCATCGTCTGAATATACAGCATCGAATATGAATTCGGATTCGTATAACTACTATGATACGTCGTCGTATTGGAACAGTTACAGCGCGTGGCAACAAGGTTACTATGAAAGTGAACCTACGTCAGACGGATATAATAGTTATGTATCGGATCAAAAACCTGAAGAAGATGAATTGGAATTGATTGGTAAGATAATGTCTCTTTACATGTATATTAGAGGTGTGCAACTTTGTGCTGGACAATGTTGGACCAAAGAACTTGAAAATGTTTCCGTAGAACTAAACAATAACAAATATTCACTCAATATGAAGTCAGAAAACAAGATATATAATATAATAATAATTGAGAATTTCATATAATTATAATTTTCATTTCCTTTTTCTGTTTCTTTTTTTGCAGAGCATTCAATTCCTACAGATATCGATAAACTTAATAGAGAAATAATAGAACAAGACTATAATTTGTGGGATGCATTGGAAAGTTCAAAATGGATACCGTGTGATACACTAGAATTATGTTATTAGAGATCCTTTATATGCATTAGTTTTATTTCTTACGTTTGTTCCTTACTTCATTAAGAATTTAAATAAATTTTTAGTCCGTGTACAAACATTATATTGGAAACAATCTCTAACCAAAATATTATTCTGTATTCCTTAAACTTTAAGAATTATTTAACACCTTTCTTAAGAATCTTTGACAATAGTCCTATCTTGCTATTGTTTTAACAACAAAGTTACAACAAATGGGCACAATAACTATATATCGTAATCCTAGTGTGAAGGTTTGTTATTAAATTCCCGGCTTCAATGTTAATTACTATGTAATTAAATGGAGTCTTTTACACAAAATTGACAAGCCCGGATGCTGGCACAGCAAACAATTTTTTATTACAATGTAAAGCTATCTGACATTGGACTCAGAATTGTAAAAAATTGGTGCTGGGGAAATGTTTGTTTCTTGTTCGAATTGGATCACTTCTCGAGTAGCTTCAATAGAATACATATTGGTATTTTTATGAAAGTGAAAAAGATGAGCAAATCGTTTAAGGCAGGTTAATTGAGGCAGTTGAAAATAAATCCTGTATATGGAATGAAACTAGAGACTACTACAATTTGTCATAAAAAAATACAAAATTCATCCATGTACCTACACCCTATCCTCTATTTCTAATGTTTTGCGAGATATTCGAGTAAATACGTTTTACTGTCTTTACTTTGAGTTAAATATGGAATGCAAAATCGTTTAGAAATCTGAAAGAATAAGTGTAAAATTCAATTTAAAAATCATCCGACCAGCGACATAAAGTTTGAATAACCGAATGTTACAAATTTTCGAGATCCCGCCCTAATCTAGAGCTCGGGTACTCGTATATCCTTAGTACTTACACATATTAGTAAAGCATAATGTATGAAATATAAAATTTTAGTTATAATTAATCTCACCGAGTAGACCGAAATACACTGTATTAATTAAAAACGAAAATGATTAAAACACTGAACAGGGTTATAATATAAAAATAGAGTCGAAATGAGTTCTATATAAACTTGTTTATTATTTTTATGCGTTAAAACACTCAAGCATATTGTATTTCTTTTTTCCACTCTAACGAACTTATTGCTTTTGTAAAAACTTAACTTTATAATCAATAAAAAAAATGATGTATACATGCTAGAATAGGTTTCTAATTTAAATTGTTTTATATAAATTTCCTTTTTCTGTCTAATTTCTCGCAAACGAGACCGGTTGGTTCAGAAACATTTGGAAGAGAATTCAGTCACTTTGAAGAAACCGTCACATGTGCATTAATGCAGCGTCTCTCAAAGTAAAGGAATGTTACATTGAAAGAGGAATACGAAAGACAGCCTTTAATGTAGAAACATGTGAATAGCTTAAAATCTTGGAAATTCACAGAAACTATAGAATTCACTAAAATTAATCAGTTAGCCTTCTGAGGGACTCGTATATTGTAAAACAAATTATTCGTATTCTTGTTTTACTGTAATCGATTCAGCATCCGATAATTTGGTACTTACAGTTGCTAAGAGTTCTGGTGGTAAATTTACAGATGTAATGTTAGATTCCTTGAGAGTTTGAGAAGAATTAATGTTAGAACTAACCATATAAACTTGTAAAACACTTTTTCCAGGTTCCTCTGGCGATTCCTTTGATAAAATAACTAATGATCCTGGCTCAACATTATCAATATTTGGTATGACTGTTTTAACAGAACTCGTACATTGAGTTTCTTGATTAGTATTAATATTATCGATGATTAAATTATTTGCAATTTTCAAGTCGTCTTTTGGCGATGTTATAGTTTCGTGATCGATAGAACCATAATTTAATATTTCATTGTCAAGCGTATTTATATCCGGTCCTTGTAATTTTTTTACTTTTGGTAATCTTCCGGATCTAGTTGGTCTGACATGATAGACCTCTGAATCGCTATCGAATCCATTGTATACACTTAATGATTGCACATCATCTATTTCTATCGATGACTTCTCTAATATTTTTACCTCTTCTCTCGACCCTTTATGACTTCTTTTATTAGTCTTATTAAATACTTCTTCGCATTGCTCTTTCTCTAGATTTTCATTCTGTACCATGAACTCTAAACAATTTTCTTCTTCGTCCGAAGCATCCATTTCAGCAATACTAGTTGCTACGATCCCTAAAATTATACGTTAAATAAGCATTTATACGCGTAACTTAATTCTTCTAATTTAATATCAAGGCATTCGAAATATAACCATGTATAATAGAAAAATGTTACAAAGTATAATAATTTATGTATTATTTTATTAAAAAGCACGGTTAAACTTCATTTGTTACTAACATAACAAAAGTTACAGTAGAGTTAAGAGAAAATAGCTCGTAATGCTTGTAGTTTTCAACTTACTGCATTTCCGTTTTTTCGATATTTTGAATTTTTTCTTTTCCGCCGGCCTTTGTAGCTTCCGTTTTTCTAGCGTATCAGAATGCTCTTTTTCTGAGCTTTCAAACGTGGCTATTAATGTAAACAAACATCAAAAATTTAATAACCAGCATGTTAATATTCGCAGATTAGAATTATTTTTTTCATGAATGTTTTAACAAAATTCTGTTACATTTATACCTTTATAAGCAGGTATATTTATTAGTAATTAAAATTCATACTTGCATTTTTACATAAAAAAATAGTTGTATATTATATTAAAAAAAAAAACTTACCCAATGATTTCTCTAACATATCGGTATCAAATTCTTGATGGTATGCAAGTGCTTTTTCAACTAAGTTCCTATTTACTTTTTCTTCTTTCTTAAATTTTAATTTAATCTCTTGCCGTGTTCTATTTGGAAAAAGACTTTGCATCAGCAGGAAATCCGTACCCACTGTATTCAATGCTTTATAAAATTTCAAAGTTTCCCATTTAGTCCACTCTTTACTTTTTTGACGTTTTTTATAGAATCCACTTCCATTGTTATCATCGTCAACAACAGCGTCCTTAGATAATACTTCTTTACCTTTTTTTGCATTAGTTTGTTCTATAACAAGACTTTGTTCATCTATTATTAACTGACCATCTGGTCCAACTTTTACTTGAGGTACAGGCATTGCAGATGACGGATCGTCCACATTTTCTTCTTCTTCTTCTTGGATTTCTTCAGATCTGTAATATTGCATCGTATGATTTTATTACTTTCCGATCTATAAGGAAGAAATGATTGTAATCGAGAAAAATGTTTTCAATTTCTTTTTTTTTTACAGAAAAATATATTTTAAGGCCTGTTAATTATATTCTGTTTATTTTAAACAAATTTGTTATTGCGCGTATGTACATCGTCGTGTGTGTTTATCGACACAAATGGATTTCAATGAAACTTTATATTGAAGTTTTATATCCTCGTATCAAGGTCTGATTAAAGTCTAATTTTCTATACATTACATTTCTTTCGTTATCATTTTATTCAAATAATTATTTTCTTTAATATGAAATCGACGTGTGAAAAAGTATAGTGATGTACTCGATTTTGTTGATTAAATTTAACTTTAATTTTATAAAACCAAATTTAAACTGCATTTTAGAAATTACTATTAATTTGAAAAATATTTTGTTTTATTAAGTTAAGATGATACTTACTGGCATTCTGAAATTTTTCTTGCGACCATCCCAGATTCTTTAGACCTCTTCATGGGATTAGTAATAGGATTATAATATATTAGATCATACATTGTAAGCTTAGTTCTATCTGGCGTTTTATTTTCATGCTTAATATGAAATTCCCTTCTAGCTTCTGCTAATTTTCTCGCAGATTCTGAAACTAAAATACGTCTCTTCTGACCTATTTTTGATTTCTGTAAGTTCTTAGTATTATTAGCAATAGTGTCCTTAACACTTTCTGCTGAGTGAATCAAATCGTTTCTTGTGTGATTGATTGTGGCACAATTTACTCTCCTACTATCATCTTCTGATTCGCTTGCACTTGCTCCACTTCCCTGTATGCTATTTCTTCGTACTCTACCACCACTGTCTAATTTAGGTGTCGGTCTTATATAGCCTACTCTGCATTGTGCTGATTTTATAGGAGTAACTGGAAATTACGAATAGTTGACAATTACTAATTACTTCGATATTCAAGTTTTTTAAATCTTTAAATACATAAAGTGTAACATCTATCCATCTATCTGTTTAAGCTAATCTCAAAAACTATTGAAATGACTTTGAATGGGATTTTATCATTGTATGACAACTTTTTCTGAAAGAACAAACAGTTACTTTACACTCTAATTACTTTGACGTTTCATGACTTTCTTTATCTTCAAAAGTCTGTTAAGGCCAAACAATTGTATTTTCACAACAAATAATATATAATTCGCCACATTTACCAATTTGTGTTGTATTTAAATTTTCTGACGATTGTGTAGTCTCTTTTCTCGATTCATCCGAATTTTGTTTAGATTCGTCTTCACATTGGGTGTCTTGCTTGTTATGGCGCAGCTGTTCACTTTGCGTCTGCTCTATGATCGCTAAATTTTCCTCTACTTGCTTTTCTTGAGAATCATTTTCTGGAGTTTCTTGTAATACCAAACAAGTATCATCGGATTTACTTTTATTTTTTTCGTCGCATTCAATTACATTAACAGTTTCGGTAACTGACGTGTCCTGTGTCACTTTTCGTCGTGGCGGTACACTAACCATAGCTTTTATACGTGCTCTCTTCATTTCGTCGATGTAAAAGTAAAATAAGATCTGCACATATGATAAAGTATTCAAATTTTTGTAATATATACGCATTTTGTTTATACAGTCTGTCCAGCAGATTTTCACACAATTTTGCCAGCAAGTTCTATGGTTAAAAATAAATAAATATAAAGTATTTGCAAGTTTTATACACAGAACAAGCTGGCAAACTTTATAAAGAAATCTGATAGATAAGAAAAGTTATTTGTATGGCATTAATATACAAATGGAAAAAAAATTACTCCAGTTTTAAAAATTATTTGAATCAGTAGAACATAAAGTCCTTCAAAACTTCAGAAACAAATTCAAAAATCTATATAAAAAATACAAAAATGTTATTATTTTAATTATAAAATTTAAATCAAATGATACAACGCTTTATAAAAATATGATTCAGAACTTTCGTTCAAATATGTTGGATAATGTATATTTTTCATAAGAGTGTCCAACAGTGCTTACATTCGTGAACAATTACATGTACGAATGTAATTCCAGTAATTAAAATTAAAGCCAGAAACCAATTAAAAGATTAAAATTTGATTATTATCATGAAACTTACTACAATCTCTTTAAGGCCAAATGTTAAACAGCTTATATCTAAAATCCAATGTCAGTCTTTACATACTTCTTGAAAAGCCTACTTTAATTATACGTAATTACATTTCAAAAGAACGTCGCGTAAATTCCACTAAAATTAAGCTCAATAAATTTCAGTCTCGAGTACGAATATTTTTATGGGCTATTGTATATTCGTAGCACAAGAGTTGGTAGAATAATTATCCATTTGTTAAGAAAACTATGTGTTGAACGTAATAAATTAGAAATATCGAGACAAATGAATGCAAAACTATAAAATACCGATACTAATGACATTTCTTAACCTAACAATACTTCAAGATTTCAGGTTATTTGTCTGCTTACCAAGAACACAGTTCGTGGATATATCGAAAAGTGAATCGACAATATTAAAACAGTATTCTTTTAAAACATTCTTCTACTAAAATTAAGAAAATTCTTTGGTTAATTTACAATCATTGACATCTTGATGTTTTGATGTACTTTTTTTTCATTTCTTCTGTAGTTGAAACACAACACTTATGCAGAGGCAGATAACTCTCAAAGTTTTAAACGGACATTTTGCAACATCACAGATGTCATGTCTTGAAAATTATCGAGAGGTTGGAAAATCTGAAGTCTAACAAGGAAAATACAAGACCTCCTGGTTACTGATTTATTCGGAACTTTATACACTGATAGGTTTCAACGCCCTCTTTGTGAAGATATGTCATTCTAATTTTTTCTGGAGGTAGAGCTCATGGATATCTACAAAAAAGTATTAAACAACATTTCCGTATAGCGTCAAACAAATCTATTAAACATGAAAAACGAATTTTTAAGAAAATTCGACAGTGAATACTGAACGGGGGGTGCTGAAATTTTGCCCCCGAAATTTTATGCACTTTCGAGAACAAAATTCGAGTAGGTAGACAAATGTTTAAAATAAAATTTAATTCTTCCAAAGATTTATATCAAATGTTTAAAACATTTTTTATAAGTAACGCGAAATGAGAATATAAAACGTATATAGTTCGTATGCCGTTGACGCTGTTAGATCAGATATCAGTTGTTCAAGAACGGGAAGGCAAATGTGGGCCTTTCTCTCTCGACTCCCACGAGATGGTCCGAAGTGCGACCGCACTCACTTCGGGCAGCTTCGGGAAATCGAGATAGAGGGCGAATGTCAGTTTATCTTTGTCGACTCTTCTGGCATAGCGAGAAAGTGGAATGAGGTGTCCGGGGTGTCCCCGGTGCACCCCGGGCCCTGTCTGGCATCTTTGGTTGACAACTGATACATGTACGAATATACGATATTTTATCTCTTAATAATTTTTAATAAAAATCCAATAGTATATATAATAGAATGCAGCAGTAATGCGGAGGCGTCGGTTTTTAAATTTATTACACGAAACAAATTGAACATTTCGAAACTGTTTAATGGAAATTTCTTTTCCGATAATGTTATTTGTTCAACCAATGATATTTATTAACAGGAGGATGTAAATCATTATCATTACATAAAAGCGCAGCCTTTAAAATAAATTGAATGTGCTGATTGTTACTAGTTGATACGGAGTAGGCGTCATCTTTAACGAATATAATTTTTTTCTCAGTAGTGATAATGAATTGTGATATCGCGGCAAATAAACATGGCGCTGATTTGATACTGGAGTCCTTTACTTCGGACAAGCCGCAAGCCTTGTCGCAATTTGCACAAACTCGGATATTACATTTTTCATATCTGCCCTCGGACAAGTCAAATAATTTGAGACACAGTGATTGTATTGTACATATTTCGAAAGGAAACGTGTAATAAACCTGCACGTCATACATGTCAAAATGGCACGGGAATATGATCATTTATTTAAGCTTCTAATAATAGGTGATAGTGGTAAGTGTATAAATACTGATATGTGTTAAATATATTCAGTAGCGAGGCTACACTCCTCTGCGGAAGTTTATTACAAAGAGTTACAATTTAATTATGAAATAATAATATGTCATTTATATTTTTAATGAAACCCAAACAATAGAATATTATAACACAAATAATTGTATAAAATGGCAATATATTGGTACTAAAGTTTATAGAATACCATATTTCTTGTAATCTAGATGAGTAATACCATATTTCTAGTAATATTGACATGAACTTTTCTTTTCTATCTAAACTAGAAAAATGTATGTTCTATGATAAAAAAATACCACACTAAGTAATTTTGTTAATTTTTGCAAATGTAATTAAATGATAACAACTCTTGTATTAATATCATTTTTCTATCGGCAATATGTATTTACGTTAAACATTCCTTTTGTTTAATGTTGATTTGAAATTGTAAACATTAATGCCGATCTGATAGCATATTTTTAAAGTTTTCAAGTTTGTAAATTTTCAACAAGTAAATATTTAATATTATGCGAGATGCAGTTTAAAAATTTTGTGAAATTAATAATAACGGGCATATGAAAATCATTAAACGACTGTGAAACAGAAAATATTCAAAATTTACATCGGAAGAAGTATTCTATTGTAAAAATTGTAAAAGTGTTAAAATATAGTTGAAAAATAATATGTAATCTTTTAAGAAACTAAGAATAACAAAGAATAGAACATTCAAAAGTGACATCCAATTGTTAGCATCAAATTTACAAGTCAAAGTCAATCGGCTGTTACATATTAATTATCTCTATGATGGATTAATTATTATAGAATCTTGCCGTTACAAGCTTGTATTTTTGTATTGTATTAATTACTTTAATTTAAAAAAATAAAAAATCCACTTAACGACACATTTAATTGATTGGGAAAAGATTGCAAGTCACATGTAAGAGAATTTGTGAATACAGTACACCTATATATTATTTTTTTATTTTGTCGTATTTATTACAGATTTTACAAATTAGTTTTGATATTGAGGATTAATTTTCCAAACTGTAGTACTTGTTTTCCAAATATCTATGTTATCTTTTTTACTTTTTTTAAAATTTCCTTTATTATTTATGTTTATTTAAAAATATTTACATAAAGATTTATAGCATTTTATGATTCTAATAAGTCTTTTAGGTATTTACATTTTAGTCATATAATTGTGTCAGTATAATAGTTCATTGTTAGTGGTTTTGTGTAGGTGTCAATTCTAGCTTCGTGTTTATTCATTAGACGTATGATTTCTTCTTGTATAAAGGGAACATTTAATGATTTGCGAATATCATTCTTAACATATCAGGGAGCATCTATTATTGTGCGAGGATCAACAATATATGTATAAATTTTAGGAAAATATGCTCGTTTAATTATATTTCCCTTCTTACTTTTTGTGTTTAAGGTGTAGGCAAAAGTTCATTACTCTTACGATTTGCTGACAATACTTTTAATGGCAGTTACATAACAACAATAGGAGTGGATTTTAAAATACAAACTGTGGAAATAGATGGTGAGAGGGTAAAACTCCAAATTTGGGATACAGCTGGGCAAGAACGTTTTCGGACAATAACTTCAACTTACTACAGGGGCACACATGGTGTTATAGTTGTATATGATGTGACTAGTGGTGATTCCTTTGCTAATGTTAAAAGATGGTTGCATGAAATCGAACAAAATTGTGATGTGGTGAACAGGGTACTTGTAGGAAATAAGAATGATGCACCCAATGATAAAGTGGTATTAACAGAAGACGCACAAAGATTTGCAAATCAAATGGGAATTCAGTTGTTTGAAACTTCTGCTAAAGACAATATTAATGTTCAAGAAGTAAGTAAAATTTGTATTCGATATATCTTTATGAACGAACTAATATTTTCCAATATTTTACTATCTGATACAAGTAGGTAAATGTATTACGTATCATTGAATTTCTTTTTTGTGTTATTCGTTCGTGACTAGTGTTCGAATATCAATATCAGGCAATTTTTTATTTATCCCTACATCGATAGTTTTGTATTAAAGAAGTTATAAAAATGTTCAATGTTAGGATTATATTTGGGAAAATTTTTAATGTTTAAATTGAAGCTGTTGGAATTCAGATTGTTAGATAAATACTTCTTATCTTATTTTAAATAAATTTAGAATGTTTGAACATGTTAACGTGTTAACTGCTATCACTGGTGACCTACTGGTTAACTTCACTTATATCAATGTGTTGCAAAATTGTTTACAATGAAAATTTCTTTTCACGGTTTTACACAACTAGATAGTCTAGGTCTCAGCATTACCACCACACGGAAACTTAATGCATTAAAAGTGTTTATTGATAAATCATCAGTCCTTTACCGAATCATAAATACAATATTTTATAATACATGTACCTTAGTTTAATAGGTAAATTTGTACGATGGACAATTGACTAAGTTATAGAAAATATATTGAGTTTTTAATAATTGGGTAGATCGTAATATATCGTATATCTGCAAATCAGTTGTATAAAATTTTCTGTGACAATAAATTTTAAAAAGATAAAATCAAGGAGGATAAAGTCAAGTTAAGGGGGTCGTTGTAAAAGGGAGTTTTTAATCTTTAAATTTATGGTAGTTTAGTTGTACAAACAATGTTTTACACTTTTGGAAGCTATTGGAAATTCAAACATTTTTTACACTAAAACCATCTGTACATTCTTACCCACTTCCTAGTGTAAAAGGATCTTCAAGGAAGTGCGACTTAGAAATGTGAAAGTAGGTGGTTCAACCTTTAAAATGATCCAGGAATATGTTCAAATATCATTAGTTTAGGAGATATTTTAATTTTAGCGTAGTTAAGAAATCATGACTTTTTTGTTAATATTATGAGTTCAGTGATTGAAATGGATAAACTTTTATTTATAACTTCACTTTGTCAAACTGTAGAAAGTATCTAAAAGTTCGTAAACATATCTGTGATGTATTAATCATAGATATTTATATGAAAACTATAAGGATAGTGGAAAATATAATGGAAAATACATAGATAATACATAATTATTTTATACAAGTATATTTTGTATGAAATATTATGTGATATGCTCCATATATTCAATATTTTGTTATGCATAATATTTTGCACCGAGTAGAAGATTGGAGCACAATCTGGTAATAAATTAATCTAAGCTTGTATTAATTTGTTGTATTTAGATGTTTATGGCAATAACGCGGCAAGTATTGAGGACCAAGAAGGAGAAGAAGGAGCGACAAGCTGGACAACCCAACGAAACAGTGAATTTAAGGAAAAACCCAAAACAACATAAAAAGAAATGTTGTTAACAGTATTGTATAAAAATACAGTTTGTTGTTGGTACTGTTTGATGCAATGGCAGAAGTAAATTAAAAGAAGCAGAGGGTATGCGATAAGAGAAAAATGTACACATAATGTAATACTAATGTTTTTTTAAAACTATTAAGTTTTATATTGAAATTACAACATCGAATAGTGTATTCTCATAGAAGTATACTTTGACTCTAGTTAACATACAATATATATAGGATGCAAAAATTATGAGTGTGCAGTGTTCATTTAGCAAGAATAATTTAGCAAGCAATATATTTTCGAACATGCTACATATTCAGTGCAGTATTAAAAATCTAAAGGCCTATTTGTACTATTTAATTATACAAAAAGTATTAGCACAAGAAGGGAAATAAAATAAAATTATATAGTTGTTTCTTATACAAGCTTTGCATAAATATGATATAATTTATCAAAAGTATGGTATAAAATGTAATGTAAAATGATATACATTATGCAAATCTTTACCCAAATTTTTTGAGCAGATCAAGAATGCTACATATTTAAGATTTGTATTATTACAGAAAAATTCTTTTTAACGAGTTACCATAAGAGCTAAATATTGCTAATACATAATATTTAATGTTTTACAACAAAAGAGGCGATCGATATTATTAGCAAGTCCAAATAACTTTTAACGTATTTTATTGTCTTAAGGTTCCTGTGGTTTAACGATGTTTTTTTGCACTCTAAATTGAATTAAAGTAAATGATAGAAATTGTCTACGGTATGACAGAGGCAAGCTTCTCAATTGGCACAGAAAGGATTACATCGCAAGTTTCTTCGTACATTACAAATAGATTAACATATTTGATAAAATTCAAACTTTTTCAATATATTTTCACGGTAATAATACTTTTTAAGTACAAATAGTGTTGTAAAAATTTCCGTGCTAATACAATAATAGGAAAAAATGTATGATATTTTATCTATAAGCATTTTTATAAACATGGTATGTGCGATCTGTATCTGTAATAATATCACAGTTTAAATTACAATTCATTAGCATGCGTGATGAAAGGAAACAATCATATGGTAGTCTTTTATGTTTGCGAACATTTTGTTTATCGAACATTGCAAAACGTTTAATAAGCGTGATGTTTTCGTAACGGTAACAATCTCATAAAAATTACTAACAAAATTATTTTTGTTCAATAAGAAACTAAAAAACTTCGTTGTAGCAGGAAAGACGAACATGTAAGTATGTAATAATTTGTCATGTTTGATAATAAACATGATATGGTTAATATGCTATATATGATATAATAATATGATAAATGTCTTCTTTCCATCTGTGATAATAGTTAGGATATCGACGCAGCTGCCGCTGTAATACCGTCACGAATAAGTCTATGAATTATCATAATTGATGTTGCTAATTTTGGTCTGTACACCATATCTTTTTAACGAGACAATGATGCGGCATCCTATAACGTGTAAATATTCTACTTGCCAGTTTTAGTGGCATATCACAAGTATTCTTATCAATTATATTCAATATTGTTTACTGTTATACTTTAAAATATAAATAAATAGGACTTTACGTGTACACGTATATGCTATTTATGGTTTTTTTACTTCTAAATATTTATCATTTCACTACCTTCAATGTCATCTTTTTAATTTAATTGGTATACTATTCTTTTCATGTATTTACGTGTCATAAATTGCTAACATATACAGTGTTCCACTTAACTTAAACAATTTAAATGTTTCATTTATTTTCAACGATAGACAAAAACATAATTTGTCTCTGGATGGAGCAAATTATATGATAAACGAACAATTTTTGGTCTATCGTAGTTGATAAAAGGGCAAACTTATATTATGTATGATGTGTTAAACTACAAAATTTACATATACTTATTTCATTTCAGAATTTCTTCAAAATAAATTCATTTATGATATTTGAAATTGCACAGACATGAACACTGATTATTTTAAATATTTTTTTAAAATAAAATTGATATACATTTGTACCGAAATATCGTAAATTAACACATGTCTGTTGATAGTTTAAAGTCATTTGAAGGTCAACACATTATGTAAGTTTGAATTTGTTTTGTTATTTGATACAATAGTACAATAATAAAAGTACGTTATTCCAGTATTATACCCGTAAATACAATGGCAGAAAATATATCTCCCATTGTTGAACCTGTATGATCTTGAAGACCACATGGTTGAACTCATCTTATTGACATAAAAAAATATGTAACATTATCTTCAATTTTTGAAGATTATTGTAAATACAACAAAATTAAAATTTCTTACATTTTTTTCAGTACACATCATTTCTGAGAAAAATGTTGATTAATATTACTGCAAACACCTTGTCTATGATACTTTTGTGCACTTCTATTACTTAACTAATATAGTGTTACTAAACGTAACGCAACGAAAACTCGTGTGAATGGCTTCCGGATGAATGTCGCGTCTATCTTCAACAATTTGTCGACGTTGCAATTTACATCATCAGGGCTGAAGGCTCTGGTTTTGTCTGTAGTCTCTGATTTCTTTTTTCGAAGTTAGTTAAAGTATGTAAACATTAACATCTCTTATTTATTGAAACAAATCATTTGTGAATATTGTAAGAAATACATTCGATCAATCAATATATTTTAATTAATAATTTATTATGATATGTATCGGATATTATAAAGTGACGATTGCAAGGTACGTTATATGTTCCCAGGAATTAAAACGAATGCCTTTTTAATATGCTGTCTGCCATGGTGGTCACTGGTGATCGGTACTTCACACTAACAACATGTCTTAAATACGTTTGTAATAAATGAACCTTCATACTTGTAAATTTTACATTTTTTTCTTGAATTCTTGTATTTATTACGTTATAATTTGAAAAAATTGTCGATATCGCTAGACAGAGAAAACTACCGTGGTAGTGAACGTGTTAAATACGATTTTTTTTCGAATCTGCATGTAATTATAATGTGGTATAAGAAAAGAATACAAAGAATCAGAAAAGTAAGGAAAAGGAACGACTAGGAGAATATTATAAAAAAGAGACGAAGTATATTACAAAATTTTAAGAACAGTAGTTACAACGTGATCTGGAGTAAGTACTCAATGCCATACCCCCACTTTTCGATAAAAACTTAAAAATGCCGCCGCAGCGCTACCTGAATCGATATTCGCCGGTAGAGTCACGTGGTACGTAGCCGAGGATTGCGAACCAATCAGCGATCCACTAAAACGAAATTTGCTCCGCCTGTATTACGGAACGACAACACGACATCTGACTTTGAGCAACTGGAACAACAGTTCGCGACTGGCAGCGCATCGGTTCATGTTTTAGCGATATGTCGGTTGAAGCCAGTCGTGCAAGTATTTCTGCGACACGTTTGATCGTTAAAGGAAAGAAAATGGCAACGTTTATGTTACGATACCAGTGCACGGAAAATCATCGACTTTGCCTTTGACGTTATTTGTTTGTGTTTTGACTTGGTTCGAGGCAAATGTGACGGTGGTGTGGAATACTAGTATCCTATATATTCGTATGGCGTCTGAAAAGAGGTGATCAGTGTAGTAAGGAGGAAGATAGCAGAGAAGGAACTGATCGCTGCGAATGGGCGAAAGATCGGAACAATGAGTGGAAAAGAGGAAGGGCCGTAACAAAGAAAGAAAGAAAAAAAGAAAACACACCACCGACAACACGCGCGAGCGCGTGATGCGCCGTAGATGAGTATACATATACACATATATACAAAGAGAAGACGAAGAGAAGGGGAGTGCGAGGGAGGTTAAATGACGCCTGGCGGGGAACGAGCGAGCGAGAGAAGGACAAAGACAAGAAAAGAGGGAGTAAAGCGTGTGGAAGGAAGAAACGTGAATTAAAAAAAATATGGTAGTGTTCCATGTGCGCCACGGTATCTCGCGAACAGCAAGGCTCGTATGGAACCGAAGGTTGTGATACGTCAAACAATTGATAATCTTTCCTTCTTTCGTCGGCATGTACGAAAGTATCTACGCGTACGAAGAAGACCGTTGATTACTTATAATTCGTTTCTTCATCGATGCATCAATACGATCAGAGAAAGAATAAGTTGATTAAGGTGTATGTTGAGCGAAAATTAACGTCGAACAGAAGGTTTCGATTCGTTGGAACATACGTGACGTACGGTTCAAAGTCGTCGAATTGTAAAAGACGCGAGAAAAGAGATAAAAGTGAAAGAAAACGTGTGATACGAGTGCTGAAAAAGGGAAGGGAGTCTAAAAGGTTAAAAGAAAAAGAAAAAATCTTTTATATACATATGTATATATATACACATATGTGTGCATGTATGATCAAACGTATGTATATACATATATATGTGTGTGTATATATATAGCTAGCTAGATAGAAGATAGATAGATAGATAGATAGATAAAGAGATATATATATATACACACACCAATACACACATATATATCTATATATGTATATATATTGTATAGAGAGAAAGAGGGATAGAAAAAGAGAGAGAAAGAGGGAAGAAGGAAGAAATAAGTAGTTGCAAAGGTGCGAAGGTGTAAAGGAACGTGCATATATGTTGGTGTACGTGTATATGTACATACAACATGGAGGAAAGTCATCTGTTGATGACGGAACTTCCGGCGTTAACGCCGAGTCGCGGTACGACGTTGCTTCATCGTTCAGGATATTATTATCAATTGCACCAGCCGCACTTGGCAATACCGACCACTCAAAATCAAGCGATTCTTTACAATTCGGGTAACACACCGCATTACAATAGCGGCGCCACAGGTTTGCCGGCGTACGCGCAAAGTATTTTGTCGAGGCAGCAACCGCAAGCAGCGCAGGACACCGTGCCAACAACCACGCACGTTTCCTGCCTTTATCCTGAAATACTAGCGTTGATTTTCAGTTACCTGGAAGTCAGGGATAAAGGATGCGCCGCCCAAGTGTGCATCGCGTGGAGGGACGCGGCATACCATCGGTCCGTCTGGCGAGGGGTCGAGGCGAAGTTGCACCTAAGGAAGCAAGCACCAGCGTTATTTGCTAGTCTGGTAAAGAGGGGGGTGAAGAGGGTTCAGGTGTTGTCATTGCGAAGAGGCCTCGGCGACGTTTTGAAAGGCATACCGAACCTGGAATCGTTGAATCTCTCGGGCTGCTACAACATCAACGACTTGGTGTTGATGAAAGCTTTCTCTCAAGAATACCCGATGCTCACGGAATTGAATCTCTCGTTGTGCAAGCAAGTGTCGGACATCACCCTCAGTTGCATAGCGAAATATTTGCAGAATCTCGAGCACCTGGAACTCGGCGGCTGCCGGAACATCACGAACGACGGACTTCTGTGTATAGCGTGTTATCTGAAGAAGCTGAAGAGACTGGATCTGCGAAGTTGTTGGCAAATATGTAACGACGGTATCGCCTATCTGGCGGGCATTCATCCGCAAACGCACGGCGCGAGCTTTTTGATGGAACAGTTCGCCGGTATAGTTAATTTCGACGTGGCCGGCGGGAACTTCGCGCTGGAACATTTGAGCCTTCAAGATTGCCAACGGGTAACCGACGAGGCGCTTCGACACATATCCACCGGGCTGGCCACCTTGAAGTCCATTAATCTGTCGTTTTGCGTTTGCATCGGTGACACCGGGGTGAAACACTTGGCCAAGATGTCCAGCCTGCGCGAACTAAATTTACGGTCATGCGACAATATATCTGACGTCGGGATGGCCTACCTAGCCGAGGGTGGCAGCAGAATTTCCTCGTTGGACGTGTCGTTCTGCGATAAAATCAGTGACCAAGCTCTCGTTTATATTTCTCAGGGATTGTTCAACTTGAAGTCGCTCTCGTTGTCCGCCTGTCAAATCAGCGACGAGGGTATTTGCAAGATCGCGCAGACGTTGCACGACTTGGAAACGTTGAACATTGGTCAGTGTAGCAGATTGACGGACAAAGGTCTCTACACGATCTCCGAGAGCATGAAGAACTTGAAATGTATCGATCTCTACGGATGTACCAGGATAAGTACCAACGGGCTCGAAAGGATTATGAAGTTGCCGCAGCTGAGTACGTTGAATCTTGGTCTTTGGCACGTGCGGTGATGGCTTTTTTTTTCTAAACAGTATTCAGAATTTGCGTCCTGTTCCTCGTACGAACGACGAAGGTGTTTTTAATCATTCTTTTTCACTATCAAAATTCTGTTTCTTTTACGAAACTATCATAAAAAACGAACGCCTCCTTCGTTCGGATTTTTCTCTACAACCTAACCTAACATTAACGTTTCTGTTTCGCAAACTTTCAATTGCCATCGACACGTGTCAAAGACGTCCTTTAGAACCGGTAGTTGATTGTTAGATCAAGAAACGTTGTATTGATCGTGCAATCGACAATTTATCGTAGCATATTTTATTTCAATACCTGATTGTTCTTAGGAAAATTTCATTCTTCGCAACGACGCACGTTAAAGGTCGATTTTATATATTCGTTCAAACACGGAACGTTTACGACACGATCCGGTACAAAGTATCTCGTATTTATATCGTTAACCTTCGATCAGCCATCAGTCTACGTTCGGCAATGTCAAGCGTAGGGACAATATTTCTTTTACCCAGTGGCTGCAGGATATATTAAACATGTTTTCATATTTATCATTAAACGAGCCATCTTGTATAACTCTATTATTAGACAAAGAGGAAGAAAAGTAAATATCCAGTATGTTTGAAAGGTAATTGAATCGCAACGCTATATGTAAACATTGGCAACTTATTGCCTATAAAAACATTTATTTGAACCGGATCATGTAAATATTATGTGCCTGAACGGACAATATAAATCGATCTTAACGCGTTCATGTGCTGGACCAATTTTCGGTGACTTTCCGTTAGCGCCGAGAGTTATATGCGTCCCAAATAATCAAAAGTAACAATTTTACTTACAACGTATGGCCTGCTAGAGCAAAAATGTTTGTTTTAACAAATTATCGCCGTAGTTGTACAGTTCAGGTCAAAGAAAAGAGACGAATTTGATTAAATTTGAAATTATACTTTTTATTTCTAATACTGTTAATATTATTGTTACTGTTGTACTTTTATTCGTTCTTTGGCCAAAATGTCTATACAGTGTGTTCCTGCTTTAAATGTGCATTACTCGGGACCGAAAGAGTTATATTTAACGCAAAGGGATAACGTTCTTTGTGTTTTATCGGTCGCTTCGAACGTAGAAAGAGATAGAAAACGATAGCAAGCGAAGGACGGAGAGGGACTGAGAGGGTCGTACTCGGTGTTCCACGTAGTGTAATACGATCCGGTGTCGAATATTGTTACCGTGTAAGACAATAGCGAAGATAAGGTAAAACTTTATTATTTTTTGTCTTTTGTTTGCATTCAATTTTTTTTATACATTTGTAACACTTTCCTGATTAAAATGGGACCAAACACGACATAGTTTGAATAATATTTACATGTGCTTTATTGCAAGGTGAAAGTGCTCTTTGTATTTTACCACTCGCTTCGAACATAGAAAGAGATAGAGAGGAATAGGAAGCGAAGGACGAAAAGGGATATTGATTACGTGTCAGATAATGACGTTCTTGTTTTGATTCACATTTATCATTAGTCAGAAACGAATTCTATAGTTCGAAAAATCTCACGACATGACGTGCACACGAGAGGGGTAAATGGTCCTGTAAAAAACAAACATGTCACACCCTTGCTGCGTAAAAGTGACACAATTCGGAAGAGAACAGCGTTTTTTTTTTTTAATCGTTTTTATAATTTTAATTAATAATTTTTTTTAATATTAGCACCAATTATGAAGTACAATAAGTTATGGATTTATTACATAAGTAAATAGTATCCAAATTCTGTCGTGTTTGATCTCATTTTAATCAGAAAAATATCTCGAAGATGTTTAAAAATATATATATGCGAGAAGAATGAAGAATAAAAGTTTTGCTTTTCTTTTAGTATTATCTTACACGGATAATCAGTGCCGGCGCATTAATCACTTCACTGGTTCCAAGGAGGGCCCCCCCTATTAGTAGAAATAAAATTTTCGCATTTAAGGCGGGAAAACTGAAATTACAAAGACATGATTTATAAGTGACTGAAATTGTATAGGCCAATTTCTTGCTGATAGTGTATCAAACGGAATAACCAAATTTTGAAATACAAAGTTTGAAACATAAGAAAGTCGATGACCTGCGGTACAATAACTGTACCGCACGTTTAATAAGGAAAATATTAAACGGTGCGAACGGAAAGTCCAAAGCAGGGCGTATGCAACCCATGTGGCATCGAAAGCGTTTAAAAAAGTAGCATATTTCATTTGCCTTGGGAAGATTAGCATTTTCGACTGTTTCTCCCCGAAAAGCAACATGTTACAATTATTAACAACGAAACATAGCAGATTTTCATTCATGTTTTGGTAATTTGTCGCGAAGAGTAACCGGATATTTCTTTTTAACCGCGAGGAATAGCATTTTTCCCTTGTAATTACAGAAAACATTCCATTTAACCCTTGACGTACAAGTGATTTTTAAAATTTATACTATTTAATATTGTTTAAATTTATTCATACGTAGAACGTTCACAAGAAAGAATCGATTTGTTTTACAAATACCTAACGAATGTTAAGATGTGTTGATTTTAATATATTTGACTTTATGACGAATCGTAATTTCGTTATTGTAAAACTTGTCGCGAAGAACTTGCGATTATGAAATATAACAGCTGTAGAATCGATATAACTATTGCTTGTAGACTGTAATGATCAGTATCTTCGAATGAAAATCGAAACATGCTATTCTTCGTCTTCATGTTTAAATTAAGGATTGTAAATTTACCGGTATCTTTTAATATATTGAAAATATGAACGTAAATATTGTTGAAAAAAACTGAAATATTCTAATCTTCCTAAGGCAAACGAAATATGGTATTTTTCTCAACGCGCGTCGCTGAAATCTGTTTTTTTCTTTCTTTTTCAAATTGTTCATCGCTTCGCTCATCGTATATACTTGTTACAGAGTAATCTAGAGCAATAACGAATGAAGAATGGTACGCGTTTACAGTGCCATTGTTTGAAACGTTTCGTTTTATATAGATCGTAATTTTTTAGAAACGTTCAGTTTTGTCTGTTTTCTGGAATAAACGATGGAAGCTGTGCGACGAAGCTGTTCCTTTTCGCGCTCTACGGATCGCGATGTGTGTGTATATATATATGACCTATTGTAAATCTTTGTCTTTGACAAACGAAGTATCGTGACAATTTTAGCCAAAGCATTGCTTAATTATTTTGGATCGGTATGCGCACAATTTTTTCTCACGACAAATATGTATATTTTTAACCAATGCGTGCGCATGAGAATGCGTTCGCGCGCGCGCGCGCGTGTGTGTATGAATGTGCGTGCGTGTATGTTGGTTCCATGTACATATGCGTGTATATGATTATGTGCTAATAATGTGTCACGTGTGCACCCGCGCGCGCCCCCCCCTGCCCCCCCCCCCCACAAACACGCATCAAACAAACCGATGCGAAAGGATTCAAACACTTTGATCAGTTTCCTAAGTCGCGCGTTACGCTTAGAATAATTCATTGTTAAGTTTTCTTACCTACGACATCTTTTTAGTTTTCTTCCTTGTGATAGCTTCATACGGCCATTTTTTAATCGAAATTTGCGAGTCGATTTTACAAATGTTTCGTACGATCGGAGTTGGGCAACATTTTATTGGTATTATGGATAACGGAACAAAAATTTATATTGTTTGATGGACGAAATATTTTTACAAACTTTATTCTTCGAGCATTATCGAATAGACTTTTATTATTAATTTTTGTTGAAACGTTAAATCGGAAAGTTTATTATTTTTTTGGAGCGATTTATCATCGACGCGTAATTGTTAGGTTATGCAAAAGTTTCCATCGTTTGCAATGTGTTTTTATACATTTCTGTTGCTTCCTGTATTATAGTATTAGTTAACACCCATATATGGGTGATAGGATTTTTCAAAATTTTACGTTATAAAAATAAGTACTGCGACAAATTTTCAATGAAGTAGAATCTAATGGTTTAGAAACGAAATGTTGATCTCGTAAAAATTTTCACGAATTTGGTCTGGCGGTCAATGTGTTAAAGCTTGTCGGTAAAGAAGGGCACATTTTATTCATGAATTCTACGAATAGAAATTTTCGATTGATTCGTAAACTAATATCTACGTACGATTCATTTATAACTTCATTTATAAATTAGAATCTATTAACAAAATTTTTTAAACCAATATTCAGACGAACAAAGTCGTGGAGAAAAGCTAGTTTACGAGCGAATCTAACATTTTTATTCGTATTCGAGAATAACATTTACCCCAACTCTGTTAGGTAGCACTCTGAAGCAGCCAAAGCAAAATATCGAAATAAATTAAGGTAGTAATGCACATATATTTGGCGGGATATCCAGTGTGTGTTCTATACTATGAGTTGTTAAATTCGGGATAATATGTCACGGTAGTTCTATATGGAAAACAACTTCAGAAATTGAATGAAAATTTTTTTAGAGAAACGCATTAATGGGTTGTGAAACGTTAATAATAAAGATGGAATGAGAATTATAACAACAAATAATTACTCGCATTATTAACCGATTAATGCAAAATTATTCGAATAAAATATCGTTATTTATTCGAATAGATAGAGAATAATTTGTTATGTGCTGCGGATGAAATATTCGTAAAAAAACAAATTTACTCGGATAAATATTTATTCGAACCAATTCAAGTGGTGCTCAACTCTATGTACGATAGGTTAATGAATACGAACGAGAACTCGAAGGAAATCAATACGATTGTTCGATTAACATTAATATTTACTTTAACACTAGAACTACAAGCGTCTGATATAAAACTAGTTCTACCACACCCGGCAGTTTGGCGGGTATTTGAAAAATATGCTCTCACATGTAGTTCTTTTTTAAATAAAAATTATAAATGAAGGAAAAAACGACATTTAATGCACCACGTTATTTATTTTCGAATAAAAAAATGTATAAAAACAGATGCTTCGATCGGAGCATTTAACGTGAAAAGAATTTTTGTTTATAATCCGCCTACGGGGCACACTTACTACGAACCACCATTGGGCAAAAGTTATTTAGAATTGTAAATTAAATAAAGTAGTTAGTGTAATTCGTGAATAACGAATAGATAACATTTATTCAATATTTTTTATTTCTAATTTAAATTTACAAATAAAAAAGAAACGTGCATACGTATACAGGGTGACTCGTTTAAATAGACCCACTCAAATATCTTCGATACTTTTGACGATACCAAAAACTTGAACAATTCATCTTGACAGGATTTGCGTGTATTAGAAATTTGTTTTTAATCAAGTTACATTCCTGTTGCTGCGTAAAAGTAGTTCCATTCTTGTACTTGCTTGCCAGTTGTTCTGCCGATTGAAACAAAAATTGCTTTCTATTTTTTATAAACGAATAAAAATGTATTGATCTATATGTTTTAATCTAAAACTAATTTTATAACACACTTTAAAGGTATATGTTGGTATACAATAGACAGATAACTAACACGTTGACCGCCACGGCCATGAAAGATACTTAACATTTGTGAAATTATAAATAACAATACTGTCATTGGACTATCGTTTAATTATCGAATATTTATAATTCTTGCATTATAATTTGAACAAGTGTCCAAACGCGAAAAACTGGCGAGGTAGTCAACGTTTGAGAAAATAAAGAAATATAAACGTTGTTCCATCTTATTAACCCATTTGCATCATTGATGTACATATCTATTCACATCGTGATTTAATAGTGGTGGTCAAATATTAAGTTTATAATACTTTTTGTAATACTTGTGCTTAAATTTAATAAAGGAAAATTTGACCATAAGGGCATATTATTTAAATTTCTTTTGTACGATGCAAATGAGTTAAAATACACCAACGTGATGTCAATAATCTCGAAGAAAAATATCGGAAACCCGTAATTTCGACAGGCTTGGTAGTTCTAGTGTTAATACGAAGCAATATACCATCATTATTCTTGCTCTAATTAGTGAAAATTGTTAATTTTTCTTGGTAAAATGTGAATTCCGATATTGCTATTGTAATTGGAACAACGATAATTAATTTTGCGATCTTGTAGATACTGTGTTATCCAATACAATCAATTTTGGCTGTACAATGTAATAATAGAACGATGAAAATGAGTAGAGCGAGGAGGAGTTTGTATTTTATGCAAATTATGCTGGGACACTTATTTTTGTCGACAAATGTAAGAATAAGAAACAAGCGAAAACAAACAGAGAACTTAAGTAAGAGAATGGCCACGAGGAACTAATTAAAATACGTTAATCCGTATTGGATATACTGGATTCAAGGTTGTCGTAGACGAAACTACGAGTTAAACCAGAATTGTATAAACGAAGATAAAGAAAACGAGATAGAATGTAGCGCACAGGCAGCGATGGGATTTCGAACGCTTCGAATCGCTTCGTATCTATATAAATGGCGGGAAAATCGAATTACAACGAACCTGATTCGGAGACCAGAGTTGAGCAGATTTTATTCACGAATAACGAATGAACATTTTTAATTCGTTCGTAAATTAATTTTCGTCCGCGGCTTTTCCTCCTGGATGTCGATTTATGTTCATTATTCACTAATCAAATTTGCACAACTCTACCGAGAAGTCTTGAAAATCTTTATTGCCTTGATAGTCTTACGATTCTTGAGAATTTCGATAATCAATAAAGTTTAAAGGTTTTAATTATTTAATAAGTAAATATTAAATATCTCACGATAAATTTTTATTGCTTTTGTTTTATTTTAACGCCGGGTCTATTCCGACCCTAAACTAAATTTTATTCTTTCGCATTCCAGTACGAGGCTGCTGATTGAATTTTTTCATTACCGTATTTATAAATTTTTCACTTATTAATGTTGTTAATTTTACAAACTCATTGTAAAATTATTTATTAGAAACCAAAACTTGACGATTCTCGAAAAATTGATGAGCAAGCAAATCTTGATGAATCATTTTATTGTACGCTTACATTGAGAGGAAAATTGGACAAACGAAAGAGCCATCCATTATATTATATTTTCCAATATATTTTGCAAAATATTTTCATTGATAGTAGTTTCATTCAAGCCCTGCTTTCAAGACATCAACAACAATAAGAATTTACAAAATGGATCGACACTTCTTAGAGTTTCCTAACAATCATATTTGAATCAACTTCAAATCTGCGTTTAAACACATAATAAAATTCGTAGCAATGCGAAGCTACTCGAAATCCCACCACTACGCACAAATGTAAAATAGCATACGATAGATACGAACAAAATCAAATTCCATGCCAATTTATTTGTATTGATTTAAATTGTTCCATGAAGATATAAACAGGGTAAAGTGGAGATTAACGATCTGTGTTGCTTCTGCGGTACGACTGTGTAAAACTAATTTAATCATCGATACCAATTCCAACGTTTGGAATAAAACAGAAAAATTGATTGTTGAATGGAAAAAAATGATGATAATATTTTGCAACGATATTATATTCTATATAATTTTATTGTACAAGTTATATTTTCTTTTTTACGGATCGAAAAGCAAAGGAATTTCTTATTACGAGATACTTCAATTAAAAAATGTATGTATTTGATTTTTTGTTTCTCGTTTTAGTTGTAATCGTGTTGTTTGCAATTAGATAAATTTATTTGTTACTCGAATGTACACGAATGAAAGAAGTTGTCATACAAAGTCCACTGTTATTTCTTAATATATTTTTTTATTACGCTCGACAAATTTTTTTGTATAGAATTGTAATCTACACGTAGACATTACGACATTAATACTTAACGCATTATCTTTAGTTTGTATTATTGATCGATGAAAAACAGTACTGTACATACATTCAGGATAAAATATGGTTTTGCGTATTTATACATTTTTTGTTCGAAAACAGCCTTTCTATCATTTAAAAATTTATTAAATTTTAATATCGCCAATACGAAATCCAAAGTTGGTTTATATTTTTGTTTTAAATTAGATTATAGCAATTTTGAGAAAAGAATATATTCGTCCATCGTCTTGTTGGAAGGCAGTTCTATTCAAGATGAAATTTTGTTGCATTTTATCTTGAATTAAATGTACACCTTATTGTATAAGTCATAATTCTTGTTGACACATTTGAATTCGTTGCTAAATGTTACTCACAATCGATGGATCTATATGCTGAAGTTTTCGTAAATTTAAAACGTAAAATTGTTTTTCGTTTTTATACATTTCTCACGATTCCGAACAAAGCCTTTGCGAGAATTATGTAAGTTTTAATGCGCCGGATATTCTGGTCGGTATATTTTCAAGGGTGGCTTGTTAATCTATCGATTTTCGGTATACATGGTTGATGTTAACAAAATATTTTTGTATGATTTTCTACTAAAACGATTTAAAAGTTAATTTAAAGTTTAGTTATACGATCGAAAACGTTAGTTTTGTACGAAGAATACCAAATACATTATAGAGCGTATAGACTGTCTTTAATTGTATGAATGATACAACTCGTTAATCGTGTGTAGAACGGACTCTGTTGCTCGCGAATCGCGAACTGCCCTCCGTTATCTCTTGGAACCGATTTTATAGAACGATCCTCCCGCCATCTACATATTAGAATTAAGATCCAATTTTACTTGACACGAAATCACGACTTTGTGATAACGGTTGATAAATACAGTGACTTGCAAAAGTATCGAGTCGCAATATTTTTTCTTAACAGGTTTTAAATACGAAGTCGTATAAAGAATTTCGTAATATTGTACAATGAGACACGGCCAAAATCGTACACCAAAAGTTAGAAAATGTCTCGCCTCGTAAAAAACTTGTGAGATAATTTTAAAAAAAGGATTCGATGGATATACATACATAATACATTGAAAATATATTTATATTCATTATATAGTAGTACAAAAAGAAATGAATGTTTTTATGTACACAGAAAAACAAAGTTACTCGGATTCAGTCTGGAGAACGCCCCATAACTAAAATCGTACATTTAAAAAAATTGTTTTTGTTTTTGTTGAGTTGATTGAATTAAATCTTAGTATATTTGTAATGCTTAGAAACATTCATTTGTGTTTATATTAATACATAATAAATATAGGCATATTAGCATTATATGTATACTCGTTAGATTCGTTTTTAAAAATTGTCCCTAAATTTTTTTACGAGACGAACCATTTTCTAATACGTGCTGTATGATTTCGACTGTGACTCACTGTACAAAGAGTGTTTGATAATAAGGTATCAGTGTACGAAGATAATAAATTTTTGACTTTGTTGTAATGATATACATACATATTTATTAATACGGGAATTGGGCGCGTGCAAAAGTATCAGGCCAAGATTATTTATCAACATAAATTATAAATGATTTTTAATACAAGCACAAAGTTTAGATTGTTTGATATTTCAAGATTATAGTTATATTTAATACTTCAATAAGACGTTTAATAGATTGATTTGAAATTTTTATCCATTCGTTCTTTAAAAACTACAACAGGTCATTTTTTTCTATTATGTTTTGTGGTCTTAACCCAATTTAAGTACTGATTCATTTCTTGGGTGTTTAAAGAGATTTAGATCAGTTGATTGTGTTGCCACAGTTAGTGGACGCTGTATTGGAAAACTTAATTTGGCATATGGTTACGTCTTCTATTCTAATATATTTGTATAAAATACTCTTTTTACCTTCTACTTTAACTAAAGATTCACCCCTTTGGGCAAAGAATACAACCTATATCATAACGTTTCCTCTTCCCATGTTTGATTGTTGGAATTTGATACCTAGAGTTATACATATGTACTTTGTTCCTACTGTATTCCATCCATTTCAAACAACTTGAATTTTGCATTCATTGGGGAATCGAACTTGGGCCCGCCGGGTGGAAGCCTCGTACTTTACCACCACGCCATTGTAGTACCTAATTTGCATTCATTGTTAAACAGAATTTTCTTTCAAATTTCCACAGTCCAGTTTCAGTGTCTCAGTGCAAATTCTAATTATACCAATGAATCGTTTTTTAACACCAATACCTCCAAATAATCGAATACTATTTAAACGTTGTGAAATCATACTTTTCTCAACCTTCAATTATTGTGCAATAACAATTCATGAATTTCCTTTTTATAAGATCATTACTTAGCTCGATACTTTTACACACGTAAATTTTCCATTGTTATAAATATCTGTCGTTACAATGTTGTTAAAAATTTTTCATTCTCGGACAATAATACTTGAATGTAGATAGTATTGTGTTGTGATTTTGACGGCATTTAAGGGGTATTTTGGTTTAGAAGGCCAATCTTTAAGCCTTTTTGGGCTTAAATCTTACTGATTTCGGATTCATATATTATTGCATTCTCTAACTCTTTAATGTCGCTATATTACACCTATTTTTGTGTATTATACTTGATAAAATATCCCACGAATTTTCAATTATATTTAGATCAAGAAAACGTCAGGGCTTCTCTTCATAAATGGAAAATTTTTTTTTTAACCATTCTTAAATCTTCTTAGGGTTATGTATTTCTGCGTTACTTTGCTGAAGAATAAAATATTGTCTTCATGATTTTCTTCGATAAAACAATCAGAATGCCTTCGAAAAGATTGATATATTTATCTGCTTTCAATCTCGTAGAAATTTTACCTACTGGCGTTTTAGAATTATAGCTAAATGCTGCCAACACCGTTAAACTTCTACTCGTGCCTACGGTTTCAACTTTGCGTAAATCATGTCAATAGCGTTTTAATTTATCAGGATCGTCTATAGATTTAACTTTTCCTCATTGAAAAATATTACAAATTTTCCATTCTTCATTCTGGGTCGTGGTTAACACGAAAATTAGATGTTTTCTTAACACACGGCGTTAGTAAACTTTAAAATATTATAACTCCGGAAGTATTCGGTATAAGGTATAAATACCTCAATACTTCTTTATAGAAATTAAAATACTGCATTGGATAGACAAATCAAAATTATAGAGTTCCATTTAAAAAATGGATGTATTTGTTGTTTTTAGATGCATTTTTTTTGTATCTATAACCGTTTTAGAGATGTAGTATTTCGTAAGACCACTCTTTTTAACAACAATAAATTTTATTCAGAAAAGAATTAAAATCGACATTGGAATGTTAAGTACAAAGTAACTAGATATTTATAAAAGTACGACGGATAAATATAATCGAAATTTAATAAATAATTATTTGCTAATTAATCTATATGACTTATCGGCTATATAATAAAAGGCAGAAAAATAGAATAACGAAAGGGGTTATTTTTACAGCTACATAATTGATCATTATTATGATAATCGAAAATAAAACTTGTTTAAAACTCGAATGAAACCTTCTCAAGATGTTTTAAAGTATTAATTAAATCAGTGTTTCACCAAATAAGAGTTTATATTAAACAAAAAAGAATCGAGGTATTTTGTACTATTTTTAGATATCTTCGCTCGTAAGATTGTGTAACGCTTAACATTAAATACTCCTTCAATTATAATTATGTTTAAATAAATAATGGGCGCCTAATTTGATTAAATCTAATCATAAATTAAAAATAATGTGCGTATTCGTCTGTTTTCGATACTCGAACACGAACTTGCATATCATTATTTGCATGTACCTAAAAATTTTTAAATATTTTCACTCAAAATTGTATCATCTCTAGTGGATATCAAACAATTAATTTTCGATTCTACGTCTCTGTCGGTCTCGGTCGTTATATTTTCACTTTGTATGCATTTCCGTATCTCGTATCCGATAGCCGCTGCGAGTGGAGGTGGAACTGCGTTTCCAATTTGTCGATGCTTATCAAGTATGGTGCCGTAAAAACGAAAAGAGTCTGAAAATCCCTGTGATCTCGCACACTCGCGTACGCTTACCACTCGCGTTTGTACTGGATGTAATACTCGACCCTAAAAAAACAAGTCAAATTTTGAATGATACATCAGTTCCAATTTCAATGCGAATTATATATTATACAGGATGTCTCACGTAACTGGCAAAAGCTATATCTCTAAAATGGTTGAAGATACAAAAAATTGTCATAAGAAAAAATGAAACGGCATCGAACGATGCACAAACTAAACGTAATTTTATTTAGTGTTTATGAACTCGCATCAAAACATTCTAATCTATATTTTTAACTTATTTTTCAATGAAGAATTACATTATTTTCGGTTGTACTACAATTTCCTCTGCACCTTATTAAATACACCATTAAACAAATATTCTTTTCGATAATTTACTCTCGTGTTAAAGAATAAAATGTCTGTACCTGTTTCCCCATAGGCTCAGGATTTGTAATAGTGGTACCAAAAAATCCATTCCATTCTACTCTACCGTATAAACCAGCCCAATGGTTATGGCGATTGCCTGTGTGTGGGAGACACCATGGAATTAGGGTATTAAATTGTCTGTCCGTGGAATCGCACGATTTTCCAGTGCAACAGCTACATACACCGCGATATGCTCCCGTAGAACTTCTCCCAGCTTTCTTATCGTCATAAATGTATTCCCTTGAAAAACAAAGGAACTATGCATTACGACAATCTTAATCCTTTTAAAATGTTTGATAATTAGTTGTTTACGTACAATTTGTTACAATAAGTACCATCGCTTAATCTTATAGCAATGTTTGGTAAATCGCGCCAATCTGAACCAGGTGCGATTGGTATATGAGCCATTCTAGCTTCTACAAGAGGCGCCATTTCTTTGCATACATGATCTCTCAATAAAAGTTGATACTGCTTTTTTCTCACCTAAAAAAAAATACTTTAAAACACAATTATTTCTTTAAACTTTATTGATATATTTTGATCAAACGTTATTACGTTTCTTTGAAAGTGTGACATTGGTTCGCTGTTATAAGGCATTTCGTCTTTGCTCCATCCATTTTTTATTTCTGGTAAATCGGACATCGCATCCTTCACATTAATTGTACGAAATGGTGCCGATTCTGTCCAAGTACAATTTGAATTATACTGAAATAATATATCACGACAGAATATATTTTGAAGCGTTCAAAAAATACGTGTTTACGTACACAGAGTACGCATTAAAACATAGCGATATGCATTATTTACCTTTCTATTATCGACTAATACGCTCAATTGGCATACACGTTTACTAAATACATGGGTGGGTTCTGGATATTTTGGTAGTTGTTGTCCAGGTGCAGCAGCCAAAAGTATCATTCTATGTAACATAGCAAAATAAAATTTCAACAACTGTAAAACAGATATATAAGCTTCGTCATAAAGGATAGAAATCACAAGTTTACTGTGAAAAAAAACAAACCTTCGTCTTGTTTGAGGTATACCATAATTTCCAGCTTGAAGAATACCGAACGTGCATTGATAGCCCATGCGAATCAGGCATCTCAACGTTAACTTTAAAACCATGCTCTTTTTAAAAGATACAAAGTTCCGAACATTTTCCATAACAAAAAATTTGGGCCTATAGAAATCACAATACGATAAGTAGGACACGATGAGAGAGCTTTTGAATAAAGAATATTGTCGCGAATTGAAACGATTCATGCCGCTGAAACCTTGGCACGGTGGCCCACCGCAAAGCATTTCTACTTGTCCTTTTTGAGGAAGTTTCTGACCGAACTCGTTCGTTATTTCACCCTAAAATATGCATCGTATCTATTATACAGAGTTTCCCGTAATATGTAGGACTCGCTTCAGGGATGAAACGGACAGCAAAAAAAGTTTATATAAACTTACGCCCTGGTCAACCTTGTTTTCGAGTTACGACGAGTTTCTTCTTTAACATGCTGTATCTGCATGAATTCACAACGGATGTTCGAAATGACCTCTTTGCATCTGATCACAAACATAGAGATATTTTTACAATGACTGTTTTGTCCTTCCCTCTCCATGTCCATTTATTATTTGAATTTTGCAAAAGACTTGTATTATTCCAACGTAGAACTCGCCATAACTCGATAACAAAGTCGAATACGACTTATGTTTATATAAACTTTGATTATTGTGTGTAGAATCCATCTTTGAAGTGGGTCTCACAAACGGGACTCTGTGTATTATAGTAAAAGGAAGATAGCATCATGAAATAAAATTTAAATTACACTAACATCCATTACTTTCTTTAACAATATGTTACAATCTTCTGTAAATACTGTTGCATTCGAATTGTTTAATCGGTATGCATTAGCAGCTGGTTCTTCTTTTTCAATGGCCCAACAATTTTCAGAAATACCAGCCCGATGGAAACCTTCGGACAACCCTGTAATATAATTGTGGTAAATAATTGATTTCCAAGTAACTATAAAGATGTGAAATTCTTAAACGTTTAATAACAAGATACATACCACCACAACCAGCAAACACATCCAATGTTTTCAATTTTCTTGATAGCGTTTTGTGTTCAATAGGATTATTGATCAATGCTTTTCTTTTCGTTTCTTCCGCGTTTTTGCTTTTAAGTTTCGAATTATGTTTACCTTTGCCGCATTTACCAATACTAATAGCACAATCCGGTGGTTCGTAAAACGTTTTTTCTTGTTCATTGTAAGCTTCGTTAAAATAAAATCGATTTGGCCCGGCAACGGTCCATTCGTCGACAGATTGACATAAATTCTCCGAATAAACAAGATAGCATTTACCAACAACGTCCATGAATTTTACTCTGCATACTATAAAATAATATTTCGCAATGTTACATATTTTTTAAGTAATTATGATTTATATTTAAATACGTTTATATGCATATCTATATTGTTAGTAATTATTAGGTACCGGGAAAAGTTCGTGCGATTTTCTATCGGAGTTAATAACAAAGCCAAAATTAAAAAGTTTGAAATCATTTTGGAAAAATTATTATCGGTTGCGGGGGTCAATTACGATCATTTTTGGTGAATAGAGACACCAACGAAATCCTACGCACTTTCGAGAAAAAAATTCGAGTAGGTGGACAAATTTTTCCAAAATGAACTGTATGACTGTAGCATTAAGTAGAAATTATTTTGTCGAATAAAATTACATTGCAAAAAATTATGATTGTTCGAAGTTTGTAATATAAATCCGCACGAGCTTTTCTCGGAATCTGATATATGATAAAAACATAACATACTTTCGTCGCTCCAATAAACCATATTTAAATCGGATTGTTCCATTAACGTAGGTTCTCTATGTGTATTTTCTGGTCTATATAATTTATTTACTTTGATATTAATGTCAGAAGGTGAAACTAGCATATCGTCTGTATTAGCATATATTAAATTTATATATCCTATGCAAAAAGGTTTGGGGGTATCCAAATTTGAACCCTTTATATGGTCAGAAGATTTTCTATAAAACTCGGGGTACATATCCTCGTCTACGTTTTTCTTTTTCAGACTGAATACATCTTGATGTGTAGTTTCATATTTGAATTTGAAAACTTCTGGTTGTAAGAATACGGTTGTGCCAACGCTATACTCTTCGCCCTTGTATTTTACTATTCGATAAATAACTTCTTTGCTACTCTTTTCTTCTATTCGTTCGAATACCTTACAATAGAAATATATATATATTCATATATATATACTCTATATATATTATTACTAACAAGTACTTTTGCTATTACTTTATTTAACAATTCCATGATAAACAAATTACTGATTTATTTATTTTAATTTTGTAATTAAACTTCCAAGTACTTGTACTTGTTTTATTAGAACGTGCAGGTGTTAAAACTGCTATTAAATCCACAATTATGAAACAAAGGATCTTTCATTCGATATAATTTTGTAATAGCGAATGTATTAATTTTACATACCTTCGGTGTATTAAATTGTTCCCATGCTCTTAAACGAGCACAAGTAGGACAAAATCGATAACTATTTTCTTTTTTAACACATTTTAAATCGGATGGTGGGTCTTCAAATCTAGCTGTTTCAGGTATATAGCGTTTTTGGTAAAAAAATGTTTTATGATCTATATCATTTATCTCATCTTCGAAGCTTGACTCCATATTACCTGTAGCGTATTAAAAATTAGTGGTAAAGTACTATTTTTTTCTATGTTTATATGAAACTCTGTGCCATTGGATGATTACCTAAATCAGCCCAATTATCCGGTATTTTTTTAAAGATAACAGTACATTTTGAACTAATACATGTGATCGGTACATCATCGCAGTCGTCGCTCAAAAATAATTCTTTAGGATCTGACGTTTCCCCAAGGATAGTGTCATTACCCCGGTGAAACCAATTTGCATGAAACTGCTTCATACCGCTTTTAGTTTCCCACATGTAAATAACTTTAGCAACATGCGATGGAGTCGCTGAATATCTTGACGCGACGAGTACATAATCATTTACTTGTATTTCTTCATTGTTCACTATAACAGATTTGTAAAAAATTTTTTGATTATCGACAGTAATTTGATCCTTTACCCATGTAATATCTTTCTTAAGTTCTTGAAAAACTTTTTTCCAGTTTTCTTTTATTTCAATTTTTTTATTTTCAATCAGAGTTTCGTAACGTTCTTCATTTTCAGGATCAGAATCATCTGCTTCCTAAATGAGAAACCAAATATGTTCTATAATTAAATTTAATAATTACAATCAATCAAATGATAGACCGAGGCCTGACGCTCACTTTTTGATGAGATTTCACTCAATAATAGATATGAAGCTACATAATTATCATTGAGCAAAATTTCATCAAAAAGTGAGCGTCAGGCCTCGGGACCTCTCCTTGTATTTATACTTGAATAGTCATGTTTGGGCATCTTCTTCTAATACAGGCTTGCTTGCTCCTCCCAGTTCCTCCATATTTTATCATATCTTTACAAGCATTACAAAAACCACAATCTGGCTGTTGACAATTCTCGCACACTCCACACCTCTGTCTTTTCGGCCCCTTTAATATAACAGATTCAAACATTAGACGTAAAGAAATAAATAAAGAAATCATAAGTATAAGTATTTACCATTTTTATTTTATCATCGTGTTTAATCAATTGATCAGCAAAAATATTTTCAAACATATCATTAACTAATCGCGTGGTAGTTGCTTTTGTCCAAGTAGGTTTTTTAATTTTTTGTTCTTGACGTGTTCGACGAATTGCTAATCTTTTTCCCAACGTGACACCAGCAAGACTAGCCAATGCTCGCATGCAAGGATTTGTAATAAGAGGTACCTCATCGGAGTCAGCGGAATTATCAAATGACAATACTTGATCACATATGAACTGTGCATGTCTTAGCAAAGAATCTTCGGTGAATTTTGCTATCCCTTTAGGTGGGACTATCGTCTGCAAGAGTTGCATAATTTTAATATATAACAAAATATATTTATAGAAACACCTTTAGAAACACATTTTAATTACTTGAAGCTTATTGAGTAAATCTTCGTAAGTAGGACTAATCTCATCCAAGAGAAATTCGATGACCAATTTACTCATGTATATTTTGCCTTTAATCAGATCAAAGAAAGGAATATACGCATCCGATGGTTCCATTAGAATATATTCAGCAAATGCTGTACTAAAACCTACAAGAGCCATTTCACCCCCATCGAAGCCAGACACGAACCACTCGTTTATTGGACCTATATCTTTTGCTGGTACTCCGCCATCGGGTGATGTATCTTCTTCATAAATAGCCTTCATATATCCGGAAAAATATAATTTTACATTTTTTTCTATAAGCCCAGTATCGAAAGAACACAAATGACCATTTTTATCATAAACGCTAAAATGGATAAAAAAAACAATTATGTATAAATCACAAATTATATTAGGTACAGAATAAAGTTTGCGTAGCTTTCTATCAGAGTTGAATTCGTAATGACTTTTTCCTATTATCTATAAGGAACAGCGTGACAATATTGGTATTGTTGGAAAGTTTAGACTACCTAGTTTTTAAATTGATTTCCTATTTTTCAGTTTCTTCGATGTTGCATTCTCGAATACACCAATAATGACTTTTCGCTTCACGAATTTAAACTTGGTAATTTAGTCTGCAGCAAGACCAACTTGTAACATTTGTGGGGGAGATTTGATGAATGAAAGGAAAGCACAAAAGCAATTCAAACAATTTAAAGACATGATAAAATGGTAAAAAACAAGTCATTTTCAAGATACCATTTGTCTTGAGGGATGAAGAATTGTGCGAATAATTTCTCAGTAAAAAAAAGGACAAAGAATAGAAAGTTTTACCACAGTCTTCCTTTACTTAATTTTTTGCAAAAGATATTTCTACATCACCATGGTGTAAAAGCTTGTAGCATTAAGCAACAACTGTTTTGTCAAATAAAATTATATTACAATAAAGAACTTGCAATTGTTCAAAGGTTTTAGTATAAATCAGAACAAATTTTTGCTGATATCTGATACAAATTTATAAGAAAGTAAATACAAAAAAAAAATGAATAAAAATAAGAAAAGTTTTACCTAAAGTAAGTTAATTTATTTTGCGGCAGTTGATCACTTTCATGTATAAATGATTCGCTTCCGCTAAATAAGCATAATTTTGGATCGATTAAAGCAATCTCTTCTTCTACAGCGCCATTTGGGTGACCCGGATAAAGTTTCATTTCATCGTTCAATTTTTGACGACAGTATTCACATTTTTTAGGGAAAGTATTTGTTTTTGTAACTTGAAATTTTGGTACAACCTTATCATTTTCAGTTTTTATTCTTTTATTAAGATGTTCATCAAAGCATTCTTCCTTCGCTTGTAAATTATGGTTTTCTTTATTAGCTTCGCTTATTACCAAGGTATTCTCATCTACTTTATTATCTTGCAATTGTTCATTAGTAACATCAAAGTTTTCCTGTTTCCTTTTAGCAAATTGTTTAGAAAACATGTCAATTATAGACGGTCCATATTTGTTGGACTTTGAGCTTCCAGGTTTCATTCTAATGTTATAATTCGATACTTTAATAAATCCGAGTTATTAAAAACTTTTTTAACTCTTAGCTCTTACAATAACAATTACTAAATAAATATTTCTCAAACGTTATTTTAATTAATTTTACAAAACACAATTATTAATTTAGTACACGATAATAGTTTACACATAATACATACATATATTCAATTAATAAATATATCCGAAATATTACGTCGAATTGGTAAATAACTATATGAAGACAGAGTACCTTTAGTACAGAGTATTTTACAAACTTATAAAGTTCAAATATTATAAATAAATTCACATCTATACCCGTTACTTTTTCAAAAAATCTTTTATTATTCTCATGTCAACAATCTACAATTCGCGCCCTTGAACAGTGTTACCAAATTTACGATTCCATAAACGCAAACAGAATTACAAATAAATACTATATCGGGGAGAAATGTGTAATACGTATGGGGAGTGGAAATTAAGAAGAGTAAACTTATTTAATAATTTATATTTCGGCACCAAGTAAATCCATAAAACAATGTTACCCTGAACGACACCCTTCAAATTCTTAACCTTGTCTCTTTAAATTAGTTACTAAGTAAGCGGGTTATTCAAATCAATTGAATCTAATATCTTTCTTTTTAAAATGGTGAAAAAAGTTGTTTTGGGACATTGTACAGTATAACATTAGGTGTATACTTAGGATCTTGTTCTTGTTAAAAAATTCAGTTGTTTCCCGGTACTAATTTTTCCGTATCATTTTTTCAAGTGGGTTTTAAGTATATCTAAATATACCCATCGTTCCATAACAGTATATTATGACGAATCTGTCACCATGCTTTACAGTTGGTATCATATCTTTCAAATCTAACGCTGTGCTGCTTTTCCTCCATATTTTGCCTTTTAAATCCGTTCAAAAAATATGGTACAACGAAGACAGACAAGATCGGTGTTCCTATGTCTTTTCAGTTGCAAGACAAGGAAGAACATAGAAACGTACGTCGCTTCGACGCTCGGTGTGTCCCCGGCCTAAGAGGTAGCCAAAAAGTCGGCAACATCGCCGCAACAGTTTGCAACAGGCTGCCGCTTGTGTATTAATGTAAAGTAAATCCGGGTATAATTTATGTGTTAAGTCGACTTTGTATCGTGAAGTATTATTACTTTACGCGGTAAAAATTTATTTTTCTATATTTAAAAGAAACTCATTCAAAATGAAACTGTATTGTAACGTGGCAATAAATAACAGACTGTCTTCGACAAATGTGATGTTAAGGAAATCACAACGTTCAATTTTAATACTTGGGAAACAGACAGCAGACAGTAACGAATTATGTTTATTTTTGCAAACGTTACATAGCGAACAAACTACTACATACAAAGTAAGCATTTAAACAAAGTAATAACAAAGATTCAAACGTGTCTATAGATACATTTTAAGTAATTCATATGTAATTTGTTTTAGATCGATGATAACATAAATAAAATATTCACAAGATTCATTAATGAAGGAAAGGCCACGATTCGCCTGACAGAACCATCTCATGATTTAATTATTAAATCTGATCGAATTCAATTGAAATATTTTATTTGCTCGTTACAACAATCAAAAACTTTGAAACCATCGTTTATAACTATTTTTAATTCGTCTTCGAATAAAGAAAGAAGAGGTTCTTCTATCCAATCTTCTGTTCCAAAGATTAAAGTTGTGATTAATAAACCTTCTCAATACCCAGTCTTAGAAGGTTTTCCAAGGACTACAGAAGAACTGCATTTAATAGGATTAAATAGAACGTCATTCGACAGACAAGTTTTAAAACTCCAAAGCTTGAGAATATTAAACTTGTCCAATAATCAAATTTCATCTTTGCCGAAAGAATTAGGTTCCTTGCGTCTGCAGGAACTAAATGTATCACAAAATCAACTAAATGAAGATAAGAACTGGATATGGCTAGATGAAGTTACTATAAACCAGACTATAAAATTCTTAGATATAAGCAATAATTTTGTATGTTAATTTTGAATTTCGTAAACATAACATTACCAACAAAGTGAATTTTAATTATCGTAACGTTTTATATTTTATACGCAGTTAAGAATGTTACCGGAACGTATTGGGAAACTTTGTGCTCTCGTTGATTTGAAGGCTAGCAAAAATATGTTATTTTATTTACCACAAAGTATCGGAAGGTTACCACATTTGCAACATTTGGATGTAGCTAACAATAATTTAAAATGTATGCCTGGAAGTATGAGGAACCAACTGCTCATTTCGTTGGATATCTCTGAGAATAAATTCGATTATTTTGGGTTAAATTCTAATTCGAGTACTATTGATGTACCTAGTTTGGTTGAATGCGCAGCCCGAGTATTTCTTAAAACAAGGTTAGTAATATGCATGGTGAGTATTCATGGTAAAAATTGGATAAATTAGATTCGATGGCTTGAAATAAAATGAGTAGTAATGAAAGGATTGAAACCATTTTTAAGAAGAGGACGGAATTCGTTTAGTAGAATGTTTTCGTGTTTTTATCCAGATTAGTAGAAGACACCTTTAACCGTCTACTTGTTTTTAATCATATTGAAGAATATAAATGAAGAAAACCATTGAAATGTATTTTTATATTTTTATAGATGTCCGTATGATGCAAGTCAAATCCCAGGTGTGTTGGTAAAGTATTTAAACGAGGCAAAGTATTGTATTTGTGGTAATCCTTGTTTTAAGTCGTATGTAAGACAATTCCGATGGTGTCGTTTTCATAGCATAACTAGTAATGTAAAATCATCAGTAGATGTTGTACCATTTGATTGTTATTTTTGCTCGCTTATTTGTGCATATCGTAACATACATTAATTTTTATTTTTAAAAAGAGGCTTTCTGTATAACAAGGTGTAAGAAATTTATAAGAATTTATATATAGTTTTTTATTAATTACTGTTCGATTTTGTGATAATACAACGTGTACAAATTTTATATCCTATTTATACCATAGAATGATGTATTTAAATTTTAATCGGTTAATAATATAGTAATAATTCCTGTTGATACTGGTAATGATAATAATAAGAGAATAATTGTAACAAAAATAAATCAAGAAAATACAAGTAATTTTTTATATCTAAAGTTGTAATAATAAAACTATTTAATTGGTCCTATAACTGAAGGAATTGTTAAATCAACTGATACAGAAAGTGATGGGTATACAGCTCATCCAGTTCCTGATTTTGAATATAACAATTTTAATAATAAGGGGTATAATGATGGTGGAAATAATAGAAATTTAATATTATTTATTCGTGAAAACTATTTAATACACAAGTACCAGTGTTGGGCAAAAATTATTTCGAATAACAAAGAAATAATAGAATAATTTAAGGAAACATGTAATTCGGTAGTAATATGGTATAAATGTACAATCCAGCTACACAAAGTCTGTTTTAGGGCTGTAAGACTGCAACAAAATCAACTTTTGAACGAACCTAAGTATTTTAAAACGTGTATATTTAAAAATGAGGTATTATTTTTAAAATACATTATTACATTTTAGTAGTGGAAAATTAATGGATTACACAATTTTTATATAAAAATAGGTCAAAACAATCTGTTACAATTATGAGTCTAATATATTTGTATTTAATATTTGTATACTTTTACTATGTGCATACGAAATAATTTATTTCATTCTTTTTAAAAAGATCTAACATAGCGAGTGTAACGCCACACACATATTTTTCTTATTTTAATAACTTGTTACATTCGCTCAAAACATTATAACATTAAAAATGAACTTTGCGTACCTCTCGGAATACGATTTTTTTTTAAATTTAATATTTCAAAGAAATTTATGCACAATAAAATCAATAATTACCAATTGAAATACTTATCTTTATTAAAAACAACCATGATCGTACCTGAAAAAACATAATCTTATATTTATCTGTATTAGTTATGTTTTTTTTTTTACATCTCTTCTGACAAAGTCAAGACTAGACTCATCCAATGAAACATAATACTGTCTCGGCGTGACTATCTTTTTTTTGCCTAAGTGTGGAACTGAAAAATTTATGTCTTTATATTTATTCTCATCTAAGTGTCCATATGCTTGTAAAGGTTGTACAAAAACTTCTGGATCTTCTGGGCACTGAACTAGTTTCATATTATACTTTCCTTCAGTTAAATCACTTGTTGTAGAAACACTTTCATTCTATTGTATGCAATATAAATTTTTTTTTTATTTTAATTTATTTGTTTGACTTTGTATTTATAGTATTCATATAATTTGACACAATTTATACTCACCTGTGCGCTTGTGTCGCTATTATGTTTCGTATAATTAGAATCGTTTGGTACTTGTAAATCACTTAGTGATATTTTGTTAGTTTTTAGTAGTCCTATAAATGCTGCATTTTTATTAAGTTTGCATCTTTTTAAAATGTTTGCCTCGGTTTCAATATATTCCTGTCCATCAAGTTCAATCACTGACATAGATGTCTTATCGTTAGCTTCTACATTTACATTACTACTATTGCAATCGGTTTTAACAAAAAGGAAACTGTTATCTGCATAGGTTTCCTTGGAATTTAAACTAGCTGCACTTTGTTTTGCCTTCAAATTTTTTTCAATCATTTCATTCGTATAATCGGTATCACTGAACTGTAAATTGAAATTACTTTTTTATAAGTACCTTTTACAGTAATTGTTAAGTTTATACATTACTTTTACCTCTTTAATAGCAGATATAATCTCATTTTCATTTACTTCTGGATGTTCGTCAGTGTACGTTTGATTATCCATATCAGGCACGTTATCAAAATCATATAACTGTAAATGTATGATTTTCAAATTATTTGTCAAATTGATTAGTCATAGATACAAGAACATTCAGAAATCCAATGTAATTACTAACATTTTTATTTCGTGGAGGTTTGGATTTAATCAATTTTCGGTTGGATGAATTTAATTGTCCTTGACATATAAACAATGAATTTACATTTATGTAAGGTATTTGTGTAACTTTGTCAATATCACTATATATACTCATTGTAATATAAATGAAACTTTTAAAAACCTAAAATAGAAAGTCTATATTCAATTTTGGATATATACAAATCATACATAACCTCAAAAAAAATTAATATCAAATTAACTATACACCACTAGTTTATAAAAATTTGTCGCATTTCAATATTGTATTCATACACATTCTAATTTAATACCTCCGTTATAATATACATAAATAGTATATAATAGTATATTTTATAAATAAATACAAAAATTAAGGAAATATGTATAGAATACAAACAATAGAATACAAACGAGTTTTTAAATTTAATTCAGAATATGTGTAGGAGATATTTTTCAATCGGTAATATTCTTCATTTAGTTACATACGTATGCAAATTTTCTTACGAATAATGGGCGATCGCTTTTAATCTTGCTGACAAAACAGAAAAAAAATTTTCTTCCAGATATTTAAGTGTGTCTTGATCATGCAATCTTAATTGATTTGAATGTCAGTTAAAGTAAAATCAAATTACATTTTGGGTGTCCACCCTGGAATAATAGTTTGTATCATGAGAGGGGAGAGTCACGGAACAATGTTTCCAGATGTGACGCAATTAATATCTGTGATACGTGACCGGGAATACAACACCAGCGTTCCTTTAAATTGTCCTGCAATTATCGTACGATTTGTTCTAGGCCGCGACATTAAACTTCCCTTTGTACTCGTCGACGAGCCGACCAGAATGGCCAGATTTAGCATAATAAGGTGCACTGACACCTTGATCGACACATTTGATTTCTATTGTATAAATGTAACAATGTCACAATAAAAATTGGAAAGTGTCGCTTCTGTGGGGTTAAATGGTATAGGGGAAATGATGCGTTTTTGTCATACGGTGTAATCAAATATATTTTACTGTCTCTGACGATCTGTGCGAACTGCCGGGCAGTCACTGCCTGTGAAGCGTGAAGTGCGAAGTGAGGCCTCTTGCTTTGCCAATATTACTACCCTCTACTATGGCGACCCGTTAGGACAAATCCCTAACGAGTCAACGCCCTCTGAGTAACTAGGCGTAACCTTCTGGTCCTTCAGCGAATTCGCATTGGAGCGATTTCACGTCAAATCACACAGTTGAAAGATTTATTTTCACCGAATTTTTTCAAATTTACGGTACTTAAATGATTTTTGAAATATGAAATACTTCATTGTGACTGAATAATGATGGTCGAAAACAAATCCTGGAAATAGTAAGTTCGTAATCTTTTTTTAAATAAAAGTATTTGATTATAAGGGCATATTTTTCTCATTTTTAAGTTCAATTTTTTTGAGTTTAATTATGTAACTTTACATTTATAATATATAATAGTTTTAGAATGACAGCAACAGTTTCTAGAGAAAAATGAACAGAAAAATAAGAAAGTTTAAATTGCAAATAAATTTATTAGTTTTTTCGAGCCATTATTTTGGCGGTATAATTTGAATTGTAATTAATCATGGACGACGTCATATGAGAATGAAATGCTCTGCGTGTCGTTGTACGTACTGCACAAAATTTACAATAATAGTGCCATCTCTGAATTTAACGATGTAGTTAAGTAGTGATATCGATAAATGATATCGCTCGTCCGTCGAAAATAACAATCGTTAATAATTGTACCATTCGATATATTTTCTGTTGTAAATAAAATTCGTCATTATTTTCTGCATTAAAAATATTTGTCTGATTTTTCAGCGCATTCTCGTAAGATACAGCGACCGAGAACATTTCGAATGAAACCCATGTTTTTGGAAACGTCATTGAGATGATTGTTTATCCACCATTTTGTTTTGCTGTCGTCCTCGCAGTTTTTCCTGGCACCGTGGCCTATTTTACAATGAACTAATTGACTCAAATTTGGAAAAGTCGTCGAATCCGACAACATTCTGTGCCTGAAGAAGAAATTGTTTACGACGGATTTGAGTCAGCTCCTTTATTTCAATAAATGTTCTCGTTATGAGGATTCGTGAAATCTCGCCTAGAGTTCCGACCCAACTTTCCTGACTTTTTATCAAATGGCGATTACTAAATAAAACTAACAGTTTTCGCGTCGTTCGCCACGTAAGTTTGCTAGTTTCGCCACGATCGTGACATTTGTATTTATTTTAGTGTTAATCTATTCAACGTAAAATTTATTCGATAGCATTTGACAATATCATTTTATTTTAGTAACAATGGGCCCCCCAAACGTGTAATATTATTAATCTGTCATATTGTTGGACTCGACTGTGATAGTTATGATCAAATAACAAATAGATGAGCGTATAACGATTAATTTTCTTTTGATAGAATGTCGGGTCAGAGTGGAGGGCATCGCCTAAGATTGTCAAAACTTAATGATCAACTGACATGCAAATTATGTGGTGGATACTTTATCGATGCCACTACCATTATAGAGTGCTTGCATTCATGTACGTGTATATTTTTTATGTTTCCTTAAGCCTTTTGTTTATCGTGAATGATTAAATTTCATTGTCGCAAAAGAATTGAACAACGATTCAAGCATTTTCGTGTAACTGGCAATTAACATTGTATTGCAGTTTGCAGGAGCTGTATTGTCAAGTATCTGAAGAACAATAAGTATTGCCCGATATGCGAGGTACAAGTGCACAAAAGTAAGCCACTACTCAATATTCGTCCAGATCACACTTTGCAGGACATTGTGTATAAACTGGTACCTGGATGTTATCAAAGTAAGTTCTATAATCAGCCAGAGAAACATGAAGTGTAGATAATTGAACGAACTGTTTTACATCTACAGACGAGATGCGATGTCGAAGGGAGTTTTATTTCAAACATCCTGAAACATGTACACAAACAACATCTCCGGAAGCAAGAGGGGAACCAATTGAATCGCATATATATTCACCGGACGAATCTCTGAGTTTATCGTTGGAGTATTTTAGACCATCTAGAGACGTTAAGGAAATTGCTGTAAAACCTTTTTTGAAACGGTATCTTCGTTGCCCTGCTGCAGTAACGATTTTTCATCTACAAAAGCTTATACGAGCTAAGTATGGACTAACCGATGCACACAGGGTAGATGTAATGTATAAGGAAGAACCTCTGTGCAGTAATTATACATTGATGGATGTGATGTATATTTATCATTGGAGGCGGGTAAATATTACAAATTCTGATATACAGAGTGATCCAAAATTAATGGTACAAATAAGATCAGGGGGATTCCTATGACTTAAAATAAGACGAAAGCCAAGAATTACGAGATTAGACCTAGTTTTGGTTAGAAAAGCATTCGAAAATCCGTCTAGTACATGTGCATCTACCTGATGGCTGTTGTTATTGATTCCACCATAGACGACAATTATGATTATTTTTGTATAGGACACAATGTTGGACGCTGTCTAATGTAAACGTATACAATGAATGTAATTAGCGAATATTAATAATTAAACATTTTAGTTTTTGTTGAATTTAGTTTATTACTTCTTCAGTTTATTTTAATTGAAATGTTGTTCAAAATATCGATCATTTTCGCATGCACAAAGTCGTATTCTGCAAATTAAATTATGTTGAACTCCTTGCATCATATTTTGCATTTTAATTTGTTCAAACGGTAAGATAATTTTGATCGATAAGGGCTTGTTATGTTTCTAGAGTAAGCTACATTTTTTATGTGCCCCTATAGATAAAAATCTAGAGGTCGAGTCCAGTGACCATGGTGGTCGAGCTAGTGTTTTACTATGACCGATCTGACATTTAAAGTGCCTGGTTAGGAAGTATCATACATTTCTAGTATAGGCTGTCATGTTTAATCTAACAAAGGTTCTTGGTTGCACAAAAAATTTAAGTACTACTACTGTTTAGAGGGTTTAGTAGAAAGTAAGGATCCACAATTTTGTTATTGATTATCCTAGCCCGTATATTTATTCTCCGTCTTTGTTAAAAGTATTCTTCTAATATAATAACAGAATTTGTAGTTGTCCAATAATATAAGTTGAGACTGTTACAAATTTTCGAATGCATTTTCCTTCAAAGGAAAGCCTCTGATGTAAATTTATCGTTCTTGATTTTCGTCTTATTTCGAATGATAGAATCTCTTAGACCTTATATCACTAATTTTTGATTATTCTGTGGGATTAATTAAAAAATAAAAAAATCCAAATTTTACAAGCATTCTGCCCTATTTGTTTCAGAAAGTGCCATTGCATTTAAGTTACAGAATATTTGAATCTTCTCCTAAACGAATAAAACTTTCAGAAGACAATGTCAATTACAAAACATCTCTATTTTATGCTGGAATTGATCCTATCGAATCAAAAGAAGAAGAACCTATAAAGAGGGAATGGAAAGAGGTTCAATTAAAAATTTCTGAAACCGGTATAATGAGTATTACAGATATATCAGATCAAGAATTTAAGAAAAACGCAAGAGTAAATGAACCCGTAACGAGCGTTGAAACAATAAATGCATTGATAATTAAGGAAAATGCTAGTGAAAATAATACATCCGAGATTACTAAAAAAAATGATCATTTAAATAGACAAATCGTCGACGATTGTAATATTTCTCCTAAATTAAGCGAACTTGATGATAATAAGAACTCTAATCAAACCGATGGTAAACAAATTTTAACAAAAGAGGCAGATAATATTGTGATGTCTAAAAGTGAGGAAGAACCAAAAGATCAATTAGATAATAATAATGTTGCAGACAAAGTAGCTTTATATACTAATGTGCAATTTCGCGAAACAACACAAAGCACGGCTGGGGGCGAAACCATAGGCAACGCCGTCGACGATAAAGATAAAAAGGAATCATCAAAAAATAATAATAGTATTATTGTCGCAGAAAAGAACGGAGAGTCTGTCAAACAGTGCCCGAAAAACGAAATTAAGCTTGTAAATATGGGATCAAAAATTAATGCTCTAAGCGTGAAGTTACAATTTCAGCCGAAAATTGGACAGATAAATAGTAGTAGTACTTCGTCAAAAAAAACTATAAAAGATAAAAAAATTGCGCCGCAATTGTCGAAGAAAACCGACACGAAAACGATCCAAGCCTCGAAATCTGTGGACCCAAAAAACTCTTTTGATACTTCGAAAACACAGGCCATATCAAATAGTTGCGGAAACAAATCATTAATTCCCTGCTCTACGAGGATAATGTCGCAGAAATCGACGACCGAGTCGGAAGAAATTCCAGAGCCTGTCGCTTCGACGCATCTGACCACCACCGTTAGTTGCAAGTCCAGAGAGACGAAATTCAGCGTGAAAAATGTGCAATCAATTGACCAGCAACGATCTTCGGTCCAAGAGCAAAATGCATCGGAGAAGGAACCGTGTTCATCGGATCAGACATCCGCGGAGCCGTCTCAAGTAATCGGTGAGCAAACAAATACAATTCTTCAAAAATCACCGTACACGCAGATCGACACGCTAGCAAATAAAAATCTTCCATCTCTTGATTTCACTGTAAGCGTTGGTAACGGGATTAACTCCACGTCCACGTCGGCGATAAGTCAGACTGCGCCTATATTCCCATACACGGTTCAAGATTTAGTGAATAGTACAATGTTAAAGAATTCTCTTAAAAGTTTAGCAACATCGGCAACGCAGAAATTATCCACCGCCACCGCTCCAGAAAATACTGTAACCATATCCACGGTACCGGACAATCCTACAGCATTTATTATGCCACCGATGAGCATCTCTTCTTCTTTAAAGAACAGTTACCTGAACTCAGGGATAAACACTTCGAGAGAGTCGCCGTTAAGAACAAACATGGAAGTAACTGCCGCATATTCTGTGCCACCCTGCCCGGACGCTATTCCGATATCATTGATGAAGCCGACGATTCGTAAAAACGAATTGATCACGAAAGGTTCGAATTTAAACGACATTTGTGCGAAAATCGGAGCTTCCGGTTCGAAAATAAACGACATCTGTGCTAAAATTGGGGAAAATTCCAAAGAGAAGAACAAAATAGAAGTAAGAAGTAAATGCGACATTCCAGATTTGTTAAAAATTGGGAGAAAATGCACCTCGTTATCGATCGCGGTTGATTCCGCTAATAAACAACAACAGCACCATACGAATATTTCAAACGTGCCCGTTTACGCTCCTGGCAGCAATGCGATCACAACGGAAAGCAAGAGTGTTTATTCGAACGTTAAGGATAGCCTTAGAGCTACCTCGCTGGTATCCACTTCTCCAACGGCAACGTCGCATTCGATACAAAAAGTTCCTTCTTCTATATCTAAAAAACAGAGCCAAGCGGTAGGTTACAAGACCCTCCGCGATCCTCCGAGATGCTGGAATCCCACGCTTTCTAAAAACAATTACGTGGCGGTTAAAAATCAGAACAAAGAGACGCAAAGTCAGTTGCATCAAACCGCGTTGTCCGAGAGAAAATCGATACAGTCGAAGCCCGCCAAGATATTCAAGATGAGAAATATGCCGAGATATTTAGGTAACCCCGCGTCCGGCGTGAAACCGCTCTATGGTATTGGCAACGAGAGTAAAGAAAAAGAACAGTCGACAATGGCACCGACGACGATCTCGAACACCCCTACCAGTTCGAAAAATGGGAACTTAAGCATGATGAAGATAGATCCCAAAACTCTATCTCCGATTGTATCGACAATCAATTCGCCCATTGTCTCGCCACCTCCGTATTCTCCCAGTGCTAGAAACTATACAAATTCCTCATTCTCGAGAGATATTTGCAGAAACACTGGTTCGCCGATATCTCCAAAAAATTCTCCGGTAAATATGCTTTCAACAAGTCCTTTTATACCATCACCGACACCCAACATGAATCCCAGATTAATTTATCCTCATTTTCCACCCCCGTACCCGGACACCCCGCGATTTCCAAACCCGTTGATACGTTCACCGATCGGAATACCATCTCCTAGTGCCTTTCACAGTAGTTTGCCTCCTTCGATTAATAAATTGTACCAGCGATCCAGTTATATTCCACAAACTACTGGCTTTAATCCAGTTTCTCAACCCCCGACAGTTCAGAGAATACCACCAAGCACTTACTCTACGCCTAAGTCACCAAAAACTACCTCCTTAACAGCAATCTCGCCTACATCTTACGGGATAACCAAATCCGAGACGCAAATAGTCGGAACAACGTCGCTCGAAGCTAGTAACTTGCTTCTTCTGGAGAACGCGTCGCAAGAAGGTCTCAGCGTGTTCAATTTGTCCAAGACCGGGAACTTTTGTAACTCGGAAACAGTTAAAACGCCAACAGAAATAACACGGAATTCGAAATCGATCGCGTTTCCCTCGATGTCGAACGTTGGACAAGTTAAGAACGCAATAATGGCCGCTTCGAAAACCAAAACGGAAACGTCTCAACCGGGAACTGGATACGATCAGAGCAAGGAACAGTTGGATAAAGCGTCCGCGAGATGCGAAGAAGTAAATTCGTATAGTTCGAAGGGGCAGAATTTAGAAAAGAAGCAATCCGACGAAAGTGGCGACGGTGTAAATAAAAGAAAAGAGAAATCAATGTCTCAGACAAATGGAAGTTTCGCCAATAAAACAAATGAAGAAACACCGGCGGAAAAGCTTACGGAACAGCAGCATAAGGAACAGAATCAAATAAAAATGATGCATCAAGTACCGGAGAAAATTACTAAACAACAAGAAGAATCGAAACACAAAGAGTGCGAGAAACCCGACGAGTACGGTAAAAGATCTGAAGCTCAAATTAGTAAAACGGAAGCGTAATTTTAGTGTTAAAGAATCATTTGACGTGTACATTTTTGTAAAATTCGAAAGCTTTTGTTATTATAGTCTATTATTATATTCTATCATTGACAACATTTTGCCGAGTCCAGCTTTATATTTCACATTTGACAAACTTACGTGATTTTCACGACAAAAGGCGAGCGCATATTGTTTCCTTAATTGTTACGATTTTTTAATCAGAAAACATTAAACACATTAAGACGACGGTGTGATTAATACATTGCTTTACGATTGAAAATCGTAGTGATTAAAAATGCAACGTGTATACGCTCGATTTAAACAGAAAAGATGTAAGAAACGAGTAATTACGATCGAAGTTGTCTGTGACATAAGGACTCTGTAAAGATTATTTAAGGAAAATTCGTTATTCCGAATCGATACGATACAATATGAACATTAATAGTATACAATCATTTTATAATAATAATTTCGCAAAAACTGCTAGTTTACAGTATTTATAATGAATCATTTCGAACAAATTTTTATTGTCCATTCGTTGATTCATTTTAGTTAACCGGATATGAAACCAAAGCCTCGAGAATTAAATAATCTTCCAAATAGTTTTAGTTACAAGATTTTGTCTTTGCTTACTGTCAATTGTCTTTTTGTTTTTATGACCTTTTTTTTTTTTACACGGAAAGCAATTTATAGTTCTGCAGGAAAATATCCGAGGCCTTATCACAATAATCTTATATATGAAATAACGTTGAACGAATCGATCAAAAGAGATCGTTGTTAAAAAATTTACAAAACGAAAAAAAGTATTACGGTGATTTCTCTCTTTCCAGCTTAATTAGTTAACATTATCGATGTATTATACCGCACCGAATTATTGAAACAGGCACGCATGAATAAAAAGAAAAGAAAATTCACTATTGATTTTGCTACGCGCCGGAAAGAAAGAAATAGTTAATATATAGAGAAGTTTTAATATTCGACGATCTTTTTTTTTAGATACATTTACTTGTAAATAATGTATAATGATTGAAAGAAAATCTATATCATGTAGTAGATATTAACAAAAAATGATCGATTATTAATATAATTTAACATGCATATTTTTAGGGATTAAGAACGTAATGATAGTATTTTTTTGTCTAATACGAGAAAGCAATTTTTAGAAAGGTCTGATTGTAGAGAAAGAAACGGTGTATTTTTAATAAGTTATTAGTTGTGTGCGCGCGCGAGGCTCTTTTTGTATACAAGGTGTACCTGAGTGAGTGACCGACAAAGTGGAACGTGTGCATGTATAATTTCTGTGCGGAGAAAATTTCAATATCATTTTAACCGAAGCTGTTCAAATAAAGTTTTCGGTATTTGTTTTATTTATCAAAACGTTGATCGTCGATTGTTTTCGAATTTATGCAAGTGTGTGCGTATGCTTGAGTGCGCGCGCACACATGCTCCCACATGCGCGCGTGCGCGCGTTATCAATACAGTAATAATACTACGTGAAAGTAGGGAATGTTTTAATTATGAAAATATAGTTGATTATACTTTATACAGTCTGTTATTTGTATAAGATTTTACCATTACATATATATGCAAAAACTGAATTTAGTACTAAATGATTACCATAATTTTTGTGTAAATGTTAGTGTAACGCATATTAATGTGATAAGTTGTTAACAATTATTTCTTTAAACTACATACAATACTTCTATAAAAATAATTGCAATGAAATATTAAATTATTCATGTGTAGTAACGCTATACTTAAATATACCAATAACTGAAAGGTATAGCTAAACATTAGTTAGTTTCTCTGAGTATCTGACGGCATCTTTAAGCTTAAATATTAATTCTTGCAGCTGTTGTATCGTACACGAGAATGTTACATGACTTATCGTTTCATGTTTTTTAGTGATAAGTCGCACATGATAAAAAGGAACACCCAGTAAATTGCATGTGTCCAACTAAAAAATCATTTTCGTATAAATAAAGTATCAGTGGATAAAACATTCGGTGTTCTATTCACCGATCAATTACCTTTATACGATAATCTAGATGCCAATCTACATCAATGACATGTGGTGGGTTATTACCAGTTAATTCCAACTGAGATTGTATTGTTTTCTTATTATTAACATATGCTTCGCATAATTTCTTTTTCCTCTGTTCGTCGATACATGTTTGACATAAGAAATTACTTAATTTTTCCTCATCGAAATCGTGTCGGGCTGCTTCTACGAACAAGCATAACATGTCAGCAAAAATCTTCTTTGCTAGCACGGGTTTTGAATCCGCTGCTTTGGCAATACCTGTAATTTTATCGGTATAAATAATATTTGCAACATTCAATGTTATTTACGTTAAATGAGTATAGATGCAGAAAAATACTTACATTTTATTTCTGTAGAATTTTCACATATGTAAGAAGTAGTTGTATCTAAGATTTGTAGAAAATCATCTTCAGCAATATGACTTATGCTTAGAATATTGGTAAGGCTTTCGATGATATTTTTTGACAATTCCATTATTATATTCTACTATACTTATGTTTACAAATAAAGCGCTGAAACTCTACTACGAAGAGATTAGACTCCAATGATATATATTTCGAACGATTTCTGTTTCTATAATGTGTATTTAACAAAACCTTTTTATCGGTTGAAAGATAATATCAAAACGCTATATAAAGTTGCACATAATATACATGAAAATTATGTAAATTCTGTAGAACCGAATACAAGGAAATAGAGGTTATTTTTAAAAATCCGCAACGTTTGATTTTTAAAATTTTTATCATACATAACTCTTAAAAAAAAACGTTCACTGCAAAAGTGTATCTAGTACTTAATAAGTTGTAAATAGAGATTCGATTAAAGTTGCAAATTTGATATGAGAAAATTTCAGTACCATGGTTGACAATTCACAGCTCACCATTGTTCACTGCGAGTAATATAAATTTTACAGATGTTATTAATATGAAAACTTACTATTAAATTTTTATTATATTTACAGTTTTTATAAATACTTGTTACACGATAAAAGTTTAAAATGAAAGGAAATAAATAAACGAGTATCTATAATAAGAGAAATGTAATTCAATTTGTTAATTTAAACAGGAATTAGTTTAGAACATTATATCATAGCGTTGTTTAATTTTGAGACAAATTTTTAAGATAACGTGTTTTTGTATATTTTGACATGATTTTATTTTTTAAACAAAACAGATCCACGATTTGGTCTTCTTCCTGTAAAGTGCAAATTTTCTTTTACTTTTTTTATGATAAAAGTAAGCGTGTTCGCTAAAATATTTACATTTCTCTCATTGGATATTCCTAAAATATTATTGGGAAGTGTATAAGATTGTGTATTCTTTGTTAAGCGAAATAAAATGATCCATTGTCATAATTTTTTCCTATCATTGCATCACAAAGTTATCACAAAATTATCAAAATACCTATTGATCAAAGACGTATTAACGATCCTGAGGTATCTGTCCTTATCAGATCTATTCTAATGACGGAGTCATTGAAATGAAATATGATTCTTAACAAAATTTTAAATTACACAAGCTTTTTACGCTTCTAACGTATGTAACTAAGATTAATTTTCAATTATACATCGAAACAGGTTATTCGTATTCTAAATTATAGTTTTAAATACAAGTGTTGTCAGTCAAGCCATAGGTTACGCATGTATAGAAACGGGAAATACAAAAGCATAGAGTAGCATGTTATTTTGCGACAGAAATGGTTGATAAATCTGAAGTTGTCGATTATAGACTACATTTGGAGTCACCACCGGCCACACTGTTCCAGGCTGTAAGTTTAACAGACTATAATTCTATATAACTAACGACATAAAGCAAAACAAGTAATTTACCAGGTGGATTTCACCTTGGTTTTTGAACGTAAAAATTGTAAACAAACAAGTCGAAAATAATAAATAAAGAGTAGACGGGAAGTCTAAGATATATTGAACATTTTTAGATTTATTCCCATTTGCAAAGTGTATTTTTAAAAATGTTCGATATCTAATTGTGAAAATAAGAATTTGATGTTTTGTTTTTTGTAGAACGTAACCTATATATGTTACTGGTGGAACGTCTATTGAAAACTATGGGCAGTATTAAAATCATACAACTTTATTACAAATCTGCAGTGTTTGGAAGATTGTTTGTATAATTAGAAATTATTTGTGTTGAGGACATTTCTATCCATTGAGTGTCTCTAAAAAAACGCTAGAAAACATGGATCAAATGTTACCGAGCCCTGGGTTTAGTATACCCAGTATAGGAACTCCTTTACATCAACCAGAAGAGGATCAACAAATTTTACCCAATGCACTGCAACAGCAGCAACAGCAACAATACCAATTACAACAATTACATGCTATAAGTCCAAACATGCAAAGTGGTGGAATGCTTATGATTGGAACACCACAAAAGACCATGCATGCTTATGCAACAACACCAACTTTTGCGACACCGCAAAGTCTCATGCAGCCACAAACTCCAGTACGACTAAACAATACAATGACAAATTAATTCCAAATTGTATTTAATGTTATTTCAAGTTAAAATTTCTTTGTTCGTAGCAAAATATGATGTCTCCGTTAGTTCAAAATAATAATAATGTAGCACCTTCGTCAATAGGACCATCCACTCCTGGTCCCATGACGCCTATGACACCAGCTTCTGCTGATCCAGGAATTTTACCACAACTTCAGTAAGCGAAAAATTTATTTAGATAAAAAAATATGACAAACAGGTATCTGCTATTAATGTTACAGGAATATTGTATCCACAGTCAATTTAAACTGTAAATTAGATTTAAAAAAAATAGCCCTCCATGCAAGAAACGCAGAATACAATCCAAAACGGTTCGCTGCAGTAATTATGAGAATAAGGGAGCCAAGAACTACTGCTCTAATATTTAGTAGTGGAAAAATGGTTTGTACAGGAGCAAAAAGCGAAGAGGACTCTCGGTTGGCTGCAAGAAAATATGCTAGAATTATTCAGAAGCTTGGTTTTCCTGTTAGTAAAACTTTTGTCACTGGTCTGAATCATTTGTAATCGGTTATTATCAATGTCATTTATTTTAAACGAAGGCAAAATTCCTCGACTTCAAAATACAAAACATGGTAGGCAGCTGCGACGTGAAATTTCCAATTAGACTAGAAGGCTTAGTGCTTACCCATGGACAATTCTCCTCGTATGAACCAGAACTCTTTCCTGGATTAATATACCGAATGGTTAAGCCTAGAATTGTCTTACTTATATTTGTTTCTGGAAAAGTAGTATTAACAGGTCAGTATTTATTAATTTCTATAATCTATGTAATAATTTCAATTCGGTTCAATTTCAAAATGTTTTCTTACCATGCCGTTTAGAATGTCGTAAAGTTCGAGAACTTTCCTTTTTAATTTAAAAATAAAATCATGACTCTACGATCATTTTTAACAGAGTTACAGCAGTTTGAAAATTAATAATTTTTCGGCCGATTATCGATCCTTTAATTTTGATGGCGAGTGTATATTTACAAATTTATTTAACGAATTAATTATTAGTCATTTTTATTTCGGCAGGAGCAAAAGTTCGACAGGAAATTTATGAAGCATTTGACAATATCTATCCAATTTTAAAGAGCTTTAAAAAACAGTGATTCCAATTTTCATTACACATCAACGCTATGTTTTAAATGAATGAAACCTAGGTAAGATATCTTGGTTTCTGTCCTGAATATCAACAGAATAAGTTTTGTTATCAGTTTCTATATAGCAGTAAATGAGTTTTTAAGAAGATTAAAGTATAAAATGAAAAATATATATGAAGATGACATGAATTGTATGAATGAAAATTTTCTTAACAGAATTATTTTTAAAAAGTGACTGTACATTTAATTATTTAGGATTACATTAAATTTAAAAAACACGGTCTGTAAAATTTTCTCACGCTTCTTATGGGGTAACCTGGAAAAATATTTTTTAAACCAACCATTTTAAAAGATTCTCATTCTTTTAAAATAAATTTAATTTTGTTTGCCGTGCCAAGTGCAATTCATCTCTTTTGAACAAAAATTATTTATTCATATACATCCAAGCAATGATAATAAATAAACAAAATGAATTTAGTTTTTACTTAGGAGAATAATGTACTTATATGTATGATTGTCTAAATCCTTGGAAACTTCCAAATTTTGTGAAAATTAGACTTTTGATACACTGTACATAAAGTATCCATTATAAGCTGAACAAGGATTTATATAAATAGTACAATTCTACAAATCTGCTATTGTAAAAAATAGATTTAATTGCAATAAGAAATTGTTAATTATAAGGATTACTATTTTAGTCGTTTAATTATGTAACTTCAAAATACTTTTAACTAAACACTGCTGAAGCACAGGGCAAATGTCTTTATTAGCCGATGCTAACATTTCTGTTGCACGTAGAACAAAATCTGTATCAATGCTTCCAATTAGGAATACTTCTGAAATTTGGCTGTGCTGTGGAAGGCTAGCAAGTGTAATTATTCCATGGTTAAAATCACCTTGTCGCTCCGCTAGTGTGTTGCACATTACCTCTTCTATATCCGTCGGATCTATTAAGAACTGGTTTCTGTAAACGCCCTATATTTTTGTTAAATTTATGGTTAGATCAAGATATTTGCAACTATTTTTTTCAATAATTTACATACTATGGTGGAAGCTGTTACTAAACCAAACATTGGAACACCCGCATTAGCTAAGGCAATACTGGCGGCCATGATTGCAGCAGCCAGTGAAGATCCATCATTATCCAGGACCATTGCATATACATCTACTTGAAAATTAGGAAACTCATGCTGAAAGAATAGAATAAAAATTTTAAAAACATGAACTTTACTTTAGAAATTTGTATACTTTATTTGTATAGATAAATGAAAAGTGCCTGATAAATAATAATATGATTACATCACAGATATTTACCAAACAAACTGCTGGTTCTAATGCTCTTTGTAACATCAGGCTGTATTGTTTTTCCTCTGCATTCTGTTGGTGAATTTTTCGCTTCCGGCAAGAAAAAGAAGCAAATTTAAACTCGCAATATATTTCCCCCTGCATACAATAGCCATTCTTGTTTGGTACTTCTCTCGGATCGAACACTGAACAAACTACTTTTGTATTCCCCATTTCTATATACGCAGAGCCTTTAGCTTGACTGACTATGCCTGTTCTTAAAACTGCAATTTAAAATACATATAACTGCTTTTGATGTACAAATGAAAATTAATCTTACATACGCTAGAAGCGTAGAAACTTGAATAATTTTAAATCTTACATATTTTTCGTAGTTCACTGTCGTTGCGTTTAACCCTTTTAATGGAATCATATTTTGTTTCAATGCCACTGTCGTCGTCATTAGAATAAATCTGATAAGGAACGGATACTTCAGGGCCGTTAATACGTTTTTGATCAATAGGCATTTTAATTAAAGGATGATACTGTGTAACTAAAACTTTATTAAACAATTCTTATTGTAGGAAAACAACCAGTTCCATCGCAAACTTCAAAGAGCAAATAATCATAAATAAAGCATATCGATAAAAATAGCTACGATGCATCGATGTTTTCAGAATATCGATATTTCCTATCGATACATCGATGTCCGAAAATCGAAACTGTCGATGTTTTTCCCATAAATTTTCTCATTTAAATCCAAATCTCGTATAGGTAGATGATTATGTGGTGAAAGTTACTATAGATACTGTAATTGTCGCGTATAATCGACAGCTTCAGATTTATCAATTTGATGGCCTGTTCAAAAGTTTAATACTGCATTTATTATACGGTATAAAGCATATATATAGTATTGATCATGGTGTAACATTCGCGTGGATGCATAATATAAACAATTTAATCACCATTTATCGTTCTATAAATGATTATTTATATTCATTACGATATTCATTGTCACATTTTATTATAATGTTATAGTATAGTATTTATTAGTTTGTAGGAATGTCAAGAAGTTTCAGAAAGTCTGATCGTGTTAAGAACGTCATAAATTATACTCAAGAGTTGCCCTCTTGTTCCCTGAAACAGAGACTGCATTCTTGTTTCACGTGTATCTACAGTATCGTAACAGAAAAAGTGCGTTTTCCATCATCATTTGAAAATTACGCGAGAACACGGAGGTTCATGAGACAGAGAAGAGACATCTAGAGGAGCAGAAGAAAGTTCAGACACCGCTTCTGATTGGTCGAAAGAACCTAGAGGATGTGAGAGGATGGAGGAAGCGCCGCACGTGAAAGAGAAGGTCGAAGATTGCTGTTTTAGAAAGTCAGTAGAATATTTGTTACTATGAGCGAACATACCTTATTTACATTAATTTTAATATACCCGCGCATCTTGCGAGCAAATTGCTTCAGCAATCCACAGGCGCGAACTACCTTTTGGTTCAGAATTTCCCCTATTACGTATAACGGACAACAGCTGTGATCCTAGCCTAAAAAAAACTTGTCCCTATCACAGAAATGCGTTAGCGTGTTGTAACTTTCGATTGGTAGAACGCGGTTGGATGCGCAACCTGATTGGCGATGACACCAGTGCATCTGCTCAGTATAAAAGTTTTTTCTTGAGGCTAGAGTAGATACGAGCTCTCTTAAACAAAATGTACAATGATAGAATGTTACGCACGAGAAAGTTGCAGGTTATCCGTTATTCGAGGATTTTTATGTAAAATTCCGAAGTAAAGATTACGTACTATATAAATATAAAAAATTTATAGTATGAGAGAATTGTACATACTCATTCGTCACTTTGGTTAAGACATTGATGTTAGTCGTTAGTGAACAGTTCCCTTAGAGTCATGGCAGAAGTACGGCTTTATGATTCAACGATTTGTAGATTATGTGCAGAGGATAATGGAAATGGAGAATTGCTTTATATGGGAGATAATGATGATCCGGATTTGAGTTCTATGGTCAATCGGTACTTGCCGCTCAAGGTACAAGCCTTCGAAACATCAGACTGCAACTTGACTTCCTGCTTTCTGTATAAATACTACACAAATCAAATGTCTCATGTTTCGTATTAATATTTTTTTAGACAGTTATTTACCTTATTTGTTTTACGAAATCTTGTCGTATTGACGAGAAATTTTTACGCGTTCTTACGAAAAATCTAATTATCAACAAGCAATTTTATATTATGATCAATATTTTATTTGAATGCGTTTATGATATTATACATTAATTACGATACTTCTGTTAACATCTTTGTATTTGTCCGTATTTGCTTCTTACCTGTAATAAATTGCGCCTAAAGGTATGCAAAATTTCGTATTTCCAACTATCTTTTGTTATAAAAAAAATATTAAAAGAGCACGATATATACTCGTTACTCGCTTTCTCTTTCGAGGTTATGGTACTATAAAACAATGTTTATTAATTATATTTAAAAATAAAGTATCTAACATAATTGTTCATTGTTATCAAGATTCAAGATGATGGTAAGCTACCACGTACTATCTGCCCCGGTTGCAATATTCAACTGGAAGCAACAATCCAGTTCTTCGAATTACTGGTGGATGGTCAAAGGAAAATTCGTGAGATGTGGAAGCACCAGTTAGAACAAACACGGAAGGCTGAACGAGAGAGGCTTCGTACTGGAAAGGATAATACAGAAATTGTAACAGAAATGTCCGAATTAGATAACATTTCGCAGTATAATGAGGAAGATCAATTTGAACAACAAATTATAATAAAAAGTATTATTTTCCAATTAATATTTCATTCAAATGGTCATAAAATGATCATTAACTGTTCTATTTTTTCTTTTTACAGTAATGCCGGATGGTTCTATGTATGCTGCAGAACATGAAATGAGTTTACAAATGGAAGGTTTAAGTAAACCAAAACGAAAAAGAGGACGACCACCGAAAACACATGTAGAAAACATATCCATGGTTAGTAATCTGGTAAAGCTGTAGTTCAGTGGTTTTGCTTTAAGAGTGTACATTTTTTCCAATTGTTTTTCCTGTAAAAGACTGTATTTTGACATTGACAAGAGATATAGAAGATTTTTGTCTAAAAATGACCAAAAATATATTACTTTTTCAAGCACCCCAATCTATAGGGTTTTCAGTGTAATCTTAATATTATTATTTAACACATGATGTTTTAAATGTAAATATTTCAGGAATTAACAAAAGAAGATGTAATAGAAGGAGGAAGTCAGGAAGAAGAAGATAAACAAGAAGAAGAAGTAGACGACATAGATGGAGATGGGAGACGTCGTAGGAAGCGTAAAGTTCCTAAAAGGTACTTTCTAAAAGCAGGAAGAAACTAGCTGTAATTACCATCATTTTATAATAGAGTATGAAATGGCTTAGATATATGGAAGCGGTCCAGGGCAAGGAATTGGAAAGAATATACAAGGAAGAAGGAGTAATTGATGAAGAAGATGACGAACAACCTGATAATTTTGAAGATTCTGAGGAACAGTTGAATGTAACTGTGCCCGATAGTCAAGAAGGCAAGTAATAAATTATTCTTTTAAATTGAAACTATTTATTCGATTGTTTATATTTTTCAGAAATAATTGGTCATTTAGAATCCGAGGAAGGGAAAGACCTAGGAGAGTTAGTGATAGTAAATCGAGGTAGAGGACGAGGCAGGCCAAAGCTACGTCGTAGGAGAAATAAATTCACGTGTCAATTTTGCGGTCGAGGTTTCCTACAACGTAGTAGATACATTGTGCACAAGTAAGTAAATTTTTTTGGCCTTTTATTTGAAATATTGGAATGAAAGTAATTAATGTATTTATGGTAATCAGGAGTTTTCATAAAGGAATAAAATATGAGTGTTTAGAATGCAAAAAGTTATTTACAAGTAAGGAAAATTTGGGGTTACATCAGAAAGCAACTCACCACACTGGAGACGATATAAATGAAAGTTTTGAACATGATGTCCAAGATCCAAGTCCGGAGTCGAAACAACCTTTGTCCGAAGAGGATCGTAATATTACCGAAGTTCTCAAATCTCCTTTATCAGAGAAACGATGTGTAAATAAATTTTCAAATATTTCTAGCAGTTCCCAAAAGGCTCTTTTATGCGAACAATGCGATAAATTGTTCGAAACAAAAGAAGCTTACGATTTGCATCTGAAAACGGATCACGAGCGTGAAAAATTATTTATTTGTACTATTTGTAATAAAAGTTTTACCCAACAAATAGCTTTGAAGGCTCATATGCCCATACACGACGTAAGTAATATAAAATTGTTAAATAATTTGAAAATTATTAAAATACTTAAAAGGGGCAATAGTTAAAACATTGCTCATTGTTTCTTAGAGAAATAAACTGGAAAAAGAATATCCTTGCGATATTTGTGGAAAAGTTCTAAATCATCCTAGTTCCGTAGTATACCACAAAGAGGCAGAACATAACGATGGTCGTCGATTTGTTTGCAACAAGTGCGGTAAAAGTTTCAAACACAAGCAACTGTTGCAACGCCATCAACTTGTACACTCGGACGACCGACCTTATATCTGTAAATCCTGTAATGCTAGTTTCAAAACGAAAGCAAACTTAATCAATCATCAGTCTACGCATACCGGCGAAAAGAAATATTTTTGTGAAATTTGTGGACAACAATTTGCGCATAAAACTAGTCTCACGCTGCATTACAGGTTATTATACAGGAACAGAAAAATTCAATTGGTAAAATTTGTGTCGGCAAGTAAATGATTGATTTCACATTTAGGTGGCACACGGGTCACAAGCCGTATACGTGCGAGGTGTGTCATAAAAGTTTTTCGCAAAATGGAAATCTGCAAGAACATATGCGAATACATACAGGAGAGAAACCTTACTGTTGCGATTACTGTGGGAGAAAATTCACGACCTCGTCGCAATTTAAACTTCACGTGAAACGTCACACTGGCGAACGTCCGTGGAAATGTGAATTCTGTGCGAAATGCTTTCTACACAAAGACACGTGGAAATGTCACGTGCGTAGACACAAAGGGGAGCGTCCTTTTCAGTGTGCTCATTGCAATCGCGGTTTTACAGAGCAGTGGGCTTTGAAAAAACATCTTCGTCTTCACACTGGTATTTTCGTTTTCTTACAGTGAAAGATTTTAGATAAAAAATGACAATTATCTTGAATGGGTTATTGGGGAAATTAGAATACATTTTTCGAAAAATTAAGATTAAACTACAATTTTCTCTGATGACAAGTTGAAGCTAAACACAAGAACTAAGCTATCAGACGTTGATATTTTTTTTTTTTTTGTTGTGAATTGCCGACAATTCGTAAATACCTAAACTACAAATGACAAATTTATTTTTAGTAATAAAATAATTAATATTGTTGCTTAAAATAGTTTTTTGTGATATTATCAAAAGTATTTGTTGAAAAATCCTAAAAAGTGTTGGTTTAATACATTACTTTTTATTGTCAAAAGTAGGCAAGTTGTTTGGATGGTCTGTTTTAGGCGAACATTATACCTTTTTTTAAAAATTTTATTGTATTCTCTAAACATGGATCATGCTTTTTTGTTTACTAGGAGAAAAACCATACTCTTGCGACGTTTGTGGAAAAGCATTTGCAGATTGTTCAAATTTAACAAAACATAAAAAAGTAAGAATTTTAGATTTATTTATATACGCACTACAATAAAATTAACGGAGCGCTTTAGATTACCTGAAAAATAACGAATTTTTAAGTTCTACGATTATGTGGAAAACAGCCAAAATGTAGTTTTCGTTTTACATCGTCGAAACTCTATGAAGAGAAGCAAAGAGATTACAAATTGATCCTTTTACAAATCGTATTCACCTTTTTATGGTTGTTTATTACAAAATTGTAGATCTAATATTCGCTGTTTTTCAGAACTTCTTTAATTTTGTTGCGGAATGTTACATTACTCTGCTTATATAATGTAAAATTATTATCGAGCTGTTTTAAGGTACACAGGGAGACAAAAATTTCTGCAATAGGCGAGGTAGAAGGATCTCCGATTGGAGAAGTTTGGCAAATTTTACCAAGCTCTGAGACACCCGATGAACATTTATTGACTGACCAAATGGCTCAAGTCATTACGACAGACGAAACGTCTGGAGATGGTATTCAACAAATTATTTACGTTTCTTACCAAGATCCAGATGATCCCAATCAGTCTCGGACTTTACATTTTGGTAAAAATAAATGTTTTTACTGTATCACTATTATTATAAAACTAATAGAATATTATATCCTATTAAAATAGTATATAGTCTAGGAGAAAGAAAATCGGCCATTTGTATTACTGGATTAAAATTCGTATTCGAATTATTTACCGGATGATTAATAATACTGAGAAAATTAAATTTTACATAAAAAAACTAAATAAATATTTTCTCTATCTTTTCTAATTCTTATGTATACTAATAATAATTACATAATTATAGTTAATATGTTTATGAAAATATTGTATCGTTCACGTATTTGTCTCTATTTATTTTTAATGTAGTTGATGCCGGAATGATGAGGAAAAAGGATGAAAAATCTAATGCGAATCAATCGTTGTCACATTTAAATGTTGAGAATGATGGAATACTTTCCAATGCTTCTCATACCAACGGAAATAATAATTCAAACGAACGAATAAATGTCGAACTTTCGGAAACCGATCTTCAGCTACAGGTAAATGTGAACTACATATTAAATGTTTCAAGAAGAAATAAAAAAAAATAAATAAATAATCTTCATTTACAGATAACGGATGAAGAAGGTAATCCAATTCCCCTTTCGATTCAAGATGCACGACAATTATTATCTCAAACACAATTTGTTAATCAACTTAACGACGATCAAGAAATTAGAGTTCATTCTGGTGTGATAGCGGATGAACTAGCAGCACCATTGAGCGTGCATATTAATCATGAGTCCGATATGAAAAGTGTTGATATTATCAATACAGAGGATGGGAAAGTGAAAAATATTTCGCATGTTCAAACGGATGCAGAAGCAATCGTAAAAGCGTTGGAGGTAGTATTCTTGAATAAATAATAATTTAATGATTATGTTTCTTTAAATATATAACGATATCGACAGTTTATGGATTGATTTCGCACTAGCATGAGAATTAGTATACAGAGTGCTCGTTTGAAAACTTTAAATCGAAGCATCTCAAAAACAACACATTTTATGCAGAAATATTAAATACAAAAGTCCCTTAATTTCAAGGGAGAAATATATCTGGCTCATTTATTTTTTATTTATTAAAACGTTTGCAAAATTATTTGAAGGATAACTCTGTAAATAAAAACATAAAGGGTTAATTTGGAATGCAAAACTTGTACAAGCACAATGTTTATATGTATATATTTATGAGCATAAAACGCAGTATAGCGCAGAGAGGGATGGTTCCTCAATTAGTTAGCAATGTGTTAAGATCGTATTGTGCTTATTTTATTGAAATGTTATCGTAATAAAATTACATACAATTGAATGTGTGCAATAGGATGAAAATACAGATGCAAACGCGGTTGCAACAATCAATCAGATGGAAGAATCAGAACAACCAGGAATCGCCGAAAGCGAACAAGCAATTGAATTCACGACGCAAGATGGCCAAAAAGTTCGTTTAGTTACTTCTTATCACGTTGATCCAATGCAACTTGCCTCCGAGTACCTGACTATTGTATAAAATTTCGAAAATCGTGCATCAAAATATATAAATCAGTTCTTCAACATTGTAAATTTGCCATTTTAAATGTTGTTTTTTGTAATAAATTAAGTTTTTCTTTATTTTGTTGTCAACTGAGAAATTTAAATGTAAAAGAAAATGCTTCGATTAAAAATATTATAAAATATAGCGATTGATAAATGAATGAAATCATTTAATATTACTATATGTAGAATTTTCAAAATAATAAACCTTTAGAACGGTTCTCATTATTTTTGATCTGTAATATACTAAAATAGCGTTTAAGATAACGAACTATTCCACGACAAACTTGGGCTTTTTAACACCAGAGGGCCTGAGGTTGTGGGGTCGAGACTTATGGTCTCGTCCGCACAAGAGTATAGGGGAGCAGTTTCCCGACAAGTGCGAATCCGCCGTAAGGCTGCGCGCGCAGCGCAGCAGGGCGAAAGCGCGTCCTCCCGAAAATGCAAGGACGCTAAAGTCACTGCTTTGTAAGAACTCCGCGAAGAAGCACCTCAAAATGATAAAGATTAAAACTCCTGTTCTCACGGCAAAGACTTGTACGTCTTGCGTTTAATAAAGTAATACTCGTTATTGTTGTTGTTACGTACACGTGTTCAGTTATTTCGAATATTCATATCCGTGGTCGTAGGGGTGGGCCTACGAACGCACGCGCATAATACGTGGAAACGAACCACGTGCATCAAGTAAGCATAAACCCCACAACCTTGTTAATATTAATATTATATTATTTATATTAATATTCGAAATAACTGAACACTTGTATGTAACAACAACAATAACGAGTATTACTTTATTAACGCTAGGCGTACAAGTCTTTGTCTAGCAACAGTAGTTTTAATCTTTATCTTTTTGAGGTGCTTCTTCGCGAAGTTCTTACCAAGCAGTGACTTGAGCGTCCTTGCATTTTTGGGAGGACGCGCTTTCGCCCAGCTGCGCTGCGCGCGCAGCCTTACGGCGGATTCGCACTTGACGAGAAACTGCTCCCCTATACTCTTGTGCGGACGAGACCATAAGTCTCGACTCCACAAGGTCGATAAATAAGCGCCATCTAGCGTGAAGGAAACGAACTATTCCATGACAAACTTGGGCGTTTTGCCGTAGATAGCTGTGCAAATCATGCTTTATGTATTATGCTTGATGCGTTGTGAAACGGTTTCTTATAACTAAGGGAATGAGTCAGAGAGGAGAAGAAAGATAAAAATGATGAGAGCACATAGAATTCATTGAAATTATATCATTTATTGCCATAGATTTACATTATACAAAGTTTTAATACATACATATACGTCACGTCAGAAGTTGTCAACAAAGGTCTGCACACAGGCCTTTCTCTCTCGACTCACTACGCGTGATCTGGCATAGTGTGAGTAGTGCACCCGGTGCTCAAACTGGCATCCCTGGCACCAATAAGACGCCTATCTGAAAAAGAATGATTTGATCGATGTAAAATTATATAGTGACATTTTGTTTCTAACGTGTGCACACAGTTGTTTTCTCAACCAATCAAATAAATGTTTAAAAAATTTCAAACTCAAATTCGTTAACGTATACATTGAACGCATCTCCTGTCTTCGAAGACTATGGTAAACACAATATCTGCCCAAGAGTAAGCTTGTTTCCAGAACTGCGACGAGATTATTAAACGTGCAAACGATTGGCAGTATGAAATTGTGAGAATGGTATAAATTTTAATTATTACAAATATATTTCCAAGGTGCGTATAAATTCTGTCACGTACCGAAGTATGTAATGTTTCGTATTTTATTTATATTTATGTTTCCTTACAGATTATATTCACGTATTGTCCACTTGGTGACAGTGTGTTGTGATTTCCTCGTAATTTTATTACCTAATCGATCACTTTTTAAGGATGGACGACTACTACAAAAAATCTTGACAAATATAAGAAATGAACTAAAGTGAACCAAATGAACCAAAAAAAATTTATTAACTAATTGATCACTTTATAAGGATGGACGACTATTGTGCCCCACAGTGGACAGACTTTACGTGCAGTCCGCAATTGCCATCCGATACTTATTTTGACACGCATATAGAATACGAAGCGCATGAACCTTTGTTTCAATTAAAGTCCAATTTGAAATCCAATTTATCTGTATTTTACAAGAACGATAGTATAGATAAATCATCAAATAGAGAAACACATTTCGATGATAGTTTAGAACCTGTCAAAAATGCAAAAGACAACAGAATATATTTTATACCGCTTGATAATAAAAACCATTCTGCGAAGACAAAGACTGAGAATAGTCTAAGCAAAGTTACAAAAAACTTGGCGAAAACAGATTTCGATGATAGCTTAGAACCTGTACAAAATGCGAAAGACAACATAACATTTTTTATACCGCATGATAATAAAAAGCACTCTGCGAAGCCAAAGACTGAGAATAGTCTGAGCAAAGTTATGAAAAACTTGACGCTGAATGAAAAATCTCATAAAATTGATTGTTCGTGGAACGTGTGGCAAAGACAATCTAAAATGTGTAAAGGCAGACGATCGCAGCCGAAAGTGCTCACGTGTCAATATCGCAGGCACAGTGTAGCAAAGAATCGCAGACGTTCGAGCCAATTTGTAAGTTTGGCGGAGGCAGTATCGAAATTTCAGACTAATACACCGCAACGGTTTCGCACAATCAGTAATAAAAATTTAAAGCCGGCCTTGGTGCCGAGAAACCCAATGAAACTGACTCATCCAATTTCTCCGTCGCTGAGAAGCAAGCAGAGAACAAGACGTACTAATATTTTAAGTAACGAAGAACGTGAAGCCTTGCAACTTGAAGAAATGAGGAAACATCAAATAAAAGCGAACCCTGTACCACTTAACATTTTGAAAGCTCCATCCGCTCTAAAGAAAGTAGAAAAGAAGCCAATTACCGTTGCAGAAGAATTTCGTTTAACTCAGCCGAAGAAAACTCATCACGTATCGGATTCAGAAATAAATACAACGCAACATTTTATAAACAATACCGTAAAATGTGCGGAGACTTCCGTATCGTTTAATAAAAAACCGGAGAAACTAAAGAATTTACAGATCCAAGATAGCAATAAAATAAAAGTCGAATTTCGTGCGAGACCGGTGCCAAAATTTGTAAAATCGGCAAAACCGATCGAGGAGCAAACTGTGAAGAAACGAACAGTAGTTTCGCATCCGTTTAGTTTCGCTGAAAGGGACAAATGTCTTGCTCAAAAGAAAGAAGAATATGTTAAACAAATGCAAGAAAACGATAAAAAGAAACAAATATTTCGTGGGAATCCTGTGCCAAATTTGAAGGAAGTCAAAATACCAAATCTAAAGAATGCCGCTAAACCAGTTACAACCAAACAAATGAAACGTTGCAACAATCAAGAGAATAAACAGCCGAATATTTGCGTTTCTACAATCGATACAAACAAGAAACCGACAAAGCAGAATATTATAAGGAATATTAAAAAGAAGGAACGCGCTTCTTAAATTACCACTTACATCTCTGTCAAACTTAAAATATTTACCTAACAATTATTCTGAGTATATGTAGTGAATATATTAATATTTTCATGTATAGAATATTATTTTTCATATATAATAAATATTTAAACGTTACGTGTATATACATGAATAGGGCAATCAAGCTCTGAATTTTAATTAAATGTATCTATCTCATTCCTTTCATTTAACTGTATCGATTCTACTGTTAAAAAATATTTCACGTAATTTTAATATGTATAATGTCTACTATAGTAGAAAACACGACCGATTTATAATAATTATTTCACTTATTTCTGTAAAACTATTGTTTACAGAAATATATTTTAAACAGATTAGATGAAAAATCAATAAAAAGCATAAATTATACTTTCATGTTTAATTTATTTGTTTTATGAATATACCTAACTAATATTTACAAATTCATTTGCAATAACAATAAACCTTACTTAACGTCTCTCAAATCTATCCAGTCTAGTTTTGAACATGCAAAAATTTCTGATGATGGAATTTTATCCAACAAATGAGTCTAAAATCAAAAGAACGTAATTATTATATAACAATTGATGAAAAAGCAAATAATTCTTTCACCTGTTTTCTTGTGTAAATTAAGAGTTTCTCAAGCTGTTCTGGATTGTTGCACTCTAAACCGAAGAATCTCGCCCAAAGCGCGCCAGCTAGTGCTTTGTCATCTGACAAAATTCCTTCGTCGTAACAAATCATAGCACCGTTAAATTGAGCAGCTATAGAACATATTTGTTGTCTCTTTATCTTTGGATGAATTGTCTGATAGGGAAAATGACGTCTGTTTTAAATTAAAATTGAAGAACAATATAATCAAACGGAAATTAAATTTATTAATATTGAACCAAACTAAGATATAAAATTTAAAACAGAACTGAAACAATCTAAATTAGAAAAGAAAAAACAAATTTCATTTAAACTTATGTAGAATATTATTAATATTAATTAATTTATTGATCACTTACACCAAGCTTATTTACTCTGATATCAATATCTCTCCACATAGCTTCGACCAGGTTATATCTAACAATTTTACCTGCCTCTCCTTCGGACATAAAACGTACCATTAACATCCAAATGTGCAATTCCGTGACCAAATACCAAGAGAAAAATGTGTCTGGCATATTAAAATCTAATAAATAAAATAACATTACGTTTAAAATAATGTTCACAAGGTTGATTAAATTAATATTAGAGATATACCTTCAAAAAATGGAGTGTAATTAAGAGTATCAACTAAGTCTTCATACATGAAATAACCCAACCCCATTAATTGCTAAAATACAAGCAAATTAAATTAATTGAAGCGTACAGAATATTTCATAACTGGTGATACATCTATGAAGTTGATAATACCATACGGACAAACAAGTTGAAAATACAAGATAATGACGTTAAATATTTCAAGCATTATTTGTTGTCAATTACATCATTGACTGTATTTCAATAAAACTTAATCTAAATTACCTGTATTGGTGTTGGTATACGATAAATTATACGATATACAAAAATATAATAGTTAGTAATTTATACTTACATATTTTTGTTTATTGATACCAAGTTTATATAATAGTTTGTTGATAAATCCAGTTTCAATTCCTGATCTAACTATGTTGGTTTGCACACCTTTTATACGAGAACTATTAGAAAACTGACGAGACCGAGGTCTTACAGAAAAATCTATGCCATTGGTAATAATATATTGACGTTCTATCATAGACTTCATTGTTAAAGACAGTGTCTTTTGTAGTGAACATTTTCACAAGTGTTGCCCATCATAAAAATAAACAAATTAAATTAGTCAAATATTGTTGAACATAGAAGCAAAAATTTGAGCAGAGTTACAATTATTATTGCTTTCTTCAGAACAAACAAATAAATCTGATTTTGTAAAATATTCAAATATCTCAAAATCGACTGAAAGAAATGAGTTACACGCATACGCAGACTGTATACAACTGTGTAATCAAACTATTACAAATAATTGAACATGTAAATAGTGTTATGTTCGTAAACACGATAGTGAATAACTATTTAATAACTTCATAATCAGAAATAAAGGTCAATAGAAAGTAAATAATTATCTACAATTAAAAGAACTAAATTAATAACGAAATAACATCGTTTATAACTTAAGAAACTCATATTTATGGTTATGTATGATTTAGGTTATATTAAAATATTTTTATCTTAAATGTAGACATACCTTTTTCAGAGATAACATCCTTGTACAATACATATTTCTATTATTTATTTTGTTAATTTTTGTCTAATCATTAAAAAATTTTAACTATTTTAGTTTTCAGATCAAAGAAACGAGTACTCCTTCTACTTCTAAAACGTAAACATTTCTTCTGGTCGTATTGCAATAATAGTCAAAAAACGCGGTACAATTTAAAATATTATATCTTGATCATAGAGTTGCAAAGTACCATATAGAGGCGACACTTCTGTCAAAACCTTTGATATTCGATACTCTAATTTGGTGACCTAGAACGTACCCTTAGGATCAAAGTTACTAATATTAGTACTCATTCCATAGATATACAGAGTAGGCAAAACGTTTTAATAAACGAAATAGTAGGAACGCATGATAAGGAGCGCCTTAATGTTGGATTGTCGCAGATATGTTTGAATGCAGTGAGGTGGTTTCCAGGTGTTGTGTTCCAGGTCTCCTAACATGCTTTCCCTCAGCTCTTTGATCAGGGGGCAGTCCCACAAAATGCAGATCTAGGGTGCCACATATTTTTCGATCGTACACGATGGAGGCGCCATCTAGCACCGAAGATAACGTACTACTTCTCGACAAACTTGGACGTTTTACCGTAGATGGAAACCCAAGCATCCTTCCGTGAAACTACATTTGTTTCAGAAATCGACTTTAGGGGGAATAATTATTACGTTTTCGTCAACCTCTTTCAAGTGTAAAATCCACGATAATAAAACAGAAAAATAAATACAACGTTGCATTCACTGATCTTGCAAATAATCTTTAAATCTGTTTTTCTTTATCATCGGTCAGTCCTTCTTTAACAACAATCTACGCTACTCATTATGGCTGACCATCTACTCCATTACCGTAAACGTCTATCTATTGATTGCATGTGGAAATACTAATTCAATAATGCAATTACTATACATCCCTTGACTGTGCCAGTTTCTCGTAGTCATTCTGTCACCGATACCGATCGCGGACGCTCCGTGATCTCGTCGTTTCTCGACGCGATGTGGAATTATGTGCTGGTCTCGGCTCTCGTGTTACTCGTGTCGTTGCTTTATCATTGTTACTTCAACAGGCCGATCAGCATTATCGACTACCCCAATCAGCATTACGATTATATAGTCGGTAAGTAGTAGAGCATGTTTTTCGTCCGACAGCCAGGATCGAATTAAGATTTTCGAGGCCCGGGAGTATTCGATTATATCGAACTTTTGTATATCGATAGCATACGCGTTCCTAACGATACGTGTGAAATATTAGGCGTACTTATTCGATAGTTTTAAAAATATCAACAATTAAATTCGTGTAACTTTTGATCTAGAGGAGACTGGAATAAATAGCAACACCTTGACTTTGAAATAACTTTTTTCGTAAAAATTTTTGTTACGAAAATATTATTATTGTCGTTAAAATAAAATAAACCGAAATTGATGAGGCAACCTATGAGTTGTTTTGATAAACATATAAATCATGTTGTTTAGTACACTCTTCACTATTATCGTCGAAAGTAATATTAAATTGAAAACTTTGGACATTAGGATAATCGAATGTGAACAAAACAGTCAAATTAGAATAACGATTTAATTTGTTGAATAAAAGACAAACGGTATTTGTAAATATTTATTTTATTACTTGAAAAAAGGAGGCCCCTTAAAGGATGATGCAACTTTCTCCTTTCTCTTTTAATTCATACCTGTTAATACAGACAATGATCTATAATATGGCGTTAGTCGTAACAGTCTAAGCGTAGCGTGGACAAGGCAAACATAATAATCCTTCGATCCATTCTTCGACTCGCGTTAAATCGGATTACGAAAACAACTTTCGCTGATGCAACATCCGAGAAGCATTTCACGCGTTTGCATTGATAAAATTAAAATTAATTATAAAATTAAGATAAAGTCTGAAAACTGAAATCTGTAAGAATTTAAATTGAAAATTAACTGTTATTGTTAGACGTCTGCACGATGGTGTGAAATGAACTTTGATTAATAAATTTACATTAATGGCACGTTAATATTTAGTGTGAGTAGGTAGAATTATGAGACAGGGTAGAAATGTGAGAATCCACTGTTCAACAGACTTTTATTGTTTCCGATACAACAGAAAGTTTTTATGTACAGGTGTTATTTATTTTAAAGACAATGAAAATGATTAAAAGTTCTGTGTTTTACTTGCGGAGTTGGCGCTGGGACCGCTGGTTGCGTGGTTGCATCGCGATTATCCGAGATTTCGAACGTCTCTGTGCTATTGGTCGAGGCGGGCGGTTACTTTGGATGGGTGTCGTCAGTACCAATTTTGGCGCCAATGCTGCAGAAGACCGAAGTCGACTGGGCCTACACGATGGAACCGCAAAAGCACTCATCGAGAGGATTCGGGAACCATGTAAACGACGATCAATTGTCAGTTTAAAAATCAGAGTGCACTTGTTGCAAAATCTTCAGAAAAACCAATTCAAACGATCTAGAACACGGAACAGAGACTCACTATTCGACTTTGCTTTTAACGCGTTGACTGCCGCGGTGGTCACCGGTGACCGGCACTTGACTCACTGTATACACGCCTTATAAAGGCTTCGAATACACTGTATGATGAATTCTGATATAGATGGGCTAATTTTTAAATTAAATAAAACTGGAGACACTTTTTACACTGATAAGAATTTCATAGGGATATGTAGTTTATGGAAATAGACGTGGTACCGTAAAACTTTTACGAATTTCGAGTTTCACGTGATGTGGTATACTTTTATGCGTGTTCTTCATGCTTAAATTCTTCGACTTCTACAGTTAGCAATGGGGAATGTTAGAAAAAGCAATGCTAACGCCGTTGATTGTCATGGTGGTCACCGGTGACCGACACCTGACTCGTCACTGTAAATCCACAATCGAATAAACTGTACGATGAATTCTGATATAGATGGGCTAATTTTAAAATTAAATAAAGCTAGAGACACATTTTACACTGATAAGAATTTTATAGGGATATGTAGTTTATGGAAATAGACGTGGTACCGTAAAACTTTTACGAATTTCGAGTTTCACGTATTGTGGTATACTTTTATGCGTGTTCTTTGTGGCTAAATTCTTCGACTTCTACAGTTAGCAATGGGGAATGTTAGAAAAAGCAATGCTAACGCCGTTGATTGTCATGGTGGTCACCGGTGACCGACACCTGACTCGTCACTGTAAATCCACAATCGAATAAACTGTATGGTGAATTCTGATAAAGATGAGCTAATTTTTAAATTAAATAAAGCTAGAGACACATTTTACACTGATAAGAATTTTATAGGGATATGTAGTTTATGGAAATAGACGTGGTACCGTAAAACTTTTACGAATTTCGAGTTTCACGTATTGTGGTATACTTTTATGCGTGTTCTTTGTGGCTAAATTCTTCGACTTCTACAGTTAGCAATGGGGAATGTTAGAAAAAGCAATGCTAACGCCGTTGATTGTCATGGTGGTCACCGGTGACCGACACTTGACTCGTCATTGTAAATCCACAATGGAATAAACTGTATGGTGAATTCTGATAAAGATGAGCTAATTTTTAAATTAAATAAAGCTAGAGACACATTTTACACTGATAAGAATTTTATAGGGATATGTAGTTTATGGAAATAGACGTGGTACCGTAAAACTTTTACGAATTTCGAGTTTCACGTATTGTGGTATACTTTTATGCGTGTTCTTTGTGGCTAAATTCTTCGACTTCTACAGTTAGCAATGGGGAATGTTAGAAAAAGCAATGCTAACGCCGTTGATTGTCATGGTGGTCACCGGTGACCGACACTTGACTCGTCATTGTAAATCCACAATGGAATAAACTGTATGGTGAATTCTGATAAAGATGAGCTAATTTTTAAATTAAATAAAGCTAGAGACACATTTTACACTGTTAAGAATTTTATAGGGATATGTAGTTTATGGAAATAGACGTGGTACCGTAAAATTTTTACGAATTTTGAGTTTCACGTGATGTGGTATACTTTTATGCGTGTTCTTCATGCCTAAATTCTTCGACTTCTACAGTTAGCAATGGGGAATGTTAGAAAAAGCAATGCTAACGCCGTTGATTGTCATGGTGGTCACTGGTGACCGACACTTGACTCGTCATTGTAAATCCACAATGGAATAAACTGTATGGTGAATTCTGATAAAGATGAGCTAATTTTTAAATTAAATAAAGCTAGAGACACATTTTACACTGATAAGAATTTTATAGGGATATGTAGTTTATGGAAAAAGTCGTGGTACCGTAAAACTTTTACGAATTTTTCACGATTATACCAACGCGTTCTTGGACACTTGGTGAAAGTTTCGATCGAACAAAAATATTCCTGCAGGTGCAAACAGCGCCACGTGGCAAAGGATTGGGCGGAAGCGGTCAAATGAATTATCTGGTTCACTCCTTCGGGAGACCGGAGGATTATAATGAATGGCCCAAGGGATGGTCTCACGCCGATTTGCTTCCATACTTCAAGAAGGTGGCCGATATTATGAACGTGATGTCCAGCCCGGAAGAGGAGTATCTCACCGACGCGTTTCTAATGGCGGACGAGTCGCCAAATTTGAGTAACACGACTCTGCTGAGAGGCATGTACACTATCAAAAGTGGATCACGATGGGCCACGTTTCACGCGTACTTGCAGAACGCTTGGAACAGAAGGAATTTACACATCTTGACGAACGCGCTGGTCTCCAAAGTATGACTTTTCATTTTTCGTACAATTAACACTATTTCCGTCAAAAGCGTCGAAAGACACCTTCTTCAGGGGAGCTTCAGGCAGTGGAAATCGCTTTTGAAACGGTAACGCTGATGTTTATGCACTTTTGGGATTAAAAAGCAAGATAATGACTAATACAGAAATATGTATGCTACACATACTGCTACTTTATTACTGTGCTTCTATTTTCTGCATTAAAAATTTATGTTCTTTGTTTTACAATTAATACCGATGTCATACAGGATTAACATTAAATGTTTCTCCATTTCAAAGTCCTATTAAAAAAATCCACAGTCATATTCAATCACTCTACCGACTCACCCACTAAATTAAGTTAAATAATTCGCTTACTAGAAGCGTACAAAATTTTAAATTGAAATATCTCGAAAACGAAGGCCCATTTTGAAGGAACCTTTTAGGGTTTTATTGATACTAGGTATATACCATAACTTGTACCTATCACCCCCTCTTTCCATGATTTCCACTGCCGGAAGCTCCCTTCGTTAGAACCGTTCGAAACAAAAAATAAAATCGAAATCTTCAGTGGGAATGCTTTATATGGACCACGATGATATAACGCAATAAAATATAAAAAAAATCTAGATTATCTGTGAACGCAAAAATTCGACCCAAATAACTGTTCACGCCAGTTTTCACGTAATTTTCAGATATACTTAAAAAAGGACGCGACCGTGGACGGAATTAAGGTGATTTACAAAGATGGATCGGTGGGAAAAATTCTTGCGAAAAAGGAGGTGATTCTTTGCGCGGGCGTTATCAATACCCCTCAATTGCTTTTGCTCTCGGGGATAGGGTCGAGCGAAGATCTCGACAAATTTCAGGTGATGGATCATTCAATTTTCTCGCGATAAATAGATCTTCGAAACGTTACACGGTGCCGTTGTTATTTTGTTTGCGAACGATATAAAAACGATTACGCGTACATTTGTAGATACGAACGGTGAGCAACGTTCCGGAAGTGGGCAAGAATCTCTTTGATCATCTTCTCATTCCGCTCTACGTGAATCTCAAGGCAAGAGTGAGCATAACTTTAGTAAAATTGCAGACGCTTCCCGAGGTACTCAACTACTTCGTGTTTGGAAGAGGCGAGTGATAAGAAATGTTTCACCGTAGTTTAATCGCGAGAAACTATCGTTCAGGGTTGGTAAAAATTCGTCGAAGAATCCTGGATTCGTTCGTAAATAATTTTCGTACTTTTATGAATTTTAATTTAACGCGAACGCGAACCGACAGCTTACGAACAAATCTAAACATTTTCAAATAAACAGGCAGTATTCTTTGTTCCAATTATTTTGCTCGTTTAGCCTCGGTATTAATTAATTCGTGGGCTTGTAAATATGACCATGGAATCCGTTCTTTCTATAATTTCTGAAAGATAAAATAAAATTTAGCGATTAATTTTCTGTCCCGATATTGGAAGCATTTTGTAAAATTTTTCTTGCTACTTTAAGGGTGGTATGCAACGAACGCTGTGATGGGGATCGGCCGTGCAAATAACAGCGGTGTGATGCTGTTCGGGGTGGGTTCTACGGAAGAAAGAATATTAAAATCCTTGTCCAACTATAAAACCGAGGTAAGTACAGCGATAAATACAGTAAATAAAGTAAATAAGCGATTTTTTCGAAAACAATTCTAATTAGAAAAACATCGAAGAGAAAAATTGGGAGATGCATCGTAAACAATATTTAAACAAAATTCCATTTAAAAAATCGAAGGTTCGTTTCTCGAAAAACGAGGCAAACGTGCAAAATTAAGACATTGGCGGATATTGGTCATCAGGAACTTTTTTCTTTTTCATTTTTTTTTTAATTATCGCTGGCTAGTAATAGTGTATTACATTGTCGATTGCAATAAGTTGCATCCGTGACTCCAAAATATTCCAAAGACTCCGGAAATATTTAATCGTCACGGATACAACGAAAATAACGAAACGTACAGTCTTACAGATCGTTTTATCCGTCCTACAACAACAATACTCGCGAGGGTTTCTTGTACTTGTCGTACTGTTTGCAACCGAAGAGTCGCGGAAGCGTTTCGTTGAGATCCGCCAATATTCGCCATCAACCTAGGATCGATCCAGCGTATCTTAAACACGACGACGACGTTCTGTGCACCCACGAGGGTAAGCGAGTTTCATAAATGCCGTCTTCCTCGAAAATTCATCGGCAAAAGATTGGGGATCACGCCTTATTTTTCTGGCCACGCGAGCTTACTTTTCCATCGACGTTCGCGTGACACGGTATGCAAATCTTCCAGCTATAAACTTCGCGATCGAAACGCTCGACACGAAGAAATTCCGCGAGTACGGCGCGGAGGTTCACCATCCTGATTTGGAAGAATGTCGTCACCTACCGCAGGATTACCGTGACATCGAGTACACAGAGTGCGTGATTAGGGTCGGTGGCCTCACCAGTTACCATTTATGTGGCTCCTGCAGGATGGGAGCCGACGATCGAGCAGTCGTCGACGAGCAATTACGGTAAAATGTATTCTAAAACACTTTTTATATTATTTAATACTTCCAGCGTACATCGAACTTATGTTTGTATACTCGTTACAGTATATCTACATTCGTAAGTCTTTATAATAAAATTTTTGGTACCCTCGTGTGCTTCACTTTGATCATTATGTGACAATGTTAGCGTAGAAAGCTGCCTCAACACTGTTCACGTCAAGTTTACGCAAATTAATCCTCTATAATCTTACGTAATTCAGAAGTCACCCTATTATTTATATTCTTAGAGTTTGATTTTATTCTCGATGTGTATCAGTTGTGGTTTCGAAACAATAATATTACCTATAAACGATCAGTGTAAAATAATTATTTTGCATTAGTAAATATTAAAGATTTAACACATGAAAAGAATAGTGCCGACGTTTGATTCTAATTAAACCATATTTCTTTCTTATTTCAGCGTGAGAGGCGTCAATGGTCTAAGAATAATGGATGCCAGCGTAATACCGTCCCCAATTTCCGGTAATCCAAATTCCGTTCTTATCGCCATGGCGGAACGAACAATCGACTTGATCATAAATCGGACGATCGACTAAAGCTAACTGTATCTATATATAAATAAAAAAACGAATGTAAGAGTTCGTAAACCTTTACATTAATCATTTAGGTGACTTTGGTTTGGATTTCGAGTTACGTTCAGGAGCTAGAAAATTTTATGACCTTTTGTTAATCGAATTCCTCTTAACCAGTTAGCTGTGTTTGTTTTATTTCGTTTTTACCTCCAAAGATTCTACATATATTTAAATTTACGAATTTTAATTTTCATTACAGACATCGTGACACAAAATATGTACTGTCATTTCTCTATGACGGATATATCTATGAAGTTAAAATTAATGCAATTTTAAAAAGTCAAAACGACCTTTCTGATTTTTCTTTGGGAATTTTAAAGAACATGTTCGAACGTTGAAACGTTCGTACGACGATAGGGTGAAGATCGAAGATCGAGGAGGGATCGTAAATGAGATTTAGGGTCGCGTAACACAGAAGACATCGCCATCAGGTTTTTTGTAATTTATAATTAATGGTAAAGTTTTCTTGTTTTACAGTAATCGAACAGTTATTAATAGTCTAATTTAAATTTCGATTAATTTTTATACAAACAAAAAAATAAGGGGTGAGTTACACTCAACGGCGTAGCACGAACCCCTGCCACGTCGTTCGCGCTCGGAGAAAAAGAAAAAAAAGAAAAATCGTAACTTCTCTCTACGTTTCATTCGCCATTCTTTCGTATTCAGCTTTGCCTTTTCTTTTCGCTACGCTCTCATAGTACAACGCCCGCCATCGTTACACCCCCAGTTCCTGTCCGAGACCGTTTCGATGGCAGAGTTTCGTCTCGTTCGCTTCTCTATTCCACTCTACCGCGCCTGCACTACCGTTCATTCGTCGCCTGGCACGCGTCTTCGTCCAAAAAAGAAAGACCAGTCACGATCAAAAACTCTCAAACGTTGCTCGCGAACCACGAGAACATGTTACAGATTCGTTCGTAAACCGTCCATGAACTAAATCGCGAACGAATCGAACAAATTTCGATGGTGAATGATATCCGACGTTGTATTTATTTTATTCGTGGTACCGTCCCGCCTCGGATCTTTCTTTCCTCTTGCAACATATGCTCCGTCATTCGATCAGGCAGGCGCACACTGTCTCCCGTATAAATAAAAATTAACTCTGCGATAACGCGAACTGTCGTTTTGTATAGACGAAAAACACAACTGCGGCTCGCACGCAAAGTTCACGCTGGAGGTTCACTCGTTTCCGGTGCCCCCTTCTCTCTCACAGACACACGCTTCCGTCACCTTTTACCCGCCGCGCTCTTGATTCGCGTCCGCCCCTCGTAATCGTAACCGTAAACTTAATCTTTCGTAACTTAAAAACGAAAAAAAAAAAAAAGAAAAAAAAAAAAACAAAAATTGGTAACCACCGTGTCGCTTCCGCGGCGCAAGCCACCGTTTCCTACCCATTCGGGGAAAACGTAACAGGAATCATCGAATTGGACGTCGACTGGCGAGACGCCCGTGGATCGATAGCGCCCGATCGACGCGTAGATAACGAGAATTATATTTATGGAATATAATATCTTGACCGTGGGGCGAAAAGAGTATTCTCGGTTCGTTTCTCTGAGACTGTGCACACCGTTTCGAGCGTGGATCGAAATATTTTCTCGAACCAGGAGCGAAGAAGAAATAAAACTGCAAAACACGGTCCCCGCGCGAAAGATGATTTCGACGCGTTTGGGAGACAGATTACAAAACGAAACGAGACACTTTTTCCCCGCGGTCGTTGTTCCCGTATTGAAGTGCAGGAATGCCCAAAAGTATCGCCGCCGCGGAATCGATCCTCGGGATCGGCCCGCCGATCGACAGTCGCTCTAAAAAACGAAACGTTTTTCGTATCCGCGAGACAGAGAAGGAATTCGGGTGTGTCACTGGGCGTGCACCGCTTGAATACGAGCGATCTACGAATCGCCGTCTAGCCTCCCGTTTGTTTCGCTCGTTTTCATCGTGTTTGTATAATATACATTTATTTATTCATTCATTTATTTATGTATTTATATCATCTCTTGTCTTCGACGTGATGTCGTATTGCGGGGCGACGAGTTCGGGGCTCACTTACAATCTAAAAAGTACTCCTTAATATTACATATATATTCTATCTATATATAATATATATATGTATATATATATATATATATATTTTTTTTTATATTGAAAAAATGAGTGTACTCTTTCGTTATCAATAGGAATAGTATCGATTAATTTGCAATTGCGTGTAACATAGACGCGTCCAGCGCATAGAAACATAAATAAATAAATATAAACGGATTGTATTTACATATACTCGGGCGTCTGAGGGTTTGAAGGAGGGTCGGGTGGGCGTAGGGAGGAGGGCGGAGGTGTGTGACGAGGTATAATCTGATATATTCATTCGCGGTTTCTCGTCTTATATCTCTATATATATTTACGTGTATATTAATATTGTTGCCCGTGGTTCTGGTTTTCATTTTTTTTTTTTTCCTTTTTTTCGATTCCATGTATATATGTTCGTTTCTATATATAATATATAGCGTGATATATATATATATATATATATATTATGTAGCATGTGTACGAATAAAAAGAACGCACCGTCTTCTCCGTCGCCACGGGCTTCGCGTAAAAAAAAAAAATAATACTTCGCGGGGACGTGAGAAATAAAAACCAAGAAGGAACCATATGTATAAGCATTATTGTACAACTATTATTTAACATGATCGTGTGTATACGCAGGATGTCCCAAAAATAAGCGTCGTTCGAAATAACGCCCGAAGGGAGCATTTATTTCCATTTTTCGCGCTGAAAATAATTATGAAACGAACTTTATTCTTTTTTTTTTTTTTTTAATTGTGATTTGCCTATTAGGAAGTGAAATTATCGATCGGATCTGACAGGATAATGTTTTTTTCTAGAATTATGCGGATATTCTTTGTTTCTTGAAGGGCGAGTTCGAACGAAAAATGGAAAACATTCCATGTTCGTCGTTATTTTTCGAACGAACGCTCGACTCGATAAAGCCTGTAAAATGTGTCGGTGTGTGTGTGTGTGTGTATGACTGAGGTAGAAGTGGTTTCGTATACGCTTATATTATATAATCGTGTGGTCGTAAATGCGCAAGTATTGATGACTATCACTGTTCTCCAGTTTCTACCGAGTACGAGGTAAATAAAATTGCAAACAGGGTGGTGGGTCGTGGATGGGGGATAGTTTGTGCGAAGAATCGTGAAAGAAAATGAGACTCGGTCGCGGAACGATGCTGAGAGGCGGCGTTTCGTTAGAAAGAAATGCAACCGGACGGATTTCCGAGCTTCAGAGATACAGAGAAACGGCCAAGTAAAACAAAAATTCATCGTATACTTTCCGCCGGGGTGATAATGATAGAAAAAAATATATATATAAAAAAGAAAAAAAACGGTAACAAGCGTAACGTGGATCCAAACAATCGAACCGTGATAGTTTCTTTCGTTTTTTTTTTTTTAAAGGAAATTCACTTATTTCGTTCGGAGTGAAAAAAAAGAAAATGCAATAATGTCTAACGAAATTCTTGTTAAAAATAACTAAAAGTAAATTTACGGCGGGATACTCGTTCGATGTAGAGACAGAAAATATTCTACGACGGTTTTCTCGAAACGTGTAAACGATGATAAAATTGCGAGACGCGACAAAACGACCAACAAAGAACAAACGTGTCTTCAACAGGAAACAATATAATCGCTGATCGTTCTTCGTGGGGGGGTTGGCTCTCGGGGAGGGATTTAGGAGAAAAAGGATTCATCGTGGAAATCGAAGAATTTTCGTGAATCGAAAGAGATACGTGTCCATTAAAAGTAGAAGTACATGTACGAACGACGTAATCGTGAACGCAAGTTGTAATCGTCGCTGAGCAGTCTATGGTTGTTGCAAAATGTACTGGCCGCTCAAGGCCACTCGTTCCACTGCGAATCACAGCAAACTTTTGTATCGTTTTTCGTGCTTGACACGAAACAGAGATCGAAAGGCAGATTGGAATTGTTTATAAGCTTGGCAATTCCTAGCTCTCCATCGATCTTGTTCCGATTTCAGCTCACTCTTCCCCTTTATTTACAGCTGTTGCTCGATAAATACTCCTTCGTTACTTGGGTTCCATTGCGATCAAGGGAACGATAGACGAAAAGAAGAGAAGAAGGCGTGCAACGTGCAGTTAACACATTACCAACGGGAAACGAGAACGGTGTGTTTTTCTAGTAATTTTACAAGAAAAGAAATTCTATTATCCGCGTATAACTCCAGAAAATTTCAATAAAATATATTAATTAGAAAAATAGTTATCAGATTTTTAGTATATCGTTAAAATTACCGTGTAAGAAAGTTTGTAACAGAAATGCCCCGTCGTTGATGTGTTAACAGAAAAAATAATGGAGAAGATACGCGAAGATTCAGAGCAGATGCGTCGTTCGTGTGTTCGTACACGCGAGGTGTTTCGTAAAATGTGACGAGAACTTTGAAAGTGCATTTTGATATCTTTCTTGTATTGTCCACTTATTTTCACAGCAATATCAGCCTGAATACCTGAATAGAATAATGCATGTTACGGAGTCTTTGCAAAAACTGTACTGTTAAAAACCGTAATCGCAGTACAAAAAAGTATTTGCCGGACCCGGTTCTACGTTCGGGTAGAAGAAAGAAAACAATTTTTCGATATTCACCAGCAAAGTTACGTTTCACATTTCACGTTAACGTCCTTGCAACGTACCTAACGCGATAGGTATAGCGCCATCATCCGCGTAACACGGTGACGATAATCGATAGCAGTCGTTATTAACACGTAACGATGCTAATAAAAATACAAAGAAAAGATAGTGATAAGCGTGATACAGAGACAAAGAGTAACTTTTGGTGTAACTACAGCTACACCGACGATCCCTACTATACACTCTTACTATTGCATCGCTTGATTATTGATTTATGTTATTTAATCTTATCGACTATTATACTTTGTAGTTTGTACTTGGTTTTCATAT